TCGTTGTCGTAAAGGAGAACGACGAAAACAAAAACACCTTGGGGAACCGTGTATCGCATCTGGCTCCGGGGTAGGATGACGTGGCTGCTTTGAACATACGCCCCGCAGCACAGTTATTGGCCAGTGTCTTTGCTTTACAGCGCCTGAGGAACTTCCGTAAACGTAAACAAAAGGGCAAAGTTGTGTCCGCGTCGGCCACAGAAGTGATGAGAGATAGTAGACTGGTTGGTTTCGATAAGAAGACGTAGAAAAAGAGGTCTAGATGATATGATCTGGAGACGAAGATTTTGATAAGTATAGCTCGATATACGAGCTGGATGATTGCAGTTGCCTGCCCATCTTGTCATGCTCGCAACTAAAATTTGCAATTTCATCAAGCAGATCGTTCCAAGATTTTGGAGACAAGGCGATGTTTCCATTATTGTGAAATTGACTCTCCTCAGAAACGGCGAGCATAAACAGACCCAGAGTATCCTGCAAGGCACGGAATCGTCCAAATGTTGGCCACGTTCCAGACATACAATCTGTTCGGCGGTACAGATTCTGTTGGTCGAAAGCTTGCATGTCCACTTGTAAACACATCTGTACTTCTGGAGAGGTGAAAGAAGCTAAGGTCCCCAGGAAAACCCAGGAAAACGATGCGAAGTGTGTGCATAGGGCGGACGACTCGCCCTGTTTCTAGTTGTGAAACGTACTGTAACCGTGGTTGCATATGGACGGACGTTGCGCTAGCATCACCCACTCGACAACTGATTCGAACGCATACAGCAGATAACAGTTGTAGGCAGTTGTGCTGAGGTCACAAAACCTCGTTGGAACGTCATCGATGAGACCACTTCCACTCCCTCACATGTTACTGCAGCTCTTACTCACCACCCCACAACATTCTCGATCAGGGCCTTGGGAAAATGAACATTTCAGTAGAGGGCCAGTGCTGTGAGACAAACTGTAAACGGCGGCGAGGTTTGTGTTCTTATCCCACGGCGGTACGTCGAAGTTGTCTTGGCGGAGAGTCGTATCTCCCGTACTAAATTGCTTGACTACTTCGCTCGCAGGGTTCCGAGCCGATGCCTCGTGCTCCGACGGCTCATGAAAACCACCGATCATGAATCCTGACAACATTTTTGGAGGAGAATAGCAACCTTATTTCTCGTTTTAAATCCAGTTGCTGTATCCATGATTCGTTGCTTCCCCGTTGGTCACAAGCGTAATGCTGGTGGGGGATTCAAGATTGTTGTGGTCGTATTTCGTAACTCGTCTCATTCAGTTGACAACACGACATATAAAGGACGACAACTGGAATGTGTCCGACAAATATTGGGTTTAACCTCCTCGCGACAACTAAGATGACTGGCTCAGTTGATTATGAAGCGCATATTCCGAAGACTGTTTGGAGACATGACATTTGTCATGAAATTCTTCTTGATCTCCAAATTCGCGAGTGACATATGTCAGTTGTTGTCGCTCCAGATAGAGTGGGCACCGTTTGTGCAATATGCGCATCATTTGCATCCATACAAACTGGCCGCGCTCCGGTGCTTTGATGCCTCGTACGTAGCATTTCTGATAATACATCGACTTAATCGGCTTTTTTCTTTTTGGTGACAAAAAGAAGTGATTTGAGATACTATTCCGCATAACGACATCCCCATTTCTTTTCAAAATCGGTGGCGCCGTTGCCAAGTGCTTGAGTCTATCCAATTCCTTTTGATTTTATTAGGACAGCTTCCATGGTCATCTTTGATTGGGTGCTGTTATCAAGGCGCCATGCGAACTGATAGTGGATGCCAACAAATGCAATACCGAGAGAGACTCGATTTATTGAATTTCACCTGCTTGGAGAGCGATACTGCCAGTTTTCGATCTAGACAATGGTGATGGATTCTGGCCGCTTCCTTGTCGCGTCCACATACGACCATCCTGACAATCTTCTATCATAGCAGTGGCCACTGATGGTGGTCCTCGTGTAAAAGAGTGCAGCACCTTAACACGGACTGGCACTGCATCTGATCGGGAGTGGACTGTGCATAGCTTCCCCTGAGCTCCGCGTACATATGTGATGGTACTGTTTTCTTTCCCATCAGCGAGCTCGCGGTTCTTTAGCCGTGTTGTACTCAGTATCGACTAGGGTACAAGTTGTGACTAGGTCACAGAAGACGGAGAGGCGCATTAAGTTGGCTCAAAATACCACTGGTCGACGGTCCCTGCATCCTGACGAAACCCATTGTTGGATGTCGAGATAAGGAAGGTCATCTGGTCAGAATGGGACCGCGCGGCCGTTCATGTATCATGCGAATCAAAGTCGTGACCCCGTGTCTATTGCATTGGTGCTGGACGCGCGTCTCGGGTTGAGGAAAGGCAAGCGACCCTGTTGTCCCGCTGGTACTCATTAATAATTCACGGACGGATTGCTTTTCACGACTGTCGGTACCTGACCAGGGCTGGCCGTCCGTACAGCACGCAGAGCATCCTTTCTGTGGCATTCGTCCAGTCTGATAAAAAGTATCTTCAGTTGTGGAACCAAGGAAAGCCGAGTGTTCATCCTTGATTGCTTTGGCACTGTATCCTTTTGACGATAAAATTTTGGTCTCACAAGCCGGAAAATTATGTCAACTCGTGGTGAATTCGTGGGCCTGTCTCAAGTTATGGACGCGGCCTGGTGCGGTGGGGAGTGCCATACCACCTACTGTTGACAGTGTCGTTTGGTATCGATAAGATGAGATCAATGAGGTTGGTACATAATATTATCTCCATGTTCTTGTCTCGAAGCTGAGCAAATACTTCTGGCCCTCGCTTTTCTTTGGTGGGTTTTTGTCTTGTGTGATGTGCCTGAAGCGCCGGGTGTTGTTATAAACCCGGGTACGATCCAAAGGAATCGTTTGCCAGTATCAGCGGCCACGTTGAAGTCCACCCGGACACAACAGACGAACATTTCCTGTGCTGCGGCCAGCCTCATTTGGCGCATTCGAGTCCTGTCATTCGTAAAATGACAGTGTTGGGTACCACGTGGAGTTATCCAGGTCGTTTCTCTGCTGTGTCGTCGACTACCATGTCGTCCTCTGCGTCGCCTTTGTGCCTCGAAAGCGTCCTGTCGATAGAACAGTTCCTCCCATTGTCTTCCCCGTGCGGCGATGAGCTCATAGTCTTGATATGTTGATCAGTCGGTCTTTTAGCCCTTCACCTATGAAGCAAACTCGTATATGGCGGCACTTCTAATTAGGCAAAGCTTGTTGATTCGTGACACACTACCAGCCACATGTGAGTGCACGTCGGCGAAGAAATCGTGCAGTTGTTTGTTGACGATGTTTTGCACGGATTTAGATGCCACGTCAAACTTCTCGGCCGTTAAGGAACAACGCATGCGGCTGATTATTTAGGGAGATTGACGGTTAGTTTGCCTTTGGTGGATATTGTGGCCACTTGCTGCAGTGGCATGATAAGACAGAAAAATTGATTCGATGCACGCCGGTCTGATATGGCGTTCTCCGTGAGCCGTGAGACTCCGAATTAGTTTTGGCTAGTCTCATACATTTGCAACAAGCATATTGGTAGTCCAAAGTGTGATACAAATGGCTCGTGAGCCTGGCTGCGCGACACGAACTTCTTCGTTGTCCAAGTCAGCTCGACATACCGCAGAACGTTGAGAGCTCGCAGCGCATGTCGAAGTTCCTCTTTCGCCATGTAGCTTCCCTTTTCGCCATGTAGTTATCGTTGTCCACCAAGTTCGGGGAAATTTTCCGATATTCACAATGGACCGCAAGGCATTGTCGTCTTGTCCATTCCTTGGCTATTCTGTTCTGTGACACGAGCTCGCGACAACGGCGTCGATGCCAAGCGTAGTCATAACAGAACCAGCATAGTAGACACAGACACAGTGTGGTCGAGAACCGTGGCGCGCAGTCGAGCCAGATTCGCCGCCACCTCCCCGAGAAGAGGGAGAGCCACGAGGAGGCTCACAGGTGCCGATCATAGTGCGTTAGACTAGCCCACACATTCATTAATACTGAACTCGTCAAACACCAAGGATTTCTCCGCCACCTTTGCCAGAGGCTTGCCGCCGATGTAGAGTTTAGGTTTGCGTAAGCAAAAAACTACCTACCCACAGCGGCACATTGCTTTGTCGTATCTCGGCGACTGTTCTCTTTGCTTTTTCTGATGCAGTTGATGGCCGTCGGCCTGTTGTCCAAGTGGTCGATATTTTGAGAAGACACAGTCTCCTCTATGGCGATTAGTTTTACGTTCGTTGCTTTCGTCTCCCAGTGGTTCACGTACACGAAGGCTCCAAATGCTGGTGTGAAACCATCGCATGGCCAGGGAATGGTTAAAGAATCCTTCAACCTCCAAAGGATAGCATGATTTCACCACTATTGCACAGTTGATACCCGATTCGTGTTGTTACTGGTGACGCTGCCGGCTTCCTGTTGTCGAGACCATGCCCATATGTCCACCGTCCCTCTTTAGCCAGCATGCCCAGCGGCCGACGTAGAGCACGACATAAAACGGTCAGTGCATGCATGTGTATGAATGTAAGCCTCGAACAATAAAAAAGCCTGGGGGTCGACGAGTACGCTGATGCGTTACCAGTTGTTTGACGGAAACGACCGCGTTCAGAAGAGGTTCGCAAGTATGGTCCGTTTGCCCATGTCGTCTTTTTGACCTGTGGGCGTAATAGAGACATTTGCGGTATGTGATGCTAGAGTACCAGGGACGAAAAATACATTCGAAGAACGGGTCCGCGGTGCGCAGAGACATTTCGTTGTCCACTTTCGAGCTGCCCATTCTCCAAGTCTAAACCTCAGCGAGACAAACGACGCCGGAACTCAGTTCTGATTCTGACGATAGGAAGGATACTGGTGCCTGGTGTGGTCGTGTGCTGCAGCTCACAAAGATGGCAAACATCGCGCAGTCCACTCTCCGGGTGAGGCCAGTGTTTGTCCCATTGAACAAAGAGCTCGTAGTCCCCTCGAGTCTGTTTTTTGCTCTTTCATCCGCTTGTTTGCTCAATCACGATGCCAGATGCCGGCTGATGTCTTGATCGAAGCGCGCGCAAATGCGTCCCAATTGCTCTGCAGTAAGCCGTACGTGAGATGCTCTGCTCGCAGGACGGCAGGAATCTGTCCGCAGATGACAGTGTGCGTGACGAAATATGCTGGAGCCTTGCCGGGCAGGTGTCCGTCGACGGCCCAAATGTGCCGACCCTTCTCCAACTCGAACGTGGCGCAAACCTCTGGTGCCACATGCGACTTGCATGCAGCGAATTCAAAATGTTTGTTTCCGGCACCAGGGCGTGCCGGTTGGCCACATGTACCCGCCGATTGCATCTCGGGACTGCAACCACGCGCCTGAACAGCCACCATGTGAATTCGGTGATCACTGGCTGGCTTGGCCCGACTCAAAAGCCGCTGCACGTCGTTGTCCTGTGCATTCCAGGAGACGATCCCGGGGATCCTAGTTAATTTCGTTCCGTCACCGTCCTCTCTGCGACCTCCTTCGTCTGCCCATCCGGGGGAGACGCGAGGGGCCCGGGATTTTATTTCATAGAGTCCGTCGGATCTCCGAAAGGAACTGGGATTGGCCGAGAAAGAAGGCATCAATCGCACATGGAATGTCGGAATTGAACCTCCTGTGCGGCGGCATGAAACTTAGCTGGATTATTTCTCAGTACTCTCCTCGAGAATAGCAACTGCTACGGGACGATACGGCTGTAGCAAGGAAGACCATCAGCGAAGAATCCCATGCTCGTCTGCGGCATACATGGCAGTCTGTGGCCGACTCAAGTCGCAAGTTGGATAATATGGCCAACGTCTGGGTCGTGCTATTGCTGGGGCCATTGTCCTCGCCGGTCTTGTGACTACTATTTCTAGCAATGGGTTGAACTTGTCAATAGTCAATAAAGCGTTTTGTCTGCTCCGCTAGAACTTGTAGTGACGTTCTCGTAATTTTGCCAGTGCTCGTCTTGGCGATGTGCATAAGTTCCTCTGCTTCGTACTGTACCTGGTGGTCCTCCAATTCTTTACCCACGTTTGGGCATAAATCTGCTAGGAACCATCCTTTATGTTGATCTCGTGGCTCGGTACCCCAGATGGTGTAATCCTGTTCGATACATGGTTGCCCCTGAACACGATACAGCATTATGGATTCTGTGCCTGTCGTTTGTCCCGTCACAGCAGCTGCCACAGTAGGGCCAACCGCAAAGTGCATGGTATTGGCAACGTCTCTCTTCCCACAAACCCTCTAACGCTAACGGTGATTCCCGACACAGGTCTGTATGGCTGTGTTCAGAATCTCCGATGGCTTTCCGGGTTCAGGCCACTGACGTTTTTCTGGCGTCATACATGCTGTCTTCGTTTTATGCCACTAGACTGCAGACGCATAAGGGCACCCGCCAGTGAGCTTGCATGGCATCCTTATCTGTGACCGATCACGCTGCTGTTGGCGTATGCTGAGCGGCATAAGGTTGTATGCCATTCTTCGGGGAGTAGTGGACATGAGTCCAGGAGCTGGACGGGTTCTTCGAGTGGATAAATACGAGTGGTCACCGACGTTTTATATTGCTTTCATAAAGAGAACGGGACGGACACTTCACATCACCTCCTCTCTCTTCCACCATAAGATAGTGGCTATCGAGCAGTGGTAAAAGGTCGCCACCCAGCAACGATGTGAGTCTGATTGGTCATGCGCCGCTTATTTCAGTTCGAGTGCGTTAGCAATATGCTCTGCCACTCTTGGTATGAGAATCTCTCTAGACAGTGATGAGTTCATGTCAAAACCAACAACGTTTGATACTTCATCAATCACTGATAAGGCGTTCTGGGGTTTCCGTGTTTGTTCCGCATGTCGTAGAAACATGACTAATGTCTCGGCTTGAGACAAAACACACCCTCTATGGTGTTGGAGGCCTGTATGAGGCACGATCCATATTGGCCGTTCTTTGCAATGGCCGTCAGCATTGTAAAATCCGGTGGAGATCTGGAATCGCCAAGTCGTTCAAGATGGTCGAGAACTACTCCGCAACTGGGTAGACTTCCATCGCGATCCTGCCTCTCGGTACATGCCGCGAGGGGCAGACTGGGATGAGTGCACATGCAAGCCGCGTCGTCATTGAAGAAGGATGGTGTCTGTTGTACTCGCTCGGCGAGGATCTAGCAGTTCAATGAAAAAACAGCAGGGCGTGACAGCACGAGCATGTTCCCGTAAGACAGGCTTTTGATCAAGTCGGCACTCGTCTCATGAAGAGTAAAAGGAGCCCGTCCGAACATACATTCAAGAGGGTTCAGTAAAAAGGGCATCTGCCGTTGAATAATATGACGGCGTGAGTTGTTTTTTCTTGTAATGCCTCCAGTACATCCACCTGGACGTCACATGTTGCGTGGTCAGTCAATGTGTAGCTGATTAGATGTCTGCGTTTTGGACTCCATGGGTATGAGCCAGCTGATTGCCGGTCAAAACTACGCGAGTAATGAAAAGATGCGGTTTCATCGACGGGGCTGTTGATTCGCTGGTATTGTCGTGTGACATTTGGCCCACCGTTGGGCATGACAAGGGAGTGAGCAGCCCGGTGGCGCGTCTTGCTGTGGAAACATAACTTGGCTGTGTTAGCTTGATATCTCTCAGATCGGGATGAGAAACAGAAAACCAGAATACTCACTGATGAGCCGATTGGTCGAGAACACAACTCGAAGACTTATTATACGTATTGGTATTCAACCTTGTCGATGGGACATAGTAGTGTTCGAAGGCACCATGTTTATATCAGGTGTTATGCTATTCTTGTGCCATATTTCCAAATGTGTGAAAGCTGTGGAACAACACGGCCCTCCCTAGCAGGTCATTGGACCAGGTCTGCAACAACTGCAGTCACATTCTTCAGAAAAGATGCAAGGGGTTTCAAAACTTCCGATTGAAAAGGACATTGAACGCGATGTCAAAGGGTAGTTTTCTCATCGCGGTATTTTTCTTCTCTTTTCGAGATATTCTTTTACCGGCGCGATTCAGGTGCGACCAGGGTATAACAAGGTCAAATTGACCACGGAGGTGTGTTGACTGTTGATATTCCATCTCTGCGCGCATCCATCCAACGTAGACCATGAATGTCTCATTGCGATATTCACTTTGCCTGGTATCAAATTTGTGTCCGTATCGAGGGTCTTTCTCGTCATGTCTCGTTGCGTGCAGTTAGGATAGAACAAGGGCCACGTTTGCGTGTTGTAGGTCGCAACGTGGAGAACTGTGCGACAACACCGTCATGTCACAATGCAATTGTGTACCGCTGCTACTTGGTGTATTCAAAACCAACCTTTACCATCACCTGTCACTGGATACGCGAACTCAACGTTGTCGTAGTCACAGTCATGGTGGTGGCACAGCTCATTTTCTCTGCACGGCGTTTCTGACGTTGTTTCATGACAACCTCACAGACCACCATCAAGGTTACAGATGTATTTGACGACTTGTATACTTCACCATATGTATAGCGGGACGTTTGATAGAAAGATGTCTCCATAGTTACTTCAGGTCAGGCTGCCCATGACCTTGTAGAGAAGAACATGGTCACAGTGCTCACGTCCGATGACGTTGATGTTGTTCGAAACTCTAGGTCAACCGTTAGTGTCATTGCCAAAGTATAAAGTGTTAAAGATCTTCCAACCGTACCTCATGTAGCACCGGGTCAGTGTACCAATGCTCGTTGCATTATTGCCGATGCTCCAGACCAGTCCGCTCCTCCATAGTTGTTTCTGGAGTTGTTGGGTTCATGACCAGCTCAGGTCAATTAACACACACACAAAAGACATGATAACAGCACCGATGATTTCGTGAAAAGAACCGCCCACCATGCTGCTGAATGCTGATGTTGGAGTGTTGGTTGAGTGAGCATGAAAGAGGAGAGTGAAAGAGAGAGAGAGAGGAGAGAGTTGGGGGCCGAAGAGAGGCGGGGGATGGCAGGTATTTATACTTTTTTGGAGAGAGGTCGCGAGGACTACAGAACCAGGTAGAAGGTCGTGGAAGAGCTGTCTGTTTGCAGGATCGACAGGGCTGGTGACTTCGTCTGATGTGTCTCACAGATCGACGAAGTCATATGGTGTGATTTTGTTTGCTAGTTTTTTTATTTATCGAATTTATGTCACTATTTATTCTGAAATATTTTGGTTTTCAGGGCAGCTTTGAAGTGGTTGTGATATTTCAGTCGACTTTGCAAAGACCACTCCTTGAGAATTGGGTTACCTTCAATATTTTAAACAAATATCAAGCCGTCTTCACTTCCGTATTGACGACCTCATGAAAAGGCAATCAGCGTCAAATCAACAAACAAATTGGTGGCAAAGTGAGTATGAAGATGAGGGACATGAGAGACAGACATGACAACACCCTCCCCTCTCACCTTTGCAAAGCAGACTTCCTTGCTGTAAGCTTATCAAGTCATCAGAAATATATCAAAATGTCATTTGTCTATTATTTTGCAGCGTGTCTATCAATTTATGTTCAAACTTTCACCAACTCCAGCTCGCTATCCAGTTAGTTGACGACCACTTCCTTATCATCTCATTTTCATCAAGAGATCAGAGGCTCGTCACTGAACAGCCAAGACTCTGTCAAATACACATCATGCACTCCTTACAACGACACCAACGCCTTGTCGACCTTGTCCTCGCTCCGCTTCTCACAAGCGATGAACAGAGTCAAGGCGGCCGCCAGCCGGTCCTTGGCCACCGGGTCAGCCTCAATGGCCGCATCCAGCAGCTTGCCGTTGTCGGCCAGGTAGTCGACCTTGGTGACGGTGTCGTAGTCAATGGCGACTTTGGTTGGGTCGGCCGTGTTCAGGGGATCGATGCTCAGCAGGGGCTGCAGACGGGCCGAGGGCGCCTTTCGGTCCTTGTAAAACGGCGTGTCGGCCGCCGGTTTGGGCACACAGGCTGCAGCAGCCACAGCGCCCCCGGGCCGCTCAGCGGCTGTGTAGGGGTGGGCGGCGAGGTCACGGATTGCGGTGTGGAACAGCGTGGCGGAATGGCAGCCCATCTCGCCGGCAGCCATGGCCTCTTCTGGTGAGACAAAGCTGGCGTTCTTGACCAGCGGTTGGCGCTCGCCAGTGGCCGCGTACAGGCGGCGGTACAAGTCCAAAATCTGCACGAGGCGGGCGGCGTTGGGGTGCTCGACGGCCGGGTCGGCGACAGACGGCCAGCAGGAGCGGTCTTCGTGGGCGCGGACATCGTTAAAGTAGGGGCTGATGGACAGGCAGCGGGCCCGGCTCGCGGCCATGGCCTGGGGAACACCAAAGAGGGCGGTGCCGAGCGTCTGGATGCCCTCGGCTTGCAGAATTTTAGCGGCGTTCAAGGCCGGGCCCGTGCAGGGGATCTTGATGCAGAAGCGGTCGCGGGAGATGTTGACCCGAGCAAACTCGGCGTCGTAGAGATGGGCGTGCGCGACGGTGGCGGCGGCATCGTAGGCCTGGGACGGCGACGTCTGGAGGAGGACACGGCCACTGATGTGGTCGACAACCTTCTTACATATGCGAACGGCCATGCGCGTGTAGATGGCGAGCCAAAGGGGGTGGACAGGGGCCTCAGTGGCCGCAGCATACTCGTCGCGGACTTCGCGGGCGGTGTCGCGCAGCAGCTCGACGTTGGACGGATGGCCCATTTGGATGTCGACAAAGTTCTGGTTGCTGGTGAGATCGTGAAACTTGATGGTGGGCTGCATCTCGACGAGGAAGTCGGGGTCCATCCAATCAACGTCGATGTTGACTGGCGGTGTTAGTGATGTTCGTTTCCCGTGGAAGAAAAATCGTAAGGAGGATGCTGAGCTCACTTACGCTCCTGCTCGAGCACGTCGAGCCATGAGACGGAAGCCATGATGTGTGATGTGTGACGAGCGGTGGTGATATGTTTGGTTTGTGAGTTGTGTGGTGGTATCGACAAGGGACGAATGTGACTTGGCCTTTGTGTCTGGGAATGTTCAGATCAACGTTCGCCGTTGGTTTTCAATTGTCAGACAACAGATGAAAGGCACATAGTCCGTCGCCGTGGGCTGTCCATCAACTCAGTCTTAAATGAGCGGCCGTCTGACGCTGGACACCACGAACATGGATGGTTCCTTCGCCCCTTCTTCCCCCCCTCCTTCCCTCCGTCGAGTCGGCGTTGGGGTCGGCTCTGCCATCGTGCGGGGAGAGTGCGAGCGAGGCACCTTCCTCCGCACGTCGCTGTTTTCTCCGCTTCATATCACAGTGGAACTAGGCTTTGGCGCCTGACCACGGGACTGGGCAAAAGACAGATGGCTGCCGAGACCGCATTGAAGCCTAACCGCAATGTGACCACATCCTCCGTCCGGCTCTATCTGATTGCACATTCAGCTATATTTGATGACTCCTATCCGGGCATACAACGGTGTTTCCAACTGTGCCTGCGGCCTTTCCCGCGCATCGCGACCCATTAACGGAATTTCCTAATCGGGCAATCCCAGAGAAGTGTGTCTGACTCCATGTCACGATACACTTGTGGATGCGCACTATGTTCAATAAGTTCGGCGGAGATCGGCACAAAGGTTTAGATTTTGGCGGTCAAGGCAATCGTTGTTTCTGGGAAGGGTCAACTGCATGAACAGCAAGGCTGACAGGCTTTACCAATCATCCATCAAACAAATTCATTTAGACGCCAGTCAGATTTCTTTGTCAGCCAAGCAAACAACTTATCGACACAGGCAAATCAGTGTCATAGTCTGACACGTAAATGTCCGAAGCTGGCAATGCGTGACAGTATGTCACAATGTCACAATGTATGAATTTGTGTTTTCAACGACTATGGATTTTTTACGTTGAATCATGACTTCGGCGGCCGTGCGACGAGGGCATGACCACTTCCATGCAGCGTGACAGTGCCTTCGCCATAGGCCAGCAGAACGGTGTTTCCTTTTGTCAGCAACAGTGTCTAGCCGTCCTTGGTCAGAGTCGAGATTGTCCGGGATCGTCCACTGTTCGCGCATCGCTTTGGTGACCACGAGACGCTGCACCTCCCCACGGCTTCAACCCTTACCGTCCACTGCCGTCAGCGCCGTGTCCCAGTCTACGCGCAGATGCCCGTCTTTGCGTCCGTCCAGATCCAACCCGGTCCTTTACAGCACGATGACGAGCTAAGCGGTTCTTGTCCCCGGAAGGCACGGATTTGCGTTCCGCCGCGATAGAACCGGCTCGGTGGCTGGCTCGCTAGAAGGATGATGAGCATGCTAGAGAGAGGGTGTTAGCTATAGGAGTGTTGAAGTGGTTGTCATAGGGTCTCCAATATGGACTGTCTGTGTTGACGCCAAGATTGGACCTGTGCCGAAACTGTCTACGTCTTCACGGAACCGTAAACGGCGCCATGGGCGCCTCTAAAATACTACACCAACTCTACTCGTACTTCCATGCTCATATCGTACATGCGGTTCCCGTTGATCTTGCGAATAAACAAAAGGAAATGGCTTGTCGATGCTCGAAACAGGGAAGCCTGCAGAGAGAAGACGCTGGCTTACACGCAAAAGAGCTAACACGGCGGACATGCCCAAAACGGCAAGAAGGCTGCACAAGCGGAAGCGCAATACGAATGTACAGAGCGTCTCCTAGAGGCTACGCAAACATAATGACTCTACGCCAGATTGCAACTGAAAGCTGTAAAGCAAACTTGCAAATAAACATTGACATTATCAAAAGCACACGATGCACAGACTTTTCTATTCTTGCATGACGGCGGTGAGCTGCCACAGAAGGTCAGTCGTGACCGAATTTGGGAACTGATTCCGGACTAGCGGCTTTCAAGCCACACCCAGCCACAGGAACTTGGTCTTGCTTTGTTAGGCGTTCTTGTAGCTTCTTGCCGTTTCTGGCAGCAGGCGCATCTTGAAATTACTGCGGCGAAAGTTGGAGTTTTAGGCTGCGAGAGCCCCGCGAACACCAAAATCGCCCCCAAAGCCCAAGCCTGATAAGAAACCCCACTATCGCTAGAAAAAAATGTCAAAAAAGCTTGGAAAGCAGAGGAGGGAAAGGCACGGCGAAGCATAGGACGAACAAGACACAACGAGCAACAGCAACGAACATCTACGAGACAAGAAGCTCACTCAAGATACAACATAGCCCACCGCGTCCCACAGCCATCCCACACACCACCCGCGCAATGCAACAGGTCCAGCAGGTCCCGGCCGGCTTCGACGCCGAGAACGCCGACAACTTTGAAGATGTAAGCGCCGGCGGCCCTGACAAGTAGCAGACAGACACCGGACACAGGACCAAAGTATTGACTCTCACAGATCGAGAAGCAGTTTGCCGTCAAGGCCGTGCAGCACATGGAGACGTACTGGGCGATCCTGGAGCGCGTGCGCGGGTCGACGCTGCGCCTCACAAAACTGGACGACGACATCCTCGAGCACCTCCAGAAAGACTTCCCCGAGTTCGACCCGGCGGCCAGGATTGATGAGGACGAGATGAAGAGCAAGACGGGCAAGGAGCGGTGGCGCAACTTTATGATGGCCTACGAGAAGAAGGTGGACGACTACAACTTTGGCACCATGATGCGCATTGCGCCGAACGTCGAGTATGGCCGGGACGAGGTCATTTTTGGTACGTGGCCCTGGAGAGTGACGCGATCGACACGAACATGGCCTGGTGGGACAAGGACTGCGCACGAAGCGACGACAGTCATGCGGATGACGAAAGAACAACAATGCTGACAAAGACAGTGCCGAGGATGCAGTTCTACGCGGTCGAAATTGCACGAAACCGCAAGGGCCTGAACGACTGGATCTACGAGAAGGCCCAGGCCGAGAAGGCGGCGAAGAAGTAGACTGCGGTGATGGATGGAGAGGGAGAAAAGAAGAGAAAGCGGCCTTTACGGGCGGATACCAACAGCCACGGCTGTCGGACGGAGCCGGCGTTGCTGCTGTATTTTTCTTTTGGACATACAGTTTTGTATTTGAATTAATGAATCGATTTTTCATATCCTCCAAAGCACCGCATGATTCAATGGTGCTCTTTCTACGGAGGTGCTCCGTACATGTGGCCTGTTCTTTCCTCATCCGGGGTTGCGCCTGCGCCGTTGGCTCTTGCCATTGTTCCACCCGCACGGTCGCACCAAAATGGCCAAAATGCACACCAGGAATAACCGCCAAGCCACACAATACTAACCAACTCCCCCTTTCAACAAAAACAACATTCGCAGCAGACAGCCCACAGACAACAGCAAACAAAGGTGACAGCCACCCACACCAAGTGCATCCTCCTTTCGGCGACCCGTTGGATGCAGTGATTAAAAAATGCATCTCTTTGACGAATTGACGCTTTGGGTGGGCGAGTGCTTGCCAGTATATCCGATGGCCATGGCCGCTTCTGTCCATTGCTTTTCTCCCAAAGGAATGTCGAGACGAATGTCCGTCGTGTTATGGCCATCTGGATGATTTATCTCGTTTTTTTTTTCTTCAGCCCCCTTTCATAAGGTACAGTCTTGCCTTCCATGCGATGAGATACTCCCAACCGACTTCCTTATGATGCCCCAACCTGGCAACAACTTCACGATGACAAACGACTCAAGTCGGTTCTCGATTCTGTCGCTTTCGAGCATCGGTGGTGGCAGCACCGGTGGTGTACACAGCAGAAACAGCATCCGCAAAGACAGCATCTCGTATCCGATGCTGGAGCCACCGTCGCGGGCTACCGTGCGGTCTGTCCGTATTCGGGACGTCGACGAGAAACCGCGGATCGTACACGTCGACGCACCACACCGACGACAGCAGCGGGCCCAACATTCGTCGTCTACGAGTCCGTCCAAGACGTGTAGCCCACACTCATCCCATAACAGCCACTCCATCTCATTCCTAGACCTGCCACGGGAACCAATGTCGCCAAGCCTAAAGACGAAGACACAAACGGAAACAAAGGACAAGGACGAATCCGCCAGACTGGCTCATCTTTTTGTAGCCTGCACCCGCCAAGACATCATTGTCGCTCTACTGGCCACCACTGCCTCGGCCGCTGTCGCGGGCGCGAAAACGGCCTACGCCCTTCTCCTCGGCCAGATTTTTCAGGTCATCAGCGACTTCGGCAGCGGCACACGTTCGGCCCACGACACGCTGATACAAGTCGGCAGGTGGTGTCTCGGCCTCACTATTCTTGGCATTGGCATGGCCGTCTGTGCAGCGCTGCTCATGGGACTTTGGATCATCCACGGCGAGACACGGGCTCGCACAGTCCGCCTCCGTCTGTTCAAGTCCCTGCTCTCCAAGGAGATGGCCTGGTTCGACACCCGCGCCGGCGGCATGGCCAGCCTCATGACCGAGCAGTACACGCAGATCCGCGACCTGCAGGCCGCAACGTCGCAGCTTCTGGGCTACATCGTGAGCGATGCCTTTGTGTGCGTCGCCTGCCTGGCCGTCGCTTTTGCCAAGTCGTGGGCCTTGACTCTTGTTCTGCTGGCCACGGTCCCCGTCTCCGTCGTAGTCCTCCAGCTCCTCGGACGCGACCTCAAGCCAGCTGCGGAGCGTCAGCGGGGCTCCCTCAATAACGCCGCCCAGCACGCCTCGGGCGCCTTGTCTGGCATCGACCTCGTGAAGATCTACAATGGCTACGATACAGAGCTGTGGCAGTACGTCGGAGCCATCCGTATGGCCGCTCGTCACTACGCTCGGCAAGCACTGTCTTCAAGTGCACAGATGGGCTACATCAAGGTGTGGATGATCAACCTCTTTGTCATCGGCTTCTGGTTCGGCCTGGCACTGGTCACGCGTGGCAGCACCACGCCTGGCGACGTGCTCACTGCCTTTTATGCCGTCTTGATTGCCTTCCAGTCACTCGAGTCGATCGGCACGCAGTGGGTGACTGTTCTGAAAGGCACTGTGGCCGGTAAGGCGTTGGAGACCATGATTGGCGATGGTGCAGATGCCGACGGCAACTCTTCGCTGCCACCAGGTGACCTGCGCCCCGTTCAACCGCCCCGTGACATTGTTCTTGACAACGTCAGCTTCGCCTACCCATCCAACCCGTCCAGGATGGTTCTCGACGGCTGCAGCATGGCCTTTGCCGCCGGCCAGGTATCGTTTGTCGTCGGACGCAGTGGTTCGGGCAAGAGCACCATTGCCGATTTGCTCGTGCAGTTTTACGCTCCCACGGCCGGCCGCATTCTGATTGACGACGTCCCCGCCGGCCGTCTCGATCGAGACTGGCTGCGCGAGAATGTTGCTCTCATACAACAGGCCAGCACCGTGTTCCAGGGCACGTTTGCCTGGAACGTCGCTCTGGGCGGAGGATCGGCTGCTGCCGCCGCCGCAGCTGCCACTCCCACTGCAACCGACTCAACCATCACGCGCGACGATATCAGGACTGCCTGCGAGACGGCCCTCCTCCAGTCCACCGTGGCCAACCTGCCCCAAGGCTTAGACACAGTCATAGGTGGTCCATCTGGCTCTGCGCTCAGTGGTGGTCAGCGGCAGCGCCTCGCCCTAGCCCGTGCCAAGATCCGCGACCCTGCCGTGCTCGTGCTCGACGAGACCACGAGCGGCCTCGACCCCAAGAGCGCGCAGATGGTTTTGGATGCCGTGCGCACTTGGCGTCACGGCAAGACCACCATTGTAATCACGCACGACATCAGCCAGATTGCACGCGAGGACTATGTGTACGTCATGGACCGTGGTCGTCTTGTCCAAGAAGGCGTGTTTGGGTGGCTACGCACAGAACAGGGCGGCGCCATGCAGACTCTCTTGCAGTCAGCTAGCGGCCATGGCGCCGCAGATGTGTGTCTCAGTCCCGTCACCAAGATCGGCCACGGCCGAGAGGAAGAAGCCGACGACAATGATGAGAATATCATGCCCTCACGACCTATTTCTGTTGAAACAACGGGCCTCTTCCGCCGGGCATCCATCTTTTCGGCGCCATTGGCCTACAACCAACAGCGCCAGTCCATTCTCTTGAATCCTTACCCGAGCTACTACAAGCGAGCGTCCAGACGCTCGGTACAATACCACTCGGCACCTGGGTCGGCGGCCGCGACGCCACGCGCATCTGTCGTCCTTCCGCCCAAGTCTCACCGCCTTGATGACGACGATTACGGCTACTACAACCAGCGGTCCAGCCTCGACGTGCTTTGCGAACGTGGGGCCCAGGCCCAGAGCATGCGCATGGATGAGGCCATCCCCAGCTCGCCCATCAGCCGCATTCGACGCGTTGCCACGGTGGAGGAGCAGCCACGCGGCAGTGATGATGGCGACACAGAGTCTGCGAAAGATGCCACCGACGCACTCCCCTCTCTGCGCACTGTCCTCCTGACCGTCTGGCCATCCCTCGACCGTGCCAGCCGCCTCGATTTCGTCTTTGGATGCGTCGCCTGTCTGATCGTTGCTGCCTGCAACCCAGCCTTTTCTTTCGCCTTTGCCCGCATGCTGCAGGCCTTTTGGGTCCCGGACGGTGTTGACGCACAGGGTGCTGGTCGTCCATGGGCTCTCGTCCTTGTCGGCCTCTCTATTGTCGACGGTGCCGCTGTTTTTGCCGCCTTTTACTTGGCTGAGCGAGTTGGACTCGCCTGGGTCAACCACTTGCGCAGCGAAGCCTTCGCGCGCCTGATGCTCCAGCCTAAAGCCACCTTCCCGGCGCCAGCGCCCGCCGTCGAGTGCCTCGACCGTGGCGGCGAAGAGATGCGAAAGCTCGTCAGTGTGTTCGTGCCCATCCTCCTTATGGCCGCCGGCATGGTCGCCGTGTCGGTGGTCTGGGCGCTGGCGGTCGCCTGGAAGTTGACTCTTGTCGTGCTGGCTGCCGGTCCCGTTGTCGTGCTCGTGGCCACCCAGCTCGCTACGCGTGTCAGCAATTCTTGGGAAGCGCATGCCAACCGCGCCGCCGAACGTGTCAGCGCCGTCTTTTCGCAAGTATTTCCCAATATTCGCGTTGTGCGCGCCTTGACGATCGAAGACTACTTTACCGACGGGCCGCTTCGCGAGGCCACTGCCACCGCCTTTGCCATGGGCATCTCCCGTGCGTGGCGCACCGGTGCCCTCTACGGCCTAAATCAAGCGCTGCCCAACTGGCTTGTCGCCTTGGTCTTTTACTACGGCACCACGCTCCTCTCATCGCCGGCCTCCGTCAACGGTCTGGTGCAAGTCGTCAATCTACTGCTCTTCAGTATCGGCACAGCCGCCGCGCTTCTTGGCAACGTGCCGCAGATGGCTGCGTCCAAAACAGTTGCCGTGCAGATGCTCGAGTTTGCCGCCCTGTCACGCGACGCGGGCCACGAGCACCACGGCGGCGGCATCATCCCGACCTCTCTCTTTCCCATTTGCATGGACCGTCTGGTGTTCAAGTATGGTACCGACCAAACCGGCAGTCGGCCTGGCGACGCCACCGTCTTACGCAATCTGTCCTTGGTCATCCAGCCGGGTGAGCTTGTTGGCATTGTCGGCACATCCGGTGGGGGCAAGAGCACGGTCTTGTCGCTACTGTTGCGGCTGTACGCGGACGAGAGTGAGACACAGAACGCCGGAAGTCAGTTGTCGTTTGGCGGCATTCCGGCCGATCAGATCGACACCTACGCTTTGCGTGCTCGCATGGCCTATGTCCCGCAGCAGCCGTATCTATTTCCTGGGACGCTGCGGCACAACATCACGTACGGTCTGGATGCAGAGCCCGTGACGGAAGAAGAGCGCGCAACCATCTGGCCGATGGCGGCGCGGACGGTCCGCATGGAGCAGGCCGGGCGTGCAGCGGGCATCGATGCGTTTGTGGCGTCACTGCCAGAAGGGTACGACACGGTGGTGGGCAACGCCGCCACGCCACAGACGGGGACTGCCGACAATACCTCCACTGCACCGTCCGCGCTGTCGTCGTTGTCGGGCGGCCAGGCCCAGAGGGTGTGCATTGCCCGCGCCCTGCTCCGTCGCCCGCAGCTGCTCGTCCTCGACGAACCCACTAGTGCCCTGGACGCGTCCTCGGCCGAAGCCGTCCGCCATACGCTGCGGTCTCTGAAGCAAAACAGCCGGCACGCCCGCATGTCCATTGTCGTGGCCACGCACAGCAAGGCCATGATGCAGCTGTGCGACCGGCTGCTGGTCGTGCAGGACGGCGCAGTGGCGGCAAGCGGGTCGTATGCGGCGCTGTTGGCGCAGGGACGTGACGGCGTGTTTGCACGGCTAGTAGGGGAGATTGATGATTAGAATGGCCGTTTTCTACGAATCGAACATCTCTTCGACATGTGTCTTTGTACGTTTTTACATCTAATACTATCTAGCATAATTTTTCCATGATGTCCTATGTTCACATTACCTCCCATGTCCTTTGCTTCAGCCATTCTTTACCGAGCGCTCAAAAGATTGATTTACATTAATTTCTTTGTTATTTAACAAAGATGTTGTTCGTTTATTTTTGTTCTTGTTTCTCTGTTCCTTTTGTCTCGGCCTTTGTTGCTCAAGGGGTATTCCTTGCCTTTTGTTCCATTGTTTGTTTATCCTGGGCTTCTTTATTCACAATTCACAATTTGCGCAGCTTACAACTTGACATGTTGCCGACAATAACAACAAAATCCCAATACAGCATGAACAATCAGGCATTTCATCCAGATGTATATTTATATCGAGTCGTCGCCGGCATTTTTTCAACAAGACCATCATACGACCACCACAACTGTCAACAATTACATTTCCCTTTACAATAACCTACAATCTCTACTACATAACTACCCAAATTCAAACCCACACCAAAGACCACGATGAGCTCTGTTGCTATTCCCAAGTCGCGCCTCGACACGCTTCCCGTCGAAGTGCTGCGTCAGATCTTTGACATGGCGTTCTCCGACACGGTCGATGAGGAGTCGGAGTGGGGCTCGGAATGCAGTGACGAGGACAGCTCCGCTGGTTCGGACATTTCTTCTGTCACCTCGCCCTCTCTCGAGGATTCCGACGTTTTCGTGGACCCCAACGGCTACGAATCGATCGTCAAGGGCATCGCGGACGACCGGCTCAACTCGGATCTGGTCCGCCGTCTGGCCAGCGAGCAGCTGTACCGCAACTTCACGCCTTCCTCGCTGGACGCATTCAACTCGGGCATCCATACCTTCCAGGCCGACCCAGGCATGGGGAACAGTGTGCGCCGGGCCCAGCTATGGGTACTAGCCCAGTACAACCAAACTAACTCTGACAAGATGAACAACGCCAAGGGCGTCGCCGACCATCTGACCACGACCAAAAAGCAGCGCAAGCGCATCAACAAGCTCAAGAAACAGCACGAGGCGCTGCTGCACGTCCTTGACACGATGGAACAAGACATGCCCTCGTCTCGTGAGCGGTCCTATGCCTACGAGAAGCCAGCCTACTGGGCGCGGGTGGCGGTGCAAGTGCAGGACTTTTTGGGTTCGGTGCCGGGGCTGCAAAAGCTGACAATGGCGATGGCGGGCCTGGCCGTGATTCCGATGGAGGAGGATCGCGATAACAACGACGAAAATAGTGGCAACAACAAGAACAAAATTATCCTGCGCCGCCTTCAGTCGCTTGAGATGCACGAGTTTACGCCGGACGAGTACCGCTGCGGCGTGCTGGACACAGACGGCTTGCTGATGCGGTGCGCGCCAAACCTGCGCGAGCTCAGTGTCATGCACATTGGCAACGTGGTGTCGTCCAAGGCTTTGCTCCTTGGCAAGCAGCAGGGCAAGGTCGAAGAGACGGAGGAAGCCCACCTCGAGCGCCTCGAGCAGCTGTACATTGGCCACTCGCCCATGTCGGCCGCCTCGCTCAAGCGTCTGCTGAGCACCGTTGGCCCGCGGCTCGCCACCGTGGACATGGCGCCCGCGCTCCACTCTGCCCGGCCGTCCCACTTGTCTTTCGACAAAGGCGACCGCAACTTTTCGACGTACGACCTGCTCGAGGCGCTCGCGCCCTGGAAGACCACCTCGCTGACGTCGCTCACCATCACCATGGCCTTTGCCGGCCAGCGCGTCGCGCACCTCGGCGCCCCCTGCGAAGAGTATGCGATCCCGCCGCCGCCGGGTCCGTCGGCCATGGCGCTGCTGGCCGGGTTCACGAGCGTGCGGACACTCTGCATCGACTTGGCGCTGCTCGACTGGCGGGGCGCGGGCACCTACGCGGACGCTGGGAGGAACGGTGTCGACACGACAACCGGCGTGGCTGCGTCCCTCGTGGCCCAGCTGCCGCCCAACATCGAGAGCGTCACATTCGACGTTGCCTTGTACCAGAATGATTTTGATGTACCGATGGACACGGCCCTGGGCACGGATCTGCAGGAGGCGTACCAAGCCGCCTGGAAACCACGCCGTGCTGCCCTGGTCCAGGCCCTGGTGGCGGCGACGCGCGATAGCCGGTTCCCCAACCTGACCACGATCAAAACGTATCCGCACGCAGATTGCGTGACGTACAATGTAACAACCACAGCGGACGAGGAAACGGCCACCACGACCCGTACTATCACACTCGAGACGGAGTACACCGACGACATTGTCGCCAACCGCCGGCCCAACGTCTACGACGGTGTCACTGACGAAATGGCCGTGTTTTACGACAACCTCTTACGTCCGGCCAGCCGTCTCGAGAGGTAGGATATGCCGTAGGCAATCGAGAGGTAAGTGCTTTTGTTTATTTCCTTTTTTACCAGTCTTTGAATTTGTTATTTGTTTTTAAAATAAAATGATATGAAAAAAAATTACATTGATTCCGCTAAACGGTAATACGGTAAACTTGAAATGACTTTTCAAAACTAAAACTGGACACTGAAACTGAAAACGAAAATTTAAAATGTAAAATGTAAAATTCAAAAACTAAAACTAAAATCAAAATCAAAATCAAAATCAAAATCAATGTAGACTCCGCATTCTCTTTCCTACATAATAAAAGTAAGCACAATTACAAATGTCGGATCATGTGCTTGAAGCTGTGCTGTAGATCTTGACGCTGCCTTGCTTTGAAGCGCCGTACAGCCCGCGTCTTTAGACTATGACAACGCATGGCCGCTTTTTTGTTTTCTATTTTTCTGCTTTATCCCTTCTTTTACTCGTTCTTTTCGTTCTTTCATTTCTGCTTTTGTTACTGGACATCTCTATTCTCCTCACTGGACGAGTTTCTTCAAGGAAACATTAGAATATAAGTCCATTGTTTCGTTTTCCTTGTTTACTTATATGAACAAAAGGCATCTACTGTCCTTTAATATGAACAATCCCATTCACGTCTCTTCTTTTCGTCTTGTTTGAAAGGAAAATGTGCAACAATGAACAAGGGCGCAGTTGCAGCTACGGGAGCTGTCCTTTGTTTACATACACAATGGCTTGTCTTTGTCCCCTTTTCCTTATTCCCATTGTTTTCTTACCCCTGACCGTTTCTTCAAAGACGCAAAAACTGTCTGCAAAGACACATTTCATTGAACCACCCTCAACGACAAGCATAAATACAAACTGTACTCCACCAGTATTTCGAGTGTATAACCAGAAGTGAAATATTCCCAATTGATATTAACAAACACCACTGCCACGATACTACTATGGCATCAAACACTGTCCCCGCATCGCGCCTCGACACGCTTCCTGTCGAGCTGCTGCACATAATATTCGGCCACGCCTTCAGCAAACACCTTCTTGTGGACTCAACCATGCATTCGATTGGCGTCCATGATGTCTTGCTTGGCCTCCAAGCCGATCCGCTCAACTCAGCGACCGTGCGCCGCGTGGCTCGCGAGTGGCTGCACTCCAGTGTCGACGTACTGATCACGCCACTTGAATTTGAAGTTTGTCAGTCGCCCGACGTCTTGATTGACATTCAGGCGAAATCCGCGAAGCTGCGTGCCGAGCCGGATCTGGCCCTCGCTGCCCGTCGTCTTCGGCTGGTACAAGACTATTACAGCGTTCGCGTCTCGGAACTGTACAGTCGAACACGTCCCGCCCATGTTGAGAACATTGCGGCCTGTATAAAAACGTCAGCCGTGACGCGGGCACGCGTCGACCGAATGGCGGCCGCCTTCGAGGCTCTCGCGCCCCATTTGGCGTACCTGCGCCCATACTCGCTGTACCGGACACCATCCCGGTGGGCCAACACGGCGGTGCAAATACTGGATCTCCTGACTCTGCTGCCGGGCCTTAAGACGCTGCAATGCCATGTGTCAAAGCTGGGCATCATTCCGAGCGAGGCGAGCGACGCGCACGGGGCCGCCGTTCCCAATCTCGCTCGTCTTCGGCACTTGGAAATTGACGAGCCGAGAGACGCCTGGGACACGGGCGCTCTGGATTTGCACGGTGCCCTTGTGCGCGCCGCGCCGTTCCTGGAGACTCTCAGCATCTCAGGGATCAGCTATGCGTATTCGACGGCCCGGACGACCGGCACGGCGGACGCAGACGCAGACGCAGACGCAGACGCAAACACGGCTCCTTGTGCGTCTCCTTCTCTTGCCTATCTGACGTCACTGCACGCTGAGACATGTTCCTTGACGCCCGTCTCCTTGCGCACCCTTTTTGCGGCCATCGGGCCAAGCCTCAAGGATGTGCGCATGGACCTCGGTCGTCAGACGTGCCGGCCGAGCACGACCAATCCTGTGGCGTTCATACAGCACGACGATGATGAATACAGTCCCCGGAGTGATGAGCTCTTCACCATGTACGACCTGCTCACGGCCCTCCAGCCCTGGCAGGCCACCTCCCTCACGAGCCTGGCGGCCGTCAATAGAATCGACGCCCTTTCCCACATCAAATCGGACGAGCCCTACTGGCTGAACTCGGAAGGTGGGTACGACGAGGACCGCGACGTACGCGACCGCCACGGGCCGTCCTCCATGGCCGTGCTGGCCGGCTTTACGGCGCTGCGCCACCTCACCATCAGCATCGACCTGCTTGACTGGCGCACCGCCTTCAACACGCGCGCAAAGGCGACCCGCGAGGTCGCCGACGCGCTGGTGGCGCAGCTGCCGCCCAACCTCGAGACCCTCACTATTGTCCCCGCCAAGGGTGAGCTCTCGTGGATGGATGAGTACAGTCCCGGCCGCACCGAGACCGACCCCGACGACGACAGCATTGTGGCCTGCTGCGGCTGGTGGCCCCGTCGCCAGGCGCTGGCCAAGGCGCTGATGGCGGCAACGCGCGCCGGGCGATTTCCGCGGCTGACGCGCATCCGGCTCCAGCCGGACGAGAAGTGGGAGGCAACGTACGACGTTGTCCGAAAGGAAGAGGGAGATGGAGTCGAGGGAGCCAATACCACGCGCACAATCACGCTGGCGGCCCTCTGCGCCGACCAGCTTGTGCTCTTGACCGACGACCACACGTCATCCATTAGATTTCCCAAGAGAAAGTAGGAGGTGGTGGACTCGACAGCCTATATTCCTGGGGTATTATGGTTAGTTGCTCTACTTTGTTTTTGTTTTTGTTTTGTCACTGCGTGATTTACAATTTAAACCGTTAGATTTTTGTATCTACTATTAACATTATGAATTTGCCATGGTTTTGTTTAGTCAATATTTTTGAAGAACACAAGGGAAATTATACCTTAAGTTACGCTAGTTTGTTTAATTTTTATTTGTGTTTCGGCACTGTTTTGTTTAAAATTAAGTAAAAAGGAGGCAGTACTATACACTCTATTTCGTTTTTAAGTTTTTACTAAAGTTAATAATTTTACAGTCGTCTTTAACAGTCCATGTTTTTATAGCCAAAATAGTGGAATCATTGCAGTTCGTTACTCTATTTTATTTTAATTTTAAATTTATCACTGTTTTGCTGTTTCATAGTTCAAATTGTTGAATTTTTTATCAATTTTTTTATGTTTTCATTTTTAAAAAGGTGATGTTAGTAAACGATAAAACAAAAACAGAAAGCTTTTTTTTTTGTCGAAACAAAATTGAATAAACTGGAAAAAAGGAAATACTTACCTTGACTCACCTTGTTCACTTCCTCGACTTACCTTTGTTGCTCTGGACGCGGCATCACTCAAGGCCCCAGCCCTCACAAGACGTAGGAGTGAAGCACAATGCCGCTTTTCCACCGCAAAACAGTCGTCTGGTCGGCCGGATCCAGGGCGAGCACCTGCGTCGCAAAGCGGCCGAACATGTTGACGGTGTGGGGCGTCGGGGCCGGGTCGCTGTCGTTGGGAGCCGTGGCCGCGGCCGGGTACGCGACCATTTCGTTTTCGATTGTGTCGTAGGCGTGCGGAATGGAAATGGAGGCGAGCTGGGGCAGATGGGGCGTGTTGTTGTTGTTGCTTCCGCCGCCGTCGCCTCCACCATTTCCCCGCGTCGCCGCCATCAGAGCCTGCATCAAGGCCTGGCGACGGGGCCACCAGCCCGGGCAGACGAGCGACATGTCGTCGTTGTCGCTGTTCTCGTGCTCAAAGAGGAGCACGTCGAGCATAAAGTCGTCCTCGCGCAGAGCGGGCATCACGGTGAGGGCAATGAGGTTGGGGGGCAGCTGGGCCACGAGGGCGCCGGCGACGGCGCGCGTGGCAGCAAAGTCGACGATGCCGACGTCGACGGTGCGCCAGTCGAGCACGTCGATGCTCACAACCAGGTGCGTGAGCGCGGAAAACGCGGGCAGCAAGTCCATGACCGACGGCCCGAGGCGGTTGATGGCGCTGGCGTCCTCGTGGACTTCGTGCGGGTCCACGTGACCGGCCGCCATGGCCGCCACCGCCGCCGGCGCCATGAATTGCACAGCCGGAAAGTTCTTGCGCTGGAGGTCCAGGGTGCGGAGCGAGGTCGTGGCCCCGCGCGAGACAAGCGCGTCCAAGAGGTCGTAGGTCGTAAACATGCGGCGTCGCTGGGCGTCGTCCTCGTCCCGCGAGGGTCGGCAGGTCCACCGCAGGAGCTCGACCGTCAGGCTGCTCATTTGCGGGCCAATGAGGTCGAGAATCTTGTGGAGCCCGGCCGCAGGGATGTAGCAACCGACGAGGTCAAGCCAGCGGAGGCTCTGCATGCGCGCAGCCTGAGAAGACGAGGCAGGCGCCAGCGTCGACGAGACCACGTCGCAGAAGCCTTGCAGCCGCAGCATCGAGAGTCCGGGGCAGCCTCGCAGCAGAGCGCCGTTTGTGTCCAGCACGGCGGTGTTGGCGGCGGCCGGGTCGGTGTGCGGCTCGTACAGTTCCAGGCGACGGAGTCGGCCCAGAAAGAGCGGCGAGCCGGCGTCGGCGCTGGCAGCCAGCGCCTGGCCGAGTCCTGGAATCGTTGCCACCAGCCGGGTCAGGCCGGGCGTCGTATGCAGCAGGCCCAGGATGCCGGCCGCCACAATGTCGCCGTCGCTGGTGCTGGCGCTGGAACTGGATGCGTCGTTATTGTCGTCACCGCCCTCGCTGCCCTCGTTACCGTCACTCATCTCGTCGAATGCGTCCGGCAGCTCGTCAATCATCGCGTCGAAAGCGTCCGGCAGCTCGCCAAATATCTCCTCCAATGCGCCTGGCAGCTCGTCAGTCATCTCGTCGAATGCGCCCAGCAGCTCGTCGCTCATCTCGTCAATTGCGTCCGGCAGCGGGTTGCGGCGGAGATGCAGCAGGCGCACGCTCCCGCCGTGTTGCCACGAGTTCTGCAGGTGGTTAGTCATGTTAGTCAGTGCATCCACGGCCGTCTTGGGCGTCTGGGAGAGCATGAGGGATATAATACGGTGTTGCTGCTCCACAGCCATGGCGCGGACAGTCGGCGAGCTTTCTTCATCTTGGGCCAGCTTCACGAGGTTGGCGTAGTCGCGGTCGATGGGGTAGCAGTCGTTCACATCAAACTCCAAGTCATCGTCGCCGCCGGCAAAGGCGTAGTCAAAAACTTCCCGAAGGAGCTCGAGAGGGAGCGTGTCCAGGCGGGACATGGGAGGAGCCGGCGGAGCCATCTCTTACGATGGCGATGCTGGAGATGATGTGGTGGGTGATATTGGCGATATTGGTGATATTGGTGATATTGGTGATATTTTTTGTGTTTGTGGTAGTTGTCCAGACATCAGAGGAAATGTGACGGCATCCTGTCTGAAGTTATATATGCGTCTCGATTCATGTTGAACATTGTGTATTGTGCGGCAGCTGCCCATGTCGTCGTCAACCGGCGTCGTCTCGTTCATGACGTTCCGTGCTGTTGTTCAATGAACTTCATCTGTGCGCCGGCAGACAAACAGGTCAAGATAACAGTTCACCTGTAAATGGTCAAGTCGACTCCATCTGTTTATTTTTTGTTCTTATTGTGCGTGCTTCTTTGTGTGTGAATGGCATTTTATTTGTTCACTGTTGGATGCAATGAAGGCACATTTTCTTTGTTGTCATGAAGCCTTGTTTCTTCTCACATTTTGTTCTTGTACAACGTCACGTTTACCACATATGAGGGACGAGTTGCTCTGTAAAGCTGTTCTGACAGTTCTTCTGACAAGTTCTTCTGACAAGTTCTCCGAACAAGTTGCTCTTCTCGAAACTCCGTATGAATGACACGTCTGATCTCTTTTGCATGTCCACGCCGACGTCTACCCCGACAACGACCAGGACGACAACGATAAGACCAGCAGACGTCGAGTCCTTCAAGGTTGCCCAGGCCCGCATCAGCCCTGCTGAGTGGCAATTGTTCATGGATACAATAGCAAGTTCCTGTCTTTCATTTGCAAACAATGTACAATGTATTTCCAAAACGCAACAAACGTGACGCTGTGACCCAAACAAAGAATCATGTTCACGTAGTCCAATTAGCCAATCAGAGGCCGCTCGCCACTTACACTTTAGCGGCATGGGGCCGTTCCGATCTTAGCCCGTCTCTTCGTCCCCTCTTCGGCGAACAACATAACGTAACATCGACATACGCGTACAACCCTTGACGACAATTGCCCCTTGGCACCCGCCCGTCACCCCGCCTCCGCCATGCCGCATCTCATCTTCGGCGCCGGCAGCATCGGCACCACCGCGACGTCCTTTACTTACACCTGGGACACACCCGCTAAAGTCGCTGCTTTACTGACAGAACTGCGCCGTCTGGGCCTGTGCACACTCGACTCGGCCGCCAGCTACCCCCCCGGCAATGCCTGGAACACAGAGACCCTGCTGGGGCAGGCGGCCTGCCTGTCGGGAGACTCGTTTCGTCTGATGCCATTTATAATTGACACAAAAGTGCTCGTCCGTGCCGGCGAACCTTTCTTGTCCGACGCCCTCGTCGACGCCAGCATCAGCCACTCACTCGCCCTCCTGCGCGTTTCCCGCGTCCGCACGCTCTACGCCCACGCCAACGACGGCATCACGCCGCTGGCCGGCCAGGCGGCCGCCCTCGATCGCCAGGTCCGTCTGGGACGCTGCGCCCAGTACGGCCTTAGCAACTATGCGCCGGCCGATGTGGCCTCGTTCTTTGACATTTGTGAGGAGCACAAGTACATCAAGCCGGCCGTCGTCCAGGGCATGTACAATGCCTTGCGCCGCGAGGCCGAGGACGAGCTGCTGCCGCTGCTGCGCCGCCACGGCTGTGCCTTTTATGCATACAGCCCGCTGGCCGGCGGGTTCCTAACGGGCAAGGTGACAGCGGCAAAAGACAGACAGGATGGAGCGGGTCGTCGAGGAGAAGGGCCGCCAGGCGAGCTCCTGCGCACACGGTGGCATGGCGCCAGTGCGTTCCCGCCGTACCTCAAAATTTACGACACCCCGGCCATGCATGCGGCCGTACGTCGACTGCAGGCCGTCTGCGCCGCCGCCGACCCGCCCATGACCACGCAAGAGGCGGCCATGCGTTGGCTGCTGCACCACTCGGCACTGACCGACACGGACGACGGCGTCATCTTCGGCGCCAAAACCGTCGAGCAGATCCGGACGAATGTCGCCGAGATGCGGCGAGGGCCGCTGCCCGAGGCGGTGCGCGAGGTCGTCGACGGGCTGTGGGCCACCACGCGAAAGCCGAAGACGGCGGCAAAGAACAGTAAAGCGAGTCTGTAAAAAATTGGTTTCCATTGGCAACAAACTGTTCATGAACAAATACAAGGAAATGCTTCGCATAACGAGCTGTCATCGTAAAAGTGATCACGTGCACCCGCGTTGGTGCCTGGAGAAGGAACGGTGGCTTGGGCCCACTTTTGTGCCGCGCATCGCGCCTGCCCAAGTTCCCCAAAACGGCCGTGAACTAATTGCCTTGCCGTGAACAGCCTCACTTGTTTCTCTCGCTCCAAATACAACCGCCACATTATTGCTTCGTACACCACACCAGAGGCTCGTCGAAGCCTCCTCCAGTGCCGCCCGCCATGTGGCTGCTCGAGAATGCCGGCAACGCCTTTCAAGGTAATTAGCTTCTTACACGCATTTCCTCTCACGACTGCTAACAGCCAACAACAGGCCGACGGCTGTGGCTGCGCCCGGGCAAGCGCTACATCTTTGGCCGGACCCGAGCTGAACGTGAGTATCTGTCTTCCCCTGCCCGTCATCTTGCCCTACTTCCTGCCAGTCGTCTCGTCGTCCTAACATCCCCAGCCGGTCAGCTCGTCATCTCCGACAAGACCATCTCCCGCAAGCACTTGACCATCGAGATCGGCCCCGTCGGCGACAACGATGGCAGCAACGTCGATGCCCGCTCGACCGTCACTGTCGAGGATCTCGCCACCAAAATCGGCACCGTCATCAACGGCACGACACAAATCCGCGGCACCAGGCATGTGTTGACGGGCGACCGCACCACCATCAAAATGGGCCACATGGCCGACCTCTTCAGCATCTCGTGGCAGCCCGTCGTCTTCTCGTTTTCCTTTACGTCCAAAGAGCTGCGCGCCACCGCCCCCGACGACCCCCAGAACCCCTGGACCCGCCTGCACCGTGACTTGGGGCCCCTGGATATCAAGTTTGTGGCCGAGTTCCGCGCCGGCCAGACCACGCACGTCGTGGCCAAGAAGCGCAACACCTCGCGCGGTCTGCAGGCACTGGTCAGTGGCGCCTACATTGTCAGCGACTCCTTTCTGGATGCCGTCGTGGCCGCCGCCGCCGCCGCCGACGGCGCCCTCGAAAGCGACTGGGACGCCGCCTGGCCCAGCGCCCTCGACCACCTGCCGCCCCGCGGGGACGAGCCCAGCAACCGCCCCAGCAGCACTTATGCCCCAGACCCGCGGCGGGCCAACATCTTCGAGGGCTACACGTTTGTCTTTTACGACCAGAAACAGTACGACAACCTGCTGCCGCCCATCAGCAGCGGCCGCGGCAAGGCCTTGCTGCCCGCCGGCGCCGACGCCGTCGTGCCCAACCACACCCAGGTCGACGATTTTGTGCGCTTTGTCAAGGGCGTCGCCGGCGAACCGGGCATGGGCGAGTTTGAGGACGGCAGCGCCGGCCGCGGCGTTGTGGTGGTGCGCTACGTCCCCGCCAAGGGCGACCATGTGGCCTGGTTCACGCGGTTTACCACGGCCGTGGCCCTGCGCCTGGACCACCGCCTGATTGACCAGCGCGAGTTTCTGGATGCCATTCTCGCCGTCGAGCCGAGCATGCTGCGGCGGCCGCTCGAGGTGGAAGAGGCGGCGGCCGCCATGGACGTCGACGTCGACGTCGACGCCGCTGTCGACGTGGACGCCGATGCCAACGTGGACGGTCCGCAACGCCCGCCGCCGCCGAGCATGAGCATGTCCCAGGCGTCGACGGCCACACGGCGTGCGCGCGGTCGGCGCGGCGTGACGACGAGCCGCTTCAAGGGCTTCGATGCCGACTTGGAGTCGTCCGACATCGAGCACGATCCGGGCACCAACGCGCTGGCGGCGCTGGACGCCAACGTCAAGCCATCCCAGTCACAGGCTTACAAAGAGGACGACAACATGTTCGTCTCACAACCAGATCCCACTATCGACGCGCAGCGTGAACTGCCAACACGGCGAAGCAAGCGCGGCGCAGCCGCTGCCCACGCTGCTGCTGGGGCAGACGACGATGACAACGACGACGTCATGGACGACATTGCACCCACGGCGGCGGCCGTCAAGCGCCGGCGTATCGAGGCCGGGCACGAGCCGGTACCGAGGGTGGAAGACAGCGACAAGGATGCCGACGACGACGATGCTGACCCAGCGGTGGCGAAAAAGGCAGTTGCCATCAAACAGGACATGACCGAGGCCGACATCCTGAACCAGGCCCGTCGCAACCGTGAGGCGGCAGAACAAAAACTGGCCGCCGAGCGCGCCCGTCTCGCCGAACTGCCCGACGACGGTCTGGATGCAGAAGCCATCCGCAAGCTGACGCTCGTGGAGACCATCGAGGTCCGAATGCCGGCCAAGGCGGAAAAGGCGGACAAGGCGGACAAGATTGGCGCAGCCGTCGACCGTCGTACGGCCGACGGCCGATGGGACCCCGCGTGGAACGGCCGGCGTAACTTTAAAAAGTTCCGCCGCCAAGGGGATGTGGTCGGCCGGCCGCCGCCGCGCGTCATTGTCGGGCTGGAACCGGCCAAGACGAAAGAGTACGGCATCGGCGACGGGTACTGGCTCGAAGGCGGCGACGATCGTCCAGAGCACCGCCAGAACAGTGCCAAGGCGGCACGAAACGGACGGCACGGCACACCAGGAGTGGACACGAGTGCTCTGCTGACGCCGGCCGACGTCTTGCCTGTCCGGGACACACGATCCGCCGCGTCACGCTCCAACCGCAGCACAAGCATGGATGCCGATGCAGCGTCTGCCGACGCGGCGTCCGTCGACATGGAGGTTGTTCCGAACACTGACCCAGAAGACGACGGTAACCGCGACGATGATGACGACGAACTTGCCGCGCCAGTCGCGGCACCACCACAAAAAGCCACAACAGCAGCAACAACAACAATGCGTCCCACACGTCAGAGCCATCGGCAACAGCAACATCACCCCAGCCTAGACAACGACGCACCAGCATCCATCATGTCGTCGACCACATCGCCACCTCCATCAGCCGACCTGCCGCGGACACGCGCAGGAAAAGTCGGTGTCCGGACGGCCGTGGCACGCCAGACCCAAGCCGCCTCACAAGCCAGGACAACCGCGACGACACCGTCGGGTGGCGGCACCGCATCCATTACCGACCCGCTGTCCATGACGTCGTCGTCCATGGTCGTGTTTGACACGCCGCCACCGTCGACGCAAGCAAGCAGCAGCCACTCAGCCGCCGCTGCCGCCGCCGTTGCAGACACAAGAGCCGGTCGGGGTGCCAAGCGACCGACGGCGGGCGCTGCGGCGGCGCCACCACCGGCAGCCAAACGGCCACGGCGAGGCGCGGCGGGCAACAACACGGCCACGTCCCACTCGTCGGGCACAGCCGCGTCCGGGTCGGCGTCGGCTGCCATTGCGATCCACGACGGCGACAGCGATGAAGACGACGGGCTCAAGTTTAAATTCAGGAGCCGGCGGTAGCAGCTCGCGTTGGTCGAGGAAAACATGAACAAAACAAATGTACAGTAATGTACGGGAAATGTACGGAGTAGAACGGCATGAGTTAACCTTGTTTCTATTCTATCGGTGGGGTATCTAGAGCGTAATATACATCTACGTCGTACTGTACACTGTACACTGTACACGTCCTCCACGGTCCTCTTAATCCATCTCCTCCATGGGACTCGTCGTCGCCGCGTGCTCCTCCACCATCACGCCGATGCGGCACGCCGACAGCATGTTGTCGTAGTTGACCCACGAGTGGATGTCGTTGAACAGCTGGTTGCCGTCCTTGCCCGCGCACCGCAGCAGCTCGCCCGCGCCGCCCGGGTGGAACGGCAGGTACGGCGAAATGTTGTACACCATGCCGCCCAGCGCCGTCCACGCGTCCCGGCCCTTGCGCCCGTTCATCTGCTTGAGCTGGCTGGGCGTCACCCGCAGCAGGTACGGCGCGTCGGCGGGCAGGCTGCCGCGCAGGCGGTTGCCGACGGGGTCTGCGGCGACGCGGGCCCAGTCGAGGGGGCTGTGGCCGGGCGCCAAGACGACCTTGCGGGAGGGTTTTTTGGGTTTGGTGGTGCTGGACGGCGGGGGCGCCAGCGACGAGGTGGAGGAGAAGGAGGAGGACGCTGTGGCAGGTGCCCGAAGCGACGACGCCGGGGGGCCACGGTTGGGTATCGGGAGGTTGGCCGGGCGGCGGACTACATTGACAGGCGCCAGAGCAGCAGCGCCGCGGCTGACGGCCGGCCGGGGCGGGGGTGCCATGAGGCCCAAGCTTGAGGGAGTGGACGCAGTCGAGGCTGGAGGCGCCGCCGTCGCCTTCGCCAGCCTAGAAGGATCGGCAGATGCGCCGGCGCGCTGGGCCGAATAGGGTGACGGGAACATGGGCGGCGGCATGTTGTCCGAGTCGTCGTTGTCGTCTTCTTCTTCGTCATCGTCGTCTCCTGACAGAGAAAATGTCGGGATCGCGCTGCCGTTCTGTACGATCGCGGGGACTGCCTTGGGCGTTGTCGCCTCCTCCTCTTCGTCTTCCTCGTCCTGCTTGCCAGGCGTTCGTATTGTTGGCGGCGGCGGTGGCGGTGGAGGCATGGACACGCTGTCATGATCTTTCTGCGTCTTGGACGAGGCCACGGACGAGACCGTTGTCTCTCGGCCGTCCTGTGTCACGGCCTTTTCCTGATTGGCCATGTCCGTTGCGAACGACGACACAGACGCCGGCGCCTCGTCGGCAGCATCGGACTGCAGCCATTGCATGAGCGGTTGCGCCAAGGCACGCCATGTCGATGGGTACATGACGAAGAAAGCAAGCGATGCAACAATGAGGGTGATGCCGATGACGCCCATTGTCTGCGTAGGGTGGCGTGTAGATGTGTCGTGGGTTGGTCGTGGAGAACAAAGCCAAATGAGAAGCTGCGGCGTGAAGCAAAAAGGGCATGGAATGTGGCGACTGAACGGCATGTGGTAGCGGCAAGATTTAGCGGCTCTAGCAGGTGTAATGGTGCATCGCGGGCCCTGTAACAAAAGTTTTGGGGGCTTGCCCCTCGCTAAAATGCCACTGAGTCAGTTACGGATGCCTGTCGGTTAAAATTAAAACGCCATGTTGATCCGCTAGCAGCGCGTATTTCAGTTTTTCACGGCATCATTCGTCATGTAAGTTGAGACTAGAGTCCCCGACGTAAAATAGTCAACTTGTTCAATTTTGCATCGGTCAGACGATTGTATTGTATTCAAGTACACCGAAAATTAAAAAAGAAAACATTACTAAAAGACAAAGAAAAGTGTAAAAAAACTTAGGGGGGTATCTGTTCGAGGCGTGTTGTTTTTGCGTTCTGCAGGTGTTGTGGGAGGCATCCGTTGATGCAAGAAAGGGGCTGAAAGAATCGCTCCAATATACAAGATATACATACCCGTGTGGGTGGTCTGTATATGATCCCACATACCAAAAATAGTAAACAATAAAAAGAAACGACACGGATGGACCATGCGAGGAGCCTGGCCTGGTTCAAGAAGGCACGTCGGCAAGCAAAAGACAGAAAGACAAGCAAGACAAAGAGCCGGAATGACAACAGATGGGATACAAAGACAGAGGACAGAAGACAAAGGACAAAAGGTTGATATTAAAGACCAGAAATCGAGCCAAACAAGGTCAAGAACAAAATAAAAGGTGCTGCTCGTGTTTTTCATAAGTTCGTTCATCTCCCAAGCCAGAGACGCAAATGCAATACAGACGCAAAAAGCATAGCAAAACAGAAAAGGGGCAAGGCACGGCTCTTGTGTCGCATATATACAGTGTGGGTGTAAACAGGGAGCGTCTCGGTCTGTCATTTGTCATTGTCATTGTCGCTGTCGTGTTGGTGTTTGTGTCATGTCTCATGTGCTGTGCTGTGTGACCAGGGACCTCCTCTCTTGTGGGTTGTCGGGTCGTCAAATATGGATGTTGGGCGATGCAGATGGAGTTAAAGAAGCGAAGTGAAAGAATATAAGAAGAAAAAAGAAAATCTAGCAGATGTGCCCCGATCCTGTTGTTGTTGGATAATTTGGTTTTCATTTTGGGCCCCGGTTGCGCCGTTCCGTTGTCCCCCAGTCTAAAACGAAAGAAGAAATGGTTGAGTGGTGATTTGTGTGTTGATGTTGCCGTTCGTTCGTGTTTGGTGGTAGTACAGACATAGGAAATTGTAAGGTTGGTTTTGTGTGAAAAGAGTGACGTGTGACGACGAAATGTCCGCCGGTGTGGGCATTCGTTTTTTATTTTATTTTCGACTATGTTGCGATTGCAGTCACAGCGGCCGGTGGCGTCGGTGTCGGTGTCGACGGAACCTCCAGAGAAGCAGCGTCCCCTTGTATCAGGGCTGCAGCTGGACGGGGGCTTGTGAGCACCGGCGCTGTGTTGTCAACGGCGGCGGCAGCTGGCGGTTGTTTGGAGGGCGTGCTCGGTACAGCATCGGCCTGGCTGGCTTCCGATAGGGGCACAGCGGGCGCACTGGCGCCACCGTCGAGCAAAGAGCTGTCGATGCCAATCGGGGCCTCCGGTTTGGGCTCGTTCTTCGCTTCGTCAACACCGCTGTCCGTGTCGAAGCGAACTGTCCGTACATTGTGACTAATGGGGCTAAACGCCTCGTCGCGGCTGGTAGGTTCGGTGTCAGCGGTGGAGGGTGAACCTGCAGATGCAGAGGAGATGGCCGGCGTGTTGGTCGTCGTCTTCTGCGTCGTGTCGACCGGGTCGGAGACCACAGCGCCGGTGTTGTCTGCCGTCGTGGCAGCGTCCGCTTTGGTACCTGCAACTGACGTGCTGCGCTCGTCGTTGAAATGCTCGTTGTCAAGTTCGTTGAGGACGTCGCCGTGGTCGTCGTGGTCGTCGTGGCCATCGTGGGCGTCATGGCCGTCCTCCAGCAGGCGTTCGCTCTCCTTGAGCAGCCGCTCGCTGTGCGCGCTCGGGTCCAGGTGTGCGCTGCTGTTGTCGCGCTCCTCCACCTCGTCGGCCGCCAGCACACGCCCGCCCAGCTGCACCTCGCTCACGCGCACCTGGAACGTCAGCGCCTTTTGGCCTTCCTGGATCAGCGCCTCCGTCCAGTTCATGCACCGCTTGATGCTCTGGTTGATCTTCTGGCTGTCCACCAGCAGCTGGCGGTGCTGCGCCATGTCGAGCTGCAGGCGCCGCTCGTCGCGTCGGCGGCGGGTGTCCCCGCCCGAGTAAGACGACGACGAGGCGTCGTCTTCGTTGTCGTCGTTTTCATCGTCTTCGTTCAGCGACGCGTCCATGTCCGACCCGTACTCTTCGTCAAACTCGTCGAGGAACGAGTCGTCCTCCAGCAGCTGGTCCATGTCTTGCATGGGGCCTTCGACCGTGGACGACGACGTGACACGGCTGCCGCCACCGGCACCCATACCCATGGGCCCCGTGGACGGCGCCAGGGACAGACGACCCGACCGCGACAGGCGGCGGAACTGCCGCAGCTCGTTCTTTTGCTTGCGCAGCTGGCGCTCGAGCGAGCGGTTGATGGCCTCGAGCGACGCGTTGGTGATCTCCAAGTCTTGGACTTTGCGCTCGCGCCGCGCCGTGAGGACGAGTTCGTCGACCTGGCGGTGGGTGTGGCCGCCGGCGCCGGAGCCACCCGATGCGGACACATTGGTGCTGCTGCGGCGGCTGTCTTTGCCCGTGTTACTGTCGCCCAGCTCGCCGTGTTCTTCGTCGCCGGTCGTGCCGTCGTGGTGGTCAGCCTCACTGCCGTCGGCACCGTCTTCGGCCAGATCGTCGGCGGCTTGCAGAATGGCGGCGAGGCCGCTGCTCGCGGCAACATTCGGGCTGGAAGTACCGCCAGGACCCAATACGCTTGGGAAGGGGTAGGCAGGGAATTGGCCCGAGGCCGGTGACGGCGCCTCCGAGCTCGGCTGGGAGGAGTGCAACAGACGCGCAACCGTCGGCGGGTCCGCCATGGTCAGACTGCCGTTACGGGAGTGGCCACCAGCACTGTTGTCGGAGCCAATGCTGCCGATGCTGGCGCTAAAGTTGCTCCGCGGACGAGACAGCACGTCCAGGCGGGCGCTGCCGGGCGACACGGGGCCAGGCGAGGCAACGAGGGGTGCCGTGCCGGCTGTAGTTGCGGTACCATTCAGAGACAGGTTTCCTGGAACAGACGGGCGGTGGTTGGCGTTGGCGTTGATGTTGGCGTTGCTGGTGTTGTTGGTGCTGCCGTCGACAGAGGATGAGGCGGACGACGTTGGTGCCACGACGGGGAACGACAAGCTTTTTTGCAAGGGATAAGGCGATGCAGCCGCCATCTTGACGGGCGACATGGGCCGCGCTGAAGCGCCAGTCGCGCCAGGTGCAGCAGCGGTAGATGTTGGCTGCGCCGTGGCGGGTGTCGCGGGGGCCCGCCGTGTGGACGACGAAGACGACAGCTTCCGCTCGAGAGCGTCGCCATTGGCGTGGATAAACTTGGACGCGGATACGCCCGGCGTGGAGAGGGCAGGCGAAGCCATGGGCGGCGGGACGTGCGCAGGCAAAGCCGACGTCGAGGCGGATGTCGAGGATGGTGGGTGGGCGTTGGTCGGCGGCAGCGACTTGCCGTTGGCATAGAAGAAGGTCGACGCAGGGCGTGCAGACGCGTTGGCGGCGAGGCTGGGCGTGCTGTGTGAAGCAGAAGCAGAAGCCGAGGGGGCCGCTGAGACGGAGGACTTGGCGTCGCTGGCGTAGAAGAACTTGGAGTCCGGGTCGGCGGCCGACGAGGCGTTGTGGCCGGCGCCCCCGACACCAATACCCAATCCATAGCCGTGACCGTTGGGCGTGCCATTCGGCGTGGTGCTGCCACCGTCGACCCGACTCTGGCGTGCGCCCGACCGCGGCGTCACATTGTTGAGATGGGACGGTGATGATGCGTCGTTGTTTCCGCTGTAGAAGTGGCTGCTGTTGCTGCTAGCAGAGGACAAGCCGGTCACGCGTCGGGCAAGTGGCGTGGACACGGTGACGGTCTGGTAGGGCGAGGAGGCGGAGTGGGCGTTGGGGGTGTTTGAGCTGTTGGAGCTGAGGGTGGGCGTTCTTGTGGACGACGATGTCGAGGAGGCAGCGATCTTGGGCGTCAGCGGAGCCCGAGTGAACGGCCGCGAGGCCAGCGTGGGCTTGCGCGGCGTGTCTTTGTCGTAGCCCATGGCGACAGAGGGAGAAGACGATGGTGTGGATGCCGACGAGAAGGACGACAGGGCCGAGAGCGTGGAGAGCGTCGACCGAGGTGCAGGAGACGGAAGAGGCGGCTTTAGGAATCGAGGCGTGGCCGGTCCCTGGGACAGCGCGGCATTGCGGTCACGGGCGCGGAGAGCGAGACGCGGCGTGGCGCTAGTGGCAGGCGGCCGATTGGAGGGGCAGTTGGCGAGCCGCGAGGATGCCCTGGTGTGAGGAGATGCGGTTGCCGTCGAGGCGACGGACGAGGAGGCTGCTGAAGAGGCCGAAGAAACAGCCGAAACTGTCGAGGACGCTCGTTTCGCGTCGATGCCTATTGTCGAGGCTGGACGGCGCGGTCGTGCAGGCGGTGGCAACGGCACACGCGGCGACGCATTGGTGTGCAGTGGTCGGAATGCGGCAGGTGTCTTTGTCGCTGTTCGTGTTGCTGGCGTTTTCGCTGTCGCTGTTGTTGTTGATTTTGCCGTCGTCGCGATGGACAGTCTGGACGGTGTTCGTGGCGGGTGATGTTGTGTGGTGGTGTTGGTCCGGCGCATAGTGGCTGCGCGGGCGTTATTTTGGTGCTCTTCTAGCGAGTTTTGGCGCCCATTGGCGTCTTTTTGGCGTGTTTTGGTGGTACGAATTTAGTAATGACTTTTGGTGCGACTTATGGTGGACTTTTGGTGTGACTTTTGTATTTTTTTTGCCCTTGTTGCCCGTCCCGCTTCCCGTGGATTGGCTTCCCGGTGGTTTTCGTACTTTTTTCAAAGACCTTTTACCTGCAGCAAACAAAGCGGTGTGGGAGGCTGGGCCTTGCATCCCTTCTTATCCCGTCCTGGCCAAGTCCGACTCCAGTGCTTCAGATCCACCAGCTTTACAACAATACAACCGCTGGTCTGTGCCATCTCCACCAAAACAACAAGGATGCCCTGTTAGTGCACGTGACTGGTCATTGCCGATCGGAATGCAATTCCAGGGCGCTGCTGTTGTGATTGCATTTCTGGGCACATCCTGGGCAATAATGGAACGTGATGGCGTGTTATTTTCACTCGTTTTGACATCTCGACTTGCTCTCGGCTTTTTCATGTTGATTTAGACACTTTCATCCCATGTTTTTTGGGTCACCAACCGGCTCTGCCGTCCCCTGCCGTTCCGTCCCTTTATTTTTTTCCCTCGTTTTCCCAGTTTCTTCTGTTTACACCGTCTTAGCGGCCGGCTCCAGCGTCCCTTTGTTTACTTAATGCCCTGTAATATAGGGCCTTTAGTGTGGCTTCCATACCTTCAATGCCTGCAATAGCACCCCACGATTTGCAGCAGTGTTTCTCCTCGGCACTGGGCAAATCGCGTCATGCGTTATCCGGCTGTTATTTCGTGTTGTTGTTTTCGCGGAGCGTGCATCCGGACAATTGCACGGACTACGTCGAACTCACAATCCACGGGCATCTGCAGGTACTCACTGTCGTTCACATACTCCACCGACTCGGGCAGCAAGCGGATAATAGCGCAAACAGTGGAGATTGTCGACGCCCAAAGGCCCACTGACTCTGGCGGTGTGGTTTGAAGACAAGCATGGACATAAACGACTGAGCAATGACCATGAGCGATCTGTTTGTCCAGGCTCGAGGGTTTATACTTATCTTGAGACATGATGCGACGTGACAATACCATTGTCTCAGTCATTCGTGACGTAGATGCCAGACAAGAGGAGCTGTATTTCAATGCGCGACGATCCGGGGAAATTGGATATTCAAATCTCGAATCCTCGGCATTCTGTCGGCCGATGCGACATAAAAATCATAATGCAGCGAAAAGAAACCAGAGATGCGAGATAAGTCCACTTACGGACAGATCATGGCACCACAAACACAAACGGGGCTATTACAGTCACAGGGTTGGATGGCTATCAATAGCTTGTTGATGTTAAATGAGAAATATCTAAGTGTGATTATCAAACAGGGTCAAAAGACTGCATGCTATGTCATCAGAGACAGGTGGGGGATGATGAAAGAGTATAAGGAGCAGAGACAGGAAAAGGGAGGGGGGAAAACTATGTATGTATGGGTGTAACTAGAGGGCAGGGTTGACGGTCAAGGAGCACACGCCTAGAGGTTAACAAAATAATGCAGATTCTCAGCATCATATGAGAGTAAGCGGTGAAAAAGGTAAAGAAAAAGAAAAAGGAAAAGGAAAAGGAAAAGGAAAAGAAAATGTAAGGCGACAGTAGCAAAACAGCCTCCTTCGGCCCCAGGCTATAATGAATCAAACAGGACAATAAAGGGGCCGCCTGACAAGACACCAAAAAAACCAACGAAACTCAAAACGTAAAAGCCTCCGGCCGAGTCCACCGGAAGGGCTGTGACGTTTCGTTTCTCTAAGAACGGGGCACGTTGGGCGCCTCCGCGGCGGCCTCGGCAGCCGCTGCCCGGAACGCGGCGTCGTTGCCCTCCGACGGCTCGCCTGACTCTTTGTTGCCGCTGCCACGCGCCCAGCCACGCTTCGATTCCTTGTCCTTGTTCTTCTTCTTGGACTCCTTGTCCTTCTTCATCGCCGCCTCCGCCACCAGCTGCTCAAACGCCATGTAGTCGCCCTCCTCCTCCGGCGTCCGCTGCGCCCGGTTGCACACGTCGCCAATCAGCACCAGCGCCTCGGCGCGCTGCAGCCGCTTCTGGAGGGGCACCTTCTTGTCGTGCAGCAGCGCGTCGCACACGTCCCGCAGCACGCTCTGGATCTCAAACTTGCTGCCGCGCCACGCCGCCGTCAGAATCTTGCCCGTCACCCGCCGCTCGTACTCGCCCCGCTTCTCGTCCGTCCAGTCCTCGCCGCCGCGCTCCTCCATCCGCGCCATCTCCTCCATCGTCTGCTGCGCCTCAATGGCCGAGCTGATCGTGTTCCACGTGTCCTTGACCAGCGTGCCCTTGTCGCGCATCCGGCTGAAGAAGCCGCTGATGCCAAACAGCTTCTGGCTGCGCAGCAAGCCCGTCGCCTTGGACACGTACGTCTGGCCAATGGCGTGCAGGATGTCGAGGCCAAACGACTCCATCTTGAGCTCCTCCACCTCGAGCCGGATCTTCTCCTGGAACGCGCGCGTCACATCCGCGCCGCGGTCCGTCTCCGTCCACACCGACACGCGGTCCTGCAGCTTGCGCACCAGCGTCTCCACGCGCTCCTCTCGCACGCGCGCACGCTCCTTCTCATAGGCGGCCAGCTGCTCGCGCTGCTCCTTCGACAGGCCCGACTTGCCCTTCTTCTTCTTGCCGCTGCCGTCCTCGACCGCATCGCCACTGGCACCCGCAGCGGCGGCCGACACCCCCGCCTCGTCGGAGGGGCGGTCCATCAGGGCCGGGCGGATCGGGATGGCGTGGCGGCTAGGCGTGTTGCTGCCCGAGGCCAAGGGCGACGGGGTCGCCGCTGCCTTGGCGGCCCCTGTCCCTGCCCCTGCGGTTGGCTTTGGCGAAACAGGTTCACCCTTGCCGTGGTGGTCCTCCTCGGCGACGTAGGGCGGCGGCGGCGGCTTGACGTGGCCGCCGTCTGCGCCGTACGCCTCGCCCTCCGCCGCGGCCTCCTCGGCCTTGGCCGTCTTCATGCTCTCCTTGACCGCTTCCTCTGTGCCGGGGAACTCGTCGGCCGCAGCACCGTCGCTGCCCTCGTTTTGGGCGGCCGCCGCAGCCGCCTCGTCCTCTTCGGACACGGTAATGTCCATGGTCGCTGTCAGGTCCTTCATCAGCGAGATCTCACCGATCCAGTCGACAAACGCATCGCCGCCAAAGATGGTCGTGAAGAACTCGCCCGGGTCGACGAAGCCCTCCGACGGTTTGGAGGCGTCCTTGCCGTACTTGTCGTACGCCTTGCGCAGGTCGGCATCTTGCAGCACCTGGTACGCCTCACCTATGGCCTGGAACTTTTCGTGTGCCGACGGGTCGTTGGGGTTCTTGTCCGGATGGTGGACAATGGCCTGTTTCCGGTAGGCCTTTTTGATCTCGAGCTCGGTGGCCGTGGGCGCGACCCCGAGGAGGTCGTAGTAGGCGGTGTCAACCACCATGGCGGGCGGGTTGGGGAAAGGGGAAGGCCGGACGAGGGGAGGGTGGTGTCGGGGTCGCCGGGACCGTTCAGATCGTCACAGCGTCCGAGTTTGTTTATTGTTGGTGTCGTGGCGGTAGGGAAGCAGAGCTCTACCTCAAAAGGGGCGAGGGGAAACGTGAATCGCTACCGCCTCAAAAAAACGTCTGTCAAGCCCAGCACGTTCTATTGGTGTCGTTTGCAGAGAAAGAGTGCAGAATTGGGCTGCGAAATGTGACGTTGAGGAACTAAGCATTGGGAAGGAAACAAGCGACTTTTGCCGGATAGGACATCTTCGTCATCACGCAGGAAACGGCCCTGGCGCTCCCTTGTGAAAGGCAACGTTTTTATTTTAAATTTCTGCCTACCCACGCAGTATGCCCCAGTGCCCCGCTACAGAGAAAGCTAAGAAATATGGTCACGTGTGATATCACGTGTTTGGCATTGTCCATTCTCCCATCGTTCTGTAACAAGGCTCGAGCCCAACGCCCACAACAAGAGAAGAGCACGGCTTAGAAACACTCGAATACTTGCAATGTATCGCAGTCTGAAGAATGAACGAAAAATCTACACGCTGGTGTATATTATAGTCAAAAACTGTCCATCCTGTTAGGAAGAGTTTCTAGGATATCTAGTTGCCAAAAAGAGAGAGAGAACAAAAATCGCAAAATCATCCAAACATGGAGATTAGACAAAACAGTGCCCAGCGCTCGCTCGTCAGCCTTTTTTATATTTGTCTAACTGTTTCCACCCAGAGCGAAATCATTACATAGCCCCGTGTCCGTGAGTTCGTCGGTCAAGGAAGTCTCGCGCGATAGCGGCCCTTCCATTCGAACACGCACTGCGCGCTTACTGCACGCCGGCAGCCTTCATGCGCTCGAAGCAGCCGCGGTAGGCCGCGTGGATCTCGGGGACCTCATAGTTGTACTCCTTGAGCTTGGTGATGAGCTTGGTGGTGTCCAGCTCGCAGTTGCTGCGGCCGGCCTTGATGACCTTGGCCTGCTCCTCGAGCGAGAAGTTCTTCCAGGTGAAGCTGGGGCGGACAATCTCCTTGAACAGCGACAGCACCTCGTTGTGGGAGATGGCGCCGGGGTTGGTGAAGTTGTAGACGCCCGTCTCCTTGTGCTCGGCCAGCAGGATCGAGGCCGGCAGCAGGTCCGTCAGGATGGTGTTGCTGTTGGGGATGTCGACGACGCGCTCGTACTTGGAGATCTTGGTGACAAAGTTGCGCGAGTGCAGGTCGTCGCTGACGGGCATGCGGAGGCGCAGGATCAGGGCGTTCTTGTAGTTCTTCATGATGGCCTCGACGTGGGCCTTGGTCTCCGAGTAGAAGCTGCCGTCAAAGTTGGCCGCGTCCGTCTCCGTGAAGCCGGGGCCGCCCCAGGGGTGGGCCTCGTCGTACTGGTAGATGCAGCCGGTGGCAAAGACGGTGATGTGGATGCCCTTGAGGAAGCAGACGTCCGCCAGGTTCAGCGTGCCGATGACGTTGGAGCGCATGGTGGCCTCCTTGTTGTCCTCACACCAGTCGACGTTGGGGCGGCCGGTGCTGCCGGCGGCGTTGAGGACATGCGTCGGCTGGACGCGCTCAATCTCGGCGATGACGCTCTCGCGGTTCTCCATGCGGATGGTCGTGGTGTAGACCTCCTTGCCGGCCTTCTCGAGGAGGCTCTTGAGGTGGCCGGCGACCCAGCCCTCGCCACCCCAGATGAGGAAGCGGTTGCCGGTGGGAGCGGGCAGAGGAGCAGCCATTGCGAAGTTTGTGGATGAGGTGGGGAGTTGGAGTTGGGCGAGAAAAGAAAGCTTGGAGGATGTGATTGACCAAAGGACCAAACAAGAACAGAAAGCGAGTGTTGGGGACGACAAGGCACAACAAGAACAAAAGAGAGGAGGACAAGAAGAGAGGGAGAGGAAAAAGAGGACAGCAAACAATCGGTGAGGAGAAGAAAAGGGGCCCTTTTGTGGAACTGGCGTGCTGCTGAAAGTACTGGGAGGCTGGTCAGAGGTGTAAAATGGTGTGCACTCCAAGTCCAGATGTAGAAAATAGAGGGGTCCGTTGTGGCTTGCTGATGATGGGGGCGGCAGAGTGACAGAAGGGCGCGCCAATCTATTACAGAGCAGAATGTGGGCGAAGAGGGGCAAATCTTCCAATACGGAATTTCCTGGGCGAGACCGCCCACTAGCTCAGCACAGCAAGTACTGAAAGGGGCGTGGCCAGGGGCTCTGCGCAGAGTGGCGGTTTATCGCTGCAAGAAAAGCTCGTATTGCAGAGCATCAGCGACTGCTCTGATTTCCAATGCTCCCTAGGGCACTGTATTAATCCGGCAGTAAGATATTAATTTGTAAGCTTACTGAAACACACTACCGCTTTGCGTCCATTCTCTCGAATTACAGCACATTCCACATCAGATGCCATAGCAGAAACGTACGATGAGGAAGTACAGGAGAATTGATCATCACATTCGTCTTTACCGACTGTATGCTGCAGGTAGCTCTTACCGCCTTTTCTCCTGCATACAGGCGAGGCAATCAACCTGCATTAAGACGAGCCTAAACCTGGTTACGGAAACTGTGCAAATAGAGTATATATGCACTGTACTCGCACTGTCTTTGGGTCATTCCACACCATGGCCACACGAGGCTGCGGTGACTGTGCGCAGGGCTGTAACGAGGGATGTTGAGTTTTTGGCATCGCATTGTCGGTACGCGAAAGAAACCATTCGAGCTAATCTATTCTAAAACACTGCAGATACACAGATGGCAGTGGGCTACAAACATATCAAGATATCTGACCTCGTATCCAAGTAGACCAGCCAGCGGATATGCTGCCTATTCCTGAGGATCAATATCAAAGGAGACGATGGAGTGCCGTGTAAAGGTGGCACATGTCGGCTTGGTTTGACAGGTACAGTAGAACGTCCAAGTGGAGAACAGAGTCTGGTGCCTAGAATAAAATGAAAGATTGTCGAGGTCTACCAAGTGAAATGTAGAAATTTCGATTCAACAGGATCAATGTAAACTAGATATACAGTATTATATATATATATTTAAAAAAAAGAAGGAAAGAAAAAAAAAGAAGAGAGCTCAATATTAAAATCTTTCATAAACCATGAAAATAAGTAAAAATTATCCCCAACTAGTGTTTCCTTAAAAAACGGACTCGAACCAAAATAAAAGATTATACAAAAAGACAAATGCCCTAACTGTTTCCTTGACCACTTTTTTATCTTCGCTATCGCTCACTCTCCCAAGCAATGTTGCTTATTCGGTTCCCAAGGAGATCTGCCGCATCACCAAACTCGACTTTCTTCGCTGCCCCACTTTTCTTCAGGGGCTTACCCATGGCTCCATTGGCCAATTGTGCCTTCTGTCTCCACAGATTCACACGTCCTTGGCCAATTCGTCCAGTATCTGCGGAGTAACCCCGAGTGCTACTCCATTTTACTGGATATGGCCAACGGTGACTGGCTGCAGGCCTCATTGACCGGGCTGCGCCTTCCTTCTTCGGGCACAGCTTTCTTTCCCTCCCCTCTTCCTTCTCATCTCGCTCCAATACAGCACCGGACTTTTCACAGGTCGTCAATTTTGCCGGGGCCACGTTTTTTCCGCCCATAGTTTTGTATCGTGGTCGATTTCTGCCCTCGTTTCTGGATTCCTCTCTACTATTTGCATCCTTAACCTTGTTTCAATCGCATCTCCCTCCCCCGATCTAACACCGTCCGCTCCTTCCTCCTATCCAAAAGACCGTTGCGTTCCTTCCTTCCGCATTGCCACGAGGGACAAAGCTCCGGCGGAAAGTACGACTGGCAACACCGACAAGCACAAAAACCTGCGAGTTGCCCCTTTCGGAAGCTGCAAAGGGTAACAAGCCCTCAGCCCGAGACTTTTGCAAGCTCGAGACATCTCGACATCTTCCTTTTCTCTCATCTTCCTTTCTTCTTCTTTTCTATCGTCACACACACACACACACACACACACACACACGTCACCATGCCGTCCGCAGGAGAAATCGCGTTCCTCTTGGTGCACCCCAAGCAGCTACGGTCAATTATCCAATGGTATGTGTCAAAGTTCGCGTGCTGCACTAGTTTGCTCCTCCTTTTTTCTTTGAGGCATGTTAGCTGACACTTGGGATAGGAAGCTGTGGCACGACCCTGTCCATGTGCGTGACCCATCCAAAGAGTCGGCGACGGAGCGGGCCTGCTTCGAGTACCTCGACCTGACGTCGCGCAGTTTCGCCGCCGTCATCAAGGAGCTGAACCCGGAGCTGCTCATGCCTATCTGCCTGTTCTACCTCGCCCTCCGCGGCCTCGACACCATCGAGGACGACATGACCCTGCCCAACGAGAAGAAGATCCCGCTTCTGCGCAACTTTGACTCCAACATGGAAATTGATGGCTGGACCTTCACCGAGAGCGGCCCCAACGAGAAGGACCGCGAGCTGCTTGTGCACTTTGACCAGGTCATTGTCGAGCTGAAGCGCATGAAGCCCGAGTACTATGCCATCGTTCGCGACATCACCACCAAGATGGGCAACGGCATGGCCGATTACGCGCTCAACGCCGAGCACAACGCCAATGGGGTCAACAGCATCGCCGACTACGAGCTGTACTGTCACTACGTGGCTGGCCTTGTCGGTGACGGCCTGACGCGCCTCTTTGTCGAGTCCAAGCTGGCCAACCCGGCGCTGCTGCAGCGCCCGCAGCTGACCGAGTCCATGGGCCAGTTTTTGCAAAAGACCAACATCATCCGCGACGTGCACGAGGACTTTGTCGACAAGCGCCGTTTTTGGCCCAAGGAGATCTGGAGCAAGCACGTCGACAAGTGGGAGGACATGTTTGACACCTCCAACCCTGTGCATGTCCAAAAGGCGCTCGAGTGCTCGTCCGAGATGGTTCTGAACGCCCTCAAGCACGCCGACGAGTGCCTGTTCTACATGGCCGGCATCCGCGACCAGAGTGTGTTCAACTTTGTCGCCATCCCCCAGTCCATGGCCATTGCCACGCTCGAGCTCGTCTTCCGCAACCCCGCGATATTCCACAGCCATCTCAAGATCACCAAGGGCGACGCCTGCCAGCTCATGATCGAGTCGACCCAGAACCTGCGTGTCGTCTGCGACGTCTTCCGCCGCTACGTCCGCCGCATCCACCAGAAGAACGACCCCCGCGACCCGCTTTTCACCGAGATCAGCCTGCAGTGCGGCAAGATTGAGCAGTTCATCGAGTCCATCTTCCCCACCGACGACATCAAGCAGATCCAGGCCAACAAGAAGGCGGCTGCGGCCGACGACAAGGCCTTGCCGATTGGCGATGGCCTGCTCCTGGTTGGTGTTGTCGTGGCCATGCTGTTGATTGTCGGTGGCTTGATGGTTGGTGCCGCCTGGCTCATGGGTGCGCACATTGACAAGATTACGGAGCTCTTCAACTGGGACGCCACCACTTCCAAAGGGGCCGCGGCGGCCGTTACCGAGGTTGTTCACGGGGAACTGTAAAGCGCACTTCCCTGTTTTTCTTTCCACCCAGCAGATAGGGTCTTCTTACCATCTGCGTTTCAATTCTCTTCTTCCATGATCGTTTGTCGACTGCCACTATGAACTCATCGATTCCTTCTGGTTGCCTCTCTTTCCCTCTTCTGTCTCTCGTCATCACCATACAAACGCCCCGTTCCCCACCCCTCGACTCGATGACACTTTGTTCATCTTTCGTCTCTCGTATTCTCATCTGCACATCAACGAGACCATTACACACCCCCGACAGAAGACGGGAGAAGGTACTGTGTTAAGAAGGAATTAACTTTTGGAATCCGCGTTTGTCCTTTTTACGAAGCGCAATTCTGTTTTCAAGACGGCCCACAATGAGGCCACGATATCATTATTATTTTAATTCAAACACATTTCCCATTACCCCTTCGGGGATACAAAAGCTGCAAAAAGTGAACGACTGTTGCATACCTGGGTCGCCTTACAAAATGAGCTATAGGAGTCGCCGGTGTAACAACCGCGGATTTCCCACAAAACTCAAAGTCGACAGTTCATACTGCACAGCAGGTCAAGAATTTCCACACGTGCAAAACATCACCACGAGCTGATCCAGGTCGGGACATTCTCAACTACGGTTGGACTAGAAGGCTTACGTCGGGATCGTCAAAAGATCATCAACTCTCTGCGGCCAACACTCAGCAGCGCAACACGCATCATGCAGTGCCCAGAGGTTGTCATAGCCTAGAAGTCCATTGTTCAAACCCTGCGGCGGTATCGTCCACCTGTACAAACATTCACAGCCCGGAAGCATCTTCGCCGAGCGGTCCAAACATTTAAACCGAGTGGTTTAATAACTCAAGGGTCCGAATCTGGGAGCCACAGGTACATCCCAAACCCGGGGTATCTTTATTTTCGCTCTTTCCATTTCGTTTTCATCGCAGCACGGATGTCAAATTGCAATTCGGTCGTGCGAGGCGTCCTTGCGGCGCCTTTGCTTAGTGACTGCAGTTGTGCCAAAGATGTGCAAAATCAACGTCGTGTGAATTAAAGAGGCCGACAGCAGCAAGCAGCCTGGAATCCGGGTGCGGCGTGAACGGGGAGGTGCCAAGGGCGAATTTGCCCATCTCTCCCGGGACCACGACGAATTGCGTACAGTCCAATACGAGCGAGAATAGCTCAATGGATTATTTTCTGCTCTGATTTCTGCTCTATTAAATACCGATGTGCATGCCGGTCGCGCAAGTCGGGCGTACTTTGGCGAAGCAATATCAATGCGCATATCAATATCAGCATCGTGCGCCAACGTACTTAAATTGTCGCCTTGTTATGGCTGCGATTGTCGTGATTGCGATAATAATTGCCTCTTTTCCTTGCCTATTACTTTATGGACTGTTGCTTGCCGCTCCATTTTCAACGCGGACCACCGGACAACGTCGAAATGGGCTTTGGAGCGTTTCAGGCAAATAGGCACTCCTGCTCTTCCTGCTCCTGCGTTTCTCACTCGCCACATGTCCACATAAAGGCTAAAGACACGTCGGAAAAGAGATTGCGGCCAGAAAGATGGTTACTCACCACAACGAGAGGATGAATATCGTGTTGGAAGGCAAAGCCAACCAACAGACCGATAGAGATGATGTAAAATGAAGGAAAACAAAAAGACGGGAGAGTAGAAGCAGCCATACCACGTTGTAGAAAACGTTTCCCGAACAACAGACATCGGCGGCTTTGGCGACCAACTTTTGCGCCTTCCACCTCGTCTGCAGGTGACAATGGCCTGTTGGTACTACAAGGACATTTAGGCACTTTGGTCTGATGATGTCTTGCATCTACACGCACATCGCTTGCATCACTTGCATGGCCGCACAACCGTCTTATTGTCGTACAGCTTCGTTTTCCAGTTCATTGTTCTACACATCCAAGTGTACGATGTTCTTCTTTTCAACGGTCGGCCACGGATCGCCACTCCGCGTTTGTATATTGTTGAATGCAGTGTTGTGATTTCACGATCGCCATGCCGTTTTAGCCACCGCGGCTATGTCCTTCACGCTGCCCTCTCCGCTTCGTTTTCATTTGCACTCTGCCATTTCCTCCCCTTTTCTGTCTTCTCTGTTCACGACAGTGATGTTCCACAAGAAAAGCGGGATGTGGTCCCGGGCCATCGTCTCCCTCGCACTAGTTAGAAGTCAACACAAACGCAGGATCGTACTGCCGCGTGGTTCATTTTGATGCCTCAACGTTGTCTACGAAGCCCCTCACAAACCCAGCTGGATGTGTCCAACATCGACGGTAAGGAAAGATTCAAGTGCGATCTGGATAGCGTCCCAGCAGAGAATGCCAAGCAAAGCTCGGCGACGCGGATGTGCCCACGGCCCTCCTTGTTGCATTCCCAGATTTCTTTCCTCCTAATTGCAAATCCGGTAGATGACAACTTCTGCGCGCAAAGCGCTTCAAAACATCTCACAAGATGAGATCTTCCTCGAAATGACGTTAATAAAGCAGCCATTTTTCAAATCCTGCCAGCGGGAACTCTTATATTCCCGGAAGAGGGTGGTGACGAGACAGAGGCAATATCAGAAAGTGGGAGGATAAGTCCAAGCTTCATCTATGGCAGCAGGCACGTCCTGCCACAAGCAACACTTGCCGTCCCCAGACCAACGTCCTCACGTACACAACCTTCTCCCGCCTTTCATCATTTCATCAAAACAGCGCCGGTGCCAACACCCGCATTTTCCCTAATTGCGCCTTGTGGTCGCATCTCGGCTGTCACCCCTTTATGCTCCTTGCCGGAAACCAACTAGACAAATATCCCGCTCTGGTCATTCCATCGTATATTGGATGCTTTCTGGTCGTCCTGGGGCCGCCCACTATCCGGCTTCGAACCGTGCTTGGCCCATCCAGATCATACTTTCTGCCTCATGGCCAGGGTTCGTAGGAGATGTCCGCGGCTTCTGTCGTCTCATTTGTGTGGCATTGCCTTCGTCTGTTCCCAGCGAGACTTGAGATGTTTGATTAAGTCTCCCCTCCTTTTTGCCTTGAGTCTATTTCACTCGCGTCTTATTATTGTTTGCTATCGTTTTTCTTATATCTACCTGTGTCCCTCTTTTCCCATCCGCCTTTGAATCCTGTATTGTAGTTTACAAAAGGAAACGCACAGACAGGCAGGCCTTTTGTCGGTCGATGAAGCTGGTTAAGACGGCGACATAAATATTTACACTGGGGCCATCTTATCGATTTGTACCTTTGCTACTGTTTGGTGGCGCCGACTTGACCTTGTGCCACGGCGCTACACACACCATGGCGCCCCTACCAACCTTATCGACGGTCGTGGCGTGGCTCGCCGCCTCGTCCATGTACATTTCCTCGGCGAACGCAAGCGATGACGCCGACGCAAGCCATTTCGATATCCAGAGCCGCGACTCGGCTCTTGATACCCCTTCGTACAAGGTCCTCAACCCGCAAGTCGACCAGCCCGTCGCCGGCTCCTACATTGCTGTCTATAAGACCAGCGTCTCCGACACCGCCGTCAAGGCCCACCAGGCCGAGGTGGCCACCTCGCTTGCGCGGAGGAATCTGCAGCGCCGGCAGCTCGTCCTCAAGTCGCGCGCCGAGAGCGAGGCGGATCGGGCGGATGGCTCGCCGATCCGCCTGCCTGATTTTGCCCACGAAGAGGCCCGCTTCGCCGCCATCCAGATCCCCGGGTTCCGCGCCATAACCCTGGACAGTGCCGACGACGCGACCATGAAGGAGATTTACGATGCGCCGGAGATTCAGTACCTCGAGCAGAACTGCGTGGTGCGCGCCACCGAGTCGGCCACGGAGATCAACGCGCAGCCCGGTCTGTCGCGCATCAGCCACGCACAGGTCGACCCGGGCTCAGGCTATGTCTACGACAACTCGGCCGGCTACGGCACAACGGTGTACGTGTCCGACACGGGCATCCAGCTCAACCACACCGACTTCCAGGGCCGCGCCATCTGGGGCACGAATGTCCTGAACGATGTCATTGGCGACGACCACGGCCACGGCACGCACGCCGCCGGCATCATCGGCGGGCGCACGTTTGGCGTCGCCAAGAACTGCGAGCTGGTCGCCGTCAAGACGCTGGACAGCACGGGCCACGCCACCATGAACGACGTCGTGAAGGGCTTCAACTGGATCGTCGCCAACGTCACGGGCCGGGGCATTGCCGGGCGCGCCGTCGTCACCGTGCCCATCACCGGCGGCCGGCTCCAGGCGGCCAACGATGCCGTCACGGCCGTCGTCAACGCAGGTATTGTCGTGGTGTCGGCCGCCGGCAACAACGGCGACAACAGCACTGCCACAATCTCGCCTGCCTCGGCCGTCGATTCCATCACCGTCAGCGCCATCAACCAGACGACCGACGAGCGCGTCGAGTGGGCCAACTACGGGCCCGAGGTGACCATCTTCGCGGCCGGTATCGACGTCCTGTCCACCTTCATTGGCCCCACAACGACGGAACTGGGCATCATGTCCGGGACGAGCGTGTCCGTGTCACACGTGGCCGGGCTGGCGGCGTACCTGATTAAGTACGAGGAGATTTACAGCCCGCGCGCATTGAAGAAGCGCATCATTGAGCTGGGGTCGTTGACGGGTGCGAGGGTGTGGAACAATGGACCAAACACGACATTCTGGATTGCCAACAACGGCAATCTATAAATGTTCAGAGGGGCGCGTATTGTGCGTTTGATGACTGGAGTTGGTATTTATGATGGCATAATTTGAACATCCCTTTAGTCTTTTATTTCGATTTTTTTTGTTGTTGCCTCGCCCGCAAAGCTCTTGTATACCTTCTTTTCACTCGCTCTCAACCTTACCTATTATATTGTGGAAGCTTGGGATAAACATGTTTTAGGGACAGTATCTTACACAATAGTCTTTCATGCTCATTTAAATTCAAAAAAGAGAAAATTTATCGAAAAGGAAGTAGATCGAGCGTGAAGCCTCGATCTCATCGATCGTCCCAAAATCAAACAAACGAGGCCACTTGGGCTCACCTGACGACTACTACGTCAGCCATGCCCTCGTCATGCATACTGTATTTCGTCTGGCTTTGTCTTTTCCAAGGAACCAATCTGCAATATCCATCTGACCTCATAGTCTTTTACTGGCACTGCTCACCGGCAGTGATAGCCGAAATTTGATTTGCAGGATCGGCAGATGCAGTCGCACATAAAAACGGTGAACATCAGGATAAGTTGCATCACGTGATATTTGTTCAAACGGAAGTCGACAACAATTACAAACAGTCCTGTGCAATAGGGGCCGTACTCGTAGAAATCCTTGACGATTGAATTCGAGTGTAAAGATTGAGTACATGGGATGTGTGGGAGATCGGTTTAAAGGATGCAACACGAACATCGGAATGACGGACGGTGGAAATATGCAGACAGCACCAAGATCCTCTTAGCACGCCCTAAGTACACTATGTCCATGTGCTGGCTCTGGACCTCTCTACTGGCGTGGGGTTGGGGCCCATTCCCACTGTTCTATTTGGGCCATGACACGCTAAAAAACCACTCAACGCGCAGCGGATAGACGTCGCGATCCACTGTAAATGAGGGTCTTTTGCGGGTCTTGTGACCGTTTGCTGGGTCGCGCCTGCCAGTCTTCCAGTGTCGTGGGCTGGAACTGGCCATTTTGGATTCTGTTTGCACAGTTTCCGTAATTCAAACGGCAGGAAGGGATGAAAACGAAAATGCCCTGTCTCAAATGTGGAAAGAGCAAGGTGGGTGAGGAACGAGGCGGACAGTACCGGGAATGGGGTGTCAGATGACTTCAGCTTCGTATTTGGCTCTGTCGGGAATATTGTTTTGGGGTGTGCAGGCCGTGCAGGCCTTGTGAGCTGCGCCTTCTGATTTCGTCATGGCCGAGATGAGGCTGTAATTTCACGCTCGAGCGTTATCTTTGGAGGAGTGGTGTGCCTTCTGCTTTTGACAGTACCGGTCGTGCCTTCCAAGCAACGACAATCGGTTGCCTTGCCTCCTTCCTTCTTTTTCCATGTCTCTCGGCGTGTCTAATTCCTGAGTCGTTTTGCATCTTCTCCTCTGCCATCGCATCCTTTTCGTTTGTATTCTGTCCGCCTGGCGCAGCCTTCCGACCAGCACCAACAATCTGCAGCCTGCCGTACACCCTGTCTCGCCTGTGCAGTCCTGTGTCTGATAGCCGCCGTTTCATTTTGTTCCGCCCAATTTAGTCTTGCTCTTGGCGCTCGCCGTCTCAGCGCGGTCCTATCGCCTACATTTCTGGTTCTTCGTTCCTCGCTGTTCTGCCACCACTTTGTGTTCCTTTGTCTGCCAGGTGCCAGTTCTTTTGCGTTTCGTCTCCTCAGCCTCCGGAACCTGGCCCCTCTTCCAGTTGATCTTCAGTACTGTTCTTCAACTGCCTCATTTACGAGCGTTGGATCTGTCGTCGTCTTCTTCGTATCCCACGGTCTCCCCATGCTCAAGATTCCGTCCTCATCATCACCCTCTCGTCTTGGTTGTCTTCTTGTCTCTCTTTTCTCCTCTGTCGTCCTCCCCCCCATCGATACTCCGCCGTCGCCTCGTTTGCAACCGAAACGCCCACAAAACGCATCTCCTCACCGGCCAATCTTGGCCTGGCCAACTCTCACGCGACCTGCTCCAATCCAACCACAGTCCGTCCTGCTATTGTGCTTCCCTATGAGGCTTCGTCCACTCACATTGCTGGTCTGATCGAACCCACCTTTCTGCACCCTTTCGTTTGCCGGCCTCGCGGGCCTCTCAACGGCTAGAGAACCGCTTTCGATGCACGCCCAATTGCCGAAGCCCAACCCTGCTGCCAGCACTTCGCTATTACCAGCATAGAATACATCAGTCTCAGCAGTCATATCCTCTGGCTCTCTCACGACTTTGAATATATTTGCGATAATCTTCCCTTTCTCTTTCGCCGACTGATACGTTCTAACGGCGAGCCATTCGTTCAAAACCGCTGACCGCCCATCACTTGGCTATGATATCGAACGGCCTGCATTGAAAGAACCATCCTGATACAGGAATTTGCGTTTCCTACGAATTATTCCCTCAATCTTTCGACTCCGAGCACGGCCGTCAGGCATACATAGTTCCAGCGCATGGGGTCCTCCACAGACATGGATTCGCGGACGGAGCCGCACTCGCCAGAGCACTCTGACGATGAAAACCGTCCAGCCACACCTCTGTCCCTCGATGCCCGGACTGCGCGACCGGCCCGACACTTGGCGAATAGCGACCATAATGCCGTCCAGACCTCCGTGGATCTGGTCTCTGTCATGACCGCCGCATCCAGTCCTGTCTCGCCAGGTTCCTCGAGCCCCGCACTGCCACAAGCCCGCACGCAAGACTTTGTGCCACCAACGCGACCGAGCAGTACACCTTTCCCTCAACCTGAGCAGAGAACCGACGATCTTTGCTGCCTCGGTTGCCCGGATGGCATGGACCACGACGAAGACTTTGTTGACGACCACGATGTGCCCCTGGACGTGGAAATGGGCATGAGGTTGGATACTGGTGTGGACATGCACATGCAGCATGGGGTTGACTTGGCTGGGAAAGCACCCGCGCAGCAGGACATGTCAGTCAGCCCCCGGTCTGTTGCCATGGATCTATTGGACCTGAACTCGCTTGATAGAGAAGGCGAGCCGGAGATTGATTACTTCAAGCTTGCGTCGTCCACCATCGCCAAAGAACCTCAGGGCCTGTCAATAGATATGGACATGTCTGGCCTCCCTGCGACACCGACATTCTCGCCTATCACTTCCGTGGCCACGTCTCCCAGCACACTACATTCTCACTTCGGCTCTGATCTTGATCACCTATCGCACAACGATATCAGCAAAGACAAAGAGCAGAAGACAGAGTCGGCAACGTCTTCGTCCTCTAAACAGACGCTTTATCTCCAGGACTTGCCTATTGAGATCCAAGAACTGATCCTTGACCGCGTCTTTGACTGCCGTGTGTCACCCATGACGAAGAGCTGGCCCGACAAGCGGTTGACCAGGATGGCCACCTTCACCCGCGTGTGGCGTATGCTCATCCAAAAGCGCCTGTACTGTCGCATCAAGATCAAGGCCACTGGCTTTAATTTGATCAGTACAATGGCCCACTTTGGGTGCTTCCCGCATCTGCGATCCTATGTTCGGCACGTGGAACTGTGGTTCCCTGTCTTCCAGCCTAGAGTAGCACCGCCCGCGCTGTCTGCGGCATCGATGGTACCGACTCTCTTCTTGGACGGCCTCTCCAATGCGACGTACACGTTACCGGCGAATAACTGCTCGCTCGAAGAGGCCTTTATGGTCCTCGGCGCCGCCTTCCCCAATCTATCTGTCCTCACCCTGGAAGGTGGTGAGCGCAAAAAGGCGCCCCAGGTCCAGCACTTTGCACACGATCTGTACAACGCACCGGCGCCACCGGACCCCAACAGTCTTGCCGAGTCCTCAGGCGACCTTTTAGCCGATGCGTTGCTGACACCCAGTGTGCCGCAGCGTCCGCTTCCTCAGCTTACCACGGTACGAACTCTGGTGTGCAAAGGCCAATGGAATCTCATCCGCTCCCAACAAGATTTCCAGAACATCGCGGCTGCTCTGCCAAACCTTTCCGACTGGCAGGCCGTATACAGCAAACCCAAATCCAAGAGCTATCTGACCATGGCCACCATTCTGCCCCATATACCCGATACCACGAACCTGACGTCCCTGAATTTATGCATCGAGGGCGACTACCGCCAGGAGATTTCGTTCCCGCCCTATTTCTTAAAGGTGATGGACAAGGTGCACTTTTGTTCCAGTCTGGCCGCGGCCACACCGGCCCTGAAGCACCTGTCGTACACGGGCCGCGTCTGCCGCACGTTTTTCGATGTCGCCGCGCGGATCGCGGATCCCCGCACCACCCGCCTCAAGTCGGTCGAGCTCACCGTCAAGAACTGCTGCCGGCAGGTGAGCCACTGGCACGAATCCGGCTCAGGGGTCACGGATCTCAACTTCATCCGTGCGTTCGAGGCTCTGGTCCTATCGGCTGTGCGGTCGCTCGACCGCCTCACCAAGCTGGAGCACCTGCGGATCCGCTACGTCGACCTCGAGTTCCCCGTGCCGCCGTTGAACCCCTTCTTCTTGCTGCACAACGGGTACGCATCGGGCGTCTGGAGCGAGACCATTGTGTCGGAGCTCAGTCGCGTGCGGCCCGATGTTCAGTGGGAGGAGCTGTCGGAGAGCATTGGCGAGCGCACGCTGAGCAAAGACGGGCGCCTCATTATCAACGCCGAGTTCCCCAAGAAGCGTGTTGTGTCCCTAAAGTTAAGCAACTATGCTTTCCTGGTGGCCCTGGCGACGATATAGCCTGACTGGCATTCACCACACTCTTGTTCTTTCCCTTTCCTTTTCTTTTTCGTGTATTTTGTCACTCCATACTCCCATCCGTTGCTGCTTATACTACGATTCCCCCTTGTTTGAATTTGTTTATGTTGTTTTGGTGACATTTTTGATACAGCCCTCATCATTCTTTTCTCGTTTTGAGTTCTTTGCAATGTGTAGCATGATGAAGCAAGGCGTTTTGTTTTATGTTTCTTTAAGGGAATTTGGAAAATATGCTGTTGTCATTTAAAACGAGGTTAAAGGGGAGACGGGGAAGGAAAGCGGATATGCATAGAAATCCTGGTTGGTTTCATGCTGTCATCCCTTGCCCTGCACAATTTGATTCTATTTTGTCCTTTTATTCTTCTTATCTGTTGACAAAGGTTTGCAGGACAGGCGAGACTTCAAAATGATGGCATGGGCAGAAGTGAAACAAACAAAATCTATTGGCTTTGATATATAACTGATCAGTTTCCGCTACAAATGCAACAAATGCTCCATCCGACGTTGCCCAAAGGGCTTTGCTACTGTGCTAACACATATGTTGTACACACTGCGCTAGGCTTGCCCCGTCGGACGCCACCTACGCGCCCGCCACGTCGCCCACTATCACGCCCAGGATCCAGCAGTTGACCATAAAGAACCCCAGCGACGCCAGCCACAGTCCCGGCACAAACGTGCTCTGTCCAAGAAACTCCAACAGAAATCCCTGCTGCAGCCACGCCGCCTGGCCGGCCACCCACAGCACGAGCGCGAGCACGCCCTTCCGGGGCGACTGGACAAACGACGACTGCGGCAGATAGACGGGCAGAAGCACCATGTACCAAAGAAAATACTGGCTCGTGCAGACCTTGTTGAAGGCGACAAAGGCAAACGTCTGGGCGAGCAGGGTGGCGGGGAGATCCTTTTTGGCGAGGACGAGGGGCAGGAGGACGGTGGCGAGGAGCAGCTGGGGCGCGAACGCGAGGCTTTCAATGGGCGGAAGCCACGACGTGGTCGACGTTGCGGCGGCGATTATGCTGTTTGCAGCGCCTCCGGTGATGGCTGCCGCCGCCGCGGACGACAGGTAGAGCTGCGTGTTGTAGGGGCTAAAGTTGTGACGGTGGTCGATGCGGGTGACATGGTGGAGGTACGTGTGCTGGAGGAAAGGGAAGCCATATCTGGGGGTAAGATGTCAGTGCTGCGGTCTAGTAAAAGGTATGCGGCAACGTTTGACCTACATCGAGTACATGACCAGGTTGAGCCCGACAAAGATGGCCAGACTGGCACCGGCGAGCTGCAGCCGTGCGGGCGTCACAAAGGCAAGGATCGGGTGCACAGGCTTGTCGACCTGTTTGCTGTTCTTCTTGGACACTTTGGCCGGCGCCCGCCCCCCACTCTGCCCCATATTGTCGGCGTCCATCCACCACACAATGGCCGGCGCGTAGATGAAGGGATAGATCTTGAGGTGGACGCCGGCGCCCAACAGGAGGCCCGCCAGCAGCGGCTGCCGCGCCACGTGCACGGCCCACAAGAGGGCGGCCACGAGGGCACCCAGCAGTCCTTCAGCGCTGCCGCGGGTGCTGATGGCGGCCACCATGGGATTCAGCAGCCAGACACTGGCGTAGATGCGGGCGGTCGTCGCATGCGCGGGCGATGCTACACGCAGCTGCTCCCGGAGCACTCGCTCGAGCAGCCACCCCGCGACAAGATCGGCGGCCGCAAACAAGACTTTGCCGGACGCAAACATCAGCTGCTGTCCCAGCACACCGCCAGTCTCGGCCGCCGTCGGCAGCAGCAGCCACGCGAGCAGCGGCGTGTACCGGTACGTCTCGCGGTCGTAGGGCGAGCCGCCGTCCTTGGCGACAAAGCGGGCCGCGTCTGTAAAGACCAGATAGTCAATGTCTGTGTACTTGACGGGCGAGTTGGCGTCCTGCCAGAGGCCGTAGACGAGGAGGACGATCCGGAGCGCGGCGGCAGCGCCGTAGACGGCCGTGGCATTGCCGAAGAAGGCGGCCGCGCGAGAGGACTTGCTGTCTTGGAACTCCTTCACTGTCTCCTTCTTCCTCTCCTGCAGCTGTACCCGCCGTCGTGTCACAGGTGGTGAGGCCATGCTGTCGGTGGCGATGCTGTGGTGTTTGATGCGATGCTATGTCGCGGAAGCAAGAAAACTGAATTGGGCAAGTGAGCTCCTGACGTTGAAATTGCGCTAAAACTGCAGCGGCTCAGGGCGGGCTTTCCAGGGGCTTGTTTCCAGTGGGTCTTCTCCGCCGATCGAGCAAAAGAGTGGAGAAACTTGCATGCCCCACAATTTGTCTGGAGCTTGCCTTTCAAGGAAACTTTTCAACGACATTCGTTCTTTCCCTCGTTGACGGCGATACGATCACGAGTGCACGCCGTTCCCATCGACTCCTGATCTCCTAAGCCCCTTTTTATCCTATTGGCCGCAACCTAATGCCAACGCCCACCCACCATTCCACCACCCCAACACTCACAGCCATGGCCCCCGAAGGCAAACGCCGGTGGCAGGCGGACAGCAACGGCGCCGCTGCCGACGCGCCGGATCATAAGAAGATGGCGCGCCGGACTGGCCCTCCACCTCCTGCTGCTGCTCCCACGGTCCGCAACGCCTACACTGCCATGTTCGAAGGCTTCCGCGACCACCTCGACGCGCACCACGAGCGCCGCGAACGCATCGTCAAGGCCTCGCGCGACATCACCGCCCTCAGCAAGAAGATCATCTTTGCGCTCCAGCGTGTCCGGCGCATCCACCCCGAGTTGCCACGCGACGTCGACGGCGAAGTCACCCGGCGGCTGGGCGAGATTGGGCGGCTGCTGGCGGGCATCGCGCCGGAGATGCAGGGGATCAACCGCGGGCGGTACGGGCGGGTGCTGTTTGGGATGGAGGAGCTGCTCGAGGCGCTGACGTTCTTGCACTACCTGCGGCACCAGGTCTTGCTGAACCCAGACGAGGCGGCCGAGCAGGTGGCGGCCCTGTGCGTGGAGGGCCGGGCCACCAAGGACACCAAGGACACCAAGGACACCAAGGACACCAAGGACACCAAGGACACCAAGGACACCAAGGACACCAAGGACACCGGTGACGCCGAGAGCCAAAACGACGAGGACGTCCCCAGGATCGTGCCTGACGACAACGACTTCTTGATGGGCGTCTTCGACCTGTCGGGCGAGATGATGCGGTTCGCAACGACGTCGGCGGCGCTGCGGGGCGAGCTGGCGAGCGATGGAGGTGACGGAGCCGACCAGAGAGGACAGGGGCGAACGATTGTCGGCGACATGCAGGAGCTGGACAGCTTCTTCCGGATGCTGCCGCAGCGGCACGACAAGTCGTGGAAGATAAAGACACAAACGCTGCAGACGTCCGTGCAAAAGGTGGAGCGGCTTGGCTACGACCTGCGGGTGCGCGGCAGCGAGCGGCCCAAGGGCTGGGTGCCCGATGCGCCCGAGGCCGGGGAGGCGGGGACTCCGTGAGTAGGTGAGTGGCTGTTCACTACGAAAGGGGATGCACCACGAGACGGGATGCATCATAGGGGTTACGACGTTCTTTTTGGTGTTTTTTGAGCACATGTTTTACTTTGTCCCGATACCTGTCGTTATTTTTTTTTTTATCCTGACGTTATGTGACCTAATCGGCCCTTGCTTTTTATTTTCAATTTCTGATTTTATGTACAATTGAATGGAGCCACTCCATATGACATACTTACACCCAACGACGAAGACACACTACCGGCTGCATCCCGTTTTGCGACCATATTTTCGGTTCATGACACCAGCATTTCAACCCATTCAACATGCAAACCTGCCTCCCACCTACGACAGAGTCGGCGGGGTCCAGTCGACGTACTTGGACATGTCGACAGTCGCCGACGACTTCTCGACGGCACCGGGCGCCGCGCCCGTGCCCAGCAAGAAGTGGTTGATGTACGTCGTCAAGTCGGCCTGCTGCGCGCTCGGGAACATGCAGTGCGAGTGGCCGCCCACGAGCGAGAAGCCCATGTTGTTCGGCGCGCCCACGCCTTTGTAGATCAGCCGGCCCGCCTTCATGCAGCCGGTGGTCGACACGGGGCCCAGCCAGTCGATGTCGTTCTCAATGACAAACAGGCCGCGCGGGGCCGTCAGCGCCGCCAGCATGTGGTGGTCCTCGGGCATCGTGCTCGTCTTGGCCGTGTAGCTGTTGAGGTTCTTGGAGAACCACACGTTCTCGCCTACAATCTCGCCGGCCGTCTGGATGTTCTTGCCCGCGCTCTTCTCCGCGTCCGAAATGCGCCAGCAGGCTGCGCCGCCCGACCCCGACTCCTGCGGGAGCGTCAGCGCAATGCGCGTGTTGAGCGCGCCCACGACGAACGCGCCCTTGCCGTTGCGCGAGCAGCCCGTCACGCCCAGCTTGGTGGTGTCGACGCCCGACGTCGCATTGACCTGCTCGAGCGCGTCAATCAGGCGGCCCACGCCCCAAGCCCACGCCGTCAAGGCGCCCGCGCTGTGGCCCGCGCCAAACAGCGTGTAGAATTTGCCCTGGCCGCGCGACGAGCCCGACGCCTGCGACGCGAAGCCGTCGTTGTCAAAGTTGATCGTGCTGACCGTGCCGGGGATGGGCAGCGAGGACCCGCCAATGGTAATAATGGCGGCACCGCCGCCACCCGAGCCCTTCTTGATGGTGCTCGTAAAGGACACCGACTTGCTGCCGACGGTGATGTCGACCTTGAGGCTGCTTCCCGTCAAGGTGCCCTTGACGGCGTCGGGCGGTCCGGGGAAGTCGCCCAGCTCGTACTGCTCCATGGCCTTGAGAATCTCCTGCTGGCGGCAGGCCCACTGGTCCTTTGTGGTAACCTTGGTGCCGTCGGAGGCGGTGAAGGGGTCCGGCAGCTTGGCATTGGACACGGCCGGGATGGAGGCGGGGACGGTGCAGGCCTGCTGGATGCCAAAGATCTCGCGGGCTGGCAGGGCCATGGCCGGGCCGGCGAGGAGGAGGGCGGAGATGAGGTACACCATTTTGAAAGAGGTGTGTCTTGGAGACGATGTCAAAATAAAAAGACGAAGAGGGAAAGGCAAATGGGGGAAAGAGACCAGGGAGAGAAAAATATACTGCAGACGAGGAAACCGGTCTATATATTCGGGGACTTGCTGCGGAGATGCGATTTTGTTTTTGGGTACGTGGGGAGAAAGGGATTGAGGAGGTTAAATATTGAGCATATTGGCTGTCTCCGGCTGATGGGAAGCAGCTTGCGGATGATATGAAGCCGGATGGAAGGCTCCCAAGGCAAGGGAGCTGGATGTGAGTCTGGGCACTGAGTTGAACTCGGCGCTTGGCTGTCTACACTTTACACAACTGTCCATGACTTGCCGATGGGGTTGTCTCTTGTTTATACCATACCACATCATCATGTCACCTATCACCACATCTCCAAGCCCATCGTCTCGTCGCATCTTTGGCCGCGACCGGGCGCCGAAAAAACCGATCCCATGCACTGGTTCCAGTCGAAGATGGGGGCCATGATCAGCCAGGACGTCATTCGTGGTATCTCCGTCTCGTCGGTCGAGGCCTGTAGATAATATCGAGAGGGCGGGAGGCGGAAGTACACCAGACAAGTTATTCCACCAGTGAGGACGAAGGTCAGTAGTTCGGTATTGGTCCGTGTTATATATCCTGGACGTCTGTCTTGGCACTTTATCCTCCCAGAAGGGAACCGGAGACGACTCGTATACTATCAGACGAGATGTGAGGAGAGTGGAAAAACTGGGAAGCATGTTGCAAAGACTGCCGCCAATACTCCTAGTATGCGACTCCGCGTGGAAAAGCCCTTAAATCTGGCGTGGTTTCTCGACCGAATTTGGCCACATAGCCTAAGTGCCTAAAATGGAACCGTATACAAATCCTGTTCTAAATGAAACTGTGCTCTCCCCGCCTACCAAACTGATATTCTATAACGGCAACCCTCCGTAATTGATTTAAACGGTGGTTTTTGCATCCCTTTCCAGAAACAGTTTTGACAGAACGTAAATCTCTCCGTCCTAGATACACCGCTCGACGAATGTTCCTCCGTACTCGCGATACCCGTTGGTACGAGTCATGTCATGAAACATGGTTTCAATGGTAATTCAGCGCAACCTTCCAGGCCAGTGGCCAATGCCATGTGGCCGGCGATGCCGGGCGTGTGGATTCAACGGCGATGCAATGGGATCTCACCAGGGACCAGCTTATTTGCCTCTAGTAAACTGACCCCGTTAGTCCCCCTAGGCACGGGCCGCTCACGGCGGCCGGGCCACTAACAGTGCATGAGACCACCATAGATTTCAACAAGCATCGCCGTACATTTTGCCAGACAGTAGTAAATAAAACGATCCATGCTCCCTGGCTGGAAATAGGGGAGGGCCAAGGATTAGATTTCCTGCTCCTCACACCTACATTCCGGTCCGTTGATCGTGGTCTTTTCTTTACTGACTCCATCTATCCCCAGAACCACTTACAGCTTAGGAGGGCCCCCCTGCTCTCCTGCTGCCTTACTTGCCCGTCTGGCAAGGCTGACTGTCGACAATGCAGCCTCAGCTAGTTGTGGATTTGCCAGCCAACGCGCCGAACAGAACACTGGTTATGTACGGCAGGCTTGGGGACTGTGGTGACTTGCCATTGGTTGTTTCAACCCGGAAAGAAACGCTCGTCGAAAAAAAAAAACGCGCGCGCCAAAACTGAATGTGGCATGTATGTCAATATCGAAGATAGTGGCTGAGTCTTCCAGCTGTTGGGCACCGAGGAAACCTGAGCTCGCCATCACAGGCCACCGAATGGTGAGGCTGAGCCCAAGAGGACTCATAGCACCCATAAAATACACAATATACCCTTCTTTTGTTTCTACGTTTCTTCTTTTTTCCTCTCATGCCAGACCGCACTATTCAAAGCGCCACAAAATGCCAGAACGGCTCAAAAAGCCCCGGAAGGGATTCAAAACTCTGTTCTCACGGGAGCGGCACAACGCCGGTGGGCCGTCAAACCCCGATTTCACGAACATCGGGCCCGCACATGCCGCGCACGCTCCACAAGGCTTGGAGCTGGTGTCGCCAAGTTCGAGCACTCTGCGTGTTGCCCAGGCTCCACTGGTCGACAATTCATCGCCGCCTAATCATGGACAGGGTATGACATATGGCCATACCACATCGCTTGGTCTGGCTTTCAGACCTGCCATCCCACCAGCCCAGATGTCGGTTGCTCTGGCTGCCACACCGGCCTCACCAGTGATTCCAACGCCGCCGCCACTGAACCCCTCGGATATGACGAACACCGGAACCGAGGCCCAAACCAACGCTGACGACATCGAGCCTTGGACGGCGGCATTCCACCTTTTCCAAGAAAAGTCTCCTGATCTTGCTGCCAGCTACGAGAAATGTCTGGTGTCCCTGCTGGGCATGACAGCGGACGACGTGAAGCTGGCCGTGCCACGGTCTGTCGAAACCGTCGTGCAGACACAATTGAAGCGGCGTGAGGGCAAGCAGTGGAAGCTGCCTCTTCCCTTGGGCAAGACAATCAACGTGCGCAAACAGACCGAAAAGCTGGTCAAGCTTTTGCTCTATTTCGATCCGATCGTGAAAGATGCAGTCAGTGCCCAGCCGTATGCAGCACTGGCGTGGTCTAGCGTTTCTATGCTTCTTTCAGTGCGTGACACTCCTTCTATCCCCGAGCCATTCCGCCTGCTTTTGCAACAGTCAAACACTTTGGTACATCTACTAACGTCTTTTCTTCTTCTCCCCCCCCCCCCCCCCTCCTCTCCTACCAGCTGCTCACAAATACCACCATCCAGAACGAAGCGATGCTTGACGGTTTCAATTCTATCAACGACATTCTTGTCTACTGGAATGCCGGTGAAGAGATTCTCCGCAAGGGCAATACCGGAGCCCACTTTCTCAAGTCTCTCAGCAACCTCTACGCTTCTATTATTGAGTACCAGGCCTCCGTCATTTGCCATATTTCAAGTGGCCAAGGCTCTCGAGCACTGAAGAGCGTTGTCGGCGCCGTGGACTGGGCCAAAAAGGCGCAGAAAATTGCCCAGTTGAACACGGCGTGCAAAGACCTCGTGGACATCAGTTGCCGGGCCGACATCCAACGAGCCAACGACAGCACACTACAGGGCATGCGTGACATTGTCGTGGCATTGGAACAGAGTGAGCAACAGACGCATGGCCGCGAGAGGGACGAGAAAGAAGCAGAGCTTCTTCGCAATCTCCAATGCCCCTACGACAGCTACAAAGACTTTAACCGCCAAAGAGTCCACGGGACGTGTGAATGGTTCTTCAACGACGACAGATTCCATGCATGGCGCGATGCCAGCACGTCTAGCCTTCTCTGGGTTTCTGCCGGCCCTGGCTGTGGCAAGTCGGTCCTCTCACGAGCCATTGTCGACGACCTCCGCGCGTCCACCGCCGGCGGCAGCTCCACTGTTTGTCACTTTTTCTTCAAACACGGAGACGAAGACCGCACGCTTGCCGCCAATGCGCTCAGTGCCATCTTGCACGGCTTGTTCACTGAGGACGCATCCCAGCGCTTAATCCAGCACGCGCTGCCGAGCCACAAAAGTCATGGCAAGCGCCTGGCCCAGGATTTCCTGGAGCTGTGGAAGATCTTGACCAGCTGTGCTCAGTCGGACGACGCCGGAGAAATCATCTGTGTTTTGGATGCACTCGATGAATGTGAACAGCAGAGCCGGCATGAGCTCCTCGACCGTCTGAGACAGTTTTACAGGGACCAACAACCCACGTCCGCCAAAGCCTCGAAGCTGAAGTTCGTCATCACAAGCCGCCCCTATGACGACCTCGAAAAACAATTTGCCGGGTTCGCAACAGCCAACTGCATCCAGTTCCACGGTGACGACAAGTCCGCCGAAATAAGTCGGGAGATCGATTTCGTCATTGACGAGCTCGTGGACGAAGTGGCCGGCTCGTTTAGTCGCGACGACAAGAAGAGGTTGAAAACGCACCTCAAGGGCATGACGAACCGCACGTACCTTTGGCTGCATCTTACCTTTGACATTATCAGACAAAGCCCTTGCGAATTCGGCCGACCTTGCGACATCGACGAGCTTCTGTCCATACTGCCATCTCAGGTGGCCGACGCGTACGAAAACATCCTGAACCGGAGCAAAAACAAAAAGCGAACAGAAACAATCCTTTCCATTGTGCTTGCCGCCGAAAGACCGTTGACGCTCCGCGAAGCAAACGTCGCCGTGGCCATGGCCTTTGCGCTGCAAAATAACAAGTCGCCGCCGCCATCCACCTCCGCTGAACTTGATAAACAACTATGGCCAGAAAAAACGTTCAAAAGCGTTGTAACCAACCTCTGTGGCCTTTTCCTCAGTGTGTATGACGAAAAATTAGTCTTCATCCATCAAACCGCGAGAGAGTTTCTCGTCGGCGCCAGAGGCGAAGGCAATGTTTGGCAGGGACGTTTTGCCTTGCCCACATCGCACAGCGTCATGTCGTCCATCTGCGTCCGCTACTTGCTGCTGCAAGAGATACACGTTTCCTATAGGGAATACTTCGATCGCATTACACGTCGCAGATTTTTGGATTACGCCGCTAAACACTGGCATCGGCACCTCGCCGCACAGGATCCCACTGCTAGATTTGACTTGCTGTCAGAAGCTCGCATCCTCTTAGATGGAACTGATATCCGAAACCAAGCTTGGATGTACCAGTCTTCGAAAGTTGAAGTATTGTACGGGATGACCAGCCTGACTGTTGCAAGCCTCTTCTGCCTGACGTCAGTTGTGGAGGACATGCTGAAGACCGGCAAGGTAGATATTAACAAATGCGACGCACATGGCAATACAGCGCTTCACCACGCCGCCAAAGAAGGTCATACGGCAATTGTTTGGCTACTCCTCGATAAAGGTGCCGATATTTACGTACGGAATAGATTCGACGACACGGCGTTTCGAGACGCCGCCGATAACGGCCATACGGAAACTGTTAAGCTGCTACTCGATAACGGTGCCGACATTAATGTGCGGAGCATTCACGGATACACAGCGCTCCACGTCGCAGCCATACGCGACGATTCAGAAATCGTTCAGCTGCTTCTCAAAGAGGGCGCTGACGTTAACGCAAGAGACAGCGACCGCTGGACGCCGCTCCACAGAGCAGCTGAAGGCCGTAGTAATAAAATTTTTCGGCTCCTCCTCGACAACGGCGCCGACATTCATGTGCGGAGTAAAGACGGTGAGACGCCACTCTGGTACGCGGCGTATTTTGGCAATAGTGAAATGGTTCGGCTACTACTCGAAAAAGGTGCCAACGTCGATGTATTGAATCGTTGGGGTGAGAGCATACTCCACTATACAGCCGACAACCATGCAGCCGAAAACGGCCATACCGAAGCCTTGGGATTGCTCCTTGCCAAAGGTGCCGACATCCACGTACAGAATGCGAAGGGCAACACGGCACTCCATATTTCAGCCAAGTACGGATATACGGAGGCGGTAAGACTCTTTCTTGATCACGGCGCGAATATAGACGCACAAAACCGGGACGGCCAAACAGCACTCTACAAGGCGCTGCAGGAAAATCACATGAGCGTGATTCGGCTACTCTTGGAATACGGCGCCGACGTTTTTGTACAAGACGTTGACGGCAGGACGGCACTTGAAGCCACGCACGAGAGTGATCCCGCCAAAGCCACTGAGATACTGTCAATAGCATTGGAACTGCTCGGGAAACGGGTAGACGACTTTCCTAAGCAGGATCTGGACGGTCTGAAGGAGCTTGCAGCCAGAGTCGAGAGTAGCCTCGCTACGGCTCACAGACTCTACGAGAAATGGTCTGGCATCGCCATTGAGTTGACCGTGATCGCCTCTCCCCTTCCTTTGCAAGACAACGAAGGAATTTTAACATGGCAGGACGAAAACATGCAACTCGTCGCGTCCCAACATATCTGGGGTTTCTTAAGAGAAATGCAGAGGGGGCGGGAAATGGTTATGGGCAGGAGTGGTGTACAGAGGCAGCCAAATGGGTAATCAATTTCAGGGCTCGCGTATAATTGCTTGTATTCGTCACATGGCTTTTCGGTACAGTCTTCCATTCATAAACTTTTTGCTCCGTTTCGAATTCACAGCTCTCGGCTCTTATCAGATGAATGGCCAGCACACCTATTGCATTTTTACGTAAGTGAGAGAAAGTAACAATGCAATGGCAAGGAAAAAAGGAGGAAGGGAAACAGAAACTGAGGCAAAAAGATATTACATTTTGTAGAAACGGACGTGACGGGCATTATTTGTGTAGATGGACCGTGCAAGTGACTGTTGTGCCGGTATAAATGAACATTAATCTATTTTCTCCATGGCACACTGCCCCACAAAGGCTGCGGATGAGGTGCTGTGTTTTGTTTCGTGCATTTTCCATCTTCCGCAATTTTGTACTAACCCGTTTGCCCTCTTTTACACCTTCGAAATTGTGTTTGCTCTCGTGCAAGAACCACAGGCCGAAGCGAAGGAAGGATGGCACCGATGCGGGTGCCACAGTCTCATCCTGGATGTGTATTTGCAGGTCCTCCGTGACCTTTGTGTGCTCCGAGTTTCGTAAAACCACATTGTCGTAGTAGAAAGCCGTGCTCTTGTGTTCTTGTCCCTTTTTAGCGGCCGTCTCGGTACGTCGTTGCATCACCCCTTTACTCCTCACATTCGCCTCCATGTACATGGCCTCCCCCGGCCTTCTCGGCCTTCTCGGCCTTCTCGGCTTTTTGTTTACACCAATGACCCAGGCCCACGGCGGCCTCGCCAACTACACCGTCGGCGACCCGCCGGTCTGGTACCGCGGCTACGACCCAGACGAAAATGCGGCCGAGCAGGACGGGCAGCCCTGGATGGTCCAGCGCAAGTGGGCATCCATCGACCCCATCTTCACTGCGGCCGACCCGTTTTTGGCGTGCAACAAGCCCGGCACGCCCGGCCCCGCGTACATTCCCGTGGCGGCGGGCCAGAACCTGACGGCCGTCTACTGGTACTGGCTGCACCCGGTCGGGCCCATGTCGGCGTGGCTGGCGGCCTGTCCGCCGCTGGACGAGGGCGGCTGTGTGGGCGTCGACGTCAATGCGCTGCGCTGGTTCAAGATCTGGGAGGCCGGGCTGCTGGCCGGGACCGGCAACCTGGCCGAGGGCATCTGGTACCAGAAGCAGTTCCAACACTGGGATGGTTCCCCGGACCTGTGGCCGGTGACCATCCCGGCGTCCTTGCAGGCCGGCCTCTACGTGGTGCGCCACGAGATTGTGAGCATCCACATTGCGAACCGGCCGCAGTTCTACCCGGAGTGCGCACACCTCAACATCACCGGCGGCGGGACGGAGCTGCCGCCGACGTCGTTTTACAAGACATTTCCAGGCGCGTACAGTGTGGATGGTAGGTCGCTTGCGAGGGAAGTATGCAAAAGGACAGTTGGAATACGATACTGACACCCGCTGAAAGATCCATCGCTGAAAATCGACATTTACTCGGACGCAATGCGCAACACATATGTACGTCTTTGGCCCTGAAGCAAGGTTGTCTGAGGGGATGCTCGAAGAGACACTGACAACGCAGAATTACACCATCCCTGGAGGACCAGTCTGGACAGGGTGAGTCGAGTGTCGGCACATACGACCTACCGTCAGTCACAAGCTAACAAGTTAGATTACCTGTCGACATATATTGTGTAGGATGTTGAGCTCGTATTTTAAAAGAAGTAATAAGTGGAATAAAACAAAAAAGGTCTCCAAGTGTGTAGTCCATTTATGTTCAAGCTACTATTTCTTTCATTTCAATTATTTTCTTATTGTTTCTCTTTTCTTACACGTTTCTTTTTTTATCACTCTCTTATAATAAGCTTACATGTGTCCTCGTAAGACGATGACGATGCATCTTCATATTATTATTTCATACGATTAGTCCCTTATCTGATGTTGACTTCCTAAAGCGAAGTTCACCGCAACTAACAAGACCACTGTGGGCGCCCCTTATCGGACGATGCTAGTTACACCTTCCCTTGTAAGATAACGCTAACCCCACCTGGTTTTCAGCGATCTGGACCCTGTCCGGTCCCCACTTTATTTTGTCACGACATCTCACGAGCACTCGTCGCACTTTCCGCCACGATCCTTATCCTTCTCAAACAGCGAACGTCGCCTCCAATTCTACGACAACGACCTTGACCGAGCTCGCATTCCACCACCACCAGGCACTGCCCACCATCGACGTCCTCATTATACAGCCGTGAGCTCTAAGCTCTGCAAATGCTTTTGTCGTCCGGCCCCGACTGGCCACGGTCATCGAATCACACTCTCGCGACACTCGCCTCGATCGACACCGCTGAATATTTCAACGTTCCTCAGCCTCCCTCCCATCATTCATGGGGTAATCGATACGAGCAATGCCCCTTTGCGCCTCCGCATCATCCATAGACACCTCCCCGGCCATGGCGTCCCGCGACTGTTTCCCGCTCCCAGGGGAGCTCATCGACGCCATCCTGTCGCTGCTCGGCCCCCAGGACCTCGCGCGCGTCACCCAGGTCAACCGCACCATGCGCACCTATGCGCTCGCCGACCGCTACTGGGTTGGCTTCACGCTGCAACACCTGCCCGAGCGCGTCCACAAGCACTTCCCGCCTTCCGAGTCGTGCGTGCCGCTGCCCCCTCACATCCCATCGTACCACCACCTGTACGCCGCCCACGAGGCCCGCTGGTTCCTGGCGCGCTACAAGATCTGGCTCTGCGGGCACGACATGGTTGGCAAGATTGTGGTGGCGCGCTACGATCCGCGGCGCGGGTGCCTCGAAGGCTACCGGCTGCTGGCGGTGTCGCGCGAGAGACAGCGGCGGGCGCTGTTCTACCCACCGGCGCCCAACACGATGGTGCACTCGTTCCACCCCGAGGTGCTGCTGCACCTGGACCGGCCTGTCCTCAAGCTCGAAGCGCGGCACCCGCCGACGAACGAGGACGCCGCCAAGGCGGACGGCGCCTCGGCGACAGGGACGCTGTCGTCGGCCAACACCAACGGGCCCAAGATTGTGCTGTACCAGCCGCCGGCGCCGTTGTCGTTTGGGCAGTACATGGAAAACAAGGCAGGACACACGGGAGCCAGCACAGACGACGCGGACGACACAGGTGGCGACACGCCCTTGCCGCCGGTGTGTCCGCGCATCCGGCCCATCGTGATGGACATGGACGGCGACAATGTATTGCTGTCGCAGAACAATGGCAGCGACGGCGGCAGCAATGGAGGCAACCGGCGAAACGGCCGTGGCAGTCCGAATGGCGACAACACCGGCATCGACAACATCCACATTGCTATGGCCAACAACAGCAGCAGAAGCAGCTTTGTCACGAGCAGCCAGCTGCGGAGGCAGTTTGTCTATGCGCGGCCGCTGACCGAAAAGGCGGCCAAAGGCGGGGGCTCGTTTACCAGGCGGGGCGAGAGTGCCGGCGGCCAGGCTGGCGACGACGACGACGGCGGTGACGGCGGTGACGGTGCTGGGGGTGCCCAAGCAGGCACCATAGACACGACAGTCATCCACGGCGCCCACAACGCCGGCGGTGCTGGCGCCACCCTCAACATGCCTGCCGACGACGAGCTCCCCATCGGCCGGCCGCCGTCCGCCTCGTCGCCCCTGCCCTTCCCCCTCTACACCGTCTGGCCGCCGCCCGCGATTCCGTCCGAGCACCGTGTCCGCGGCACAGGCATCAGCGCCAACCATTATCCGCGCGGCGCCGTTGGCCAGCCGCGCCTTCGCTCGGAGATTTCCGACCGCGCCTTTCACATGCGCACCTGGATGGACATGGGCGCCCCGCTCGGCGGCGGCGGCGGCAGCAGCAGCAGTGGCGGTAGCGGTGGCGGCTCGCCCATGACGTTTGACGCGCTCGAGACGTACGCCACCATCGACCCCAAGCACTACACGCCCACCGAGGACAAGGTGTATCGCGGCATCTGGGCCGGCGACTACAGCAGCCATGGCGTCGAGTTTTTGCTCGTGCACCAGCCAGACGACGACGACGTCGACGGCACCAGCCCGTTTGACCCCGACGCGTTCCCCCAGCGCGACGACGAAAGCGACGCCGACCACGCCCGCCGCGTCCACAGCGCCCGCATCCACCGCGGGCGTCTCGAGGGCATCAAGCTGACGGGCGACCCCAACGTGCCGCGCGGCGAGCGCTCCTTTGTGGCGCCGGACCTCAGCGACGCCGGCCTCGACGTCGTGATCGACGAGGCGCCCTTCCAGGGCGTGCGCGTCGTCAAGAGCGAGGGCCACATTGCCGGCACGGGCTTCCGCAACGACCGCTACGTGGAGTCGCGCCTGCTGCTGATCTCGCCGAACCAGCTGGCGCAGTACTGGGTGGGCTTTGGGCACATTTCCTTTTTTGAGCGGGTGGACATTGACAGGTTTGTGGATGCGATTGGCTAGAACATGGACACACAATGGACACAAGACGGACAGGACAATGGACGACTGGTGGAGGACATGACGATTTATGACAACGATACCATAGAACGCTATATACACCAAACGGGCAAGTTGTATGCGTACGGCGGCACAGGCGGCTACTCTTTTGTATATACATCCTACCTCTCATGATTTACTAAATTGAAACATACCTGCTGGCCGCATTGCATTCGAGATGTGCAATTTGATTTCTTTGTGCGATGTGTAAGTGTTGGGCTGACTTCTTTGGCCGAGGCGGTTCCTGGTTACGACGCACTTTTTTGGTGCTGTTTCTGTTTCAGGGCGCATCCCACCACGCTAACAACCACTGGTGACGTCAGGGGTTTCACAGCGAATTCCTCTGCGCACATGTAAATTCAAATTTTCACCACGTTGACATCGACTTGCGACCGACTCACAATCCAATTGACAACACAGCACAACGTCCCGTGGCCAGCATGCCCTCTCCTGAAGAATACCGCATCCTCGTGTCCGCCGGCACCGACTACGACCCGGCCACCCACGTGCCCATGCGCGTCAACTCTGCAACGCCGCTGCACCTGCAAGGCCCCGGCGGCGATGTCTGGCTGAATGTGCGCGTCAAGAACTACCGCGGGCCCGAGCGGCACCCCGAGGTGGGCGAGGTGCCCGACCCGGCGACGTCGCCATACTTTGAGAAGGAGCCGCACAAGACGAATGACGACACGTACGGGATCGGCGTGTGGTTTGTTCCTCGCGCGCCGGCCGGCAAAGACGGCGAGGACGGCGAGGACGGCGAGGACGGCGAGGACAGCGGCGACAGCAGCGTCGCAGGCATCAGTGGCACCGACCTCCAATGGGGCAACGACTTCGACGAGCCGCTCCGGGACCGCCTGCCGCCCGGGTTTGGCGCGGCCTTGCGAATCGTCAAGTGGTGGATCGATCCCGGACTGGAGGGCGATCCGTATGCGGACAAGCCGTACCTGTACGGGCCAGCCCTGAGTTCGTTTAACCAAGTGTATGCTGCTCTGGGTGACGTGCCTTTTGACGAAGACGACGCGGACGAGCGAAGCGAGGAAGTCGAGGACGATGGGGAGGAGGAAAAGAAGAGCACGCACAGCGGCGAGAACAAAAGCGAGCGAAGTGAGGACAAAAACAAAAGCGAGCGAAGCGAGGACAAAAACAAAAGCGAGCGACGCGTGGACCAAAAAGAAAACGGGCGGAGCAAAGACACAAAGGACCACACACAACCGCCGGTCGACGCCGACTGCGGCCTATGGTTCGGCGAGGGCGGCGACGCCGGCGGACGGGCCTGGCGCGCGTCGATTGGCGCGCCGGGCGACGACACGGGCGACGGCAAGGCTCGTATGAAGTGGGCGCTGGGCGCAGACGCCAAGGCCCAGTGGACGTGGCAGTACGGCCAGGGCTACGGCCTCGACTTCTACAACGGCTACCTGGACTTTGCGGACCTCACGCTGCGGCTGCCCGGGTTCCACCTGCCGCTGCTGCGGTACTATGCGAGCGACAAGGCGGAGAAGACGTGCCTGCGGTATGTGCTGCGGCACCGGGGCACGGGGCAGGTGTACTTGGTGGTGGTGTTCCGGCTGGTGCGGTCCACCAACAAGGACGGCAGCGAGGACGGCGAGGAGACGGACACGGGTGACGTCGAGGAAGAGCCCGTCGACGTCGACGAAGACAAGATTATCGACGAGGCACGGCGGAAGCTGTCGGCGCAGGACATCAGCGCGGACGATGTGGACTGAGTGTTTTCCTTTTGCGGAAGCGATGTTCGATACAGCTCTATTAGACGATAAAATTAATTCTATGCGCTTCTCTATGTTATGCGCAATCTACCATGTACTGTTTTCCGGGTATCATCTATCGTGTGGTGCGGCGATCATCGCGTTTCTATCCTGCTGTCATGCACGAGGAGACTGCCGTCGCCTTTGGTGCCTTCTGTCTCAGGTCGCCAACGCCTGCGCAAACTTGCTCCGCCGCCGGATGCGGTCGCCAAAGTACAGCAGCACCCACGGCACCAGCGTCAGGCCGGTGCCAATGGCGCCCAGCAGCGCGCCCGCCCGCGCAATGCCCATGTTGGTAAAGAGCGGGCGCATCACGAGCGGGAAGATGCCGCCCAGCACGTTGCGGCAGCAGCCCTGCGCGGCGAGCGCGGAGCTGGCGAAGCGGTGGTAGACGTCGGCCAGGTAGTTGAAGGTCGACAGGTAGATGGCAAAAATGCCGACGGTGGAGATGCCGATGCCAAACACCGGGGCGATCCAGTGGTAGTCGGGGCGGGCCGTGAAGCCAAAGATGAAAAGACCGACGGGCAGCAGGATGGACGTGACACAGGCGCCGCACAGGCGGGCTTCGGGCACGCCGCCGGCCTGGAAACGGGCCCGGAGGGCGGCGGGCAGCGGCAGGATGGTGAGGAGGTAGCGGTCCTGGTAGAGGCCCATGACGGTGGCGACGGCGGCGCCGACGAACATGCTGGCAAAGGTGTAGCCGGCCTGCTGCACGTTGAAGTCGTAGACCTCTTCAAACACCAAGAAGATGCTGCCAAAGGTGAGGTAGAGCACGGCCCACGCAAACGCGACCCAGAGCGAGAAGAAGAAGACGACGGGCTCGGTGAAGAACATGTGGAACGGGCGGTAGACGGACATGCCAATCAGCTTCCAGACGGTCGTGCGGTCCTCGTCGTCCTTGACCACCCAGCGCACGCGGCGGAGCGCAGACGTCGGAACGGGCGATGCGGGCGACGAGAGGGACGGCACCTCGCTCGCCATGGTCGTCTTTGGCTCGCCCTCGACGCGGTGCTGCGACTGCTTGGCCAGCGGCGGCAGGCAGGCGTCGTCGTCGTCGGCCGGCAGCCACACGCCAAAGTAGCCGGCCGCCTCGCGCGCCCCATACCACGCGTTGAGGGCCTTGGCCTTGCGTGACAGCAGCACGGACCCGCGGCTCTCGTGAAACAGAAAGACGAGGGCGACCATGAGCACGGCGTCGGCAATGACCTGGTGCCAAAACACCCAGCGCCAGGGCGCGCGCAGGCTCGTGTCGGTGGCGACGTCGTGGGCGCTTTGCGGGTACGTGGTGCGGTAGGTGATGACGGCCGACACCAGCGGCCCGCAGCCCGTGGCAAAGAAGACGCAGCCGCTAAACAGCGCCATGGGCGTGTTGCGGCCTTCGGCGTGCCACATGTCGGCAATGACGCCGCCGACCACGGTGCTGAACACGGAGCCGCCCACACCCACAAGCAGCCGGGCCACGAGCATGGCGCCCACGTCCGGCGCGGCGCCGCTGACCACCTGGAAGACGAGCATGACGCAGCCGGCAAACACAAACACGGGGTAGCGGCCGTTGTACTCGGACAGCGGGGCCATCAGCATGGGCGCCAGCGCGAAGCCCAGGCAGTACACCGTGATGCCCGCAAACAGCGTGACCGTGGGCGACGTGCCAAAGGCGGCCGACATGCGCTGGACCGGCGGCGAGAAGGAGCCGGCGCAGTACGCCGTCAGAAACGTGGCGATGCACGACAGCGCAAGCATTGTGTACTTGCGGCGGACGGGCCACAGGTGCGGGTCGGTGAATGGCTTGAGGTTGGGCGGTGGCGGTGGTGGTGCGGCGGCAACATCTGTGTTGTTGTCGTTGGCGCCTCTGCACGGAAATGTGTTGGGCGGCGGCAGCTCGGTGGCATAGGTAAAGTAACGATGCTCAATATGCAGCGCGGACGGGTCGACGGTGCTGCCGTCAATGCCGGTATCCGCGCGATGCGGCGCCGATGTCGACGTGGGCGCGGCCTCTTGCACGCGAATGTCGCTGGCCGTGTCAGACGCAGACTCCTCGAGGCTGCCGTCGATGGCTGTCTTCTCGCCCTCCTTGTCGATGGCCGAGTCGAGGCTGGAGCGGGAGGGCCCGTCGGCCCGGCCCAGCGGAGATACTGTGGCCATGGCGTGTGCTGTTGACTCGAATACCTTATGCCGGGATGCGATTTTTTCTGAGTGGCGATGTTTCACCAGGAGAGGAAGGATGTTCATGCATCCAGAAGCCAGACTGGGACGAGGGCCCATATGCTGTTTAAGTGATGTAGGCAGGGGAGATATGACAAACCCGAGAAATCGAAACAAATGTCCTAAAAAGGAAAGAATCAGAGAAATAACGAAATCAACCGGTAACGACAGAATTAGGAAGGTCCATGCACAATATCGATTCTCGATGGTGTGTCAAGCGTTGTTGTTTTGCCCGTAATGATGGGACAACGAAAAAAAGAAAAATGAAAAGAAAAAAGATAAAACATGTTCATAGTCACAACGGTAGTAAAGGTCAACCGCTTCGGCAGAAGTTAGAGGTGTAGTCATAGATGCCGAAGCCGCGAGCCAGTGGCCAATCGCACAATAGGAAAGTGGATGCAGATGAAAAATGCATGCCAGAAGGACAAACAACCGCATGGAGAGAAAACGTCCACAATCCCCTTGCGTCCAATGACGAGAAGCGGCCACAAACGCACAAACGACGCACGCCCTTCGATCGACGTGCGGATACCCGTCCTCTGCGCGTGTGTACATGGAGCAAGCCGTATTTCGGCCGTGTCCCCTCTCTTCGTTCTCTTCGTCCCTCAAATCTGCAATCCCCTGCTAAATGCCGGCGCGGCGCACCCACTTGGCACCCGCCCATTAGCCCGAGCACTAACCCAACAGAGGGGACGGGTTCAGCAGGTCGGGTTGCAGCGCCATGATCGGTGTCTTGTTGGTTTGCCTGTGAAGGCTTCTTTGGGAGGAGCATCTCCGCGTAGTCTGATCATGGCGTCGACACGGCTTCTGTAAAGAAAGAGGCCGATGAAGACGAGGTATGCTGACGGATCCGACGAAGCAGCTGCACAATAGGACGGGTAATCAAATGGAGGGCGAAGATAGCGAAGCGAAAACGAATGATAACGAAATCGATGCAGATGCTGCATCCGCCCCTGGTCCTGCATCTCGGTGGCCTACCCGTAGAACGTTTTCTTTTCGAAATTTCTTGCCTTTTTGACTCGCTGTTAGTTTCTTTCCCCGATGCGGCGTTCAACCTGCAGCCAGGCGGTTGGATACGGGATTGATTAGTCTTGTGGAGGTTATTGCCGACTTTCGGCACCAATCATTGTTACCTCCGGACAGCACAGACGAGGCCGCGGACTGTTGTAAATGTCCCCGATTGGGACACTGCATTGTTATTTCCGAGGTCTGTCTACAGTGTATCGTTCTGGTCCGCTGTTGTGTCGACTAAGAACTGAGTAAAGTACAGCCTTTGCGGTTCTTTCGTAGGACGTAAATTACTCCAAAACCCTTGGACGTTTGTCGTGGTTCGAATACGGAGGCGCCTAGCGGCAGCTGAGCACGGGATGACTTACAAACGTAGTCTCATGGGGAATCACGATTGGCCTCATCGATGTGGCGGTGCCAATGTAAAGATGTGTTGCCAGTCCTATTGATCTTCTTGTTGCTCGCCATAATTGTTGAGGCTTCATGTCAGCGTCTGTCAGGATGAACACGCATCACATGACCACGCGCCACACACCGGTACACACCTTCCTCAGTCGAGGCAGCGCAGCATTGTGTCCCCCCAAAGTGGCATCAACTCTCAACGTTGACAGTTCCAAACTCCATTCTCTCGACAGGATGCCTGACCTCCAGCGATGCCTTGCAACTCCATGAGATATTGAAGGCCGTCGTGCGTTGGGCTCCACTGTTGACATCACAGGCATACAACATATTCCGACAGCACTAGATCAGAATCACGTGACTGCGCCCTTCGACTTGCATCGACGTCGAGAAGGTTGATCACTTCACAGCTTTCGCCGCCTCACCGTTCCAGCCTCCTGGGAGCTGCGTGTCAGATGTGCAACTGAAGCAGCTCGTCAGCATTGGGACTGCGCATCATTGAAAGCGGAGACCGTGTCAGCATCACAGGATTACTAGACACACTCACACAGTGTAAGTAGAGGTGTGGATCCAACGACGACGTGCCGAGGCTCAGATCCCGTTCTTGAAAAGCAACCGACCGCCGTCTGTCAGAACCCTGTATTTCTGTCCTTCCCCGTGCTCTTGTAGTACAATTGCAAGACAAACATCGCGCCACTTCCCCATTTCCGAAATTCGACCATCACCATGGCTCCGACCTTGCGTGACCTCGTCTCCATCGAGGCCCTTGGCCCCAACGAGTTCGTCTCCAAGATCAATCCCGTCCGCCTCGGCAATGCCGCCCCAATTGCCTACGGAGGCTGCGCCCTCTCCACCGCCATGCGGGCCGCCTTTGCCACCGTGCCCGACAACGCCGGCTTTGCGCCCTACTCCATGCTCGGCCACTACTTGGGCCCGGCCGCGACCGACCGCAAGCTCTATGCGCGGGTGACGTCGACGCGCCAGAGCCGGTCGTTTGCGACGCGCCGCGTGGAGATCCGCCAGAAACTCGACAACGGCCAGTTCCGCAACTGCCTCGAGGCCACCGTCGACTTCCACGCCCACGAGCCGTCCGTCATGGAATACTCGGCGCCGACCTGGGGCCAGTGGGCGCACCCCGAGGACTGTCCCGTGATGGGCCTGCACGCCGGGGCCGACGACGACGCCATGGTGCGGCGCGTGGCCACAGACGCCCAGGCCGCCATGTTCCGGCAGACCTTTGCCTCCAACGCGGCCTTCTTCGAGACGCGGAACTGCACCAACGGCGTCGCCGCGCAGAACCTCAACGGCGTCGTCAAGACCGCGCAGACTACGCAGCACACGCTGCCGCTGACGGCGCGCCTCTCGGCCGACTGGTCGCGCGGGCTGGACGCGCTCGCGACGCCCGCCGAGAACTTTGCCGCCCTCGTCTTCCTCATGGACGGCGGCCTGTCGTTCCTGCCGCTCTGCCACGGCAACCTGTGGTTTGACGACGTCGGCGCCTGCTCGAGCCTCGACTTTGCCGCGCGCTTCTTCACTGGCCAGGTCCGTGTCGAGGACTGGGTCCTGCGCGAGCGGCAGACCTCCCGGGCCGGCGAGGGCCGGACCTACAGCGAGGGGCGCTTTTTCGACGTGTCCGGGCAGATGGTCGCCTCCATGACACAGCAGAGCATCATGCGGGCGCGGCCGGCACGGGCAAAAAAGGACCAGGCCAAGATGTAGAACTAGAACGAGAACAAGAGCAAGAACCAGAAGAAGAACTAGAACTGGAAATGCGTCGTGCAGGGCGACGATGCGCGAGTCTTGTATATGTTGGTAGCTGGTATTTACCACACGTTTTGCTATTTGTAGAGTATTATGACTATTATGATTATCCAACATTAAAAAGGTACTAGGGAACTCGACGGCAACGTACGCATCTTGCTGCGCGGGAATAGACAAATTGTACATTAAAAAAAAAAAAGAAAAGGAGGTGCAGCGCCGGCATTCTTGCTCCACGCGCATGGTCTGCAGCTAGAACTCATAGTATCGAACCTTGGTGCCTCCAATCATGACGTACTGAGGCGGCCCTGACCTTTGACCACGGGCTGATTCCGCATCTCCATCTCGTGCGACTTGCTGTGTTTCAGTCACGGGTGTGTATGGTTCTGTTTGTTGTCGTTGCTGTTGTTGATGATGATGCTCTGGCGCCGGAACCGCTGGCACTTCTTCATGGTGGCCGTCTGCTGGCATCTCGACCCGCGCTGGCGCTGGTGCATGTGATGCTGCTGGCATCTCGGGGTATTGTGCAGCGCCACCGCCAATCTCGTGGATCAGATGCGCCGGGTGTGGTTGGGGTTGTGCCAGTTCAGCTGCCGTGGGCGGGTGTTGGGACTGGAACGGAGACTGCACCGGCGAGACGTTGCTGAGAGTCGATGCCTGTGGTTTTGGCGTGCCCGTCTTGTCGAGCTCCGCCATGGGGTATTGTTGGTACGCGTTCATCGGGGGCGGGCCCGGGGCCGGCGCTGGAGCTGGAGCCGGTGCCGCCGTCTGGTACGGCACTTGGCCAGGGGCTTGACCGGTGGCCCAGGCGGCTTGCGCGGCGATCAGCATGGCCCTTTTGTTGGCCCGGTGCAGGGCGCGGCGCATGTTGCGACGATGGCATTCAATGCAGGCGCGGACGAAAAGAATCATGTTGACGACGCTGTCAGGTTAGTTGTTCGTTGTCCCAAGTAAGAATCGTAAGAATAGTAATAATAGTCATAAAATAACACGGCAGACCGGCCGACCTCAACATACACGAGAGGCCAGAGGCAGATGCACAGGACCAATTCCATGGTCACGTAATGGGCGTATCCTTTTGTCTTCTCGGCCACGGACAGCCTATAGTCCGACATCGGCCAGTAGGTGAAGATGGAATCGAACGCGTATTCGGACGCGATCAGTCCACCGGCCACTGTGCCTGTCAGCCAGATCACCAGGTGCATGCCGACATGCGCGCCGGGGTGGATGCCGCGGTTGCGTCGGACCACGAGCGTGACGAGCTCGGCGACGGGCCATAGAATGGCAAGGATGCCCTTGGTCGGTCAGTACGATGCTGTCCTGTTATACTGTCCTGTTGTACTCCATATGTTTTGAACGTCGCCAAACGTCGTCAAACGTCGTGGAGACTCACCGGTGGAAACGACAGTCCGGCATCGAGATAGCCATTGAGGTCGGGGTACGGCATCTGGGCCACAACCACAGCGCCACTGACAGCCGACACGACAATGCCCGTGACAATGCTGAGGCCTTCGAGCGCGGCCTTGGCGAAGAACCACTTGCGGCCGCTGACGATTTTGTGCGAAACGTCCTTGTTGCTGGGCGCGACCGGTTCCAGTGGCAAAAACCCCTGAGAGGCCTGGTAGGGCGCTGGCTGTTGGTATTGCATATTGGCCATGGCCGCGATCCTGCTCGAAACGATGCGAAATTGAAAATACAAAGCACAAAATCAAAATCAAAATCAAAATCAAATCACAGTCGCCAACAGCACAAGAAAAGGAAAAGAAAATGTCACTGTGCACCTTTTCCATACTCTACTTTATTTCGACGTACTCCTCTATTGTACTTGGTATCCCATCGTGGCTCTTCTGACGTTCAGTTTGTCTACCCGTATTTACACGTACAGGGCTGTCCTCGTTTGCCATTTCCGGCAAAGATCACCATAGGGGGGCAGATGTGCACTGCTAGAACGCCTTGCCCGTCTCGTCCAGGATTGGTGCCACTTCTCGCCGTCCTGCCTTACAGGGGCACAACGCAGAGTACCGGCCAGAGAAAAGAGAGCGATCGACAAGGGCTGCCAACAGGGCCTGAAACAGACTGCGCGAACGGGTTGTCAAAAGAAGGGCGCAGAGGAGAGATTGGCAACGGGAAATGAGAAATGGAAAAAATGCAATGCGACCAGAAAAGGACGGACGGACGAGCAGCGGCAACGAACCGGGGGCGGTGCAGCTTCAAGCTTATTTTCTCAAGACGGCAAACGACTTGTTGGTCAGTGCGTTTGCTCGCCAGTCCCGTATTCCGTATTCCATTAAAAGGAGTGGCAACGTACAGATGGTATCTTAGAGCGCAAGAAGAACATACTCTGCACGCAATACAGCGTACACGTGTTGTACAACGTACGAACGACCAAAAAACGCTTTCATTCAGGCTGCTGGGACTCACCCGTCTATTTATTCATACAGTCTTCGGGTATCTTCTATCACGCCATGCCGGCCGTCGCGTCCATTTACACAATTGCCCGGTGTCACCTCCTGTAACATCACAGCTTGCTGTGCATGGCCAGCTGGTTCCGCTTGCTGTCGCCTCCGTGCGCCACCTTGACCGGCGCATCAAACACCGTCGCGTCCTTCTTTTCCTGGCGCGCCTCGAGCGCGGCGTAGTCCCGCGCCGCCTCGCCCACGTACACCTGCCGCGGCCGCCAGATCTTGACGCCCTTGGGGTCCAGCATCATCTGCCGCCAGTGCGCCAGCCAGCCGACGCACCGCGGCACGGCAAACAGCACGGGGTAGAAGTCGAGCGGGAAGCCCATGGCCTGGTAGATGAGGCCCGAGTAAAAGTCGACGTTGGGGTAGAGGCTGCGGCTGCGCATGAACTCGCTCTTGGCGGCGTGGTCGGCCAGCGCAATGGCCGTGTCGATGAGCTGGTTGCGGCCGGTGACGGCAAACACCTCCTCGGCGAGCTTGCGGATGGCGACGGAGCGCGGGTCGACGTTCTTGTACACGCGGTGGCCGAACCCGACCAGCACGCGCTCGCGGCGCTCGACGGCCTGCATAAACGCCGGCACCTTGTCGGGCGACCCGATCTCCATCAGCATGCGGATCGCGCTCTCGGACGCGCCGCCGTGGCTGGGGCCGTAGAGCGCGGCGCAGCCGGCGGCGACGGCGCTGTAGGGGTCGACCAGGGAGCTGCCGACCTGCAGGACGGTGGCGGTGCTGCAGTTGATTTCGTGGTCGGCGTGCAGGATGAAGAGCGCGTCGAGCGCCTTGGCCAGCACCGGGTGCGGGCGGTAGGTGTCGCCGCCCGACAGGTTGTCCAGCATGTAGAGGAAGTTGCCCGTGTACGACAGGTCCTGGGCGCTGCCGGGGCGGTTGAAGGGGCGGCCCTGGCGCATGCGGTAGGCGGCGGCCGCGAGGGTGGGCGCCTTGCCGATGATGCGGATGATTTGCTTGTCGAGCGTGCGCAGCGCGTCCATGTCGCCGCTGGCGGCGCGCGTGTAGAGCTTCTGGCCCTGCAGCGACGGGTTGGCCTCGGGCGCGAAGGCGCCGAGGCTCGCAAAGGTGGCCGTCAGCATCGACATGGGGTGCGAGTCGTAGCGGAACGACTTGAGCATGCCCTCAATGTCGGTGTGCACGTACGTGTGGTGCATGACCTCGTCGCGCCAGCCGCTGTACTGCGCCGCCGTCGGCAGCTCGCCGTAGATGAGCAAGAAGGCCGTCTCGAGGAAGTTGCTGCGGGCCACGACCTGCTCGATCGGGTAGCCGCGGTACCGCAGCACGCCCTCCTGGCCGTTGATGAACGTGATGCGGCTCTGCACGACGGCCGTGTTCATGTAGCCCGGGTCCAGCACGCGCAGGCCCTGGGGTGTCTCGTCCTCCTCGCGGTCGCCAGGCTGCGCGGGGGCCCGGACCTTCTTGATGTCGGTGGCGAGCACCGTGTTGTTCTTGATGGGGATCTCATAGACCTGGTTGGTGCGGTTGTCGACCACCGTCAGCGACTGACGCGGTCCTTTGGCGACGGCGACCATGCTTGCGAGGCGGGTTTTGGGGGGGGGGGGGGGGGGGGGGGGGGTGGGTGGTTGTAGTCGAGAGGGATTGTTGGATTTTTTAATTCAAAGAGGGTCCCCTCGCAAAGATGCCGCCTGTTTATGTACAAAAAGCCAATACGACGACAAACCCGACGAGGAATGGTTTAAGCTTTGGCTAGGAATGCAAGAAGACCGGCCGCGGCTCGACCTCGGTTAAGAAGAGAAGACTGGGCCATTGCTCGGCGCTGGGGATAAGCTGCACTAGCACATGTTTGAACCGCTGTGGAGTAGGCGCACGGCTGGAAGCGCCAGACTGGGATGACGTCAGCCTAATGGTTCGGTGCACGTGCCGAATTTCGCAATGGACCTCGAAACTGCCACGCACAACGTCGCTTCCCGATCCGTCGTTACAACCATTGTTCCTTCCTTCACGAGCACACCAGCTGTTTCAGCTGACACGTGCCGCGTAGCGAGACAAAGGAATGGCATGAATTCAGGTATCGACTGCTTCGCCTACACTGTTCTCGCTGCACTACCAAACGAGCGGCGCGTCAAGATGCCGTTTCTTCTGCAGCCGTCGCCGCGACCGGTCCTGCCGGTCTTGCCGGCCCTGCCTCTCCTGTCGGCCTCTGCCAATGATGCTCATGGTGCCTGCCCATAATCGGTGACCTGACTCTTGTTCCAGCCGAGACAAGTGACCCGACTCCTCAGCACAGACGTCCATTGTCCCAACCATCTTTTCGTCAATGATATCGACGACGTCGACGACATCGACACGATCCCCCTCCAACTGCAGAGGCGATCCAACCACGCCGACGGCCAGACCCGCGGCCGCCAGACGCTCCCCGACAAAGCTGCGCGGATGTGTCCCACAGAGGCCCAACAAGGCCACGAGCGGCGGCCGCGGCCGACTCCTGTTGCGGCTGCCGCGCTGGATGCTCGACGCGACGGGCGGGGCCAGACGCGGGACGACGGCCAGGCGGGTGCCCACGTTGAGCGCGCGCGTGAGGGACGGCACAGTTAGCTTGCGCGGTGCGACGGCCGACGTACGCGTTGTGGACGCCAGCGACGACGACGACGATGAAAGGGACAAGGATGTCGAGGACGACGATGGAGACGGCGAGGTCGTTTGACTGCCACGCGTCGAAGACGTCGCTGTCTTGGCATCGTCGTCGTGGCCGAGGTTGGCCTGTGCACCGATCGGTGGCGACAGAGCCGGCTGTGTCGCTGACAAGCAGATTCGGCCCAGGCTCCGACCGCCGTCGACGTAAGCATGATGGCCGGGCAGCAACGGATATGCGTCGGACGGTGATTGCTTGTGGATGTCGATCTGGGAGGACGATTCGTATGTCCCCGTCCCGCTCAGGATGGCCAGCATCGTTGTTGTAAACGCCGGCGAGAACCCAACCAGCCGCGCCGACACCACCCGCCCGGCCAGACGGGCCAGCTGCGCGGCGACGTGCTCCACCTCGGGGCCGACGTACGGCACGTCGCCTGCTGTGGTGCTTGCTGGTCGGTTCCCGTAGTAGCGGCGGCACAGCACAACCAGCTGCCGCAGAGGAAACATGCTTGTCGATATGATGCCCTCGACAAATCCCTCGACCAGCGCGCCCATGCTCAACAGCCCGGGCTGCAGTCCTGCCGCGGCCGGGTGCATGCCGTACCCGAGCCGGGTGCAGTCCAGCTCGAGCGTGAGGGCCGGCGACCGACCCATGACGCCGACATACCGCTGCAGGAAAAGCGTGGCCAGGGGGCAGACGGCCGGGCGGACGTAAGGGGAGAAGACGACGTGGACGCGGCGGCCGTGCCAAAATGCGGCGACGACCTCGGCGCGGAGGGCAAAGGAGGCGTGGAGTGCACCTTGGAGCGGCGCGAGGGCCGTGGCAAGACTGTCAAAACTCTCACGGGGCCAGACGGCACGCGTAAACACTTGGGGGTTGAGGCAGATGGGACGGTCGGCGGATGGGGCAGACACGAGGTGCTGGTAGAGGCGAAGGCGGACGGCCGCCGGGAGACGAAGGAGCGATGGCGATGCATCCTCTGCCGTTTGCTGTGGGCTTCCGCGGCCAAAGATGCTGTACACCTGCGAGACGGCCTGCTGCCATGAGTCGGTCTGGTCGACCGTGGCTCCTCCACTGCGCGAAAATCTGGCATCGCAAGTCCGGTCCCATGGAGGCGGTATTGGTGGTGGTGGAAGGGGTGATGGCAGCGGCGGTGAAAGTGGTGCCGTCTTGTGAGAATCCGGCGATGGTGGCGCTTCTTCTTCGGGGATCGCGGACAAGTGGAGAGACGGGTACCGTTCCCGGGATTCTCTGCACGGCGAAGCCATTGTCGGTACGGGTATGTTGGACGGCAGTGGTATGTAAGAGAGTGGTGAGTGTGGGGGAGGGGGGAGGCATGATGGCTGAAGAGACGGTGCAGGTTGTAACAACAAAAGGGGGGCGATGACATGAGGAGGATGTCATATTAAATGTCTACACAACGGGACACAACCTGCCAGGTGGAGACGCCCGGCCTCGTCTGCCGGCCGCTACGAAGTGTCTCTGCGGCGTGCGGTGTCTCGAGGAACCGCAGCGTCTGTGAGATGATTTATTTTTGGGTCCAGGTCCGTCTGGGGACATCCTGTCACGATGAGCACGCGGTGGCCAGTTTGCAGTGCTGGCCTGGCTTCCTGTTTCCTGCTGTGACATGTTTAGGAATGAGGACATGGCAGGGACCTAACTCCAATGCAGCTATCCGCGGGGCGTTGTGGTGTGCTGGCCTTTTTTCTGTCCAGCCTTTTCGGTATCCTGTATTCTGTATTCTGTATTCTGTATTCCGTGTTCCGTATTCCGTATTCCGTATTCCTGTATTGCTTTGATTACGACTCGGATGCTGTTGTTCGCCAGTCTCTCCTTGGCCTTGGCGCCCGTTGTTCCTGCATCTTCCCGACGGCGGCTGGTTCCATGTGCTGTGTTCAGAGTACGACGTACAAAGTTCACGTTTCTTTGTTCTTTTCTTTTCTTTTTCGTTTTTTATTGTATCCCCCCCCCTCCTTCTTTATTCTAGGCTGTAGTTTTGTACAACGTCCACCAACAGGTTGCATGCTACCCTTGTTCATTTCAAAAGAAAAACAAAGACCTGTCGTCAAGCTGCACGTTGTGTTTTGGATACATTACAAACGACAACACATGGCAACGAAGCGATGAACTGACGACGCTGACACTTTGTTTCTTTCATTTTATTTCTCGTGCAACAATGTCTCGCCAATCTGCGGTTTCAGTCGACGGCGACAACCGCACGTGCGTACGTGAGTACATGTGTACGGTGCAAGCCGCTTGCACGAGGAAGACCTGGGGGGGGGGGGTAATCGGCAGAATAAAAAAATGAAACAAAAATAAAACAAAAAAAAAAAAACAAAATGGAAACGATGTTCACGCTGTCTGTGAGGCACAAAACCCTCTTTTTGTTCATAACGTGCAAATAAATGTTATTGCGAGCTGGACATACTCTGTTCTTCTCAAAGACAGAATCAAACGTCTTTCATTTTCTCGTAAACAGTGTCTTTGGATGAACATGACAGCCGTCCACTCTGTAGACAACGGGTATAAGTAGACTTACCATGGAGCGTCGAGGTCTGTTTCATGTCGATGTCATGAAAAGCAACAACAAGCAAAAACAACGGAAACAACAGATACAACATCACATCTAGCCACAAGTCCGACAGCCGACAGCCCGACAGCCGAAATGTCGGACAGCCTCCTTGCCCGCATCCCGCAGGAGCTCCTCCTGTCCATCATGGCGGACGCTTTCCCAGAAAGTGACCGCTTCCACGACAACGTAGACATGACGACGGAGGGGCACCTGGCGCAGCGGCAGGCGCTGCAGGAGATTGCCGAGGACGCCGGCGCTGTGCTGCCGGTGCTCGTCCGCCGTGCGGCGCTGGACGTCTCGATGGGCTACCTGCAGCCGACGACCATGGCCGCCCTGCTGGAGGAGGTGGCTCGCTTCCAGGCGCAGCCGGCACTGGGCCGGGCGGTGCGAACGCTGGTGTTGGACGTGGGCTTTCTGGCTGGTTCAGGATCAGGTGTAGGTGCAGATGCAGGTGGCGGCGATGACGTGGGGATGTCTGAAAATGCCGAGGAGGATCCTCTCGTAGACGTATACCGCCTGGCACACGAGCAAATGCCGGCGAGTGTGCAGATGCCAGCCGACAGCGAGTATGGCAGCAGCAGCAGCGATGATACGGATGGCAGTGACGACATGGACGGCACAGATGCCGGCTCCGACGCCGAATCCAACCGCCTGCCAGCGTGGGTGGCGCGCTGGGGCGTTCCTCTGACGCGCCTGCTGCAGCGCACGCCGGGCCTGTCGGCGCTGACGATGGGCCTTCGCGGCGCCGCATCGATTCCGGCCATTGACGGCGACGACGACGCCAACAACCGCCTGTCGCTCCCCCGGCTCGCGTCGCTCTTGTTCGACCAGAGCCATCCCTTCCACGGCGGCGGCGTCCTCGACACGTCTGGGATGATTCTGCGCAGCTGCCCCAACCTGAGAGAGCTGTATCTCTCGGGCATCGACCAGGTGGTCGACAGACATCAAGGTCCAGGCCAAGGTGAGTCTTCTTTTCCTATGTCTGTGTCTTCATCGTCCCCTACTCTAACTCACCTCAAGGCCTTGTACTTTCTACGGGGCGTGCGCCTGACGCCCAGTGCACTGGACCGCGTTCTGCGCATCGTCGGACCACATCTCACCAAGGTAAGCGTCGACGTGCCGGGTGGCGGTCCCCGGTGGACGACGCCGCACATGGCAGCGTTGGCAGCAGCCGCCCCTGCTGCCGGCGACGACAACGACAACGACAACGCCACGCCCGTCGACGACAGCGAAACGCGCTGCTACACGACGCGCGAGCTCGTGACCCGCCTGCTGCCCTGGGCCGGCTCGCTGCAGTACCTGCGGCTGGTCACCCGCTTCCAGCACGAGCTCAGCGTGCGCCGCCGCGAACGATCCGAGGCCCGCCGGCAACGGACGGCGACGCCGCCGAGCATCATGTCGCTCGTGGCCCAGTTCACCCGCCTCCAGAACGTCTACATCGGCTCCGTCTTCTTGGCCGCGGGCGAGAGCGACGACAGCAGCCTTTCCGTCGTGTTCACCAACATCGACGCCGACACCGACCACCACCTCGAACACGACATCGACGGCATCGTCATCCAGTACCCGGACGAGGCCGCCTACGACCCGGACGCCTACGTCGCCGACACACTCGCCGCCGCCCTGCCCGCGAGCCTCGTCAAGCTCGTCCTCCACTGCCCCCACCAGAACGCCTGGTTCGGGCCCTACGCCTGCCGCCCGGCCGTCCTGGGCCTGCTGCGGGCCGTTCGCCGCGGCCACTTCCCGTGCCTAGCCGCCGTCGTCATCGACGTGCCGCTGAGCGACGACGACGTGGTCGAGGTGGACGTGGGTGAAGACGACGCTGGTGGCACGCGCACGATGACGGTCCAGGTGCCGCACGCGCACGGCTTTGTGCGCGAAGACATGTCGCCGCAGCGGGGCTTCTGGTCGGCGCGCCGGCTGTGGAGGGAGCAGCTCAAGCAGGAGCGCGAGGCGGCGCGGCAGCAGCAGATGCAGGCGCAGGCCGAGCTGCAGGACAGCTCGGATCTGTTTATGCCCCAGTAGAGTCACATCGACATGACGCCATGTATACGTTGTGGACAACAGTGAGTAAATTGGTTTGCTATCGTTTCATTTGTCGCTTGCTGTTTCTTTTTTATTTCATTTCCTTTGTTTACTCTCGTAAGAAATAAAATACTTTTACTTTTTTTTTTTAAAAAAAAAGAAAAGAAAAAGAATCTGACTGACGCAATAACAAAGTGACGTAGATGACAATGTTTATTAAAACCTCAACGCTGTCGACAAACAACGGATGCTGCACTTGGTCTTGAATTTTGCTATGACACCCTTCCTTCAAAGAGGCCATCACGTCCATTTCAGAACTGTGCCGCCTCTTTTGAAGACATCGTGGCCCACGTGCGTCTTTTCACCCACAACGGAGTACTCTCTCTTTCGTTCCTTGTGTCTCGGCCCTATTTCTCTCTCGTCGTGTTCCCTGCTTTCTTCTTTAATATACTCACCCGCCTCACCCCCACAGATGCCCCATTGGGAAAGGAAGTCAATACATCGCCGGCTAAATTGCCCCAGTGCACCGCACACTCAACATCGCCTCCCCCAATCCGCAATTTCTACGGCACTCGTGGGCCGAAAATACAATGGCTTGATATGGGGGAGTGGATTCGGTGCTATACGACCCGTTCCGGGGCAGATCTGGAGGTAGATGGGCAGCGATGCGCGCCAATCCGTTTCCGCATCGACGTCCATTTTGGTTGTCAATTTTCGCCACTTTGATCATCCATTTATGCTTACTCGTATGTTCCATTCTTCGTATTATGCTTATCGTGCCACCCCCAGGACGCTTGCTCCTTCGGTATCACGGAATGGGCATCACGATAGGCAGTCGCCACGGATGGACGCCCAACCTGGCGCGTGCGTTTCTTGTCGTCTTTAGCAAGGTTGCACGCCCCAGATTTGCAAAGGAAGACAATATCGAGCCCTTCCCTTTTTGCCAAATTGCAACTTTACGCGCCCCGGGACAGCACGGTGCGTGAGCACATAAATATAAAGAGGCCATCAAAACAAAACACCGCAGCCAGTAGCAAATAGCTCGCCCGGCGCGCCGTCGCGAGAAGAGTGCTGGCCACTGCGAACACTGAATGTCAAGTAAATCAAGTGCATAAATTGCGCACTGGTTCGAGGCGGCAGATGCGCTTGGCGTGAGAAACCCGGGGAACCTGGGGAGACGAGGCCACAAGACGGACACGGACGAGAAGAGAGTGGCACAGTCGAAGGCGAGCAGGCGACTACATATACCAGTGATTTCCTTGGCCTTTTGTTTCTCGTCGACCGTCATCATCATCATCATCATCATCATCGGCACTATCACCACCACTTTCTAGTCACATTCGTTTTCACTTCCTCCCTGCCTCATCGCCTTCCACTGTATATCTTGTGTCCTTGTCACCGCCACCACCACCTCCACCATGCTGTCCTCCGTCCTGGGAGCGGCCGCTCTCCTCGTCGGCTCCGCCGCTGCCCACGGCGCCGTCACCAGCTACGTCATCGCCGGCACCAACTACCCGGGCTACCAGGGCTTCTCGCCCAGCAACTCCCCCAGCGTCATCCAGCGCCAGTGGCCCGACTACAACCCCATCATGCAGGCCAGCTCGGCCAAGCTGCGCTGCAACGGCGGCACCTCGGCCAAGCTCAGCGCGCCCGTCCAGCCCGGCGACAAGGTCGCGGCCATCTGGGGCCAGTGGACGCACTCGCAGGGCCCCATCCTCGTGTGGATGTACAAGTGCGCCGGCGACTTTGCCTCGTGCGACGGCTCGGGCGCCGGCTGGTTCAAGATTGACGAGGCCGGCTTCCACGGCGACGGCGTCAAGGTGTTTCTGAACACGGAGACGCCCTCGGGCTGGGACATTGCCAAGCTCGTCGGCGGCAACAAGAACTGGACGAGCACGATCCCGGCCGGCCTCGCCGCCGGCAACTACCTGATCCGCCACGAGCTCATCGCCCTGCACCAGGCCAACACGCCGCAGTTCTACGCCGAGTGCGCCCAGATCGTCGTCGGCGGCTCCGGCACCGCCGTGCCCGACGCGTCGTACAAGGCGGCCATCCCCGGCTACTGCAAGCAGACGGACCCCAACATCCAGGTGGCCATTGACAACCACTCGATCCCGCAGACGTACACCATCCCCGGCCCGCCGGTGTTCAAGGGCACGGGTGCCAAGAAGGCGCGCGAGTTTGAGGCGTAGGTTGACGGGGAGGTCCCGGTGTATCGATATTGCATAGCCCATTTCCAGAGTAGAACGTCAATACAACTCACGCGTTGTTACAGTAGTAAACATACGTGCCTTGAAGGATTGCATTGTAATAGATTGTAATGATTCATGCAGAGATGTTTTGTAAAGCATTACATACCTCCGTATTGTTGGACGACATTAGTTCTCATATCTCATTTCTTATTGACATGTTTTCAATATATGTTGATACTTTATTGTTGGTCGCGTGTTTTATTCCTTGTTCTTTATTCTTCAATACAACACTCCGTACGGCGTATGCCGTACACGCCTACACATTTACGCCTCAACGTCACCTTATCAGTGGGCCACCCATCTTGCTGACCGATCCGCGCCTCACTCGCTGACAGAGGAATATGGTTATTCCCACTGATCAAAGCAAACACCGCAGCCACAGCAGGAATTGGTAAACTTTGAAAGGGCTTCGATGGAGGAGCCACAGCGCTTACTTGGAAATGCAAAGACGTTCTGTCAGCCGACGCCAGTGATCTGATTAGATTCCCGTTTCTGACGCTCCGTTTAACGCGCGGAATTTAATTGGAAAGCATTTTGCGGTCGCAGCCTCGAAGCCTAGTCCTTGTCCGTATTTCCATGCAGCGCCACAGGCCAGCGACCACGGATATATGATGTCCTTGGTGTAAAAAGCATCGCCAGATAAGTGCCGATGGAGATGAAAAGGAGGGGCTGGTCCCCTGTATGTCACCATTTATGCATCCGGTGGTAAATATTGGAGAAGGCCATTGAGCAATGGTCTGGCCAGCTGCCCAGCCATGTTCGTTTCTCCACAAAAGACATCCGAACGGATGCCGCACGGCGCAAAGAGAGCTGTCAGAGTGGCTGCAGACGGACACCAATTCATGAGTGGACATGTTTCAACGCATTGCAAAGCAGTCGCCGTGCAAAGAGACGTCGTCGAGATGTCAATTGTCCACGGATGCCACAGCCGTAATTTATGCAATTGTGCCTCTTTTGCCTTTTTTTGTCCAGTCAACTCGAAATTCTCCGGTGAAACCAATATCCAGCCGTCGAGCCAGCGCCCAGCACGGTCTTCCCGTGTCCCGTGTGGATATTGTTGTGTGTTTTGGCTGACTGCTGGGCCACCTTTGCGGGTTGTCTGTTTCCACTGGTTTCCGCGTGTCCATGTCCTTGACCTTCTATTTCCACTTCCGTCATTCTACTCCGTACGCTACAAGCAAACGCCAAACGCTCATTGTTACCAGCCTTGCCTCCGACATTGGGCTGCCCAACGTGGCATCTTTTCGTCTTTTCGTCTTTTCGTCTTTTGTCTTCGAGACCGGCGCCAAAATGGCGAAACTGGCCGCGCCGCCCAACGCTAGTCCCACGCACGCGCGAGCACAGGTGCCTCGCGATCCACGCCCACGCCCCGGCACACTTCCCAACGTTCGACTCGTCTTGATCGCCGCAGTGGGACTCGTTGCGGCGGTAGGCGTGCCCTTGTTCCTGACCAATGCAACGCTGGCGTGGCTTGAGAGTACAGTAGGTCCAGGTCTCAGTTGTTCAGTTCCGTCGTCTTCAGCTCTTCAGCGATCGTTTCTTTTCTTTTTTCTTTGCTACATCTCATCTCCGGAGCTTCCCTGTGCAGCTTGCGTAAGCGCGGAGCTCTAGAATGCCGTGCTGTCGGCTCGTGCTACATCCCGCTGACCTCATTTCTCCCATGCCATCCCATACCATCCCATACCATCCCATGCCATCCCATGCCATCCCATGCCAGCCCATTGCTGCCCCTACCCCTCACCTGTCCTCTCTGTCCTCTCCCCTTGCATACATGGCCAAGCTGTATATAACGGAGGGCCCCCTCCTCTAGCTCGGCCCAGAGAAGGAGATCTTGTCCGTTCTCCCTTGCCATCACACGTCTCCTCGCCATCGCCACATTAACATCTTCACCTCGCTCTTCACCCAAGCGTCGACCCGTACGTTTTCTCCACCCAACCTAACTCGTCTCAAGAACCTTTTCGGAACCGCAGATACAATGTCTATTAAGAACGTTGCCGTTGCAGGAGTAAGTTGAAGCCATAGTCTACTATCGTCGACGCACCCCCACTAAACGTAACGTAGGGCACGGGCGCCCTCGGTGTCCCCATTGTCACGGAGCTCGTCAACAGCGGCTTCACCGTCACCCTCCTGACGCGCGAGGGGAGCACCGCCACGCCGCCTGCGGGCGTTGCCGCCGTCAAGCCCGTCGACTACACGTCGGTCGAGTCGCTGTCCAAGGCCATTGCCGGCCAGGACGCCGTCGTTTCCGTGCTGGGTTCGCTTGTCGTTGGCGAGCAAGTGCCGCTGGTCGAGGCCGCCGCGGCGCCTGAGAGCACGGTGCGCCGCTTTATCCCGTCCGAGTTTGGCATCAATACGCGCCTGACGCGTGGCCAGCCCATTGGCCTCATTCTGGGCGGCAAGACCAAGGTCGTCGATCTGTTGGAGGAAAAGTCCAAGGCCAAGCCATCGTTGACCTGGACGGGTATCAGCAACGGCCACTTCTTTGACTGGGGCCTAGACCGCCATATGTTTGGTATTGACGCCGAGAAGCGCACAGCCACCATCTACGACTCGGGTAACGAACGCTTCCAGGCCGCCAACCTACCCTTCATCGCCAAGGCCGTCGTCGCCACGCTCCAACAGGCCGGCGGTAACCCGGCCGACGATAAGACCGCCAACCAGTACCTACACATTGCCTCTTTCCTCCCAACACAGAACGAGCTCCTGGCCGCTGTCCAGGAGCTGACGGGCGGCGCCGACGGCTGGACCGTCACACACGTCGACTCGGCCGAGGTCCAGAAAAAAGCCGCCGAAAAGCTGGCTGCCGGCGACTTCTCGGTGTTTGTGGACCTGCTGAGCGTGTGGCAGTATGCCGACGGCGTGGGCCACGCGCCCGACCCCAACAGCCCCACGTTTGGCAACACTGTGCTGGGGCTGCCGCAGGAGGACTTCAAGGCGACGTTGGCGGCCAAGCTCAAGAAGTGAGGCACCGCCGGCCCTGCGTAGCAGGTAGACGATCACGACGACACCCATCACGAGGCGATAGTTGTCGATAGTGTCGATAGAAATAAATATGCTGAAATCAAACAAGTGTTCCCGTGTCCTTTCTGCAGTAGCGTAGATGTAAGATGTAGCCCGTGGTTTGTCTCTACTCCGCCTGCTCGCCGCCCCAGCCTTTCAAAGGCACCACCGTCGGCTCGCCCGCGTTGCGCACCACCACCCACACCACATCGGCGCTCGGCGTCGCCGGAGCGTCGTCGGTCCCCGCTTTCGACGTGGCCAGCGCTTCGTTCCGGACCTGGTGCTCCGTCCACGCCGGAATAAACGCAAAGTCGCCCGCGCTGATGGTCGTCGTGTGGGGCGGCTTTCTTGCTGACGTGGCCGACTCTCCTTCGTGGTCGTTGTCGTTGTCGTTGTCGTTGTCGTCCTCGTCAAAGTCGTCTGGCAGCGTGGCCAGCACAGCCGTTCCCGACACCGCGTAGACAATCGCCTCCTGCTCGCCGTTGTGGAACACCACGGTCGCGCACTGCGGCTTGACGGTGAGCACCGACGCGCACAGCGAGCCGCTTTTGTGGACGATGGCGTCGCGCAGGGACACGCCGTTGGGCGGGCGGCGGCCGACGACCTTGCGGGCACGGCAGCGTTTTGACGGACCTGGCTGTGTGGCCGCCGCCGCCGATGGCGGTACCGGGTTGCCATTCTCCTGCTCGCCGTCCTTTGGTTCGCTAGCCTCTCCCTTGTCTCCAGCGTCACGCTTGGTACCGTTTTCGCCTAGACTCCGCGGACGGTGTCGTGTATCCGCCTTCTCGTCTCCTTCACCGTCGTCCTCGTCTTCGCCGTCAAACGCTTCTTCGCCTTCGTCGCCCTCCTCCTCCTCCTCCACATGGACGGCATCCCGTGGTGGCCCTTGCAGCTCCTCTGCTTTGGTGATGTGCACCGACCCAGGCATCAGCATGGGCAGGATTTCCTGCAGGATGGGGAAGAAGGCGGCCATTGCGCGTATGTGGGTGGTAATGGGGCGAGGTGCTGCATTACACAGTTCATCACGCGCATGTACATGTCGGAATGTTGGGGCGATAATATTGTGCGGCAAAATGCAGTTGAAATTCACGGCGTTAACACTAGCAATTTTGGGTGGGGTCACATCGCCCACCGGCCTAGGCGGACAACGAACCTCCATCAAAGCCTGGCACACCAATCGTGAACTGGGACAGTGCACCGTGACAGTCAATACTCTGTGTACTCCGTAGGTTGGCAACCTTCAGAGGCAGGATATTGTCCAGGACATGACTCCGTGGGGGTGTCATGATTGCTATCTTGAGAAGCAGAGAGGGGGTCGTGCAGTCACAGCTGCAGATGCATGTTGCATTGCATGGCTGCTGCCTACGTCGTGAAGCAAAGAAAAGGGGACGAGAAAGAACAAAGAAGCGTCTTGATGTCTTCTGCAGTGATGCACTTCTGGCCCTTTTGCGAGGCAAGTGTGTCTGTCGTACGACGTCTACATAAACACGACGATGCCCATCCCAAACCTACAAAGCTCAGACACAACAAAACAATACAACACCATACAAAACAAAACAAAACAAATCCAGACACACCACATTTCACACACCACATTTCACACATCGCATTTCACACATCGACTCGCAACCATGCCTGTGGCACCTTGTATGCACTGCCAGTCGTTTGTTTCGACAACTTCTGATGACGATTGCATGAACTGTCAGGTTCATCCATGGAAAATGTGCGACCACAAGGACTGCGGCAAACTTCCACCCGTTAAGCATGACCCCAAGTAAGGCTCTCATTTGCGATGCATTATGCAACGTTTGAATAACTCGCTAACTTATCTGTAACGATAAACACGATATCTCAAGCTGGGAGGCCTTTTATTATTACCGTCCGCCCAGTGTTGCGTGAACCACTGAATAACAAAGACAGCCATAACATAATGAAACTCGTTTCTTTCAATATCGTTTATGTCAGCTTGTGAAAGGAAACACATTTTGGTGCAGACGTAATAATAAAATAAAAATAAAAATCATTTGTTGTCAACAAACTCATCCCCAAAAAAGGCCCGTTGGTGCTTCCTAGCCTCCAACTGCACGCGATGTTTGTCCTGACTGCGGCCCTCCAGTTTCCACTTCGGTAGTTCCCAGTCTGGGGGGAAAAAGCCCGCCGTCTCCCAGTCGAGAATACACACGATGCGAAACGTGACGGGGTCCACGAGAATGTTCTGACGGTCCAAGTCCGAGTGGATAAAAACAAATTCATCCGTTGCAGAGGTCACACGCGGCCAAATCCGCTTGTCTTTCCATTTCCAGAGCAAATGCGGCACAACCACAGGTAGTTCAGGGTTGGCGCTGCCAATAAAGTTTCGGCGTAGTCGTTGAAGCTGCGGGATGATCTCCGCCTCCAACTGGGCCGTCACTTTCTCGACCGCCGTCGGTAGGCGTGCTTCGTCCACGTGTTGCAGCTCAACGGCGTCCTTCACCATTGCGGTCTTGAGATACACCAGGCCGTGCTCTTCCCAGAGCCCCAAAAACTTGGGGACCGGGATCGTCGTGTGCTCGCTGATGAACTGCAAGGCAGCCGCTTCATTGCGGAGGCGATTGTTAATGTAGGGAATGACGACAGGGTTTCCGTATATGTCCATTCCCATTTCGTCTGCGTGTGGTTGCCGTTTAATAAACACGTTCGGGGTGAAGTAATACGAAATCCCCTTTGTGATTATCGTCGCAAAAACGGGACCGTCGCTCTCTGTGAACGCTGGCCGGAACTTGTCCTCCATAGGATGCCTTGCGTTAACGTCATCTGCGACTTCTTTTAGTTGTCGCATATGGGGAGTCAACGCCAACTCCTTGGTGCGGCCGAGTAGAGGAAACTTGAGAAATGAAAGCCATTTAGATAGAAAGGGGCTTTTGCGTAGGAAAGCAAAGAGTCGATCGAAAAGTGAGAACATGGTTGTTGCTTGGTCGCGGGTAGCGGTGAGAGAGGGAAAATTGTTGAGATTGCTTGGTTTAGAAAATGCGGCTGAACAGGGAGGTTTAATAAAACGGTATACGTTAAGTAAATATACTACATATAAGAATATACAAAACCGTCTGTCCTTACGATTTTATTCTCTTATTTTGGGAAAGTAATATAAACACGCGACTGAAATAGAAAGAAGTTTACGGAATAAGAAGTAGCCTGTGATTAAAATATGAATAAAATAAAGGCAAGGTATGAAGACAAAAAACCTACGCAGTGACTAGGCCAAGAACCAAGAAGAACCCAACGCAAAAAGAAAGTAGACCATGCTCGCGCTATCTGTTCTCGAAGGTGTAGTTCAAAAAAAAGCGACAAAACGAGACGAGAAGAAGAAACACAAAGGTTGAAAGCATAAAAACGGAGACCGAATACCGTAGTTCACCCATGGCGCCGTGTATTGTAACGTTTCCTGTCCGCCCATACCGTTCCGTCCGTCCCAGATGAAAAGAAGCAAGACACCAATACCATATATGACAAACAGCCAACGCAAGAACAACCCCCAGAAAGAACCAAAAAGGAACCAAGAAAAGGACGACAGACGCTCACCCTAGCGACAGCGCCTTGGCCCGCCGCGCTAGGATCCGCACATTGTCCACCAGCCCCTCCACCAGCTCCGGGTACGCGTGCACGTCGCCGTTGCGCGCCCGCCGGCCCTGGTCGATCAGGATGCCCGGCGCCAGCTCAATCTCCAGCTCGTGCTCCTTCTCTTCGCGCTCCATCTTCTGCGGCCCTTGCACCTTGTACGTGACCTGCGTGAGGTCGATCTGGTAGTGGCTCTGCGTGTACGACAGGCGGTCCTTTTCGCGGTCGGGCGGCTGCTCGCGCGTCGTGGCGGCGGCCAGCTGCTCGAGCTCGTCGACGCCGCCGTCCCAGTGCATTTCGAGGTTGACGCTGAGCCGGCAGTCGAGGGGCGCGTCGGGGAAGTAGAGGTTGAGGTCGCTGATGCGGGCCTTGACGATCTTGGCCAGGACGTCGTTGGTCTTCTTGTCGTAGGTGACGCGGACCTTGACCGGGTAGCGGTGCGGCAGGAGGTTGCGCACGCAGGCGGGCAGCCGCTCCTGGAGGCCCAGGGGCAGCTCGAAGAAGCGGTCAATCTCGCGGCGGTGCTTGTAGACGACGGGCACGCGCGGGCGCGGGCGGCCGGCGTTGGCCGGGTTGCGCGCGTCGGTCTCGACGACGAGGCCGTTGAGAAACTCGTTGAAGGCCTTGTGCTGCACCTCGGTCATGCTGCTCTTAAACGCGACGCGGCCCGTGTCCTGCAACAAGCATTCGGAGGCCACGGGCAGCTCAATGCGCTGGTTGGTGTCCTTGCTGATCAGCGTGCCGAGCTTGGCCTCAATCTCAAACTGGACCCCGAGGCCCTGGATCTCAATCATGTTGGGGTTGCTGACGACGTTCACAAACAAAAAGTCGGCCACCTTGCGCGACAGCTCCTCGTACGGCTTGTCGCCCGTCACCGACTCCTCCCAGGGGCTGAGCAGAGCGGCGCGCGCGTCCGCCGGTGATGGGCCGCCGCCGGGAGGTCCGTCGACTCCAGGACCAGGACCAGGACCAGGACCAGGTTCAGGAGCCGCCTGTGTGGCAGGCCCGGCTTCGGGCGATCCTTGCCGCGAGGTATGTCTACTATGCATAGCGCTCGTCGTCGAGCCGCCGGCAGCCTCCTTCTTATCGCTGCCATTAGCGTGGCGATGGCCCTCGCCCGGCTTAAAGACGATCAGGTTGCCCCGTTTCAGCGGACCACCATCATACTTGCGGGCCCACGTGGGGACCTCGGTGTAGCGGGTAGGTTTCTTCGGCTTGGGTGTCGGGTTGTGCGGCACTGAGGCCGAGATGGGGGCTGCCGGTGTCGTGGGGCGAGTCGACGACTTGGAGGTCGTAGTGGGCATCTGACTGTCATGACGAGAGTCGGGGCGTTGCAGGTGTGCAGCGGCACTGGTGCCGGTACCATTAGTGCCTTCGAAGGGTGCCGGACGACGAACGTCCTTGCGGTCGATCTCGTCTGGGTGCAGGTCGCGCTCGTCCATCTTCCGCTTGGCGGGCGGGCCACCACCGCTCTGACTATCAATGTCCATGGCTGCCGAGACGGTGGCCGATGCCGACGCAGACGCTGACGAGGTCGGCCGCGCCATGGAGGACGCCGCCGAACCGCTCGGCAGGCTAGGCACGCGGGACTTTGGACTCACGCTGACGCTAGCTGCGCGATCGCTACGTGACATGGATCGACGGTGAGCTGATGCTGATGGGTCCGGCTGGCCGAAGCCGCCGGGACCACCGGCTGGAGGTTGGGGAGCAGAAGCAACGGAAGGACGAGAGGGCATCGATGATGCAGATGGCGGTGGGACACGCTGCTGAAGCGGGCTGGCTGGTTGTGACCGTTGGTGGTGCTGCTGGTGTTGCGGCAACTGCTGGTGCATTTGCTGCTGCTTCTGTTGCTTTTGGTGTTCCTTTTGTTCCTTGAGCTGCCGTCTCTCCAAGTCTTTTTGCTCCTTTAGCTGCTGTTTCTGCAGCTGCTTGTCGCTTTGCAGCATATACGGCGGTTGGGTTTGCTGCTGCGGCAGAGGGTAGGGGCTTGGCCCGGGTGTTGTTCTATGTTGTTGCTGCTGTTGCGTAGACAAAGGTGGGCCTAGAGGTGTTGGAGGCTGAGACGATTGTGGGGGGCGTGTCGGGTCAAAAGGCGACTGTTGGTAAGGGTGCGACTGCGACGACGGATGCAGCGGGCCTTGACGATGCTGCAAAACGGGGCTGACTTGGCCGTACGGTGCGCCGCCGTACGGCTGTTGTTGTGATTGCGGCTGCTGCTGCTGCTGTGGGGGCAGTGACCCGTGCTGGCTGTGCGCGGATGTCGGTGTAGGAGTGGACTGTGTTGATTGGGAGCGCTGGTGTGGCGGAAAGGCAGACGAGGCGCTCCCGGGTGGACCGATTGGGGGTGTCTGGGGCGGCAGCTGCTGTTGCTGCTGGTAAGGCGAAGGCCCGCCATAGCTGTCGCGTTGCTGCTGCTGCTGTTGCGGCTGCTGTGGCGGAGCGTAGACATTTGATCCCGGCGGGTACGGCTGGTGGTGTTGCACGGGGCTCGACCCGGTCGGTGGAAAAGGATAGCCGCCGCCAGGACCGGCACTGACAGAGCCGCCGGGCGTGTGGCGGTACGGCGAGGGCCCCCCGGGGGACCGCAGATCGCCGCTAGTCAGGGGCTGCAGCGGCGGCGGCACCGGCCGCGCGCCATAGGGTGTCGGGGGGCCTCCGGGTCCGCTGCCGGGCGTTTGCTGCTGAAGTTGCATGCGGTGTTGGTATTCGGAAAGAGGATGGCCGCGCGGCGACGCGTGGACGGAGCCACTGTAGTCGCGAAAGACGGGCGACGGGCCGGGTTGGACGGGCGTAGAGGGTGGTTGCTGGTGTTGTGGGTGTTGTGGGTGTTGGGGGTGCTGTTGGGGGTGCTGTTGATGATGTGGCTGCTGCTGCTGCTGCTGCTGCTGCTGCTTCGATGCATTCGCGCTGCCGTCCTCGTTCGAGTTCAGCAGCGACTTGAGGTTCATCATCGTGGGCAGTGGGGGGTTGGGCGACAGCGAAGGACAGCGTGCCTTCGTCTGTCTGATGTCCAAAGAGCGATCCGCTACCGCCGGAGGAGACGGGATGATGTAAGCCCGTTACGGGATGACGGCCGATGGGGACGTGAGGTCGGCTCGAATCATCCAGCCGCAGGGCGGAGGGTTCACTATCGTGTCGTCGAGCTCGTCGCGATCGTCGTCCCAGAGAATATGCAAAAATAGGTAGGAGGTGAGACGGGGTGTGATGTCGCGGTGGCGGTTCGCACGCGTCGATGGCCGTGATGGTCGACGGTTCGTGGGCAAAAGGGGGAAGAGAAAAGAAGCGACGATAATCGGCTGGAGAGGTGCCTGGAGCTAAGCGAGGCGCGCGAGGGGCGCTGACATTGCGCGCAGGCTGGGCGAGCGAGCGAGCGTGCGTGCGTGCGTGTGATTGGAGTCGTTGCGCTCAGAGGAGAAGAATGTCGCGATGCGAAAATTGCGGTTTGTGTATGTTGCTCTATTTCTTGTTTTCGGCTTCTTTTTTCGCGGTTTTCTGTTGTGGTTCTCGCTGGTGTTCCCTTGCCGCAGCGGCTTCAAACGCGCCCGGTCGCCGGTCGAAATGGGCAATTGGTGCCTCGACGTCGGGGATCGCCTTGACGAGAGAAACAGAGGATGTGCGTGTTGTCGCAGCCGGTGGTCGGATGGGGCGTTCGGGGTCGAGGAAAGGGATGAAGCCAAAAAGACCTAAAAGAAGACAGCATGGCGATTTTTTAGATTTTTTTTTTTTTTTTGCTACTGCCAGCGACATCCAGTTATGCCCGTTTTCGACCACTGAGGACCTACCAAATTTTGGGGAAAGCTGCTGCGCCTGCCTGGGCCGTCTGCAGGTCGCTCCTGCCCTCTCGTCTATTGGTGAATTTTGTTTTTGACCAGACCCACCCGAAAGCAGCAAGAGCGACAGCGATAGCGAGGCTCTGTGAAAACATGGAATGGCAGGGGAAATGGTGCTGTCGAATGTGGCCTAGCTCCAGCAAAGGCGTGTCAATCGTGAGAAGCGCTGTTAGTCATGGCACGTCGGTCCCATACAAATATTAACAGGACTACCTAAGGCTTCGCCGGGGCTCGGAACTATGTGGCTGTCGCTGAACTTTACAGAGCCCAGAGGGCACGACGTAATTGCAACACACACCATACATGCTCTCATATCGCAGCATGAAAACTTGACCTGACAGCATCATCAACGTTGCGCGATGGCTCACGAGGTCGTGGGGATTCATCCCATTCAGCTATCTACCTTTCTAGCCGGCGTTCGTTTTTGTTCAACTTTTTTTCTTTCTCTTTTGCTTCCATTTTCTTTTTTGCCTGCTACGCTGTACGGCTACTCCTTCTCATCGACGCTGTCCTCGGGCAGCACATCCAGCTCCTTGTAGTAGCGGTAGATGCCGTCGCCATACTTGGCGCGGCGGCCACTCGCCAGGTAGGCGGCAATGTTGGGGCGCGCGCGCACGGCGTCGATCAGCGCAAAGACGCGCTTGTAGTCACCGGCATCGCGCAGGTGCTGGAGGGCCCGGGGGAACTGGTGGGCGGTGCCGTCGAGGCTTTGGAACAGGACCAGGTCGGCATAGGTCAGGGCGGCGCCGCAGAGCCAGGGGCCGCCGGCCTTGCGGTCTTCCTGGAGGTGCAGGACGCGCTCAAAGTAGGCGAGGAACTTGGGGAGGCGATTCTTCACGTAGAGCTTGCTCTTGCGGACCGATTCGGCCTTCTGGTCCTCGTAGTACAGCGACGTGCAGATGGGGTGGTGGCAGTCGTGGACCTCGTTGGAGAAGCCGTCGAGTGCCGTCAAGGCCAGGGCGTTGACCCGGTAAAGGGCATTGCCGTCGTCGTCGTCCCCGGCCGCAGGCACCAACCCCAGGCGCGGGCCTAGGTACATCAGAATGTTGGGCGTCTGGTTGATCGTCAGATCGCCATGCTGGAGAATGGGCGGTGCGAGCGGCGGCAGGTTGGGAGCGCTGACGGCGGCCGCGTTGTCGGGGCTGATCCGGGCCAGCACCTGGGGAATGGCGTCGTCCTGCTTGGAGATGTCGACGTAGGGGACGCCGGCCTCTTCAAAGGCAAGGCGGACGTGCTCCGCGCGACCTGGCAGGCCGGGCCAGTAGATCAGGGTGTAGGGGGCAGGTTCGTCGGGCGTGGACGCCTTTTGGCGCTTGGTAGCAGGAGCTGCAGACATTTTGGACGAGAGAGGCGGAGCAGGTGTGCGAGGGGACGGAGCTTGAAAAGCAGCGCAGCAGGCGAAGGGGTAGCGAAGACTGTTGTGAGCAGCGTGATGACAGGCCAATGCGGATGTACGAAGAGGAGTGTGCGTGAGGACAGAGCGTGAAGCAAGAGACAATACTCGTATTGGGATATATGAGAGGTGGACAGGTCTGTGTTGTGGTGTGCAACTGGGAAGAAAGGTGGAGGGTGCCAAGAAGAGGGGACTGGGTCAATTTAAGGTGGTAGGAATAGGTTGTCGCCGAGCTGAACGCTCACAACAATTGGCGAGCTGACGAGCTGAGCAAGTCGTTTTGTGGAATTAATATGACCCGCGGACTGTCATGCAGCTGAAGTCGGTCGACGGACGGCGTTCTTGGCTGGGCGTGCGGGCCGCGGGGATTCGTATGTAATTACTGGCCGCCGGCTGTAGGCTGTTTCCCCTGTATTTCCAGATCCGTGGGCGGGTGTCTCCATGCACCAACCAGATTACACTGTTTAGTGGCAGTGGAGTCGATACTCCATAATTACGTATCTACGGCCAACCTCTCTTGTCCCAACACACAGAGCTCGCGCCACGACCACAACCCCCACCAAGGTTCGACGTCCATCGGGTGCGGAAAGTTCTCAATGACGGTCGAGACTTGGGTTGAGTTTCTCATATCCAGCTCACATGGCGACGGACCCTGACAGAGCGGCTTGTTGGCGTGTCGGCGGGACTGGCTCATCTGTTGGTGCCACGTGACAGGACCAGTGCATCGACACTTTTGCACGCCTCTGCTGACACAGTACAAGAAGGTCATGATCACGATGGGTCAACTTCACATCCGCACACAATGCCAAGTCTCTGCTCTTTTCCCCTTTCTGTCTCGTTTTTCCGGGCCTCTGCCAAACTGAAGTCAACCGAATTTTTATTTCCTCGGGCACTTGATGGTCTCCGATGTATCGTCTCTGTGATGCTGGCGTCAGCAACCGTTGACGTAGGTCTACCAAACACGACGCAGAACATTCAGGAAACCGCCACCTCCCAGAAACTAGTTTTTACGGGACAATAGGCCGCGCATAGTGTGTCCCGTGGCCTCTGTGGGAGCGACTGGAAAATGGAAAGGATTCAACTGGTAACAATGCCATCAATGCCAGAGAAACGGGGAGGATACAGGAGTAGACCATGGCCAGTGAACAAAGGGGCTAGAAGCAAAGAAGGTCTATGAGGCGTATATAAAGACACGGATAGACTTCTTCTCGGCACACGATTACCTGTTTTTATTCTGTCTTCATAAGACCCGACCTATCGCTTTGACTTGCTGGTTATTGGCCATTGTCGTTGCCCCTCACCATCTCCTTTCACACGTACAATATCTAAAAATCAAGACTTCCCTTAATCAGGCCCTCATAGTCAACTTCACAGAATACGCTCCTCGACAAACGTCCCCATCTTCCTAAAGTCTTCATCCCTCCTGCCTCCTCCTTTACCATGCCGCGTACTGCCATCATCATCACCGGCGGCACCCTCAACCTCGGTTTTGAGGCCGCCCGTGCCATTGCCACCGGCCACTACCCCGGCAGCAAGGACGACTACAACGAGTACCTGCTCGTGTTGCTTTCCCGCACCGACAAAACTAACGCTGCCGACACCATCAACCAGCAGGCCCGTGCTGCCAAGCTGCCACACCGTGCCGTCTTCCGTCGTCTCGACCTGTCTGACCTGGCCAACGTGCGCCAGTTTGGCCGCGCCTGGGCCGACGGCACTGCGGCCGGCAACACGGCCGACTTCCCGCCCATCCACGCCCTCCTCCTCAACGCCGGCCTGCAGTTCCCCGGCGCCCTCGAGACCATCCCGAGCTCTGGTCTCGAGGCCACCTTTGCCATCTGCCACGTCGGCCACGCCCTGCTGTTCCACCTGCTGGTGCCCTTTTTGGATGCCGCGTCCAGCGACGGCGCCCGCGTCCTTGTCACCTCCAGCGGCACCCACGACCCGGCCCAGAAGAGCGGCCTGCCCGACGCCGTGTACACCTCGGCCGAAGACCTGGCGCACCCGCCGCCGGACATGGTCCACGTCAAGGGCCGCCAGCGCTACGCGAGCAGCAAGCTGGCCAACGTGCTGTGGACGTATGCGCTCGTCGACCACCTCGAACGCGCCAGCCGGCTGGGCGCCAAGGTCGGCGGCATCACGGCCAATGCCTTTGACCCTGGCCTGATGCCGGGCACGGGGCTCACGCGCAGGGGCACCGGTGTCGAGCGCTTCCTGTGGCACAATGTCCTGCCCCGGATCCGGCCCGTGCTGCGCGTCCTCGTCTCGCCCAATATACACACGGCCGAGGCGTCGGGCCGCAACCTGGCGCGGCTGGCCGTGGGCCCTGGCGGCAGCGGCGATCCGGACCAAGTGGACGGCACGGTCTTGGGCGTCAGCGGCAAGTACTACGAGATCCGCCGTCCGATTCCGTCGAGCAACGACAGCTACGACAAGGCCAAGCAGGAGGACCTCTGGGACTGGACGATCAAGTACCTGAGCAAGGGAGACGCTGCCGAGGAGGAGCGGTTCCGGGAGTTTCGGTAAAGGTATGGTTCCATGGTTCTTTGGTTCGACAAGCTTTTTGTGTTCGTTTTTATATTTTTTCTATGATGCCTCCTTTTCACTTAACTGGACTTTATCAATTTTATACTTAATACTTTACGTTAGCCATTAGTCGTGGTTTTCATTCTTCTCTTTTTGTAAATGTTTTGTTTGCCCTGTTTCTTCGATGTATACAAACATACATGAGAGTTCGACTCGGAGCTGCAAAGCGCAACATGTCGAAGCCAATCAGGAATAACATTAATACAGTCTGCTTGTTATCTTCTTGACCACTCCAATCTTCCATTTGGAGCCGAGATTAGGGAGCGCTACGTGGAAATTGTTCAAGACAAAAGGTAATGGGGGTGAATGAGGCTGTTGATTCTCGACGTCTTGACTGATATATACAACTGAGGGTTACTCCCGTCTAACAAGCATATGCATCGTTGTCCCACATATGCATCCAGACGAAGCAGAGCACAACAGAAGTACCACTAAAACAATGGCTTTGGGCTTGCGACCAAGTCTAGTGTCGTCTAGTATTTGCTCATGTAAATTCAGGCTTTTTGCGTGCCTCCCTATCGTACATCTTGTATTCCTTTCGTATTCCTTTCGTACCGCAGCCAACTCATTTCAGGGGCGGCCCAAACGGATCCTCCAGCTTGGCCACCTTGCGTCGCTTCGCCTCGTGCAGACTGTCGGGCGTATTCGTTCCTGTCTCAGAGCCACTGATCGTCCCTAGGGTCTTGCCAAACACGGCGGCATCGTCGTCCATGCCGCCCGCCACGTGCGTCGATGTCTTGGCATACGACTTGACCGCACCCTCCTTCTTGGCCTGCTGCAGGGCGACTAGGTTGAAGCGGTCCGGGTCGCGGCACAGCTTGAGCTTCTTGAGAAGCGGCTTGATGATGTTGTTGGACTCGGGCTGGCCCCAGTACTCGGTGAACCGCTCGGGCGGCTCGGTGGCCAGGAGCTCGCTGCACCGCTGGATCGTGCTCAGCACGCGGTCGCGCACGCCGGCGCCGTTGACGCGCTCCCAGTCGGCGGCCTCGGTCTTTTTCTTTTTGTTGGCGCTGCCGCCGCCGGGCAGGATCGGGGTGGCCACGTCCGCCGCCGCGGCGCCCAGGCTGGCGGGGCGGTGGAACGTCTCGCCGAGCAGCAGACGCTCGACCAGTGCACGGTCGGCCAGCCACAGCGCAGCGAACATGATCTGGGAGGGCGAGTAGTGGAAGTAGGCGTCGGTGACGAGCGGGCTGAACTTGAGGATCTCGCGGGCGCGGCGGTGGGCATTGGACACACGGCTGTCGGAAATTTCTTCTTCGTCGTTTGCAGAATTACTCGTCTGGGCGTCCACATCGACAAGTCGCCGCAGCTCCATGACAGCACCCTCCAGGGCTCGGAACGGGTGCTTTACGTCAAAGGAAAAGCGGATGCCCTGGCACAGCAAAAACTCGCCGGCCAAAATATCGGCGGCTGTCGTGTTGGGGAACTTTTCGGCAAAGCCGTCGAGCTTGTGGTAATAGCCCTCGGACTTGGCACCGAAAAAGAGGGCCGTCTTGAACAGCTGGGCGGGCGGGTACGTCATGATGCTGTGCGTGATGTAAAAGCGCCGGAAAAAGACGGCGGCTGTGGCCTGCACGTCGGTCGGCTGTTCTGTGAACTTGGCGGCGCGCAGCAGCTCGACTGTGTAGAAGTCGAGCAGCATCTTTTCCTCCGCCGGCGTAAGGTAGACCACTGTAGAACCTGACCCTGAGGGCGTGCCTTTGTCGTCTTCGCCGTTGCTACCGCTGCCGCTGCCGTTGCCACTGCCGTTGCCATTGCCGTTGGCACCGTTACTTGTTTCGCGCCGGCGCTCTTCAATGCTCTCGTGGGCTAACGCGTTTGTCTGCTCCCGGAGGGTCTCGAGCTGGGATGGGGAGAAGGACCACAGGCGGAACTGCGACGACTCGCGGTACACGGCATCTTCAGACGCCATTTTGACGGGAAGAGAGCACACAGGGTGTTGTTGGTATCGGCGGGGAGAACGTAGATGAAGCTATCAAGGGATTGTCGTGATGCGCCACAGGCGCGGGGCCATGTCGTGAATGCCCGCCAAAGACGTATCAGGTGAGAAGAATGGGAATGAGATTATTTCGTTATCGTCGTCTTTCTTGTGGTATGATCGGTGTCGTATCGTTGTATCGTTGTATCGTCGTGGTCTTGTGCAGGTTGAAGAGCTCGAGTTTGGTTATGCAGTTGAGCTTCCCATGCCAAAGCCTGCCCCGGTCGCTAATCGCCTATTGGTCCAAGCTTCACTGTGCTGTAATATCTATTCGTAGTGCTTTGGGAGTCCCCTCCCTGGAATCCACAGGTCTGCAGGTGACCCCACTGTAATGCACACCCAGGCCTTGATTGCGCCAAGTCACCTTGGAACGCGGGGAGCTCCTTCTCACATCCCATCGTTTCCAGCATGCGCGACAGGAATTCTGAGCTGCTCATCGGGGCAGGCGCAACCTGTCACCCCCACACCGCCAGCGCTAAAGCCGGCAACAGCGCCGTTTCCAGTTGTCGCAACACCTCGTCGTGTTTGGGCAAACTTCAAACATAAGGCTTTACTGAGTGAAAATGGCACGTTTCGAGCAAGCATTCTGTTACCTGATTCCACCACTCAGCCCATGCTTTGGACAGGCCATTTACCCACTCGTCATCGCGCGGCTGGACGGGGCCGAGCAGACGGGACCCTCTTTTTGTCTTTTTGGGTCTCGATCTGGAGAAAATCCGCGCATCATGTCCATTTGCAGTCAGACAAGGCCAAGATGCCCAGGAGAAGATGGGGTTGACGGCCCCTCAGATCCCCCCAAGATGCCAAATGAGATCTTTCCAATCCTTTCCCATCTGGTAACGACTCCTCAAAAAGGATACACAAAGGAACGCCGAACTGTCCGTGTAATTGGGGCAAAAGGCTCGCTAAATCCTCGCTGAATTCAGCCCTTTTTATTGTGTGATTTCTTTTGGTGTCGGCCGCGTTGTGAGCAGAGCAGACACAGAAAGGATTTTCGTCGTTAGAATGTCCCCTTCATGATCGACTTCTTGGCCTTCTCAGCTCTCGTCTGGGACATTCTCCAACTATCATAATAATAGGCAGATGCAAAATAATACGGCCGTTTGATCCTCCATATTATTTTGTGATCGCACCTGCCTGGCTTGCTCGCCTTGTTTTAGTCGGCCGCCCCTTTGCATCGCACCTTCCCTTGGGCTCTCTTTGAACTCGTCCGTCTCCTCCCTTTCTCCCCGAACCATCTTCTCCAACCGCTATTTTGCTAGACCGTCTTACTTTAGACCTCAACATACTCCTTTGACTCACACTACCTTTCACCTCGTCGATTTTACTGACACTCATTCTCTCAACGCTCATCATCATACTTTTGCACGGGCACCCCATACGTCACGCTACACATGGCAACACTGCATGCGGACAGCAACGAGGGTGCAGACAGTTTGAGCAATACCAATATCAACACAAATAGTGGCTTCGACGTGTCGCCCGTCTTCGCAGAGGAGCAGCCTATCTTCCAGTTTGCGCAGCTCACTTTGCTGCAGCTCTTGACCAACTCGCTGGTTCTCGCGCATACGGCGCCCTATCTCTCGGCGCACGACGTCTTGCGGCTAGCCGCGACCAATAGGGACTTCCGTGCCTTGCTGTATGACACGCCGTCCCTCTTTCGGTACCTGGACCTGTCGCGCCTCCAGTCGGCCGTTCGCTTGGGCCGTGACCATGGCGAGGCGCTGCTCGAGCCCATCGACCGCGGCGGCCAGACCTGGCGCCACGAGCAGATTGACGAGAACCTGACCGAGGACGAGTTCTACTCGGGCCCGCTGCGAGGGGCCTTTCGGGCCCTGAGCCGGCCGGGCATCCACACGGGCCTCTCTACGTCTACGTTGACCCAGCGTGGGACCTGGCTCAGCGGCGTGCATACGCTCATCTTGAACAACGTCTCGGTGACGGCCGAGCTCGTGCACGAGATCCTGCGCAGCCCCGAGTACAATGTCCGCATCTTGTCCCTGCGCAACGCCAAGCACTGCAACGAGGTCCAGCTGCGCCACATTTTGCGGACGGCCTGCCGCGCCAGCCGGCCCGTGGGCACGCCCAAGCTGCGCGGCCTCTACATCTTCAGCAGCGGCCGCCGCGGCGACAGCAGCTGGGACAGCGTGCTGGGCGGGTACCGCAACACGGCGTCGTCGTCGTCGTCCGGGCCGCATGGGGAGAAGTCCGACGAGTCGGACGACCCCCACCCCAACGGGGACGACCTGTGGTACCGCGGGCGGGGCCGCGTGCTGCCGCGGATGCTGACATCGGCCGAGTGGGCCGGCACGCTGTTGGAATGCCGCGGCGTGCTTGCGTTTGACGGCGTGCTGTGCACGGCGCCGCGGCACACCAACTCGCTGGCGTTTGGCAGGGTGCCGTCGAGCGCGAGCACGAGCCGGCCGCACCTGGCGTTTGCCATGGCGAGCTTTTCGCTAGACGGCTGCGCGAGCTGTGGCAGCGCGCCCGACGGGTGGACGACATGGGGTGATCCGGCCTTCGCAAACACGCAGAGCCGTGGCGGTGGCAGTGGCGGTGGTGACGACGAGGGCGACCCGTACTTGTCTCGCTTCCCGCTCCTGTGGCCGCCGCCGCTGCTGTCGAGCAACGTGCGCGTGGCCATGTGCCCAGAAGGCGAGAGCGTCCACCCGCACCGGTTTGCCCACCACCGCGGCGAGACGCCCAACCACGCCCACCAAGATCCCACTACCAGCACCACAGGCTCCTCCCCCGCCCGGTTCATCCCTCGCTGCGAATCATGCGTCTATGGCCGCCTCTGTGCCCTGTGTCACCGCTGGTGGTGTGAGGCGTGCATGCCGGACGGGGAAAACGGTGTGCCTTGGACCGACCTGCCTGGCACAGCAGGCAGCAGCATCTCCCCCTCCTCCCCGTCTTCTTCTCACAAGGTACGAACCAAAGACGGCAATTGCCGCAACTGTCGACGGTCGTTTTAATGGAGGATTGTCGTTCTTTGTCTTGCAGGCAGGATAGGCTTGTCGGCATGTCGTATCGGCATCGCTATGGTGCTGTGTGTGTGGTATAGCAAAGTCATGTTGGGTTTCCCTTTGCTTGTGTCGTCTTCCTAAGGGCCTCTTGGCATGTCGTGTCGGGCGTAACGCCAACATTGTCCCCTGTCTGTTGTCTGTTGTTCTTGCCCTAACCGTGGTATCCTTCTCTCCCAATCCAGAGACTCATCGACTACAGCTGCCGCGAATGCGGGCCTAGTGTAAGCCTTCTTGTCGTCCTCCCTGTCGTCCTCCTTGTCCGTGCACAGGCTGCCATGCTGTCCCTGTCTGCTCACCACTGTCTTTCTTGTCCTCTCCAGTGCCACGACTGCGTGTCCAAGATCCAGCGCCAATGCAAGCGGTGCCGCCAGAGCTACTGCATGCTGCACAACACCGGCTCGAGCCCGACCCATGTGAGTGTTCTTTTGGTGGCTGCCTGTCGAGAACTAGGCTGCGGCGCTGCTTTTCCTGGTGCTACCTAAGGCGATGTTCTTCTGTGTAGGTTTGCTAACTCGTCTTCGCCTTGCAGTGCGATTGTTTGTCTTCCTTTCGTTGTCCTCCTGTTGACTGTTTCCCAGTGAATGAACTGCTGACACACTGAAAAAGGGTGCACACCTCCCTCATACCGTTATGTCCAGGTGCGTTTATATATGTTTCCCTCGATTTGTCCCTGTTTTTCGTGTCTATCCCCGTCTATCCCCTCTGTTCTCGTTCTTGTCCTTGTCGCCTTGGCCGTGCTCCCCCGGTTTCCTCCTTCCCAGCAGGCCTCTAGAAAACGGCAAGGCAACAGGAATGCAGCCCAGACTCCCCTACCCTCCCCCAAAATGCACAAACAAAGCCCCCTGTCTATGATTCCGCACGCCCTAACCGAGGTTACGAACGCTAACAAAACGGGGCGCCTTACCTGTCGCAAACAGAACCCACGCCTCGTCCTCAAGAGCCACTATTGACCAAATGACTTGCACGACGACACAACGTTTCTCAGTACGTCTCTTCTACCATGACGCGAATGACTTTGCGACGGGTTTCCTGCTTGGGGCTGAAATGTCCTGCAAATTTCCAGCTTTCTTTTGTGGGCAATTCGGTTCAGATTTGCTTATTTTGGCTAGGCATCATTCTCTTCCCTTTTAAAATCTGCATTTTCATGGTACGACTTGCAGCGGTTCTTGCTTCCGTTTCTGTTTTGGCCTTTCTGTTGTTTTATTTTGTATGGCTTGGGTTCATTGCTTGCATTTCTATTTCTTGGTGCAAATCGTCTCTACTCCCTTTGCAGCCGGTGTTTCTGCGCTTTCGATAAGATACCATTCCCCTCTTCCGTTGCGGGCTCTCGTCCCAGATTGCTTTCTCCAGATCTCATAGACCGTATAATGACTGCATATTTGTCCACTTATTTGCACGTCCTCTGAACCTCTCTTCCCATGGCCTGCATACGACGTACTTGATACGAATCTAAGCCGGTCATTTCAAGTGACGCTGTTGTCTGCACCTGCAGAATCTGCTAGAGAGACTTGTGCATGGTGGCATGGTGGCTGCTCGTGCCTTGAGATCGGGTTAGTGGATAGATACTCGGGGCTGCTGTGGCCTTTTTCTGGAGCGCCTTGGCCATCGGCTTGCAGCCCACTGACTATCCCAAGGGTGTATGTCGTCGCGAGCCTGAAAGGTTGGGCAACCGACAACGGGCCACATACCGATGCCACTCTTCTTTTTCGTGAGATCATTGATAATAACGGCATCTCATCATTTCAGTCAATCCCGCCGAGCCCGGCCGCAAACTTGCGCGCCACCCACCCGGCGCCGTGCTCGTCGTACTCTTGTTTGGTAACACACACGCGGTTAACGGTCGCCGCATTCTCGGGGAGCGTCGCAAACCGTGCCGCCCCGCGCCAGGTACACAATGTCGGGTCCGCGGGCCGCGTCACGCGCACCACCAGATCGTCCGGCATGCGCGACTGGATCTCCTGCTGCAGGCGCTGCACGAACCCGGGCAGGTCGGTACAGCCACCGACGACGACAATGTTGGCGAGCAGCGCGGGCCACAGGCCGACGGGCAGGGCGTGGACCGACTGGGCGACGAGGTCGGGCAGGCCGGGCTGCTGGAGGCCGATGTCAGTCGGGTTAAACAGCAGCTCGGGCACGGCGAAGCGTTCGTTGCGGAGGACCAGGACGTCTTCCGTGGCGGCAGAGGCGGCGGACGCGGCGGCGCCAAAGTCCTTGACCTGCTTCTGGTGCGCCGCCACGGCCGCCGCGTCGTAGTCCCGCACGATGCCCTGGGTGCGCGCGTGGTAGTCTGGCAGCACATACTCCTTGGCGATGCCGTCGCTGCCGCCTCGAAACACATCGAGCCGCCGCCGTTTGGCGTCGCCGACGCCCGCCTCGCCCAGCTGCACGCGCGGTCCCTTCCAGGTCTTGTCAAGGTCGGAGGCAAAGTCGAGCGCCACATAGCAGGCCTTTTCCTTCATCTCATTGACAATGTACGTGTCGTGGCGCATGTCGTAGTGGCGGACCGACAGCAGTTTGGTCAGGTAGTTTGTGAGCAGCTTGCCGCCAACATCGAGGCGGCGGACGGCGCGGTGGACGGGGCGGCCGTGTAGCACGGGCGTCACGGTCGTAAAGGAGTAACCGGCGTCGATGACGAGGCGAATCTCGGCGGCGCCCGTTGCGGTTGTCGTAGGGGTGGGCGTCGTCAGAGGTGCGTTGCCTGCAGCTGCCTCTGCCTCAGACTTTGCGTCAGGTGTGGCATTGGCGGTATGCGTGACACCGTTGTCGGTCGGCACAGGCTCGCCTGCTGGCGCTGTTGTTGTCGTCGTGACCGTCGTCGCCTCCGCCACCACCGACGTGGCGGCCGTGGCACTTCCCAAATCCAGATACGCATTAAACTGTGATGCCGGGCCCCGGTAGTAGCTCGCAAATCGAAACTCCTCAAACACCATCTGGTCGCAGTTGGCTTGCAGGGCCGGCAGCGCGTTGGGCTGTTCAGTCAGCAGCAGACGCGTCTCCGAGGGGTCACACTGCAGCCGCCCACCTCCCGCCTCGGCCGACTCGCCAAACTCATGCGCCCAGATTGCCCGCTGTGCTTCCCAGTTGACAATGTAGCCCTTCTCGACGGGGCGGCGGAAGGCGGCTTCGCCAAAGTCGCGGCAGTTGGTTGTGAGCTCGGAGCCGATGTAGGTGCGCCGTTGTCGGTCACGAGCAATGCAGTTGGGGATCACGTAGGGCGTCGCTTTGGTGTCCGACGATGCGCCCTCGGCAAAGCCGGCCTTGATAGTGTAGGCGCCGTTGTCGACGACGAGGGTGCGAGCAGGCGGTGGCGGTGCCGCAGGCTTTCCCTTGCGGCCACCGGCCATGTCGAAGGAAAAGCAGGAGCTAATGTAGTCGTATCAATGTCGAGTTGCCGAAGGGACGCCGTCGACTACCGCAGAGTCATCGTTGGTCGATGTGGTGATTGCCGCTGTTGATGGGGACGCAAAAGTGAGCTTTGGTGTGCCAGACATCTGAAAGCTCGAACTGGATACGACGCGGCAGTATTATCCACGCGACGCCAGTATAATTTAGGCGGTGAGCTGCGCTAACACCACTACACCAAGACAACAATTCCTCCACAACATCACCATGTTCAATAATGAACTTGACACGGAAAAAAACATAACTAATATTGTAATAGATTCGGATCTATGTTTTAAAGAATCCCAAATATGCATATTCAGGAAAACGTTTGTCATGCATAAACAAAACCTATCTATACCGCCCAAGCCCTTAACCACACTGTTACCCATCACTCCCAACCACCTCCAGCACAGTCCTCCCCCAGCCAGCCTTGCATCCATGTCTATGCGTTCTTGGCGACGGTGGCGTTGAAGTCGGCGTTGGAGGCTGCCGAGAAGTCGTGGATCCAGTGGCCGATCAGATCGTGGATGCTAAAGGACGAGGCGTTGTTGCTGGGCGTCGTGACGGGTGCCGCCGCATACGCAAATGCCAGGCTGCCCTGGGCCTTGGGGTCGATGCTTGTGACGCCCGTGTCTGTATCGCCCCAGAGCGTGCAGCCGACGCAGGTAGCGGTGAGCTGGAAGTGCGTCGCATTGACGTGGGTGCCCTTCTTGAGGACGGTGTAGACGGCGCCATCGTATGCCGGGGGCACAAAGTAGCCACTTGTTCGGTTAGCACCAGAGGCTCGCCATCCAGTATATACACACATATGAACAAAGAGAAGAGATGGAAAACATACTATGCCATGCGGGACGACACGACGACGTCCTTGCCGTTGGCCCAGACAATTGTCAAAGGATTGTAAGTCATGGAGCCGCCCCAGGCCAGACCGGCCCAGCCGATGGCAATGGGGGCAGCAATCTGGACGACGGCTTCGTAGTTGTCGTTGACCTTGGCCGTGGACGGGATGGCCACCCGGAAGGCGATGCCCTTTTCGTTGACGTACTGAGAGAAGGTGAAGCCGGTCTCCGGGTCGACGTATTTGGACGAGTCCACCTGGCCGAGGGCCGACGAGGCCAAGGAGGCAACAGCGCCCAATACTGCAACGAACCCACGCATCTTGTTGTGTTCCGGAGGTGGTCGGCGTTGAAAGGACGTGGGAGGTGAAGGCGCGGCGTCGGACCTGGGAATGATGGCGAGTATTCACAAACCAATGTCACGTCCAGGTAGAAAGGTAGACAGAATGGGAGAAATAGAAGAAGGGGCAGAGACTCACTGGGCGGCAGAAGGCTTCAAATACGGAAGACACTGCCTTTCTTCTTTTGCCATATTTCTTCCTTATGGCTCCGCAATCTAAATATCCAGATTAAGTAAGATATAACGGGTTTGGACTCCTGTAAATTGGAAAAAGACGGCATGGTATTGGTGCATTCCTAAGCCATTGCATACCGGAAACTGAGGCGAGAAAGGTAGTCTTCAATAGAGGGACGCACAACTGGGCTCGGCACCATTCAGTGTCCACGATGATAATTGAATGCTGACACAGAACAGTATTCCAGGGGCAGAGAAACGCAACAAGCACTCGGCTTCTACAGCAAGAAGGCGTCAAAAAAAGGACCGAGACCGTCATTCGGACCACTCTGTGAACCTAACAAACGTAGCATCCAATTTACCATCCGTAGACTTCTGTGGACAGCCAAGTACTTGGGAGCAACGTGGAGATGGCAAAGGTGATGCGACGGATCGATCTTCCCCGTCCGTTGGAGATGTTTCCATCGTTCAGTTGTGTCCCCTGGGATCCATAGCAAGTATGACATATACCTGCCGCGTGAATGGAGAGGCACTCTGCCCAATCGGTCATTCTTCCGTTCGGCCTGGGGCCGGCTTGTCGGTTTGAATGGGCTCTGCTAACCGGCAGTGATGCTTGGCGGAAGAGTACATAAACAGATATGATAGGGACGCCTGGTCTAATGTCCCGAGAATTTATTGGGAGCTGCAGTCGCTGATATTTGGCCAAGTTCAATGACCGTCGTCCATTTCGGGAAACAATGTCTTTTATTCCGAGCTTGGCTCGGCAGCATTGCATTGCTAACGAGAGGCCTTGTTCGCTGGAACGGAGAGCCGCTGTTGCCCATTAGCCTAATTGCCATACCTACCGTCTGTGGGCGAAGTAAGCGAAGGTAAAACGTGCTGGCAGTCCTGTGTGGAAGCGAAGAAATGAGGTCGATGAATGCTGGAAAAGAAGACCTTGAGAATGGCGTTCGAGGTATACGGTGGGATTGCGGAGAGAACAGAGTGGTGTATTAAAATCAAAATTTAGATCCCTAACTATCCGTACATAAGAGGTGTGTAGAAATGATGTATAAGGAGAAGAAAGTGAACGGAATTTTTCTGAGGAAAAGAAATAAAATAAAAAAATGAGAAGAAAAGTGGACAACGGATAAATAGGAGACAAGTGCGACATACAGATCAACGTGCAAGTATGGAAGGAGCTACGAAACTGGAAAATCAGGAAACATCGACCGTGGTTTGACTTCTACAGTCTCGGTTGACACAATATGAACGGTTGCACGCTTGCGACTTCCCTTTCTGAAGTTGCTAAACCAAACGAAACTAACATTCTGAAGCATTCATGGAATAGACCGTTTGAGGAAACCACGATCGGGGCCTGCAAAGGGCTGAATTGCGCCATCCGGACCAAATGTAACGCTAAAGAAAAATGTCCACAGGGAGCAACAAAAAAAGGGTGCAAATGGGAAGGAGCTAAGAATGGTCTGATACGGAAAGCGCCGCCGACGGTTCTAGATCGCAAATGTCAACTTTGACCTCGACGGTCTTTCATTCTCATTGTCGTGCTCATTCTCGTACTCTTACTCATACGCCTAATCGTACTCAGTCTCATACTTTCCCATTACGACTTGCTGTGGCATACGTCGCGAGCTCCCACTTGCTTCGCCTGTCGCACATGTGAAGGAGCTGCCGGTCTGTCAAGGGGGCCCTGTCGATCACAAACACCGACAAATCCCCAAAATGCCCGACGCAGAAGACCCGCCGCGGCCACCCCACCTCACGCCCCTGGCCGACGTCCTCCCACCGCTCCTCCTCGGCACCGCCACCTTCAACACCCAGTATGTCGACGACCCGGCGTCCATGCCTTACCGCGGCATCGTCCGCCGCGCCCTCGTCGACCTCGGCGTGACCGGCTTCGACACGTCGCCGTACTACGGACCTTCGGAGGCGCTGCTCGGCGAGGCGCTCGAAGCGACGGGCGTCGAGCGCAGCCGCTACTTCTTGGAGACCAAGGCCGGCCGCGTGCACGGCACCGGCTTCGACTACAGCACGGCTGCCGTGCAGGCGTCGGTGCGCCGGTCGCTGCAGCGGCTGCGCACGCCGTACGTGGACCTGGTGTTTGCGCACGACGCCGAGTTTGTGCGCCCCGACGAGGTGGTGACGGCCGTGCGCGCATTGCGCGCCCTGCGGGCCGAGGGCGTCCTGCGGTACGTCGGCATCTCGGGCTTTCCCGTGGACGTGCTGGCAGCGTTGGCGGAATCGATCCTCGAGCAGACCGGCGAGCCCGTCGACGCCGTCCTGAGCTATGGCCACTGCACCGTGCAAAACACGCGCCTGCTGGGCGACCCCGTGGCGCGGCTGCGTGCGGCCGGCGTGTCCGTGGTGCTCAACGCGAGCCTGCTCAACATGGGCCTGCTGACGACGCGCGGCGTGGACAACGGACCGCAGGCCACGTGGCATCCATCGCCGCCGGCGCTGCGGGATGTGAGCGCCCGGGCTGCGGCGGTGTGCCGGGACGAGAAGAGCGGCCTCGCGGCCCTTGGGATCAAAGGCATCGAGCAGGTCGCGCTGCGGTACGCGCTGGACGTCTGGGCCCGCGAAGCGGAGAAGGCCCAAGTGGCCACACGCGCCGCCGGCGGCTCTCTGGGTGTGGGGGCGTCCGTCTTGGGCGTGACGTCCGAGGCGGAGCTGGACGAGACAGCACTGGAGTGGTGGAGCGTGCTGGACGGGCTGCGGGTTCCGCACTTTGCGCTCGAAGGCTTGCAGAGCCGCACCGGGATCGGGAGCGCACCGGACGCAGCGGCGCGGCAGGCAGCCGGCCTAGCACGGTCTGCCGCCGTCAAGACATTTGTGGAAGAAAAGCTGTGGCCAGTGTTTGGGGACCTAAAAGACTTTGCGTGGGCAAGCCCCGAAGAGGGCTGGGTGAACGAGCTAAACCCAGCGGAGGCCGTCAAGACAAGGTCATGAGGCGTGGAGGCTAGTCTTTGTCCCATGTTGGCCAGTAAATAGATTTCCTACGACAGCAGCATAGTATTCATTTCATATTGATATTTGCCGTCTTTTTCTCAAAATATATTTTTTTACAGATTTATTTATTTAAATTTCTTTTACAAATTGTGTCAACCCATCGGAAAGTTATGAAGAAGATGTATTTATTTCGAAAGCAATACTATCACGTTGTTTATCGTCGTTTCATACTTCAGACGAGAATGACAATGCTTTATGACCATAAACGGCTACAGACTGAGAGCAAGGCACATGAAATCCCGGAAAAGAAATACAAGATAGAAAATACAGTGTGATCAGAAACGCCTGCCTAAACGCTGTCCCTAATTCTTAACAATACTGGAAGAAAGATGACAAAAAAGAAGACAACAACATACAACATGAAACGAGGCCGTGCATTCATCCCGTCCATTGCCACCCCAGAAACACAATATGACAAACACAAAAGAGCAAATCCAAGACACTCTCCACTCCTTCCACCGGCCCAGAACCCATGCTCGAAACGGAATGTCAATGCAACCCATGAAAAGAACAGGAATGGAAAAAAGGCCGACAGAAACAGCCATAAAATAATACAAAGGAAACAAGAGTGCTGAAAGGTAAGCCTTAGGGTCCGCTTCTATTCTAGTGGTAAATCGTCCGCGGGTGCCGGCGTGCCGGGGGTGACCATGACTTCGGGCGGCTGCTTGAAGTCACCGGTGGATGTAGATAGGGGGGTGGGCTGCTTGAGGGTGGCGTAGGCGTCGGAGTGGTCCTTGCCTTTGTCGGCACTCGTCGTGTTGGGTGCATGCTCGGCGTGCTCAACACGGCCATTCAGTTCCGACTCTTTCGGTGGTGATGAGCTCGCGGGGACGTCGGTCGCGTCCGTGGTGAGTTGGCCCTGTGCCTCCCGGTCGATGACAGACAAGCGCCGACCAGCATTCTTGCCTTCCAGCTGCACACCAACAACGGCCGCAAGGCTGCCAAAGTTGAAAAGGGACTCGGGGCTCGCGCTGGGGTCGTCGTGGTCGTGGTCGTGGTCGCGGTGGTCGCGATGGTCGCCGTCTTCGCTGGCGTTGCTGCGGCTGCCCAAACTCAGTCCGCTCGCACGGGGATCCTGCAGGTGAAGGGCGTTGGGAAAACTGCCACCGGCCGAGTCGGGGAGGGACGAGGAAACGGAGGAAGCGCTGCTCATTTGGCGTAGGTGGGAAGGGCCGGCAGACGGGTATTGCGCAGAGGGAATGGGACGAGGCGCCGCACCGGTAGATGACGACGACGAGGTGGCCGTTGGGGCGGCGGTGTCAGCGTTGGCTTCGGCATCTCCCACACCACGATCAACGGCCTTGCCTTTGCCGGTAGAACCATTGTCCTGAGCAATGGTGCCGCGATCCTGCGTTGGGCTGGCCGGACCTGAGGGGGGGTTGCTGACAACCGGGCTCGTGCCGCCACTGCTGGCCGGGCTGACCGACGCTGCCGTGTTTTGGTTGGAGTTGGCGTTGACAGCTCCACTGCCGTTGCCGCTGCCACTGCCGCTGCCGCCAGCCGTCATGGCGTTGGCGACACTGGCTTCGACGCGGAGATTGGACGCGCCACTGTTGCCACGCCGACGGTTGCCGATGTTGAGCGCAGACAGGCTCAGGGTGCTCGCGCTCGCCGAGCTCTGGCCGCTATCCGTGCCGGTGGCGTAGAGGCTGCTGCTGTTGCCTGTACGCTTGGCCATGGCCTTGGCGGCCTTGCGCTCTTCCTTTTCGCGACGCTTAGCCTCTTTCCGCTCCTCCTTCTCCTCCTTACGGCGACGCTCTTCTTCGGTGGCTAGGGACTGGCGCAGCGCTTCTCTAAACATGAGCTCCTCGAGATCTTCCATCCGTGTGCGCCGTGCAGACCCGCTGGCGTTGGCCATGGAGCTCGACCGTGCACCCTCAGGACCACCACCGCCGCCGCTGGCACCGCCCCCATCGGCCGCAGCATCGCCGCCGCTCGGAACGGGGCTAGCATCACCGGCGATGTTGTTGGACGATGTGTTGCGTCTACTGAAGCGGCTGACGCGGAAAGACCGGTTGTCCTGGTTGCCACCCATTATAAAAGCAGCCGTGTGGAGGGCCGTGGCCGCAGCTGCGCGGCGGGCGATGTGGGCGGATTGGCTCGCAAGTTTGGTCGACCAGTCGGGCCGGACACGGTCGGTGGTGATGACGTTGGGGGCGTTGGCTGACAGGGACTGAGCGCGGCGTCTCGACACGGGCGTCGCAGCGCCGGTGCCGGTGGGGGGCGATCCGGTGTTGGGTGACAGGAGAGCGGTGGGGGAGGGACCGGAGTTGATGGAGCTGTTGGACGACATGGCGGCGCCCATGGCGCCAATACCCAACGTCATGGAGCTGGATGCATGGACGAGACCACGGCGGAAGGGTGGGGGGTCATAGGTGACGCCGAATTCGGGTTGCTGGCAGTAGGGGCAGCATGCAGGTTCGGACACGAGTTTGCCGGCCTGGGAATCCTCTCCGTCGGCATTTGCATTTTCGCCGCCGCCGCCGTTGTTGCTGTCACCATGGTTTTCGGGATAGTGGGGGTCGGCACGCTTTATCTGCACAAAGCACTCGCTGCAAATGGCCTGGTCACAGCAACGGGTGTGGTTGAGGTAAGGGGGGTAGGACAGGAAGCAGATGGGGCACTCGTCGGCGTCCTTGTACAAAAACACCTCGATGGGTTGGCCGTTAACATAGGGGTCGTGGGGGAGCATAATCTCGCGGGGGGCGATATCGGTAGAGGAGCCGTTGCGCGACGAAATACTAAGAGCGGCGGCGATGGCCTTTGCACGCGGCTTAAACGGTGAGCTGGACCCACCGCGAGGCGTGGTTGCGCCGCCAGTGGTGGAGGGTGGTGGGATAACGACGGCGGGGGAGGAGGTGCCGGCGAGGGAACCGGTCGGAATGGCGCCTGACGGTGGTGTGGTGGCGGCGGTGGCGGCGGTGCCAGGTGCGCTGAGTTGGGAAGACGAGGCGGTCGGGCCGGGTTGAGGAACGGCCAGTGTATGTCCGGTAGCAGATTTGGGCGGCGAACCAGGCGTGGCGCCGGCGGACGTGGGAGGGCGGGAGAAGAAGGATTCCGGAGGCGGTTGGTCGGGAGGCGGGACATCTAGGCCCCGTGCCGCGGCAGCGATTTGGTATTCCGTCCACGTGGGCGAGAAGTCCTGCAAGCCACGCCAGAAAGGCGCAAGCCGTCTCTCGATCTGCGTTGCATGTGTTAGCACGACTTGGACGAACGAATATTACAATGCAAGAGATGCGATCGGATGCTGCCGCACCTGTAGCATGCGCACGGTGGGCTTGCTAAAGTCTTCAGGGCCGACGTAGGTGCCAAGCGTCACGAGATAACCGCCGTCGACGTGCTCCTCTCGCATGCTGCGCTCGCGCTCGGCGATCCGGGCTTGGCGATCCCGTTCCAGCCGCCGGGCCTCCCGTTCCTGCCTTGTTTCCCGGCGTTCTGGGGGCTGGGTGCCGGACCCTTGTGCAGAGATGCCGAGCAGGCTGCCAAGATCGTTGTTGCGGCCGGAGCGGCCACGCGGTCTGGAACTCGAGCTGTGTCCGTGCGCGCGCGAGGCGTTTGGCTGCTGCGATGACGACGACGATTGGCCGTGATCGCCGGGTGCGCCGGGCTGCCCGGGACGGCTCTCTTTCGTGCTGGTATTACCCATGGCAAATGGCAGGTCTGCAGTCGAAGCAGGCCTCGATGTTGTCGGAAGAAGGCTGGCGAAGTCGAGACGAGGCAGTTTGTGGCCCTGTTCCTCTCGAAAATGGCCGTCGGAAGTGGCCCTCTTCGGAACGACCGTCAAAATGCACTCAAGACGGCCGTCTCACAGGAAAGAAAGAGGGGGTTGAGAGGCGAGCGAGATTGTGCGCTTCGGTTCTATCGACCGGTGTACTTGTTGGATGTGGATTGGGAAAGACACACAAGAGGCAGAGGAGGTGAGATGAATGACGGGAGGAAGAGCAACGGCGTGTGGCCGATGGTCCGTTAAATTCGACGTGACGTGCCACTCGCGCCTCTGGTCTCTGCTGTTTTTGGTGTCTTTGGCGTCGGTATTGCCTATTGCCCCCTGTCTGTTCTATGTTCCCCTCTTTTTCTTTGGTCGACGGTCGGAAGTTCGCTGCTAGGCTCAAGGTGCAAATAGAGAATGGATACGCAGTGGAATGGCCCTCTTTTCGGTAGGCGCGGAAGCTTTCAGCGAAAAGCGGGCGGGGAAGAACAGACAACGCAAATGGAAGACAAGGACGACAAGGACGACAAGGAAGCCGAGGAAGAAGAATCAAGACAAGAATCGAAACGGGGCAAACACTGAAAACGAAGCAAAGCTGGGGACAGCCGTCATGTGCATAAAGAAACACTGGTGATACGAAACGGGCAACGGAAGACGCGGATAGATATGCGGCAGGGCGGTGTACAGATGAAGGGCAATAAAGGAGATATGGCAGATGGGTAACGGCTGTCAGATGGTTGGGCGTTGGTGGTGCATGCCGGCGTCCCAGGAACGAAAACAAGTCGTGCGAGAGGTCCAACGGTATCGTCGGATGGGAAAAGAATGACGACACGCAGGATGCTGACAGTGGGCGGACAGTGGGCAGACGTTGGTCGGCTTAGGGGGTCAAGGCTCAGGAGAGGAAATGGACAGGCCTGGCCAATCGCACTTGCCTGGATGGGCGGATGTGTCGCACCACCAATTCTTGATTGTGAGGAAAGAGGATGCAGAGCGCAGGACGAAAAGGTTTGTGCAGCGGGTTGTTAGCGAGCTACAGGGCTGTCGGTGTGACTTTGTTGAGTTTAGCGGGTCGCTTTCAGTCGGATCATCCCAGGCACATGAACATGGCCGCGATAAGGGTTCGAGGGCAGATCTTGTGGTAGAGGACTGTATTTTACGAATGTACAACTTTACTTTAATCAAGGCGTGATCGATCCGGAACCGCAGAGGAGCAAGATGTCTTGAGGGCGCAGGGATGGAGGTGGCGAAAGGCTGACGACGCTGACAGGGCGAAACCCTGCCGGGCCTGTTCAAGCTTGTATGGCACCTGTTGGCAGCTGTTGGCACCTGTTGGGACATACAAGATATAGGAATAGATCAATACAGCAGGTACAGCCGCTGAAGTTCACCAAATGCTTGCCCTTGAGTCCTTGTCCGGCAGGCAGCAGATGGAGTTTTCCGGTTGGGTGGTGGCTGCTTGCCAAAGTTTAATCTTCTTTATTCTTAGAGCTTCCTTGCTCTATGGAGATTTCTCGCTGAATCGCTCAATTGAATCACTCGCGAGCCTGATCTGGCCAAGACTCGGAGTCTGGGGGAGGGGAACAGAACGAGATGGAGGAGAGCGACGTGGGGTTGGAGTACTGAGAAAGTGGGGAATGGAATGGAGATGGGATGCTAGCAGAATCAGACGAGGCCGGGGGGCACAGCACCTGGAAAAGGAATAACGAGGCGAGTTGACGAGGTGAGCAGCACTGCAGCACTACAGCACTGACAGCACTGATATGTAGCTGAGCTTGTATTCTGTACTTTGTGAGGAGACGGCAGAGCAGGCCACACCTTCCTATTCGGAAATGGGCACCGTGCATCGTGACTGCCCAAAGTACGAAGTATCTGTACATCATATATTCGTCGCTGCTCCTTCCGTTTTGATGTTGTTGGTTCTCCGGGAAGTTGGGTTCGTGCTTCCTTTGTTTCCTTCCCCGTCCTCCTGTCCCAGTTCCATCCACACCCGTTTACCACCAAAACTCATCGCCAGGTCCCGCGATACGTCCTCAACGGTACAAACGCTACAACGTGTATTACATCGTGCAGAGACAGTGGGATCCCGCATCTCTATTCGTTTGTTCTTTGGTTTGTTTTCAGATTCTTGTGTCTGCTCGTTCTCCATCCGTCGTGCTGTCTTTTGCTGCAGCCAGACCATGGCGTGGGAGGAGTCTTGGCCCGGAGAAAGCGTCTATCCTTTCGTTTGTCCTCGACCCCTGCCCCCCGACCATTTCTATTTTGAGCTCGCTTTGCCCGTCAGAAGGTCCTTCGTGCGACGCTGCCTGTGATGCCAGACGACAATGAATTGACAAACTATAGCTTCGTCACCGTATGGACTGCGGAGCGGAGCACGCCTTGCACTTGTGTACCACACGAGTGCATACCCCCAAACAGGTAGGACAATCAGCGCTCCTTGCGTACGGTGTCCCACATGTCGTAGCAGACACAATTGTGCTCACTGGACAAAGGCGATGTCGCCCGTTTTTGGCAGTATTAACACCATGACAGGGGTTAGAGGGTGGGCTAGATCCCGCCAATCCTTTTACGGCTGGTTCGACACTGACAGCGGCGTTTGCATTTGGCTCTGTTCTTAAAGGCACGAGAGGAGAAGTGCGACATTTGGGGACGTAGTAATGGCAGGCGGTTGCTGGACAAAGAAAAGAGGAACGTGAGACGGATAGCGCAGACAAGTATTTGCGCAGACGATATGAGATACATTAGTCACAAACCATAACACCAAACGCAGGCACATCGTGCTTGTGTGCCAACAACAACGCCGGGTAGAATGAGCGAGACGTAGTGTTTCCGACGACGCTACATTCCAGCCGTCCGTTCTGCCTGCTGTTTTTGTTGTACTAAGTATTCCGTACAAAATAGTAACCATGAGATGCGGCTTTCGACGTGGCACGGGCCAAAGGTATATGCCACGCACGGCAATCACTGGCGAAAGTGCTTAAGCAAGTGCGCCTGAATGAACGGCATAAAGCCATTCTCATATGCTATGGTCACTGGCTTGGCATCGATAAACAGTAGGTATGCCATACTTGGTAAACTAGACAACAAAATGCGTTTGATGTTTTGGAATTGAAAGTAGTCATTGGTAAAAGACGACATCAGACGAAAGAAGTTCATAGGATGAAATGCGAAAATATTTCCGAAATAGGACGAAGCACACTCAGACACAAAAAGACACGCTCTGCTCATAAGAGTCTTCAGTATTGACAGCTGAAGAACAATCCACTCAGTCTACTATGACTCCTCGTCGGCATGCACCAGCTTGGCCGCATCGCCACGGTCGGCCCGTACAGCGATCTGCTCGGCAGGTGGCTCTGGCGATGACGATGCGGCACCGATGCCGACGCCATTGCCGACGCCGACTCCTCTCCTGTCGTGAGTGTGTTCGTGGTCATGATTGTGGCCGTGGTCGTACCCCATGGCCACAGCACCAAACAGCGCGTCCATATCCTCGAGGGCGAGGTGTTTCGTCTCCGGGTACAGGTACCAGATGATGGGCACGCAGACGATGTTGATGGCCATGAAGAAAAAGTAGATGCGCGAGCCCAGGTTGGCGATGCCGACGGGCCAGACCTGGGCGACGACGATGGAGCCGATGGCGCCGCCGGACGCCGACAGGTTGAGGCCGCGGGCGCGGAGGCTGGTGGGGAAGATCTCGGAGCCGTAGACCCAGGCGGCGGGGCCGAAGCCCATGCTGTAGCCGAGCGAGTAGACAAAGATGAAAACAATGCACGTGTAGTCGGCGGCGCGGTTGGTGTTGTCCGGGTAGGCGAGCGGGAGGGCGCCGTTGATGAGCAGGGCGACGGACATGACGGCGGCGCCGACGGTCAAGGTGATGCGGCGGCCAATGCGGTCGATGATGAGCATCTCGAGGACGGTGCAGCCGATCTTGAGGGTGCTCTCGATGCCGCCGGCCAGCAGCGACAGCCGCGTGCCGAGGCCCAGCGCCTTGAACAGCGTCGGTAGGTAGTATTTCATGGCGGTGGCGCCGCACATTTGGGCCATGAACTGCAGGAGGGCGGCGCGCCACAGCCGGCGGCGCAGCGACGGCTCGCGAAACAGCGAGGTCCCGTCGAGGCCCGAGGCGCGCGACGCGGCGACGTCGGCGCAGATCTCGTCGAACTCGTGCTGCGTAGCGTCGGGCGCCGCGTGCGCCAGCCCCTGCCGGAAGTAGTCGAGCGAGGCGCGCGCGCGCACCAGCTGGCCGTGCTCGACGAGCCAGCGCGGCGTCTCCGGCAGGAAAGGCAGGCCTAGCATGAAGAGCACGGCCGGCACAAACTGGACCGACAGCGCCGCGCGCCAGCCGACGGCGTCGCCGCGCGGCGTGTCCCAAAAGGTCATGGCATAACCGACCCAGAACCCGGCCGCCAGCCCGCCCACCATGCCAATGTGGTTCATCACCACGAAGCGGCCGCGCTGCCGGGCCGGCGCAATCTCGCTCTGGTAGAGCGGCACGCCCGTGCTCACAATGGCCACGCCCACGCCGGCAATGATGCGGCCGGCGATCACCATCGCATATGCCCCGCCGCCGGTGGCGCCCGCCTGGAGCGCCGACCCGACACACACAACAAATGTGCCCAGCAGCGCGGCATAGCGGCGGCCGAGATAGTCGCTGGCGGCGCGGGACAGAAAGACGTACGACGTCCAGGTGCCCAGATAGTAGATGGCGGTGATGACGCCCTTGTGAGCGGCGTCCGGGTGGTTTAGCTGTTTGATGAAGCCCGGGTGGACGAGGACGGCCGAGATGATGCCGACGTTGTAGCCCCAGACCAGCGAGCCGAGCGCAAAGAAGATGCAGCAGCCGTGCAGGCGCATCGACGCCTTGGACATGAACACAGACATTGTGGTGGGCAAGAGAGGAGAGGGAGGCTACGCGGTCGAATCAATGTGGGAAGCCTGCGTCATGTCAGAACTCGGCGTCAATTTATGAACGTAGACAAGACGTCAACGTGCACGAGAGGTGGACCACCGTTGCGCACCAATGCGGCTCATGGGGCATAGCATGGATAGATCTCTTTGGAGATAAAAGCAGGGACGCAAGACGAGGGCAGTGCCGTTCTCTTCTGTTCTTTTTAAATCACACCCTCTTTCATCTTTTACGGCCGTTTTCCATCCCGTGTCCACCATCGGAGGCTATTTCGGTAGGGCCCTGAGGAGGAGGCACGGAAGACGGAAGGAAGGCAAAAGAAACATAAAAAAGAGGACATGTAAAAGAGGGGCTCGTTTCTTGGTACGACTCATAACCTGCAGGAAGAACACTGTCTGTGCCGGAACGGCAGACGAGAGACGTGCATCTGTTGGTTTCTTTACGCCTTTCGTGTCTACGGTTGCCATCCACCCACACTTCCCCACCGCGCGGAACCGGTGCCGATCGCTGAGTCGAAGACAATAGAAAGACTGCAAATACAGAGAAACGTACGACGTCCTGCACGATAGAGGGGCGCACAGGGTTTCTCAGAAGATTTATTGCCATATCTAGAGTGAGATGCGGTGTTAAAGAGGCCCTGGCCATGTTAGTGTTTAACGGGTGGCTACTGCCAAACGACGCCAGTGCCTTGTGCCAGTTTAGGCTCGTTGAAAAGGAAGCCATATCACACAAGCACGTTTCAACAGAAACCTTTCAGGGCCACTACAGACCCCCACGTGAGTGACAGGGGTTTGGTCATTCTAAAAACGAGGGACTTGAGGGACTCGCATGGACTGCAAAAGGTTCAGACAGCACTCGGAAGAAGCAACGAAGCGCTGAAAGCGTTAGCACGGACAGAATAACAAGCACAGGGACCCGTCAGGACCGTTAAAATGGTTCGCTAAACCTGCTCTGTGGACTGTAGATCACCACGTTTTTTTGTCTTTGTTTAATCCTCTTTGCCGGAGTACTTCATCGACGTCGTCAACACACTCCATTGCCCTGGCTTTTCTCACAGACGCCTGTTTCGAGCCGTGATTTTATTTCTGTTGGTCACAGAATCCCCGTCATCCCCTCCTCACCCACCCTTCAGCCCCCATGCCGTGTCAATTGTGGCAACTCATCCCGTGTCTAGGTCTTCAATCAGGTAGCCACTGCCACTCTACCAAGACTCTGCCCAACAAATGTCTGTGAAAGGACCGTGTCCCGAGTTTCTTCTCTTTTTTTCACGAATCAATATTCCCCGGCTGGTCGGCAGATGGTAGTTGATGCATGCCGCGTTTGGTAAGTGATTTTTGTTCCTCGTGATCACTGCCGTCGCCTTCTATCCCGCTGTTGCATTCTGGGGTGCAGACAACCGAAGTGGTGACTACAAATTATACTACAAAATCAACTGGGCCGATGAGGGCCCGCAGTCTGGTAATGGCGGTGTCGACTTGCTTTTGCATCGTCCGAGTCACTGTGTTCTTGGTATCTCACCACACCGTCGACTCCGAAAAAAATAATAAAAAGTAAGAAGAGAAGACAACCCAGACAACCAACACATAATCGACACAAGATGTTCCGTAGATCTGTAAATCCTGTAACACAAAGAACAACAAAAAGGTGGGAATGCCCAGCACGTCACAGAGATAACCTCTCCAAACAATTGAAGAAGCAATGATCGGATAAAACGTTTTGCAAACAAAAAAAATATCGACGATGGGAGTGAGATTTGAACTCACGCGACCGAAGCCATATGATTTCTAATCATACCCATTAGACCACTCTGGCATCCCACCTTATTTCGATGTTTTGTGGGACATATGCGACTTGTCTAGCCTTATATAGCGAAACACAAAAGTGGGTTCTGGGACCTGGCGCCTTGGACCACTCGGCCGTCTTAGACCAGTCGGCCATTTTGCGTGGAGAGCACCAATGACCAAAGGCCAACGCCAACGCCAACGACCAACGGACGGCAACAAACTTGACGTTCTTTGTTTGCCGATTTGAAACAAACGTAATGCGAGGAGATTATATAGTCATTATATTTCACACAAGTCTATAAATCATATCGTTGTAATATGTATGGCTGCAGTGACCAATCTTCACGACCACTGTGGCCCGTCCGCGGACAACGAGAAAATCGCATTAATAAAACTGTGGACAGGTGGACAGGTAGATCTGCACACTGGCATGTTTTGACACCAGGAAGCGGTCGAAGACGGGCTTCAAACTAAGCAGCTGCTAGAACCACCAACATATATGCAGCCCTCACGACAGGCGCCCAGTTTGATTTTCACATATGGCAGGCGGCAAGGTTAGGCCAGGCGAGGGTGCGCCCCGCAGAAGATACAGCATAGTTACGACTTGAGCTGCACGTACTCTGTACAAGTCTCCCGGTGCTCTGGGTTGACCTGCCTGTCGAGGACTTGCACAGAAACACACCGTGCCACTGGGTGCAATAGACGCTTGCGAGGCTGTCAGGAAAGGCGAGGGTCTACATACGTGCGGCAGAGCATGCATGGCTGACTTCTGGTGTGGTGTGCGTTTTTCGGAGAGCTTGGTCACACCCGCAATGCTTTTGTTTTGCAGGCCCCACAACGCGTGTATCGAGGGCTGTTTTCTTTGCAATAATCCCGCACAAAGGTTCGTCGACAAGGTCTGCCTCACCCACCAACACGCCTGACCTGACAAGACGCCGGAAGATCCTCACCGTGTACTGGGCTGCCGGGTAGGCGGGCTTCACGGGCCTCCTCCCAACCGTGTACCTGGCAAAGATTGTTTGGAATTGTAAGTTCTTTTGACAGTTTTGCTCGACAATGTCACTCATCAACTAACAAAAGTAGCCATGCAGGGTACTAGAGCGTCGTTGGCAAAGTGCTCGCCCGGGTCCAGTACTCTGGCCATCAAGCCACAGCACGATCAGCAATCGACTTCAAGACCCGGGCTGAGCTGGCAACTATATTGCACTGTCGAGTCTGTCCTCGCTCACAACCTCCTTCCTCAGTTGATACTCCCTTGATCTAGCCCACCCGACCGGCTTTCCTGTGTCAGACAGACACACTACATTCCCCTTGGAGATACACATGTTTTTGGCTAACGCTGGCCATGTATTGTTGGATACATACGTTGTAGCATGATGTACAATCTGACACGGCCGGCCCTTTACGGACACTCTTTCTGGCCGTGCAGCTACGCCGGACTGTCCAGGTGTTGAGCTTGACGCAAACCAAGTGTTATCCCATGATCACGACATCGTGGCTATCCAGATTGAGCACAGGACCAGGCCCAAATCAGCATGGTTCTGTGCTTGCCCTCCTGGTGTCAGCCATCTGTCTTGCCATCTTACCCACATCACTCTCTTGATCGCCATGCCCGATCAAGTCTACGTTTTGCGTCCAGGCGACCTTATCACGGCGTTGCCTGACGCATACTGCCTCCACCAGCATTCTATGAATACATAGCCTTTGACTACCTGGCCCGCCATGGACGTGTCACTGCAATCCGCCATTTCGAGGGAAATATCGAGACGGTATGGAAGAAGAAAGCACCCACGGTGGCAGCCAGCTACACCTACATGGCTGGTGCATGGCATGACGGGAAGTAAAATGCTCCAGTAGCTTACAGCTGCTGCAGCCAACTTTGAGATCGTCCATAGCAATCAATACAAACTATATACCAATATATGAACGATGCTGCTCTACTGCTATTGAAATACATCCGCAGATTCGATGCTTTCAGCATTCTCCTCTCGTCTTTCGATATCAAACGTGTCTCGGCAGCTTATTGTGTATTGTATTTCGGGGCCAGACTGCCAAACAGATGCTGGCCGTTGCGGAAACACATATACAGGACGCGTTCGTATTATCAAAGACGTGCAGTAGGGGCTTGAGCACCTTCACGGCTTTATCCTTCCTTGAAAACTAGAGTATTTACTTTCATTTGTTTTATTGCCGGTTGATGGTCCAAATAGAGCATTGGCTTTGTGACATATACCGTGTCTCGTTGCTTCATTCAAAAGCACACAATACACTCCAAAAGTCCCAAGTAGTTCATATTATTGATACAATAAACACGTATAAAATAGTAGATAAGATGCACCGCCTTCCCTCCATACCTGTATAGACTCCGGCATATCCACCGCCGCGTAAAAGAGCAACTTGCGCCGCGAGTCGCTACAGCGCCGCACCGGAGCAGACTGGCCCTCTGTCCACGGTGGCTGGTAGGTCGCCGTTCACCACCAGTTCAATAACCCGTTTAGAAGAGACGTTATTGTCGTCTCCGATAACCGTAACGGTCTCCCATTACGTATAGCCATTCGCTTATGAACCAACACTGGCTCGTGATGTCACACAGAACCACAGGCTTCTGCTGCGGTTCGATTGGCCATCACAGGGGTGCATTGCTGACAAGCGTCGATATGCAGGCGTTGTCACATCATATGCGTCCTATTCTTGGACGGTGATTCGCTCTGTCATACGCATCGCTGTGCCCTTGCGCGGCTGCCTAACTCGTGCGTTCTGGTTAGCATTTTTTGTGCATGACTAGTTTGTCGGGTGTGCCGGCCTCTCTCCCGCCTCTCTGAGGACAAAAACAAATCCAAAACGCGGTGTGGTGGTGCAGCGGTTGCACACGCCCGCGTACTCGAAGGCGACGCAAGATGCCAGCCACCAATAGCAACTGGACACCCCACTCACCTTTCCATATTTTGCGATCCTGTTGGGTGTATTTGGCCATGCGGCACAAGAAAAAAGACAGCTGAAAACCAAAACAAAACAGAAAACTGAGTTGCGCCATCTGTGCTTCTAGGACGACTTGCTAACAATAACGCAATCTGCTGCCCTTTGATCTTCCATTTCTTTCCATTCTCTTTCGCACCATGCCAGAAATCACCTCGGACAGCGACCTGCCCAAGCTGGTCAACACGGCAGCCAAGCGTGCGAAATGGGCCAAAAAGCTTGCCGTGTCCTGCCTCCAAAGCGCTGCCAAGCGCCTCGACAACCCGCCCATGCAGGGCATGTTCAGCCGAACGTTGTTTGCGACGCTGGCCGACAAGAGTGAGGTGGTCATCCAGTTCCGCACCGAGGTACTGGATCTCAGCGCGTTCCAGGTGGCTCGAGAGATCCTGGGCGGCGCGCTCGTGCCGTGGGTCCGCACCCTCGAGGATCCGGAGCTCGAGGGCGAGGGCGTCTGGGCCTATGCGTTGGACCGCATGCCGGGCACGATATGGCTCCGTGGTGTCGCCGGCAAGGGCGCCGAGGCTCGCATTGCAGTCAATAGGTCTCTGGGCCAGGCCTTCTCGCGCGGGTTTGTAGCGGGTGGCAGCAGCGCTGACGCCATCGCTAAGCACGTCCGCCCGCATCTCGAGGCCATCGTCGCCTCTCCCCTGGAGGAGATTGACCCCTACCGGGCGCTGTGCAAAGAATACCTCGACGAGAAGCTCGGTATTTTGGAACAGCTGCCGTTGTGGATCGCGCACTACGACCTCAACGACGTCAATGTTCTCATCGACGCAGAGACCTTTGAGGTGACCGCGCTGATCGACTGGGAACTGTCCCACCCGCTGCCACTGGGCATCGGCTTCGGGCGCGTGCACACGCTCGCGGGCGAGTACACGGGCGGCGAATTTTGGATGCCGCCCGAGTTTGAGACGGCCGAGACAGCGTTTTGGGGCACGCTGATCGCGGGGATCCCCGACGTCGCCGTCAAGACGCAGGTCGCCGCCCAGATGGCGCTGGTGCAGGACGCGGTCCTTCTCGGGACGCTGCTGTCGACTTTCTATTTCGAGGATGGCAAAGTCGGCGCTGCACAGGTACCGCTCAAAGCGCTGCCCAAGTTTTTGACGTACCGCATTCCGCCGCTTCGCGGTAATGAACCTCCTTATTCTGTGTAGCACGTTTATCATGTGTTTTTGGGCCTTGACGGCACACTCTGCCGGTGGCAGACATGGGCAATAGGACCGTATGTTTGTAATGCGAAACATAGACAAGATATTCCATTCCCAGATTCTTAGGCAATTATTATTAGCACTATTCGTTTACTCTACTTGATAACAACTCCATTGACACAGCCGTGAGAGTGATTGTGAAGCAGCTCCTGATGAGCTGTATAGTATGTTTTTTGGCGGGTATAACAGCCTCTCGGCAGCTGGTCCACTCGATCAACCTGAGGTGCGAATAAGTGAGAACAGCAAAGCACGAGGCTCACCTTGCTCGCTGTCTGTCCGTGCCACCGTCGACGATTTGTAAAGCTGTATACGCCCTATAAAGTCATATTGACTTTCTGTTGTTTCCTGAACAAAGTATTGTACTTTGTTGACTGGCGTCATTTGTTGATTGTGCAAATAGATGCGCTCATCAAGTTGGGATTGCCACTTTGACCAGATTCAACGCATGGCTCTATGGAATGTTGCCGCCAATCTGAGAGGAAAGTGAGACGGATGTGATGGGAAGCTGACCAAAAGTTGAGGAGACGGTGAAAAGGGGTTCGTAGGGGCACTGGTGTGGAGCAGAGCCACGTGTGACAAGCACCCAAAAAGTTTCAAAACAAAACAATATTCACACGACACGATAACGAGAGCGAAACCGACAGTAGCCAGACTTGTAGACGTGCAAGACGGGCACGAAGAAAAGAGCAGTATAATCAGACTCTAACTACCGTATGCAATGGATATGGGGATGGACTGTAAGTGACTGTCGTTACTATCGTGTGTTTTCCCTGCGACATCCCGTTGTACGTGTCCTATCATTCTATAATGCTTATTCATATTATGGGTGGCCTGTATATATACCATATAAGATCATCAGGTGCTATTACTACCAAGTGCTGCCGTCTCGCTTTTGTAAAGTGCACGGATGCTCTTTGGCACCGAGGGCTCGCTTACCCTAACAATCTTCATCTGATATTATTGACATCGTACGCGTCGAGAGGTAGCTAGGCAGACGTAGGCTAGCCACACTATCAATTCATGTTTTCCTCCTTCCTTTCGAATGACTACGCTACTCTGCAATGTTTTTATTTTTTATTTTTCCTTTTTATGACGTACAACTGTTCTTTTCACTTCGATGGTTGCCCCTCCAAAGGCAAAACATTTGATAAATATACCCCTTGACAAAATTTTCTCCTTCCTCTCCCCTCGCTCTTCGTCTTCTTCTTCTCTACCCACCACGACACTTTTCACTTCATCACCACATACTTTTCTATGTACAAGATTCGTGTTCTTCAATGTTTCCTCTGTAAAGTTTTATTATCCTGTGAAACTTGCTATTACGAGCTGTTTCGTCGCAACCACATTCATCCTTTACGACGCGTCGCTGTCTTCTTCAAGGCTCTTTTGCCAGAAGATTCAGTGCGGTTCGTGCTGTCATTTGTTCTTTTCCTTTTTATTTCGTGCCACCGTTTTCTGTTCTTGTTTGTTTTCTCCATCTGTTGCTGTCGGTAAGTTCTTTTTTTCATGTTTCTGGTGATATAAACGTTGCAAATGGCACCCACTGACTTGAATAACAATGAGAAGCCTTGTAGCAATATCGTCAAGACTACACACAGCGAGTTTCTATTCCTCAGACTCTCTTGTGCCATCAGTTATTGTCTACCTGAGTTGCAGTTTCATTTGTTTCTTCTACCCTCCCACCGCGTCTTGACACTTGTGTTACGGCAATTGTTTTCAATCGTTATCTCGGCCTGTTTTTATCTGGTATGTACCTCTTTCATCCGCTGGATACTCAATATAACCGCTCGAACTAACGAACCCCTCCGCTGTTGACGTACTGTTGACGTAGCCAGCTTTACAGCAACCTAAAACACAATACCGCGAAAAAAAAAAATTGCTTTCCTCTTCGATCTTTTCTCGACCGATCTTTTCGACAGATCTTTGCACCAGTACATTGAGGTTCTGCATCTTGACATAAAACTCTTGAGTTACCTTTGTCTATACTGAAGACTTTTGTATTGTTGTCGAGTTAATTTCCCCCCTGCTCGTTCTTTCAATTTTCTTCGTTTTGTTGTTATCCTGCTGTTCTTCGCCAGGTCATCGCCTACGATCCGGTAAGTATCACTGCTCCCGACGCATTGTTTGTATTTCATCGTAACTGACCATATCACAGCCGACCATCGTAAACAGCCTGTGTATCCTATAATTTTATTTGTCCCTTTCCTTTTCTTCAAAAAAACACACACCCCGCAAAAAGATCGCGCGAGAAGATCTATCTGTGCAGCCATCTAAGCTCCTAGACCTATCTATGGTCTATACTTGTTTCTGTCTGCCGGATCCGATCTGTTCGATCTTACTCGTCAAGCTTTGTTTGCCTGTCACATAATTGGTACTATACATCATCGATTTATATCGGTAAGTTATTTTCGTCATTCTGCTTTCATTTCCTTGGCTTTTTATTTTACCTTTGTTTTCCATATCTTCATTTCTTACTTTCATTGATTAGTTGTTCTTTACTAGTAATTTTTAACTTTACTTTTGTTTAACGTGTTTTTGCATTATTCTGCTTCCTGCATTCTTTTGTTTTGGAAAACGAAACAAAAAAACGTCCGACACTAACATAAGTTTACCATGACAGGTCCAAGACTGCTATAACATCACATACCCTTACCTCGACATATTGTCCTCAACTACACACCCTCCCTACGTGCCTTTAAGTCTCACGAGTCCAAATTCGTTCGCTATGTTCGGACATTTCGATCTTCGTGTATTTGCTGTTGGTGAGTGTTAACTGATAATTTCTAAATACATGTAATTGGGTCCATGTTACAAGCACAATACTGACGAATATAAGCGTCAGCAGGTAAACAAGGCCTCCGTGTCAAGACTTCCGCACTGCGGTCTCACATAGACCCGTGACACTGTACAAGATCCACTGGCGTTTATAGTCGGACTATAAATTGTACGCAGCAGCTATGGATTCCGAAAAGGACTCCAACAAGGTCTCCAGCAAGGACCTCAGCAAGGACCCCAACAAGGACTCTGCTCCGGTCAATGCCGACGACACGCCCCAAAAGCGCGTTACAATTGTATTTGTATCAAAGCAGACAGCTGCCGGACAGTCTGAAGCACCTGGGCCCACCAACGTCGTCAACCCTGATGATGCTCCGGCCGTGCCTGGTCCATCGGCTGCGGCCTCTGTTGCTGTAACCCCCGTTGCTGAAGTATCGGCTGCTGATGCACATACCGAGGCACTTGCTGGGGCGTCTGCTAAGGCGTCTGTTGCCGAGCCTGCTGAGGCGACGGCCAAGCCCAAGCGCAAGAGAAAGAGCCGGGCCAAGGCCAAGGCAAAGGCGGAAGCCAATGAGGACGGCGGCGGCGACCTGGTCGACGTGACCAACGTGCCCGACCAAGGCAACAGTAATGCCCCTGCCCCAGGCAAAAAGCGCAGAGCTGCGAAGCCGCGCAAGAAGGCTGGCACGACGGCCAATCTTGGAGCCGATAAAGCATCTGCGTCTGCGTCTGCATCTGCGGCGAATAATGATGCCGTCCCCACGGGTGAAAACCAAGAGGCGTCTGCTGCTCCCAAGCGGTCCAAGGGCAAAGGGAAGGCAAAGGAAAAGGCCACAGCAGAGCCCAATCCTGCTGAGCCAATGTCTGTCGAGACCAACCTCCCCGCCCGCAAGGACAAGGCCAACGACAAAGGCAAGGGCAAAGAGAACAGTCCTCCCGTTGTTGGAGCTTTCCCTCCCTTTGGAGCTTTGTTTGGTCAAGGTCACGCGCATTCTGTCACTGCTTCCGCCAATAATGCACTCGAAGGTATCCCTGGACCCTCCAACCTGGCCCGGCACTTGGCAAACCTCCAGGGTGTGAGCAAAGAGGCCCTGGCAGAGTCGTTTGCACAGTGGTCTGTGCAGACGCTGGAGACAATTCTCAAGCAGGATGCGAACGGATCCTCGGTCGCCGTGCCTGCTGGGCCCGCCTCTGCTGCGACACCTGTGCTTCGTCACGCACCGCAGCCCATCCCGGTCCAGATGATCGAGCCCGTCCACTCCGTCCAGCCCATCGTGCCTGTCGTCGAAACTGTGGAGTCGGTCGAGCCTGTTGTGTCTGGCCAGACCGGCCAGACCGGCAAACCGAGCGAGACGCCGCGTGCGCACGCTACATTCGGGCCGTTTCCTGCCTCGTCGCCGCCGGCTCCCAACTTGGTTCGGCATACGACCGTCGAACACGTTCACCCGCCCTTGCCGGAGACGAACACCAATCCTATGCGGACCTTGGACGAAGATGCCGCGTACTACCTGATGACGGGACCGGGTATCATTGAGGAGAACGAGCTCCTGCGCATGCGCGACCGGTTCCACAAGGGCATGGACGGCGGGCCGTACGCGTTTAAGCGCAAGCGGTCGACGGTGGTTGACCCGCATGGCGACGTGCACCTGACCATCATGGACGGGCCCGACCGCATCCGCCATACGTTCCAGGTGAACTCCACGGTCCTCTCCATGTGCTCCGAGACGTGGCGCCACCTGTTCCACGCGTTCATGCGCTGCAACATGATCGAGCTGCCCTTTGATGCACAGTTCCAGCACGTGGTCAAGCGCTGCAAAGAAGCCGTCCTGCCGGACATGGGCATCGAAGAGGTCCGTCCCGGCGACTACCTATTTGCGCGCCGGTTCCTAGGGCACTACCGCGACCCGGTCAATGAGAAGCACATACAGGACACGTTGCGTCTGCTAGGGGCGGTGGCCAGAGACGCTGCGACCGCTGGCAACAGCGGTGCTGGCCAGAGCAGTGTCGTCGAGGACAATGTCGTTGACAATCATAGTGAGGGTGTCTGTGACAACGATGACAACGACGACGGCAGCGACAACGACAAGAATGTCGTGGACCGCGCCTTTGACCTCTTTGACGACAGCATCGAGGACACCATCTACTCGGACTCGGTCGCTCGCTTTGGCCGTGCTGAGGAGGATGAGCCCCAGCACTTCAAGGAAGCCCTCGACGCCTACTTGGAGGCCAAGGAGGCGACGGCTCGCCACGAGGCTGAGGCGGCCGCGCGCGATGCGGAGACCCTCGCCGTCATCCGCGAGACGTACGACGGGCCCGGCGTCGTCACGTTCCCCTGGCCGGCCGACTTCTTTGTCTACGTTGAGGCGCCGTGGGAGCATCTCTGCTGCGGCAACCACATCTGGTTGCCCCGTGACGAGCAGGAGGCCACGACCGTCCGCGGCCGTGTTGCGTTCGACATCAGCAGCCTGTTCGAGGACAGCGGTAGCATGCTCGATCCGGGCCCCAACCAGAGAAACGTCATCTGGGCGATGCACGTCCTCTTGGAAGTGGCCCACGGCAACGTCCATGCGTGCCCGACGCGGCTCGACGCAGCCCACCTGGCCATGCTCGGCCGCCTCACGCGTGAGCTCAAGATGGGCGTCGTCATGTACCGCACCCTCCTTCCACTGTACGTGCGCTTCCACCTCCAACACAGAAATGAAATCCAGGACATGTTTGCTGATCTCGCTAAAAAACAAGCTAAGAAAGGAGCCAAGCGCAACGGCAAGGCGAAGAAGGACAAAGGCAAGGGAAAGGTTGACCCGTCGCCTGCTGGACCGTCGTCGTCAAAGTAGTCGTCTGACCAGCTGCGACGCTGGTTCACGGACGCTTTACTTCGGTTGCTTCGGTGTGGTGGGCAGTTGGGACGGGAAGCGTTTGTTTTACACTGGTTTGGCGCGGCTTATAAATTGGCTTGTTATGTACGACAAGGAACATTGGGAGGCTGGAGGATGGGACTTTGGGAGATCGAAAATGCGAGGAAATCGCGAGAAGGAAGTATCCAGTGAGTTGAGACTGGCTGGAGAAAGTGAAAGGAAAGGGGGATGAGGACGTGTAATGGACTGAGGACTGTGTTTTGTGGTTTGAAGGTATTGTTTGTTTTGTTCTTTTTTTTGTTTTGATAGAGGAGATGATGCTCCGCCGTCCGTCACTTGGACCTTCGTTTGACCTGCTGTCTCGTCAAACGAGGCTGTTTTTTGTCGTCGTTTTCTTGTCAGCACTTTCTCATTTTTTTGTACGCCGCTGTTTGGGTTTTTTTGTACGTCGTATGCCACATCAAATCCCCACTCTATTCTCTCCTGTTTCCAGTGTGCTTTGTGTTGGTTGTATGAGTGCACACTTAATGATCATAAAATCTCTCCGGCATCCAGAATGCCACTTGTTCCGAATGCCAACTCAATATCGGTGACATAACAGCGGCGGACTGTGACTGTCGTTGCCTATGTATGAGCCGCTGCCCACGAGCCTCGTCGGCAACCTGTCCGGCATCTCCCCGACAAGCCTCTGTTTGTGCCCGTCGGCCCCTTGCATCTAAACACCACGAGTATGAGAATGCGCGAGGACCGAAAAAAAGGCGTCCAGGACAAACGAGTCGTGAAGCAAGGAGTACGACAGTATAGTCAATCAAGATAGCACACACTGACCAAAACGGACTATCCAGCACAAAGAGCCATTGTTAGCATTGCTTTTTGTTGTTTGTTGACTGTTGGCTTTGTTGTCCGCCTTGCTTGTGGCGTCTTTGTTGATGTTGGTGGCTCCTATTGTTTGATTTCTTTCGTGGCGATTCAGGGGCACCAGCTGCACAAAGGCCATTCTCACATCACAATGCGCAGTGAGTGTCTGCAAATAGGACCAGTATTCAATGAAACGCTTCTTTCAATCCGCCAAAGTAACATATAACACTGTTCACCCAGTCCCGTTCGCTTCTTCGCCTGCGAGTATGGCCAAGTCATACATCAATCACTGATGCACAACACAGAACAACACAGAACAGCACATCCACCACTTCGTACTCTTCACGCACACGCACAATGTCCTTCCATCTCGACCAGACGGCCTACACCTTTTTTGAGGTCTCGCCCAGCGCCAGCGCCTACGAAATCGGCGAGGCCTACCGACGCAAGGTGCGGCGGTATCCGGCCAATCGCGTTTGGGACACGCCTATGGGCTCGGCTGCCAAGACGGGGCTGCAGGAAGTCGAGCGGTGGTATGCCTTGATCAGCACGCCAGAAGCGCGGGCAGCGTACGACGAGACGCTGGCCGGCAAGTCGTGCCGCGAAGCCGACGGTGACGTCGACAGAAGCGACGGAGACAACAGTGCGCACAAAGACGACGTCGACAAGACCAAGGACAGCAACAGCAACGATCTCGATGTCAATAGTAGCACCATTGTCGCCATCAACGACACCATCAACGACACAAACAACGGCGACGCCACTCGCCCGACCATCCAGGACCTCCTCGTGGCCACCGGCAACCCGTATCTCTACGGCACCCTGGCCCGCACCATCTTGGGCCTCAGTATCCTCTGGCTGGGCATTTTCATCATTGTCTACGGCACGCCCTCCACGTGGCACGTCGTTCGTTGGGTGAGTTCTCCGTGTTTTTCTGGTTCACCGAGTGCCAGCCCCTTTGCCACGCTTGGCCTTGCCACGGACAAGCCACTCACACAGCCACAGGTCCGCGCCGCCTACCACCGCGCCGTGCTGGCCCATCATCCGGACAAACCGGGCGGCGACGCGTCCGCCATGGCGCAGATCAACCGCGCCTACGAGTCCCTGCGAGACCCCTACCAGCGGTGCCTTCACGAGCGCGCGCAGTGGCTGTGCGCGCACCTGCGGCGCCGATCGGAGGCGGAGGCGGATGTGGTGCTGCCCGTGACGACGGCCGACGTGACGGCCGGCTCGCTGCGCACACCACCATCAGGCCAGGTGGCCGTCTTGGCCAGTTTGCACACTCTGTGGCAGCGCGCCTGGAACGCAATTGCTCGGCTTCTGGAACGACTGGCCGGGTGCTGATCGGGGACGACGATGCGAGCATACGGGAGGGCGAGTATAGAGACAAGACGTGACAAGCCGTATGCATAGGCTGGACTTGGCATACGGGCATCTATGGGCCTTTGGAATATCGGTATATAGTGGGTGTTTATTTTGATTCTTGTGTTTTTGGCATGGACATTTATGAGACTTCTGCATTGGCGTTTGGCGTTTTGTCCACTATCTCAAATCTACATTATGTTTGTTTGTGACCAGATATATCATGTGTACATTACAATAGCATCCTCACAGCTACAGTGCTCGCCCAGTAATGGTACCCTCGTCTCTCAGAGACTGGTGCCGCGTTCGTCCCACGTCCACCGCTGTCCCGGGATGTGGACCCAAAAATTCGGACGAACGCACTGTATCTGCCCTGACCGATGCCGGCGTCGCAGTTGTGGACGACACCGTCGAGCCCGTCATCATGGTCGACTCTGACAACGACGGCGATACTATCATCGTCGCCCGTCTGCCGGCATCTCCTACTGTGTTGGTGTCCTCGCTGCTCCCCGAGACGGTCCCGGCCGCCCATGTCCGCAGCCACCGACCGCCGAAAAACAGCGCCGGCAGCCCCAAGCTGGTCACGATCAAGATCTCTGCATACACAGCCCATACTTCCAAGGCGCCTTCCCGGGCAACAAACGAGGCTGTTGTGCCCTGCGGGAAGAACGCTGCCACAAACCGCCAGCTGTTGGCATGCGCCAAACACGGGCCGGCCCAGACCGGGTAGCTTTCCATCAGAAAGACGCTGCCACCCACCAGCGCGAGGACCATGGCGAGCGCCAGCAGCGTCGGGCCCAGCAACAGGAGCACCGTGCTCGTGCTGGCGTAGTTCAAGACGGCTCCGACGACAAAGCTGCCGGCAATGGCGAGTGCCAGCGGGAGCACGAGGACGGGCAGGTTGTGCTCGGCCTCGCGGCGCACCGTCGGCCGCGCCTTTTTGTGCGCACGGCGCTCGGTGGGCGTGAGCACGGACAGCCGGCGGTTCTGCTGGGCACGCAGGTGACGGGTTACGGCGAGCGTGAAGCGGGCGCCCACAGCACCCAAAACGAGGGTCAACACGCCGGCCACGCCCAGGGTGACGCCCGGGACCAGGCCTGTGAGCGAAAAGGGGTCGGCTTTGGTCGTAGTCGCCGACGCCGCCACCAGCAGCATTGTGGCCGCCAGCTCCGCGGCCGCCGTAGAGGCCACGAGCAGCACCGCCTGCACCACGGTGACCCACACGACCGCTGGCAGCAGCGCTGTCCGCACCAGGTCCACCACGCTGCTGCCCGCGCGCGACCACTGCCACGCGGCAAACGGCGAAACCACAAAGACGCCCGTGTCCGTCCACAGCGTCCGGCCGCCGTGGGCCTCGTAGTCGAGGCGTGCGTTGCGCTTCCGCCGGTCGTTGTCCTCGTCGGCGTACACACTGAGGTCCCCGTCGCCACCGCAACCACCGCCGCAGAGTTGCGTCTTGGTGCGCAGCGTCCAGCGGGTCTCGGGGACAAGCGCAACGAGGGCCAGCCAGGCCAGAAACCCGGCCGTGCCCACAATATAGTACATCCACCGCCAGTCGTAGAACGCAGCCAGGAAGGGAGCGGCGGCCGAGAGGCTGGCCGTGACCAGGGCCTGGATGGCAAACGAGACGGCCAGCACGAGGTGCCGCTGGTGAAGAAACACGAGATCGTGAGCGGCGACGAGCGGCACCAAGGCGTTGACGGCTCCGGCGCCGAGACCGACGAGTGCGCGGGCGGCCACATGCTGTTGGAACGCCGAGGACATGGTGGCCGCGGCGGCAGCTTGGCTGCCAATGCTGCTGAGCCCTGCCCACAGTGCACCAATCCAGGCACATGCCGATGCCAGTAAGAGGACCGGACGACGACCAACAGCGACAGACAGCGGAATCTGCACATAGCTGGCCGCGGCGGTTGTCAGCATGGGGACGGTGGTCAACATGTTGATCTGGCTTGTTGAGAAGGGTGTGGTATCGGGGGGCAGGAGCGGGCCCAATGTCGTCGTGAGGTTCAAGGATGCGGACGTCGTCGACAAGGTAAACGTGGCGTTCCGGATCGCAGCCGGGTTTACGCCGGCATACTGCAAAGCAAAAATGGGCTCGAGGAGATTGCCGGAAGCAGTTTCGGTAGCGACAGCAAGTGCACCGACTATCATGTTAGCTACCGACAGATAAAGTTTTGCCGGGTGAGTCGTATGGGGCCGAACGTACACATGCTCATGACCACAATGGCCGTCCATTTGCGCCACTTGGGCAGGTTCAACGGGTCCTTGGGGTTGGCCGAGGGGAACTGGGTATGTCAGCGAAAGGCCGTAAGGCCAGAAGGTATTATTGCGTTATTGCATTATTGTATGATTGTGGTGCCTTTGGAACCCACCGGAATCAGCCGCATCCGACCGTGGTCAAACAGCCGCGTCGTGCCCACGGGCAGACGCTGTGCCCGCCGCCGCTTCCGCTGCTGCTCGCTGAACACCGTCTGCTTCGTCGACTTTTCCATGGTCCCAATGAAGTCGTGGTAGTCCTCGCGGGCGTCCTTGGCGGGTCCGGACAGTCGTTTTGGTCGCGTAGGTATTCCTGCTGTGATGGTGGTCGTGGTCGTTCCCGATCCAAAGGTGGCAACCGTCGTCATCGTCGCCGGTCGGGAGCCGGCTGTTGTCGGTCGGGACGGCTGTCTTTGACCTTGGCCCTGGCCAGCGGGCGCCGTCCTCACCGGACTCAGCAACGGCCAGCTGGTCGACATCTTGTTCGAATGGGGTGAGAGGCCAGCTCTGGTGATGCTCGGATCGTCTAGATCATAACGGGCATTCGGCAACGAGCGATTTGTGGATCAACCACGAAATATCCGTGATGCTCAGCACCTCGTGCTCTTGGTCGAGTCGGTCCTTGTGGAGAGAGGTGCAAGAGAACGACACAAGCTCTACGCAATTGTCTACGAGTATCAGGGGCTTCTGCGTTTATGAGAAGGGGGCCGAGAAGATGGCGCCGGGGGGCGACAGCATGCCTCCCTCAGTTCGTTCCATCCATGGACTTCCATGTCAGGACACCAATTGCGGCAGCAGCACATCCGATCAACACCCCCGCGCACGCTCGTGATCCAAAAAGACACTTGCTAGGGAAGGAAACAGCAGCAATGCAGGGGTTGTAGGGGGGTTGCAGAGGAACTGAGCGAGAAGTCATGACAAAGTTCGATGTCATACACTCCAGCGTCGACGACAACCAGGAGTATGCAAGTGAATCGGCACGATTGTGGGATGGTGGCGCGAGCACGCCCACGTTTTGGCCGAACATCAATGCTTGGCTGTGGTCGACCAGGTCGGCGGAGGTGGAAGTTCCACGGCAACGAGTGCAGAGTCGTCATGGTGCTGTGTCGCCGGTGGTGCTGCGGTAAGGTATGGTGTGACTGCCTGAAGATAACGCTGCTCGCTGCATGGGCAGGATTTGCAGATCAAACACTGATTGATGCCATCCAGTTTCGCTTGAAGGGTGACTGGTAGACAACGGAATATGAAAGAAAGGGAACAAAAGAGCAGACATGAAACAAACGCACGGGCAAATCTTTGTTGGCGTGTTTGGCCTCTTTTGCGAGGTGCTCCGTACATCGTATTTTTTTTTTACGGACATCGACTGTAACTCTGTTCTCAAAATGCAAAATTTATGTCGGAAAACGTGAGACGAACACCATGATGTCTGCGTGAATTTGTATTTGCAAGTACGACGTGCTTGGCGATGCCTCCTCGAAATGCCTAGGAATCATTTCGTCGCTCAAGCAAAATCCTCTCCACTAATATTTGATGCTTTTGCGCCACCCCAGCGATACATGAAGCAGTACTCTCTATAGCTAGAGACTTCTGCAGGCCGCTTGATAAACACCCTGTCGCATGTTAGGACATGAATATTTGAAAGGTTTAGAGAAAAGTCACGTACATACCATTTGCCGTTTTGAAGGGAAGCATAATAAACATCGTGTCGTATTGTTAACAGTTCGTCCTTTGTCAGGTCCTTGGTGTAATTGAAGTCATAAATGAAACAGCCTTTGACAGGCTTTAGAGAGTCGCATCGTGGCAAAAAATGCGCCTCATCGTGAGGTGTATCTTGGAGACAGTTGTTGAAGGGTCGGTGAAGTACCTGAGAAGCAAAAATACGCCCAAATGCTATAACTCTTGCGCCTGGTGTGCCATCAATGTCGGTAACGACGGCTCTGATGATCGCACGATAAGGCTCTCTGGGTGTCTGGTGTAATTACAGATTAGTTACTGTATGGCATACGGTAAGTGACAAAAGCAACAAAACCCTACCAAACTGTATTGTGGAACTGCTTCAACGGACTGCTCGACGGTGCCGTCCATCTCGTATCGTGATTAGGAAACTCACGGAGTACCGACGAAGCATCACCCCTGACGACTGCCATGGGCGGGGTAGATGGATGAGGGCCCGTCTAGCAAACAATGACGGATAAATAAATACTCCAAAAGGACTGTATGCAATACCACACAAATGGTCCGACATGTTGTTAATCGTCGTCCATGTTCTGAACAGCTCACTGCTGCTGGTTTGGCAACGGGGGCCCAACGAACCAACAAGGGACTGTCGCAGGATTGTGCTAATGTGAATGAACGATACGAATTCTGTTAAGCGCAGTCACACATCACAGTACGAGTATTTTCACAAAAGAACCAGAGTACGTCGTATGTTTGGCAGTTGATCTGTTGATAGAACGATATATAGTTTGGTTAATTCCTGGTACGGGTGAACAACCTCCCCGTTCAGATGACAGGATGGATTTTGCATCGCAGAAAGACCGGAAGAATTTTATATAGATTACGTCGTATTGGGCAGGTAGAGACGACGAGGCCGGCTTTGGGACAAAGGTCTGTTCCAATCTACTCTCGGCATCTTGTCACCAAAGGGGTGCGAACGACATGGATTTGCTAAGATACATGATAACTACTCTGAAGAGGCGAAGAAAGCCGTGACAGGCCAGTCCCAGAAAATCCAAACGGGAACATATCGTAACAAACATTATATGGAGAGTTTGCCGACCAAAGTAGTCTCCGACTCCATCGTCTAGCTGCCGAAGTCGTGTCATTAAACGTCGACATCAACAGCACCGTCGTGCCCATCTCCCTCCTTCTATTGTCGCTTGTCGCCGCCTACCAGGCGCGCCACCAGCACGTACAGAAACACCAACCCGCCAAACACATAGAGCTTGTTCTGCGCCAGCCAGCCCTGGCCGGCGCCGCGCCCTTGCCGCACGGCCTCGACGACGGCCTGTGCCTGCGTACCACTACCTACTGCACCGGTGCCCGCGCCACCGGCACCGGCTGCCGGCACGCCCAGCTGCTTGCCACAGCTGGCGCCGTTGGCGCCGCCCTGTATTGACGGGCCGGTCTTGGCGGACGACTGTGCGGGCGACGACGATGATGACGACGATGCTGTGGAAGAGGATGGCGCCGGCGCTGCTGCAGGTTTCGGCGCCGCCGTAATCTGCCCCGTCGCCATGTCCACATGCTGCTCCTTCATCCACGCCCAGTTGGCCTTGTCCAGGTCGGGCCACTCGGTGCGGAACTTGGCGCCGCCATCGCCCGCCTTGACCTGCACTTTCGCCTTGATGTCGGCGCCTGTGTACGTGCCGCCACCCGTCGAGTTCCACCACCGCGAGCGAGCTGCATGGAACTTGCGCTCGGCGGATGTGGCCGACACGGACCCCGTGGTCATTTCCTCGGACGTCATAAACGACAGCAGGCCAATCAGAATCGTGGAGACCTCCCAGGCCGGGTTGAAGGAGCGCGGGTGGAAGTCGGAGATGGAGAGGCAGAGGCGGGTTGAGGGTTGGAAGCGGCCGGATGGAGTGTGCATGCGGATGGCGGGCGGCGCAAAGGGGTAGTCGGGCGGGAACATGAGGGTGCCCCAGTACTGGCCGCCGTGGTAGGGGGTATCTTCGGGGCCGGTGATGATGTAGTGCCACCTAGACCAGTCGTTAGCACATTCGATCAATCGTCGTCGTAGAAAGGGCCAGAACGCCGACTTACTCGAGGATGTTGCTATCCGATGGGCGGGCCGTGATGTACGGCGGCGGATTCTCCGAAATGGTCTTGTACTCGCGCGTCAACTATGGCATGTTAGTAAGTGGGGAGCATCATACGGAAATGATGGAAATGCAAAGGGAAAGCGAGGTCGGGATGCTAAGGGTCGCATCGAGGTCGCCAACAATGCCACGTACGCGCTTCTGAGCGGCCCGGCTGGCCATGGCGTAGTCGGGACCGGGAGTCAACCAGTCTATGAAATCGCAAAGAAGTATCCAAAGACACACGGGTCGGCCGATGGGGTAGGACCGGGAGGCCGGGGTGTCGTGCGATAAGGGGCGATCACCTATGAAGAGGATCCGAAAACACAAGGCCGAATAATGGAAGAAGAGAAGAGTCGTATGTAGTGCTACGCAGGACGCTGGAACACAAAATGGAAACTGCAAAAAGTCCAGTCGTGAAAGAAACAGAATCGAAAACAAAAATGGCGGACAAATTCGGAGGAGCGTTGATGTGTTGGTTGTGAGAAAAACAGATAAGGTTCGAAACGAGTCGCTAGGCTGAGTAGGCAAAGAGGCGAGAAAGTACAACATGCAAAGGAATCACCGTAATCATGCGGATGGCCGTCTGCTCCAAAGAGTGACTTGGCCCAAGAACAGCGTGCCGATCGCCGAGCCTGCACGTGGACAATCACGTGTAGCTGACTCTTGGCTAAGATAGGGGGCCTCCAGGAGTTGGGGCTGACGTAGAACCCCTGGTCTCACTCCGTGGAATACGGGTGACACTGGGCGAGACGCGACCTGCGAGACTCGAACTTTCCGCCCAGACCACTGCCAAGCCTCCAGCGCCTGTCTGTTGTCCCCTAAATACAGGCGACACAGGGCGCCACAGGCCACTCACAGCCGTGTATCCGCGTTCCGGTCCACTAAATTGCGACGACTCCGTGTCCAAGACGCTAAGCCTCTGAACAGTGTGTGCGCTATTGCCTCCTTTGGCTGTTTCCAGCGTTTCCCTTTGTATCTGCTGGAACCGCTGCCGTGGCCAGACGAGCAGGAACGTCCCCAATTCCTCGACGTCCATCCCATCACGACATCGGCCGTTTTTGCGTTTGTTTCTGCATCTTGGTCGCATCTTGCTGCCATGGCCGCCTGAGCAAGCTCACCTATCTTTTTCTGGCTTGCTGGCGATTCTTTTTCGCCTGCGTCTTACGTTCGTTCTTGGCCATTTCCGTCTCAGCCGCGTGTCCGTCGACCTCGAAACAGAGAACTTGCGGATACTTCAAAGCATTGTTTCGCATCTGGACCAACGATTTCTACAGCTTTTCTGGACCTAGTTGCTTCACGAGGGGTATGGGCGGCCACTTTTGTCACGATAGACGACATATTGATGTCTTTTCGCTCTTACACCACATCCACTCGTTGACCCTCGTTCCTCGACCACGGAGTTTCCCCTGACGACAAACTTGCGCACGTCTCAGCTCTTTTCAATGTTTCTACCCTCCTAGCTCCCATCACGACCTCTCCGAACTACTCCGGGACCGCTCTTGACGGTCCCTTCTTACACACACCCCTGGGCCCGCCGAAATGCCGTCTCCTGCGGCGGCCGACGATGGCCAACATGGTCCGCCCATTCCGACCTATGACGAAGCCGTCTCTGCCCACGGCAACGGCGGCATCCTTCCTTCGCCTTCCAACTTCGATCCACTGTCCCCCATGGGCGAGGCCTTTTACGCCCCCGAAAGCGAGAGCCGCTCTCTCCTGAGACGATCCCACCAGCGCAACGGCTCCACTGCCACCAACGGCAGCAGCCGTCGACGACCACGAAACGGACATACCAGCAGTGGTGGCTACCGGCCACCCACCGTCGAGACTGACGACGAAAACAGCACGTGGAGCTCGAGCGACGAGGACCATGGCGGCGGCGACGACAGTGACGATGCCGACGATGTCGACGCCGAGGCCGCGCACGTCCGCCGCGAGATGCTGGAGCTCGACATGGACGACCCGCTGGCCGCCAATGGCAGTGGGAGCAGCGGCAGCCGACGGCGCGGCGGGTTCTCGCTATCGCTACCCAAATGGGGTTGGAAGTGGCGCCTGTCGATGCCGAGAATACGGATACAGCTGCCCAACGGGCCGTCCGATGTGGACGAGAACAGCCGAGGCGGCGTCGGCGGTGTCGGTGGTATTGCCAGCCGGTTCGGACGGCTGGCAGGCTTTACGCGGCTCAGCGGGACCGACACCGACGAAGAAACGGCCGGTGGTCAGGCGGGCGAAGCTGGCGGTGGCGGTGGCACTGGTGCAGGACGCACCAGAAGCTGGCATGGCTGGCGCCGCCCAGAGTGGATGCAGAAGATCAACGTCGCCGTAGCCATTGTGGTCTTTGCGCGCCTGCTGGCCGTGTTCCTCATCCTGGGCTTCGTCTACCTCCTCTTTATGAGCGACCTCTTCACCTCCATCTCCCGCCGCCTCGGCAGCCAGGTCTTTGACCCTGAAAGCATTCGCATGCACATCCAAATGACCGTCAACCCGGGCAACATGCGCGACATGGCCAAGCATTTCACGAGCTACGCCCACATGGCCGGCACCGAGGGCGACTTTGCTCTCGCCATTGACGTCAAAAACTTGTTCCAAAAACACGGGCTCGAAGACGTCACCGTCGACGAGTACTACGTCTACCTCAACTACCCGCGCAAAGATGGCCGTGCCGTCGAGCTACTGGACGGAAAGGGCAAGGCCACCTGGTCGGCCAAGCTCGAGGAGGAAGAGGTTGGTAGCGAAACGGCAGGCCACCAAACGTATGTGTTCCATGGCCTGTCCAAGGCGGGCGACGTGCACGGGCCCCTCGTCTACGCCAACTACGGTTCGCGAGACGATTTCCAAAAGCTCAAGGACATGGGCATCAACACCAAGGGCGCCATTGCGCTCGTGCGCTACTACGGCACGCAGAGCGACCGCGCCCTCAAGGTCAAGGCCGCCGAACTTGCCGGGTTTGCGGGCTGCCTAATCTACAGCGATCCAGCCGACGACGGCTTCAAGCACGGCGATGTTGCGCCCAAGGGCCGCTATATGCCCGCGGACGGCGTGCAGCGCGGGTCCGTCTCACTCATGAGCTACGTCATTGGCGACGTCCTGACGCCCGGCTGGGAGAGCAAGAAGGGCCTGCCGCGCATGTCCCCGGACAAGTCGCCAGGCCTTGTTAAGATCCCTAGTCTGCCGCTTGCCTGGCGCGACGCGCAGGTTCTGTTGCAGCATCTCAAGGGCCGCGGCCAGCGCGTGCCCTCCAAAGACTGGGAGGGCGGCGTGCCCGACATCGACGAGTGGTGGACGGGCAACGGCGGCGACGACAGCCTGGACAATGGCGGCGTGGCCTCGCCCATGGTGCGCCTCAAGAACGAGCAGGACGAGGAGACCGAGCAGCCCATCTGGAACGTCTACGGCCGTATCCTCGGCATCGAGCAGAGCGCCAAGAAGATCATCATTGGCAACCACCGCGATTCCTGGACGTTTGGCGCCACCGACCCGCACTCGGGCACCGCCGTCATGCTCGAGCTGGTGCGCATCTTTGGCGATCTACTAGAGCGCGGCTGGCGGCCCCTGCGCACCATCGAGTTCATGTCCTGGGACGCCGAGGAGTACAACCTGATCGGCTCCACCGAGTACGTCGAGCGCAATCTGGACCTGCTGCGCCGCGACGGTCTGGCCTACATCAATTTGGACACGGCCGTCACGGGCGGCGAATTCCACGCCGCCGGCTCGCCCGTCTTCTCCAAACTGCTCAGCCAAGTCATGAAGCGCGTCAGCGACCCGCACGTCAACGCCACGCTGCATGATCTCTGGGACCAGAACGGCAGCAGCCTCGAAGTCCTGGGCGCCGGCTCCGACTACGTCGCCTTCCAAGACCTGGCTGGCATGTCCTCCCTCGACCTGCACTTTGACGGCCCCGGCTACCCGGCCCACAGCAGCTACGACAATTTCGCCTGGATGGACCACGTCGGCGACCCGGGCTTTGTCTACCATGGCCTCCTTGCCCAGCTGGCCGGTCTCATGCTCATCGAGCTGTGCGACCGCCCCATTATGCCGTTTGACATGGTCACCTATGGCACCGCCCTTGAACGGTGGGTCAAGGAGCTCGTCACGTGGCTCGATTCGGAGGTCAGCAAGGCCAACAAGGCAGCCGGCGCCGACAAGTCGAAGCAGGCCAAAATCAGCACAGAGCCGCTGCAGTTTGCCGCGCAGGTCGTCGTCAACGCCATGCGCGACTTTGAGCGCTGGGATCTCAAGTGGGAGAGCAATGTGCTTGCCGCCGGTGGCTGGGAGGCACCCGGGCTGGGCCAGCAGCGCGCCGAGTACGTCAGCCGCATGGCGCGCTTTGAAACCGATCTCCTCGACCTCGAAAACGGCGGTGGTGTGCGTATATCCCTCCTTGCTTAAATCTGCAACATGATCCATCCCCTCCTTATTTTGTCACTCACTAACACGGTATACTCTTTAGATTCCGAACCGCACACAGTTCAAGCATGTCGTGTTTGGCCCACGCCTGTGGTCCAGCTACGACGGCGACCTCTTCCCGGCCGTGCGCGATCTCGTCGAGGCCGGCGAGTGGGACCAGGCCAACAAGACAATTGCCAAGATCGCACAAATCTTCCAGACGGCCGCGGCGCACCTGATTGAGTAAACGTAGATTGGCAAGAGTACCTGCCCACAACCTCTGTACACACACCTTTTTTTTCTTTTGGGGAGGGGCATGGCGGGTTTCCTCGTTGCCACCCTGCTCTTGTTTTTACATCCCTGCATTGCCACGGCGTTCCAATTTTGCTTCTGGGTCTTTTGTCATTTCGTCTTTCTTGTGTGTCTTTTTAACAATCGACATTTTTACACTTCCCTCAGCTCCCCGTCTTCTGTATCTTTCATCCGTATTTCATTTGTCTCCACGATGATTTGCATTAATCGTCATTTCCGCGAGTGTACATATCCTCGGTGAATATGAATTTGCATATTGGTCTTAATGATCCTTGTCATATGTGCCGTGAAAAATAAATTACTTTGCTCGCAACACTTCCAAATGAAGGTGCGTAGATATAAAACACGCGAGGCGGCTTTTCATAGATACAGCTTTTCTAGTCTTCACACGCACCAATGCAGGGAAACTGAACACAAATAATAAAAAGGTAATAGGGAAATAAGATCTGGATGTCAACTCGCAAAACAAAAACAACAACAATTAAAACGAGACACAAAAAATACAGCACTACCTAGCATCTACTCCCCGCGCATTAGCACTCTCCTTCATTTACTTGGGCGTCAGCACAATGCCCTCGTACTCCTTGCTACGGATCAGCTCCAGCGTATGGTGGAAGTGCTTCTTGCTCGCCTCCACCGACGCCGACTCCTGCTGGTTGCTTGCCAGGTTCGAGTGGATCAGCTCGATCAGTCCGTTCAGATACTTGGTCGTCACCTGTCGAAGGGTTAGCACGTAAAAAATAACAAGGAGCGGGGCCACGCGCTTGCGCCTACAAGCACACTGACGCCTGACTTACCGATTCGTTCTGCTGGTCAAAGTAGTACACGTAGCGGTCCAGGATCTCCACAAACAACTCGATGGACGTCGCCGGCTCCATGCACGAGTCCGCCACGCGCAGTGCCCGCTGCAGACACTCGAGCACGCGCTTGCCGTCCCGGTACAGGTCGGCGCTGCTCTCTTCCGTCTCGGCATTGGCCGCAATCGGCGTCGCCCACCATAGGTGGCTAGCCAGATAGACGGCGCGGCACTGATCGGGCTTCCGCAGCAGCTTACTGGCATGCTGCGCGCACTTGGTGATGAGGGTGTCAAAGTTCTCGCGGCCAAAGTTGCGCGTCTGGTGCAGCGTGCTGGCAACGGCGCTCACGGCCTGGAACTGGGCCTTGGAGTCAGAGATGGCCTCCTCATACACAGTAAAGGCCTGCGCAAAGAACTCGTACGCGACCTCCTCGAAGCCGACCAGGTCGGCCGTCTGGCCGCATACGCAGAACAGGCGCAGCGCGAGTTCCGCACCGCCGCTGCTGCCACCGCCCGACGTGTTACCATTCGTCGCCCGCTGGTAAAGTGTGGACACGGCCGAGTGCATGAACTTGAACAACGACGACGACTGCGACTCCCAGTTGTCGTCGTAGTGTTCGCGTGCCTTGAAGCGGCGGGCCAGCTTCATAGACGCCGTGATAATGGGAGGCGTGGTGATGCGGATGCGCTCGTTGCCGTCAGAGTAGGCTTTGCGCGCCAGCTGCAAGAGGCGGAACTGGGTGTCGTTGTTTTCGGCGTGCAGTAGGTGCACAATGCGAGCTAGCCAGCCCTGCTCCTCGAGCGTCTCGTCGGTCTCGTATGGGCGGCCACGCTGGGGGCCCTGGGGTGCCGGTGAGGCCTCGACAATCAACACCTTGACCACATCAAGCACGTTTGTTAATTGCTCGGGTGTTTCGATGCGTGTCTGGTTTCTAAGCAGGCTGCGGGCAACCTCGCCGGCGACGGCCCGCTTGGTCTGGTAGATCTGCGACTGCAGCAAAGGAACATAAGTCGGCAGAGCCAGGGCTGTGAAAATAGAGACGTAGTGCTTGATCGGAGCCTGCAGAAGAGCCAGTAGGCTTTGTTGCGCGGCGGCGCCGTGGAAGTCGGGGTTGTTGGTGTTCTCCTGCACCTTTTGTGCCGCAAATTCCAGGATCTGGTCGACGTAGTCGAGGCGGCTCGGGTATACGTTGAGGGCAAGGTTGGTGAGCGACACAAGGAGCGCGATCGTGTCGTGGATCGGCAGATGTTGGGCGTAGACAAGCTGCTTGACCTGGCCGAAAAAGACCTCGTACAGGTGGATGTCATCACCAATACCACGCGAGGCAGCGGCGTCACCTTCCGTTGATGGCACACTCCCTTCTGCCGCGCCGTCGTTGTCACGGCCGTTTACCGCCGTAGTCTCCGTCTCCGCTGTTGCGTCTGTAGCGAGGGTCTCGGTCGTTGATTGTGCGTCCGCGTCTTTTGCGTCATCCTTACGGTCCTTGTCGTCCGCCTCTGCTGCGGGCGTTTCAGAGCTCGACCCGTTGGCATCACCGGTTGCGGGCTTTGCAGCTGCCGGGGCTCCGTCCGCCTCGGCCTCCTTACCACCCAATTTTGTCTTGTTTAGCAGGGCCACAAGGGCGTCCTCTTCCATTTTCTCGCGATTTTCGTCGGGCCGGTTCTGGGCCTCGCGTTCGGCATAGTTAGACAGGCGGTCCATCAGGCCGACGACGATGACCTTCACATTGACGTGCGGGTTAAGTTTAGAGACAGCGGCGAGGAACTGGTCGAGGGTGTGCAAGTGGAACTCGTCGGGGAAGACCTGGGTGATGACTTCCAGCAGGTACTCCTGGGCAAGCACGTCGCGGCACTGGACGACCTGCTCGAGCAAAGGTGCCAAAATGGTGTTCTTGTAGGTTTCGAGGTCGACGAGCTGGCTGAGGCGCACAATGTTGGTGCCGACGAGCAGCTGCAGCTCCTTGCGTTCCTGTGTGCGTTGCTCGCGCTCGCGGGAGTGGCCTTGGTGCTGCAGCCGGACCCAAAGCTTGTTCATCTCGACAAAGTTGGTGAGGATAAAGCTGATAGAGTCCTGCAGGTTGCCCTCTGGTCCGTCGCTGTCGGTGGTGGGCAGGTAGTCACGCGCCTGGCCGGAGAGGTAGTAGCGCAAGAATAAGCCGCGTATTGGGTGCTGGACGCCGCGGCTCATGTCCATCATATCCTTCATGAGTTCCTTGACGGGGGCGCCTTCGACGGCCATGTAAGCAGTGCCGACGGTGATCATAAGATAGAGGCGGGGAATGATATTGCCGGCGTATTGGACAAGCTCGTAGAGGTCGGCCAGGTGGTTGACGGGGTGGTTTTCGCGCAAGTGGACCGACAGGTAGCGTAGCGCGTCGAAAACGGCCATGTAGAGCTCGTAGTATTGCTTGGGGCCAAGGCTGCTCGTACGCAGCTCCGAGACGAGGGTGGAGCTGGAGAGAAAGATTACGAGTTAGCAGGGGAAACGGACCGCATCGACGAGATCTATCTAATGAACAGTCATCGTACCAGCACTTAAGGGCGTCCATCAGCTTGCCAGGCGTGTCCAGACATTTGCGCATCAGCACCGTCTGTTGGCGCACAGCGATGAGAGCATCCTCGAGTAACCGGGCCTGATCTTCGGCTACCACCGGCGCAGCCATTGTTGTCGGTCAGGGGAAGAAGTGATGCCGAAGGTCGTTCGTCCAGCCGATGGGAACGGGAAGGGAGGTTAACGTCACCGCCGATATTCGGCGCGGCAGGGAGTGAGGAACCTTGAGAGAGTGAAATAGGGGATGGGTGCAGACCGAGGCTGGGTGGCGATCGGGGATGCGTGGCTGTCGTCGAGGTGCGCCGGGGCAGAGAGGGCGTCTGAACGACAAATGCAGTTGCGTCGATATTCGATAGTAAATTGCCGGATCGATGGTCGTCAAGGTTCTACAGAAGTATGGCAGGAGACGCAATGGGCGGAAAAGGCAACCAGCTTTGGGTGGGTACAGAGGCAAGATGACAACGGAAGAGACGGGGCGCTCCACGAATGGTGGCTGGGTTAGCGAGAAGGTTGCGTAGTGCGGACAGTGCCATACAACGCCCTAACGCTGGAGAGGTAAACAGACGAGGCGGAACAATTACGTCAAAAGCAAAATAAATACGATGCAGTAAATTAGGCATGCTAGTCTCAATTCTCAATTGGAAAGAACATTTGTTCGCAAGGAAAGGAAGGAAGGACGCTGCGTCGGAGTCTGCAGCGGAAGGAGTCGTCCATCTTCAGCGGGCTGTCTGTCGTAAGACCTGCTTCCTGCGAAGCTCATCAGTAGTTGGAATCAAAGCTGGGATAATTGGCACGGTCCTGACGAGGGGCTACGTCACGTGTGAACCAGGCAGCTATCATTTGAGCCAATCGCGTGTCGCTCCCTGTTATGTGGAAACCAACAAGTCAAGGATGAAAGCAGAGCTAGCATCGCATTACCACAGCCTTGAATCACAACAATATAAATAGGTGCAGCTTTTAGATTGAAATTTAGTGTTTTTGGGGCCTGGTTTACTACTGCTATTATTTCTAATGATTATATGTTCATAATTCAAACCAATTGTATTGCATTAAAGACGTTGTTAAAAAAATCAATGTATTTAGTTGAAACACATGTCGTGTCCCATCATTGGTGTTATTATCGTGATAATATGATTTGCGTTTATTAAAATCTAAAGTATTACCCATAATCATATCAAACTGCTAACTTATACTGACTCATTTTCATAACTTGACTGCAACACATATCGGACATCAATTACATCCTGAACCATTCGTGCGCCAGTACATCTGTCGCACTGATGCGCTTCTCAGGCTCGTACTGGAGCAGCTTGTAGAGCAGATCCGCCATCAGTTTCTGCTCCGCCTCGGGGGTCATCAAGATTGTCCGCTGTGATTCGTGACCGGGTTTCCGTACAATGGTTCTAGGCCTGCTGAGAATGAACTCGAGAGAATAAGTCTCATTCCCGCCATGTCTAACCCACTTCCCTTGGTCATCGAAGTACTCCGCACGACGATCCCAAGTATCCCACCACTGTGGAGGAAGCTTTCCGAAGAACCGTACCATTTCGGCCACGAGCTCGTCCGGATCGTCGATCATGTAAAAGAGTGCCATCTGCTGTCTGATCGCATAGAGTGTACACCCGAGAGCCCAAAGGTCACAGGCTGGACCGATAGTAACTCGTCCTTCTTCTGGATCATCGCTCGTAGTATCGTCTCCGTCGTTCTCTTCGTCGTCATCCTCGTCGTCCGCTCCGTAGTGGTTCTTCTCGTCCTGAAGCATCTGTAGAAGCAGCTCTGGCGAAATGTACGACTCGGGAATACAAGAAAATATAGGGGGGGCTGAGACGCGGAAGGCCTCGCCAAAGTCAACGACGCAGATCTGGTCGGTCAGGTACTCACCCCCTAGGCGGAAGAGGTCTACCGCATATGTAAGATACCGGGGCGATGAGAGTGGGAGGTCGTCGCCCGACTCTGTCAGTACTTTAACCAATTTCGGCTCGTCAAAGATTGACAGGAAGTTATTTTCGGATAGATGATTAATGTTGGTTAGTTTAACTAATATATTTGCAGGTCGAAAGTCTGTAAGAAAGTAGTTAGTTGGGTGTATATACTTAGACAATCCTACCCAAAGAGCTCAAGGTAAGAAAAGTTGTCTAACCTCCGTGGCAGATGCCGTTTATGTGTAGATAGTTCATGGCCTTTACAGCCTGGTAGGCCATTCCCCGCAGAATAGGACCGGGTTCCTCTTTCAAGTGTGTCCATATTCTAGGCGAGACGCAAGGCCCGTAGACAGGGAGAACTATACATTGGTGTGTTCCGTTGGGCCCTTTAAGTGAAAAGGTATGTAGTGGAAAAGAGATGTGTTCGGCACCGGGTGCAGATCGATCCAGGTCCGCCATGATCGTTAGGTCTGGGATGGCTTCCGGCTTGACCCTGGCAACAGTGACCTTGATAGCGACGTATCTAGATGAATCGTCGCACGTGTCTCGACAAAGCCACACAGTGCCGTAGCCCCCGTGGCCAAGCTTTCGAAGGACACGATACCGCCCAGAGGGACCGAGGGTGTCACCAAGATGGATCGGATGGAAACCGCCCTCTTTGTATCTTTCCAAGGGTTCAAGGTCCGTGTTGGGTCCTTTCAGACATGTACCGCTCGTCGTAACTGGTCCATGGCTGAGAAAGTTCACACTGAAGCCAACGGACGTACTGCGTGGATTGTCCATATCGACGGATAGCGAACTGGGACGTCTTGCTTGAAGGGATAGCAAACCGAGACGTCTTGCTCGAAGAGTTTGTCGACGCTGTGCCAAACTACTAATGTTGCAGCGCAATGGTGGCTTAGTGTAGCGGTCAGGTTCCTATAGCAAATGGTTCGCAGTCACGTGTGCAAAATTCTCGTTGGTGTGGTACAATGTAGTCGCTGAAATACAAAACATGTTGTGAAAATATCAACGCACAAAAGTGCATTCCGGATCTAATTACGGCAGCAGCAAATTTAGTTCTCCCCTATCTACACAATTTTCCGGCTACATAACAAATATCGTCATCATGCCCCTCTCTCCGAGCGACGAAGTTAAGCGTTGGGTCGGCTCTGGTACCACCGACGATCCCATGGTACATGCGATGATATCTCATTTGAATGTCTCGATCAATCCGCTCACTATTCTAGATCATGTGGCTTGTCGAACTCCCTAGCGATCAGGGACGCACTGCAAGCAATGAGGAGGTTGCCAGAGAGCTTGGCAGCCTCGGCCACACTCATATTTGGATTCGGTACGTATCCTGCCGGCAGTGTAGCAATATCTTTATCGTATTTCAATTTTACTTTTCTGTTTCATTCGGCACGGCTTACGATTGCGGCTATATATCCCATAGGTCCTGCGACCACAGCACTACTAGAATCTCAGAGACTAAGCGCAGAGGCCGCCGCTATCGCCGAGTTCATACAGACAATCACATAACCGTATTCTGTGGCACGAATAATACCGCCAACTAGCAGGGCGACGTATTTCTCGTTATACAGCCAGACGGTCGTTGGAGGATCATGTATGACTACGAACGCCGTAGTTACAATTGGGTTGGCGTTAATTTGCATCCGTATCCGTAGATCGTGGAGTTGGGAAACTTTGAGGCGTTCGACGGTACATACTTAAGGAAAAGGTGTAGGAAAGATGAATACCAAACAGCAATACAAACAGCAGTCATTATGTACGAGAGAAAACTCAATAACACCATAACAGCAAGAGCCATCAAACTTCTTCTTTCACCGTGACCGATGCCATGACCTTGCTTTTGCCTAGGCCTACATCGGACACACCGTCACTCGGCTCCATGGTCTCGACGGTCGTTGTGGTCCGGCTTAGTGTCCCGTCGATGCTGCCAATGGTGGTCGAGCGTGGCAGACGAGGGCGATTCAGAGCTGTGGTGCTACCGACCGACGACTCTCCAGAGGACTCACCCGAGGAGCCAGGTGTCTTGGGGCTGACGTCGTTGCTGCTGCCGACGAATGTCGTCGACGTCAGCCCGTCCTCCTTGGCAATCCGGCCCGATGTCCATTGCCGGAACTTCTTGCCAAACACAAAAAAGACGGGGATGAACATGGCCATGACAAACAGTACGGCCACATAGACGCCAAACACAAAGAGGTAGCCGCGCTGCTGCACCCAGGAGCTGGCGTGAGACGAGAAGCCGAAGCTAATGACAGTGCGCAGCGTGTTGACATTGACCAGGACGGGGCCGGGCCACTGCGGATAGCTCTCAATAATAAATGTCTTCAACACCGTGGCGGCGGTCAAGCTGCCTATCATAAGCATGGCGTTGCCCAAGAGCGTGAGGGCAATGTGCCAATGAAACTGGACGGCACAGCCGAAAATGAGGCAGCCTGCCATGGATGAGATGAACGGAACGATGAGGTTGGGCAGTTGGAACTCAGGCTCGCGGTTCGTTTTGCCACGTAAACGAGATATTTTGAGAGTGAGCTTATCGGCCAGCGGCCCGCCAAACAGGTAAACCACGACTGACGAGACGAGGCCGACGAGCATCGTCAAGCCGCTCAGCTCATAAGGGATACTGGAAGTTGTTAAAATTAGCCAGACGTCAAAAATGGATGTAAGCAAACTGGAGTGACGCACCCAGCGGCCAAAAGAGCGAATGAAATGGTCTGGCCAATTGACTGCATAATAATAAAAAACACAGCGTCGATGCAGATCACCAAAAGCATCGCCGGGAAGTACGTCGTTTGCAGCGCTCGTAGCATCTGCAGTGCCGCCTCGCGCCACTGAAAGCCAACATGAAACATGGTCAGATCGTCTCGCAGCGTGCGTTTGCCATACGTCGCATAGTCCAGGGCCGTCCGGACCTCGCCGGGCGCAACCGGCCACACCTGCTGCCCATTGAGCTCCTGCTTGCTGCGTTTGACGCGCGTCTCGGGCACAAACGCAATCAGGAGCACCCACGCCAGGACGCCCACGGACGACGTGATCAAGTAAATCCAACGCCAGGAGTGCTCCACCGCAATGTACGGGCTCAGCATGCCAAAGATGGTCATCATGGGGCCCTGGCACGCCATGATGGCCGCAATGGCGCGGTTGCGCTGGTGGATAAAGACCATGTCCTGCATCACGAGCGGCAGTAGAGCTTCGACAGTCGCCGACCCCAAACCGTGGATGACACGCGCCGCCAAGTGCTCCTTGAGGGACTGGCTGTAGGCGGCCAAGAACCCGCCAATCCATGAGAACATGGCCGTGACCAGCAGCACAGGGCGACGCCCGATGGCGAGCGACAGCGGCACCAGCAAGAAACTAGCGGCGCAGTTGGTCAATGACGGCAGCGTAGACAGGAGTGTGACCTCGTAGAGGCTGACGGGCTGGACGCCGGGTGGGATCAACGCCATGGGGCTGGGGTTGCCCTTCATGTCAGCATGCTTCAAGATCGGCCGCGGGTCGACCCCCGAGTACTCGAGCAAGAAAACGGGCAACAGCCCGCCGACGACGAAGTCGGCACACATGGACAGACTGCCGACTGGCTTTCTGTTAGTGATGAGCAGAGTAAAGTGAGGGCGGGGCCCACTTACAGAAACATAGGGCGCCGATGGCAGCGTATTTACGCCAGTTGGGCAAGTTCAAAGGATCTGGAGAGTCAATATACCGTCATATCATATGCGCCTTCGTATTTGCCAAACACAAAACATGTACCGACCTTTTGGATTGGGAGAAGGCGTCTGTTGCGGTCAGCCTTTGGTTTAGAATATCATACACACTTAATGTAGTACTCACTGGAATCAACCGGATCTTGCCGTCGCCATCGTAAATATTGGTGCTTCCAACAATCTCCAGCGGCACTTCCTCGTCTGTCAGCGTGGCTGATGTGTCCACTCGCGACAGTGGTGGTTTTTCTGTCGAGGCATTGTCCGACGGTGCCTTGATGCTCTCTGTTGTGGTTTGCTCGTCATGCTCACGGACATGGCTGGTTTTGTTGCGTGGAGTTTCCGATTCCGTGTCCAGTGCCACATTCCACTCGGGTGGGAATTCTTGAACGACATTCGAGTGAGGGAGTGCCATGATTTTGGTGAAGGGCAGGTGTTGAATAAGAAAGAAAAGCAAAAGAGAGAAATATTTCAACTATTTGACGACTCTAGAAGAAGAGATGAATAGCACAAAGTTTACACAGCAGATAGGAAACGCGATATATATATCATAACCATCAACTGAGGCGTTTTCATCGAAGTATAAAATTAGCCTCTCGGCCAGTTTCTGTCGACATATATGGCTACAAGTGATAAACCAAAATACAGGTGGATGCTTCGCGTAAAGTGGCGATACTGGTCTAAATCTCAGACGAAATAAATGGAGCATCTGAGATCAAAGACGGGGATGAAAAAGGCAAAAAGGCAAAGTGAGAAACACACATGAATCGACGGACCCCAACTTCGGGACCGTGCTCATCCTGGGGTCGGATCTCGGCCACGATAGTTGCATCCGGCAGTTTGCGCCTTTGTATCAAGTCTGGGCCATCTATCGAGGCCTCTCCCTTTGTTTATCCCTACCTACAACAAACGGGACAGTACAAACTGATAATTGAAAATGAGAGGGATAGAAAGAGAGAGACAGAAAGACATAGAGGGAGAGAGTAAGTTCCATTCGCCCTTGCCACTGGCTAGCGTCGGCTGTCTTGTTACGACAAAATCACCAGACATTGCAAATATAGATTCCGTGTATAGGACGAGTCAGTATGCTCCACAAGGAACATTTTGTTAAAGGCGAATGCTCTGAATCTGGGGTAGAGTATCCAATTTTCATGCTACTTGTATGAGCTCTCTGTTCTGAGAAGTTGGCCCACGAGGCTGTAAACGGCAAAGGACGCGTGCAATATATAAATCCAAATGACACGACAGTGCGGACCCTGGTTGGCAGAAAAAGGAGAAGAGGATATTTATTCCCCGCAGACCTTTGTTTTAGCCTTGGCATTAGCCCCTATTTGGTGTTGTTTGATAAAGGCGCGACACGTACATCAACCAGCCACCCATAAACTGTATTACATATATGTGCCAAAATAGAGTGCCATAGCGATAAAATAAAGAAAAGATGCATGGACCAAGTTCTTTAAGTTTCTGGTGTTTTGTTCCCTTATCTGTTTCGGCAATTGCAAATCTCGAAGTCAAGAATTGGCGGCAAAAAGGCCGAGTCATCCATTCTCACGTCTGCCATGGCAGCCACCTCCGCTATATTTAATGTAGTGCAAAGCAGATGATGCTCATGCAAGGACCTCGTTGGAGAGGTTTGTGGAGATCTGTATAGTCGTGGAGAGAAAGGAGGAGATAAGACTACATATACTCTGCTCAGGAGAGATTGTAAATGTTTCTTGGCTTAAATGTTTTATTTTATATGCGCTGCATCTCGGCATTTGATCGGAGAAAAACACGCTTGGCAGATCTGTGTATCTTCCATCTCTGATACCTTGACTTATGCTTTTCTTCTTCCCCATGAATGAGCACCGTTTAAATGCAACCGCCATCTGCCGTGGAATAAAAAGGAAGAATGACGGAACAAAACGAAATGGAAATAAACGGCCGCACTATCGACATATTGAAACGTATCGAAACAGACCACGACACTGCAGGAATATTCTCCGACGGGTTGAGGTCGACAAAAAGAAACATGTACGGCAAGACACAACGGACGATAAGAGAAACAAGGCCCAAAATACACTCTCTAAGCAAATGTATTCAATGTTGGTTGTCCCTACATATATATAGCTATATTTTATTCTGATAAGGGTTGTTGGAGTCTGCTATGATTTGCATATAGCCGGGCAATTTTGGCATAAAGGTTCGACACGGAAGGCGTACAACGTAGGACTTCAGTGGTTTAACAAGAACGTAAGCATAAAAATGCCGAAATTTATATCATTTCTTCTAATACTTTTTCTGTGCCTAAAAAATCCCTTCTCCTCCTCTTAACACCATTGACACTGTTGGTAACCACTTGTTGATCTGTCCCTCACTTCGCCATTCTCTCTTGTGTCATAGCTAGTGCTCCTATCCTAGCTACTTCAACTCACAATACTTCCCACACGCGAGATGCGAAGTCTTGTAGATCAGCCTCAGTGATAGTTATATCTCGCTCGCCGGAGGCTGCCACGGGAGGACGTAGGAAGAGATCTCCAAACTGGAGAACCAAAGGCGCACCCGAAATCTGAAATAGCGCGGCTACACGACCAGTGATCGGCATTTGTAGAATTGGTTCAGGGCCAGCCCATGATATCTCGATCCGTTGTCGGGGCGCAGGCTCCAGCATGGTTGAAAAGGAACGTGCGGCCGCTCGCGTGTATGTTGCGCCTGCGCGGGGGGAAGTCCGTTGCCCTGCGGTCCAATTTTCGATGACTATCATTTCCTCGTCGATGATTATCTTAAGCAACAGCACAACCTTCATACGGTACTGGGAAGCCGAAAACCACCATCTGCATTTCAACCGTAAGGCGGCCATGGACTGACTCACACCCATCTCGATGACTAAGGTGGGCCAGTACGTGCTGCGGTCGCTGTTCTTCGTCCGGGGGCCGCCTGCAGAATCTCCTTCACCACTAGATCCACCACCTTTCGAAATGGGGAACTTTGTGGCGTAGTAGTTCCTCCATTGGTCATTAGCACCCATCTGCCAAATTGCCTGCTCAACCAAGTTGTAAAGATATCCATGGCCGGTCTCGTGGGGTGCTGTTGGGATGGTGATGAACAGAGTTGATTTTTCGGACAAATAAAACAGCCTTACGCGTCGGTCGAGCCGGTCTCGCTCGGCCTCGACGCGACGGAAGTTGGCGGGTGTGACGTTGCCGACAACAAGGTCGTCGATACGATCCTTGCCTGCCTCTGCGGCGCGATCTAATTCCTTGAAAACCGTCACGGCATCAGTGAAGTGAAACCTTGCTTGAAGTGCACGGGCATCGTCGTCATCGAGCTGATGGCTTGTGGTCGTTGGTTCCTCTTGAAAAGACATCTTCTCCATCGTATCGTATGTTGTCTCTGAGGTAGTCGTTGATATCGTCTCGGTCGTAAAAGCGGTCGTGTGGCTTGGTGTCCGGCTCATATAGATTGAGAAAAATAAAGGTCTCGTCCAATACCATCAACCCCGGCCGAAAAATCAGCCGTCGGATTTGCTTTATGAGACATAACGCGAATATATATGGAGCGACGATGCTAGTGTAGATTGTGTGCGGAAAAGTAGTTGGATGACGACGGCGATAGAAAGTAGCTGTCATGGGAATGATGATTGAAAATAGCTTGATTGTTTTCAATCTATCTAAGATCCCTTTGGATCGACTAATCTATGATAATCTTCCCAACGTATGGTATATCCGTTGGGAGGGAAACTAGTCACGTGTGGATCCACAGGGATCCCATGTGACTATGTCACTGACTGTTGTCTGTGACAGTAACCGTTAGCTTACGCGTTATCAATTTGTTTTGTGCTATCTTCTCGCTGGCTTGGGATGAAGCTTGCAAAGCAGCGAGTCACATGACTTTTCCATGTCCCCTATACGCATCATTGGTAACACTCTAGGGCATTTCACAGTGCATTGTAAGTAACAATTTTTTTTTTTTTTTTGCTTTTTACTAAGAAATGCTGGGTTTTCCGAATTTTTTTGTGCTTTTCTAGCTATCGTACACTGGCAACCCACGCCTGACCTGAGAATCTTCCTCCGTAATGGAGAAAAACACGCCGTTCCGTGGAAATACAAATATGCGTTTTTTCGAGGTCAAAGGCCAGGCAGAACCTTCCATACATGAATGAAATAGGAAATAAAAACAAAAGAAGGAAACGGAAATTGTCATAACATCTTCAAGAAGATCGAACCGATCATACATTACGTCGGCCGTGGCTGAGGAAGGAGGAAAATAGCAGGAAGATGTGACAGGCGAGCATGGGTGTTCAAGGCCGCGATTGACAGATGGTAGCTGTCGTTAAGGTAGGTGGCTTCTCGTCCTCTCTCAAACGTGTCGTCTTGTCTGCTGCTCTTGCGCGTAGATGGCAAGAGATCCGCCTTGTCCTTCATGGTTGCTCGCATGCCGTTTGCCTTTGCTCTTTTGCAAACAGAAAATGTCAATGTGACCACACAACTCCTGGCCGAAAAAGAAAGAACTCGTAGCTTTTTTTGTTAGGCATCCTCGCCTATTCATCCCCCTTTTTGTAGTTACCAAACTCCAAGCTTGCTGTGATGTCGAGAAATGAATATGAAAGCAGATGAAGAAGCAGGTGAAGAGCAGATCCGAGATGAAGATTGAAAAGAAATCGACCTGAAAAAAAAAGAAAAGAAACCGATGTACGTCGTCTAGTGTATATTTCGTTCAAAACAACATTCAAATCCGGTTACTATCAGTCGTATCGACGTTTATGCCGGCCTTCAAAACCAGAAGGGGAGGTCGAGTTGCGTGCATCGATAGACGGACAACTGTCCTCGGTCACCAAACCCACAGACATCATCGCCGCCCACCCAGGCTCGGTCTAGAAGGAGGTCAAAGGTTGCTGGCAAAATCACCATCGAAATTGATACCTCTCGCCAGGCTCGGTGGAGACTTCAAGCTTGCGAACGAGCCGTGTGCCGAATGCGCCGAGGTAGTTGCCATTGTTCCGCAGTTGGAACATGTTTCGCATATGCATTTCGTGGTCTGGATTCAAGGTGTATTCCGCTCGCAGCTCGCCATCGAGGTCACCGCGGTAAATGTCGAGATGATAACCTTCCTGCCGAAGGTAGTCAGCCGCGTGGGTGCCGCGACGTGCGACGACTTCTGAAATGCCAGCCATATCTGTGCCGGCGCGCTCACATTCTCCCATGGCAGCAAGATAGTCGCCATACCGCTGAACGGCGAGGTAATGCCGGTTCTCTCGCTTGCGTTGGGCAATCATGGAGATTGTCTCGTCGTAGATTGTGGCGACGTCGAAGTTTGCACTTGGTCGCCTTCCCATGCAAATCCGCCGTTCCTCGAGCAAGACTTTGCAGCGTACAGTGGGGGACATGGCCCCGTATACCTCGCGCTCCAGCGGAGCAAAATCCGAATCTTTGGACAAGGGCAGCCAGCACTGGAGAAGATCGGATGTGAAAAAGGGATGTTTCATCCGACGGAGAAAGGCCTCTTTGCGCTCCTGGTACTCTTCTTCGTCTAGCCGGGGTTGGTGGTCGACGAAGGGGTCGGCGGCGAGTCCGCCGCCGACGTTCGAAAACGGCCGCGTCATAGGCGATTCCGGGTCAGGGCAGCCGGCGGTGACGACAAGGTGGTCGTCCGTGGCCCACTGCTCAATCGCGGTCTGGGCGACGACAGCGCTCGAAGCGCTGACGGCACCACCCCCGGAACCGCCTGACTCTTTTCCCGACTCGGTACTCGCTGCGTCGTCCATTTGGACCTGGGGGACAAGGGCAGCACCGGCAACATTGGCATCGGCTGTGAGCGCATGAACACCACAGCCTTCAGAGCTATGTCCACGGTAGCCGGGTAAGGGGCCTTTGGTCGACGAGTTGCCACTCTGGTCAGATTTGTTGCCATACCGAGAGTCGGAAGCATTGCTGTTGCTGGGAGCAGAACCGCTCGCACCAGCGCCGGCACCACCTGCACCTGGGCCTGGACCAGAGCCACTGGGGCCAGGACCGCCATTCTTGTCATCACGGTCGCGGCCACCACGCTTGGAGGACGAACGAGGGGTGGACTCTTTGTCATCATCTTCGTCCTTTGTGGCCTTTACGGTCTTGTCAGAACCGTCCGAATCGGCCTTGTCGTCCGTGTCCTCTTCGACAGAAGCAAGAACAACCTCTTGACCCAGGCGGCTGTTGCCACGAACAGCACGGTTGGCAGGGCTGACTGGAGAGGCCCGGGCAGTGTTGTTTGGGTTCGCGGCGTGGACGCGGGCCCGCTCCACGGAAGGCAAGGGAGCACCATCCATGGGGCTGTTGTTCTGTGGCGCGGGACTAAGTGCCAGGAGGCGCGGGTCAATACACGCATTCTCGCCGACGCGGCCATTGGGCGACAGGCTTCCATGTGGGCCTAGATGGCCTGGGCTTGGGCTCGTGTAATTGTTGGTGTTGTAGCTGGGCAACATGCTGCCACGCGAACCTGGATGGTGTCCATGGCTGTTGGACCGCGGAGGGAGCTGCCCGTTACTCACAATACCAGCACGGCCCATAAAACCGTTTCTATATGGATCTGGTAGGAGTGTGGCCGAGGTGTTTCTTGGACGATCAACGCGATCGTCATGAATCTCGACTATGGGACCTCTTCCAGACGACTGGTTGAAAAACGGGTCGTAATGTCCCACAGTAGGCGACAAGTCGGCAATAGGCGTTCCATCGCGGTGGTGTACGGACGACATTATGCCACCATTGTTGCACTCATACCTATTGCTCCCCTCCCGCATGATTTCAGGAACATCTTCTGGCCCGCGGGGGTAAAATGGCCCGAGTGACATGACCGGCTGCGCCGGTCCAACTATATCATCAATGAATGGCCCAAAAACATCTGGAGTTCGTGCTCCGAAGCCGCGGAAAGGACCGTTGTAAGGTGGCGGCCCATACCGCGAGGTGCCTGGCGACATGGAAGAACTATCGCGACGAAAAGGGTACAAACTGCCGTTGTCTGGACCGTATCCATGAGTTCCGCACACATGAGCGTGACGGTTGCGAGCATGAAGCGTGTTGTGGCCTCGTCCGGTGACGTGCATGCCAGCATTGAGCATGGTACCAGGACCGGGGCCCTGCATGTAGGGGTGTTGAACCAGAGGATTGGGGTGCTCGGTACCGCTCCACGTCTGGTTGCTGTACGAGGGACGACGCCCACCAGCTTGATTCGGCTGCATGTACTGCTGACCGTGATGCAGTTGACCATACTCGGTCGCCGACGAGCTGCTTGAACGCATGTGACCACCCGATGGGGCTGGCATGATATGTCTTGACGACATTGTTTGAGGTCCGTACGGACCCATGACTGTGACCTGTGGAGAAAGACTGGGCGGTGCGTTCTCGTTGCCCACTTGACCGTCTGAGGTCGATGTGGCACGACGCTCGGCAGACGGGGCAGGCGCTTCGGGCTGGAAGGAGCTCTCAAGGACTTGCATTATAGTGGACGGTGTGTCTCGGCTCGGAGTTTCGCTCTGCCCTGCAACCGTGCTGCTGTCACGCTCAAGCTCCGAAAGGGTACCAGGACCGGAGATCATGGATGCCGAGGTAAGTGCACGAGCACGACGACGAACGGGGGGTGCTGGGTCGATACGGTCGCTAGGCGACACGTGCTCGACGCTGGGAATTGGAACATCACAGTCTCTGAGCTCCGGAGACAACGACGCTTCGCGGGACGTGTTGCTGCTGGACAGATCTTGTATTTGAATGTGTTCACCTCCAGGATCGATGTTCACCGGTGTGGTCTCGTGGGGACCGACACCGTTCAACTTCGGCATCGTGATGAAAAGGTGGCCGTGCTCAATAGGAGGTTGGAGGGAAAGAAAGATGCAAAAAATGATTTTGAGGTATTCTGTAGGACAATAACAAAAGGCAAACCAACAAGAGTCAGCTGCGAAGATGTGTTGTGTTCCGAATTGCTGAGCAAAAGAGAGCAAAGCAAATCGAGAGAAGGGGGCTGACAGACGTAAAAAAAAAAAAAAAATTACGACGTATATTACACAACATACGAAGATGCAAGAGGAGGTAGGAGTTGTCAAAGACAAGAGAAGTAACAAGAGAAGGGAGGTGGTCGTGACGGTTGTGAGGGTTACCGACAAGAGGGCGGGAACTAGGTAGGAGAGGCAGAAAATTATGGCCACGCCTGTTAACACAGCAGGGCCAAAAACATGCACCAGGGGGAGCAGGTGACCACCTCGTGAAAATTCTTCACAATTGTTTTGTTTCCTGCCTCCGGACCAGGCCTGTTCCGTGTGCAGACTCGTCATCGTGGTTGGCTTATGGCATCATGTCATGACAAAAACGGAAGGAACGACCACGACAAGGGCCGGGACAATGAGTTTGATGCGCGGGCCGGAGTGCCACGGAACAGGGTATCTTCGTAGCTGCCAGCACTATTTTGGTGTTCAATAGCAGGCATACGTGCTCCCAAGCGGGCGGCTTCCAATTTTGTTGTACTTCTACGTGCGGTGGCGTGCGTGCAGACTGTGCACGCCGGACGCTCCTTCCTCCCTGGTGGTGATACGCGTCTCGAGCACAGCCGAAGTAGGAGGAAAGAGGTGGAAGGAGGGCAAAGGTTTACAGATAGGGAAGGCAGAGCAAGAGAGAAACTAGGAAGGAGGTCCTCGAGAAGAGAGGCGGGGAACAATGGTCCATAGACTATTGCAGCCATTGGTGAGGGTGAGGCTTTTGGCTTTTGAATTTTTGAATTTTTTCCTGGTCACGTTTCCGGTTATTAGTTGGTGATATATTTTGATATTGTCGTCGACGGGCCTAATAGCGCGTCCATGTTTTATTGTCTTGTACTGCTTTATTTTCTGTTGCGAACCTCTATCTTCTCCGTTCTTGTCCTTCTTTATTATCATATTGTCGTTTGTATTATGTTTCCCTCAAGGATACTTGGCTTCGCAGCCCGAAATTCTCGTCAGACGCGACGGGCAAGTAACTTGCTGGTACTGAATTTTCCAGCCGGAAATGTCGCCTCGAGCCCAGTTGAATCGCCAGTAGCAGCCAGCTTGGAGGTTGCTCGGAAGTTGCTCGCAGCTGGATCGACCAGTGACGCCGCCAAAGTCGGAACCCCTATCGTACTTGTTAGATGTTGTCTGCCTGTCTTGTTGATGTGTTTTTGCTCTGCTTCTTCTTTCAGTCTACGTTGCAGTATCTCTTCACACCCCTCCCCCCCCCCATCGTCGGCCGCTTGTTTTCCTCTTGCTTTGTTTTGTTTCCCCTGTTTCGTTGGCCTTGCTAACTCCTGTCATTGCTTCGCCCTTGGGCATCCTCCGAAAACGTCAAAAGACCGACCGCCCATCACCGTTCGCGACTTACCAGTTGTAACGGCTTCCATACTGCCGTGGGCAGCCTTGGTCAAAGTACCCAAGACCGCCGCCGGGCGTCAGAATAATCAAGTCGTCCTTTACGACACTACCGCCCGCGCCGCCGGGCGTCACAATTTGTACAATCATCTTTTTGCCGACCGCTGCACCCGACAACCACTGCACCTCGTAGCATTTGCAACAGTTGGGATTGTCTTCGCGCTGGTTGTCCGATACTAGGATGGCAAAACCGTACGACAAATCGTCCGCGACGGGGACCGGCTGGTAGCTGTCGCACATGTACGAAGAGCCGCCGGGCGAGCAACCCGTGGTCGCAAAAAGGCCCGTGTTTAGGTCCTGAGGCCTGTTGTCCTTGTCGCAAGTCCGGGCGACGCCCCTGGCAGTAGCCGGTGGAGTCAATACGGGCTGGTGAGAAAGAAGGCACGTGTGGAATCACTCACCTAGATCTCAGGAGGTCGGAGTTGCGGTTGCCGTTTGCACAGATCGGTTTGCAGCTGTGTTTGTTTGCGTAAGTTTACCTCGTTTTTGGTTTTCACTTCGCATACAAAGTCGTAAAACACTTAACTCACCAGTCCCAACCAGTGTAGGAACTCGCACTCGTCACAACCGCTGCTTCGACACTGGCCGCGACAAGCCGCCCAACAAGTATCAATTGTACCAGCTTGAACAGCATCCTAGTCGCGTCGACCGTAACTGTTATACTTTGACGATAACGTTAAGGTTGAAGAAGACTTGAGGCGGGTTCGTTTGCAAACGTGTTTGCAGGCTTATTTGCAGAAGCAAGATAGAGGGACAAAGGTTGCTCGTTTCCCAAAGGCACGGCAACAATATATAGAAACAATGGAAGAAAACTGACGTCCATCAGCATTCCACATGGCCGAGCGTTTCGCGTCGGCATCTGTTTTATAACTCCTCTTTTCCCCAAACTTCTCCGATTTCCTTGCCATCTACAACTTCGCCACTATATTGCAATTATACCGGCCACAGGAGCCGAGTTGCTGGGGAGCATAGTAGCTTTGGATATTAGATTAACCTTGGTAACAGGTCACCATCTATAAAAAGCAACTTGCCGAGGCACAGAAAACAACCCCCAAGATTGTCCCAGTAGACCATCACCGATTCCAACTTACCCTGGCCGACCATTACCTGTACCTACCAAGACCAAAAACGACCAATATGGAAGACGTGGCTGGAATCATGGATAAGGTTACCACAGAAGCGTTCCTAGAGAAGGTCCACCAATCTGTGGTAGGTGATGATGCACATCCTAAGTCTTCCAGCTGCTGCAAGTACTTGAACAATTTCCATCTCGACATGTGGGACGCATACAAAATTAACATGGACTCTTCTTTGCTGGACGGGGTAGCGTTTCTGCAAGGAACGGTACCTTGGTGTTTTGAAAACTTAATTTCTTTTCTTACTTCCTAAACTCCTTCTTCATGATATTTTCTTCTTCTTCCCCGTTCCAGACAATATATGTAGTACTAGTGCTAACAAAACGGCTTAGCAGATCCAAGAATATATAAGACCCCTTTCATTATCCGATCCAATTCTCCGAGCATATTGAGCCGCCCTGTAGCAGTCCGCACTACACCATCCCTTTACCCTTTTCTCCGATATTCCTCCCACATCCCAGAACACGGCAATCGAGCACCTATGTCATCTTCGGCACGGCAAGCATACTGTACGAACTCAAAGACCACTGTACCGTGTAACAGCGGACTGCATCTAAAGAGATGGTGGGTACGTACGGTGTGTGTACTCATGCTGACGGATGATTGCTATGGGCTTCCTGACAGATGTTAATTATATTGCAGTCCAGGCATTGTCTCACCGTGAAAGTGCTCTTTGCGAAACATCCCGTGGAGAGTCGGGTTCATGGACGCCCGTGATGGCTCGCTGCCAGGCTGCAACGGCTAAGCACCATTCTGCAAATAAGACATTGACGACAAACCACAAGGCCATCTGAGCCCCAAACCGGTCTCGTTCTGTGAGAAATGTCCTCCAGCACCTGCACAAAGAAATCCGGAGTGCTACAGCCCGTCCAGTCTTTCAAAAAGCTCTGCTGCATCTTCTGACGTCGGATGGCAGTTTCAGCCTGTTTACCTTGTTCCCCTAACCCTGTCACCAATATTGCGGGTGCAACTTCACTGACCATACCACCATGTAGCAGACCTTTCATACTGTAATAAGTCTCGGTTCTATCTTCCATTGACATTTATTTCTGCGTCCAGACGGGCGTGTACGGCGATATATCAACCAAGAGAGCAGCATCTTGTGATCACAAAATATGGTCACGTGTCTCGGGTGGCACAGCCGGAGACGACAGATATTCCGCGAATTTATTCATCCGATCTTTCTGTGCGACGGCACTCGAGTCCTCGAGTCCTCGAGTCCTCGAATCATCCAATGCTCGAGTCCTGGTCATGTCAAGCATATAGAGCATACGATGCTTCCAATATGGTTGACCCAAGCCCGTCTGAATCATCGTTTTATCCCATTGTAAACGACGATCTGTTCAATGAGCACTGTATCCGTGACAATGAGACCTAGCGAAAACAATTGCTCAGGCCCTCAAACATCTGGTCGCTAGAATCGTTGGTCAGCCGCGAGATGGGCAATCGCCGCCCGGTGGAGGTTGTCACCACAGCGAAAGGCTCTTACAATGTCGTGCCAACGTTCCATATCCAAGACGGAGCCGAGCCCAAATACGTTGCGTTGCGTGTTCCGCAGCGCGGGTACTCGCCCAGTGTGCTCGTGTCCGAGAAGATCGAAAACGAGGTCCACTGGATGCAGTACTTGAGGAGCAGCGTATCGGACCCGTCCCGCACGTCTATGGCTGTCACTCAGAGCGAGGCCCGGGCGGCATGGATCCGTAAATTTTTATGTACTTTGTCGAGGGCGAGAGTTTAAACGCCTTTTGGACCCGTTGGGAGGCGTCCACATCCGAGGCGGACGAGGCGAAGCAACGTTCGGTCCTGCGACAGCTGGCCGCCATTTGGCTCGAACTTTATCGCGCTCGCTTTGATAAAACCGGGCGTCTTACCAGGGCTGCCGACGGCTCGTGGGCCGTCACGCAGCGCCCGTTGGCATACGATATGTACGTCCACTTGTCAGGCATCCCGGACTTTCCAACTAATTCGTGGCCGACAAGGCCACTACGGAGCGCACAGGAGTACAAAGACCTTCGTCGCGCACTTGCGGCGCCAGCAGTTGTGCTTGAGCAATATCAACCTGCCAGGCACATGGGACGCCGAGGGCTTCTTTGCTTTCCAGACGGGCAGCCACATCGACATGGAGCACACCATGGCAACCGCGAGCGACTGGCTCCTCTCACGCCATGCCATGGATCTACCCGACTACGCTGCCCATCTTCATGGTGACAACGGGCCGTATGCTATCTTTTGTCCCGATCTCTCAAGGGTCGATATACTTGCCGACCCGGCCACGGGGCTAATCATCGCCGTACTCGACCTCGAGTTCACAAACACAATGCACGCCACGTTTACCCAGGGCCCGTCCCTTGGCACGCCACTTATGACCTCGGCAGGGTGTATCGAGCGTGGCCTGTTTTCAACTTGGCAGGATCTACCACGGGGTATCTTCGTTATTCGCTGGGGTGGATCCGTCTATCGCTATTGAAGAAATAAAAGACCTATCAGAAGCACCAAAGAACAGATTGCGGTGTACAGTAAAGAGAGGGCATCGCTCGTAATGTAGGGGCGAGGTGAGCCGGCGAGGTATATACATGAGCAGATGTTAAGATTATCAATGAGTTTCTGTCCCTTTCGGTGTCGTCCCGTCGCACTCTGCGCAGCAGATGTTATCACTGCTTTCAGCTGAGTTTCAGGGGCCATTGACAATGCAACTCAAAGTTGCCAATTTCGGTTACTGCGGCTTGAATGCCATCTCTCTTTCTTTATTTTCTTTTTACGATGTATTGTCGTCAGCACGTTTTTTTTGATGATCTAACATACGTATGGTTCGCACCAGTCACCAAAGAGCAACGGCCAGAACACCACTTTCCTCCTTTAACCTATCCAATTGCATCTGGTGTGGGGGTCGCTCCAAAAACCTCCCGTGCTTTGATTTGATGATGGCGTGCACTTGGCACCACCGCCCAACCTAACCGCTCGTCGAAATGCAATTTTAAAATGAGATGCGTGTTTAAATTTTCATCACCTCTTTTTTCTTCTTCATGGGTCAAGATAAGGCTGTTTAGTGGATTTGTGTCTTTTCTTGGTGCCAAAAGTAACAATCACCATCCTTAACGGCACGCCCTCTAATTTTATTTTGCAGATTCGAAACATTTCGTCAACAGGGCATCTTGTGTTGTCAACAGCGAAAGGCACAGATACCAATCGGTGGCGTGTTGGTTAGCTAGAAGTTTTGATGTACCCATAACACGGCGTGCGACGCGTTTTCTGTCAAAACCACCGAGGAAAGGATCCTGCCGAAATGAAAGTCACAACAAATATCACACTAACTTCACACGACAGCTGCAAGGCTACGAGACAGCGACCACACAGCCAACGTGGACGGCGGGTTGGCGTCTTGCCATTCTCTCGTAAAATGGCAGCTGGGTGGTGAAATTTCACTTCGGTGAGGTACGACGTACGAGCTACGTTTTCAAATGAACGGAGGACGACCATGTCGTTCCGTGACATTGTGCCGTTTTTCCAATGTCATGGGACAATGGCCATCGACACACAAAAGGACGAACGATGATCGTTGGCATCCAACCCGATTACCAAATAACGGCCGTATAGCACGCCCGGAAAGCTAATTCGTCGCTCCTGAGTACGAGCTGTCAGTGCCTCGTACGCCGGATTCTCTGCACATCGCGTGCCTAACGAAGGCACCCTGGCTTCTTGGGTTCCGCCGTGTGAGCTTGCATGTGTGTACAGGCACCATCGTGACTCCATCTACTTGGCTGTATTCCTTCTCCCAATCGCCTGTCCCCCGCCTCGTATACAAGACAAATGCACGGAACCAACAGAGCCCAAGATGAGGGGAAATACGAATCGCCAGCAGTCTACCGGCATCCGGTCTTGCATTGCGAGAAAAGAGCATGGCAGAAGCACCACTCCACGTCCAGATTGAGTCGGATGCAGCATGAGACCCCATGCCAAGTTTTTCTCCCACATGAACACAGTAATACGAGATTGACGAGGGAGGAGAGAGGAGGGGTAAAAATGTGTGCGGCATGCTGAAGACGGTGTTTCTGGTGATATTTGCTCTGGCAAAACGACGGCGCCCCATAAAGCCAGTCGACATCATGGAGACATTTGTTTTGCCATCGTGATGGGGCCCCTAATTCACACTTCGCCCCGGACAATTAGCCACACAACCACCACATTATGCCCGAATACAAACTCGGGGAGTGTCATGCAGAACGAGGCCCAAAATGGGACGACGAGACGATAATGCAGAATGATAACAGAAAGGACGCAGATAGAGTGCTCGAGTGACCAAATCCAGAGATAAGAAAAGCGACCAGTTCATCAGAAAAGAGAAGCGGGCTCCTTCATGGTGCCTTGCCTGTGACCTAAGACCAGCCAGACGGCCGCGGGATCGTCCTTGTGGGTTAGACCAGTTCGGCCGTCTCCAGTTACGTTGAACTGATGGGCGTCATCCGTGGCTCGCTCTTGTTCAGACCGCAACAGTGACAGTGACGTCGTGGATGCGATATGGCCGTACAGTACGTGGGACGTAATCGTTCTGCCGGTTCAAATAAAACAAAAGTCTCACTGGGAATACCCACAATGCAGGACTGCGGAAGTGCAGAAATCCTACTCTACAATGGTCAGACGAGGGCAAGCAGCGAAAGACCGTCGAGGTCATTGACAGACGACGATGCAGTCAGAGTGGTATTGAGCAAGGCCAAAAAAAAAGTCGCATCGAAAGGGCCAAGCGTTTTGGTGACCGTACGATGGATTTTCAAGGAAAATCGGCTACAGCGGACAGGGTAAGTGGAGACGGCAATGAACGTCTGTGTGTAGGGATTGGGGAAAAGCGCGAGAGTGACAGCGGATGAGCAGGTTCGCACAGGGCTAGAGGATGTGACGTCGGCAGGGTGACAACAAAGCGGCCATATTCCGTCGTAGCGAGAGGGAGGTTTGGGCCTCACTTTCGTCATAGCTCGCCATGACGCCTTCGACGACCACAGCAGACCAAGTCCGGCCAAATTGAAAATTTTGTGAAAAAAGGTCCTTCACGATGGTCAGTCAGTGCCAAAGCGTCTGTCCTCCTACCCTTCTCCGAAAACAAAAACCCTGGAACCTTGGATGGCGTTCTGTCGGTGTCGGTGTCGGCGTTATGATGAGAGATCCTTCTTGGGCCTTGAAGGTCCTGCCCTTGGACAGCCTTTCGTGTTCCGTCGTGTTCGGCGGGGGGTATCGTATCTCTGTCGGCGAGTTCTGTGCAGAGGGGGCCGTGCAGCAAACTGAATGTTGACTGCTGGTTTCCATTGGTTTTCACTATCGAGTTTGTCCATCGTTTCTTCACGTTCGGTGCTCATCAGAAGAGGAATTGCTCGTCTATTTAATGTCAATCGTTCAGACCTGTCCGAGAGAGCATTGCACAGGTTGGTAGAGCCGAAAGCTGAGATTGGATCGAAAACGGAGGACAGGAAATCGATGCCGAGTGCTTTGTCTGGCTTGCTGGTGGAAGGCTTGGGCAAGACGAAGTGCATCATGACGCGGACTCTTCAGGCTAACCTGGCAGCCTGCAGACACAGCAAAGATAAAATACGAGAAAACATGCATGCAAGTGTGCCAAGACAAGGTGCAGTTAACAGACAATGGCAGGCAAAATCAAGGGTGGCTGGATGGGGATTCTCGGGCTTGTCTGGTTTGTGGCTGCATGCAGTTGTCACGGTCGTATTGTATTGATTGACCCATGCGGTGTGGAAACCCAAACGACCAAACGACCACTCAGAAACTAGACGATAACCAGAGTAGGGCCCTTTCAGGCACGTTGCGGCTCTTTCAGTGTAGAAAGAACCACACAACGTTGCGTGTGGCGGTACGAGAATTTTCCATCTTTTCTTGCTAGCATGGCGGCGGGTGCCGGGCTGCCATTGGCATTGAACCCGGTTTTGCCTTTGAAGGACCTCGTATTCCCGTCACGGCTGTCGCTGCGACTCCCCCTCTGGGCAGGTTCTCGTGCAGTTTGCTGCCTCTTCCCCGGCGGCATCATTATCTTTTTTTTTTTTTTCTTCGTTGTATTCTTTTCGTTGCTGTCGCCTGGCTCGCCAAAGGCCACTCGGACCAACATTTGCATGCCGCCGCTCCGTGCATACGATGCTACCAGGTGTTTGCAGTAACGTATCTTACGAGTGGCCGTATGGTGTGGCATGGCTGTATCGTGAGGTCCTTGGCTCCGTCCCAACAGCTCTGGCTGATCTTTGGTTCAGTCCTTACACAGATCGTCTGTACTGCCGTATTTTGTTTCTATTTCTGCTGCCCTTGTCGGGAAATTCTATTTTCTGTTCTAGCCATGATAAAAAATCGAGGGTCTCAGGCCGGCCTGGGTCATCCTCGTCGGCCTTGTGTGTTGGCCTCATGTGAGCATTCCACTTTCACGAGTCGCGAGTGACTCTGCTGCTCTTGCAAGAAACGTTGCTGGTGAAGCGGTGGAGGTGTGGCGTTCGGGGCTAGGCCAGTTGGCAGTTGCCTTTTCCTGTTCTTGGACGAAGACAAAAATAGACAACACCGCCATTTTTAGTGGCGGTGGCTGCCAAGGTCACAAGTACCTTTGTACCCTCTTCGCTACGGCGAAAACGCCGAACAGGAAAAAAACACAGCCGACAAACACAGTCGACAAACACCGTCATTCTGCATGCAAAGGGCTGCCGCCCACTAAAAGGCCGTGGCGGGACATGCAAGCAGAGGCGGTCGCTGCTCCTTTCGGGCAACCCGCCAGCCCGCCTGTTGTCAGTGAGAAAATAGTGGCATCCGCCAGAAGGTTCCACCAGCCACACCCAAAATCGAGTAGCAATACCAACATATCGTAACACATTAGTGAACCACTCATTGAGCGACAGTTGAAGCAGGGAAGCAAAACCGAGGACCGTCAACCGTGCATTACGACGTATGTTACGGAGCCAGATAGGCATGGCCCGCCGCTAGAAAAGCCTGTGCCAAAAAGCCGCCAGAAGAGCGCCGAGATCGCCTCCTTCCCAAGATGTGACAAAGAAGACACCAACAAAGACGACCCCAAGTGGGTGTAGTTACGTGCAGAGTTTTCTCAACCTCTCGTATCGTCCGGGTACTGTCTGCGTTGGAAGGACCCTGTCGAGCGAGTTCCCGTATTAAAAGCAGCCAAGCCGCTGATCGTCTCTTCGCTAGTTTCCCAATTTAGAAGAGTGCGAATAAGCACCGTCTGATGGGATAGTGCAGCATAGAACGAGCGAGTGGCGGGAAATTCGGCGGTAACCGGTCGCGTGTTTGTATCTTAAATAGAGACACCAAAAAAACCTGCCATTAGCGTCCTGTCAACGGCGGCCAGTGAACGTTGCGCAGAATATCTAGTGGCTTTTAGTGTATTCTGCTGAAGTGCAAGGCCCGCTCGTGAGCCACTCGGGGGACCCTGCTGCGCCGCCCTCTGCACACCCTTCGGAGAACCAGCCTGGTTCTCGCACGCAACACAAACAGCGAGTGACGCACACAAAGTCTGACAGTTTGGCAGGCAGGCGGATACGGGAGGACAACCATCCCACGCCTTGGGCTCCCTGCCAGCCTGCTATCACCGTGTAAGTGTAGAAAAAGGTGTGAGTGGGGCCTTCAGCCTTTCCTGTCTCTTGTCTCTTTTCTCGCTTCTCACTTTCCTTCTTCGGCCTTCTCTGCCTGCCATTCCCTTGTTGATAAGCTCTCGCCACCGGGGGGCGTGTAAGTCGAAATGGCCATGGGTGGATTGTGCGAGAAAGACGACGGCCGCACTCTCTTGCACAATCACCGTATTATGTGACCATCTCTACCTGTATGAATTGCGAACGGACCGATGGGTGAGTGTTCTGGGGGTCCGGGGGGGGGGGGGGGGGGGGGGGGGGGTGAGGTTTGGCGAAGTACGCGACTACGACATACACCCCGTCTCTTCACTGCTTCGTACATCCGTCCTCTCCTCGTCTCTCGTCTCTCGCATCTCCCGACCGCCCAATCTCTGTATAAGAAGCGCTACCCTCCCCGTCCTGTGGCTCATCCAGTCGTCGTCACTCTGGTCTCCTTTTACCTCTAAACAATTAGGCAACTCCTAGACATCACACTCGCTGTCCACCAGTCCTTCGTTTATATCAACAATCGTTTCTTGACTTTCGTCCTGCACAAAGTTATCTACTTTACCTAATTCACCATCACCAAACTACCCACAACACTCAACAACCTGCTCTTCACACGCATATTCACAATGAAGACCCAGACTCTGTTCGTCCTCGCCGCCGCTGCCTTCGGCTCGGCCATGGCTGGCGCCAACACCACCGTCACCGATGTTGACACTTCCACCGTCACCGTCCCGTGCTCCACGTCCACCACTTCCCTGGGCACCGCACCCCTCGGCACCGGCACCGTTACCTTCACGCCTCCTGGCAACGGCTCGCACACCTACACCCGCCCAACCCTGAACCCCACGACGACAACGACGGCCACGCACACGACCGGTGCCACCACTGGCCCTAGCTCGGTTGTCACGGCCGGTGCTTCGTCCCTGGATGCCCGCGTCTTTGTCGGTGCTGCTGCTGCCGTCGCCGCTATTGCTTTCTCTCTGTAAGTGACGTGACGCGTCACTTGGTGAATTGATGCCCACCAGTGGCATCACTTTGCAAGAGAAATAAAAGAAAAAAAAAGCAAAGCATATGAGCCTGACGACACTTACGATACGAGCCGCTACCTCAACTTTTCTTCTTGACGCTCGACGGTTCGATGGTTGAACGTCGCGACATGAGTGCGGACGTCATCGTCACCCTTTTCTATTCTCATTTTTATTTTTGATCTCCCACCTTTTTATTTTTCAGTCACCTCCTTCCACCTTTGGGAACTCATAGACGGCAGTTTTGGAGTTTTATACCTGATTTGTCTCTATTTTTTTTTTTTTTTGTATTCCTACTGCTCGGGACGTCACTTCACAAACCAGTATGATGCGATGCAATATGCTCGACATACTGTCCAGCACTTCTACCCCTTTTTACATTCTCAACATGGGCTTACCAAACCGGGCACCGGCGCCGCTATCCTTCATTTATATTTGTAATTTTTAATTGCTTCTTGGCTCTACTTCTATCGATACCTCTTGCTGTGCATCCTCCGTATGACTTGAAACTCTATCGGCAGTCCAGCATCAGCCTTCTATTTTTTCTTGAAACAGTTCAAGAAAAATGCAAATTAAACTTTTTCCTCCCCTGCCAAAGATCTTTTTGTGACATGACGTAACTCGTAACTGAAATGCATCCGTACACTGAAGGGGCGGGTCACAGCTTCTGCTCCTTGGCCTGGCGCCGCAGTCGGAACGCCTCCAGGATGTACGCCCGCGTCGCCGGCACGGTCGCCGGAATGTCCCGGTACGCCGCCGTCATGCCGTTGCGCACTTCCTCTTCGGTCGCCCACACATAGTCCTGGTGCTCGTCGGGGTCCAGCGTCACCTTGTCGGTGCTCTGGACCAGCACATGGAACGCGAACCGCAGGTACAGCACCGTCCCGGTCCGGTTCGTGTAAACGTACCCGGCATGGTCCTTGAAGTACGGTGGCGGCGCCTCCGTGGCATCGCGCAGCGGTGCCTCGGCCGGCTGCGGCACGAGGTGCGTGAAGCGCGTCGCGACAAGCCCGGCCTCTTCCCAGAGCTCGCGGGCGGCGCCGCTCAGGATGGTGTTGCGCGGGTGCGCGCCGTCGACGGGCTCGAACTTGTCGTCGCCCGGCTCGTCGGCGGCGCCGCCCGTGACCTCCCACCGGTTGGGCATCGAGTCGTGCGCGGCGCGCTGGACCAGCAGCACCCGGTCCTGGTCGTCAAACACGACATTGGAGACGGCAATGCCGTGGAAATGCTTCTTGTTGGCCTCGATCCACGCTTTGGGCGTGACGTTGAATTCTTCCAGCGACGGGTCGATTGTGTACTGAAAGACCTCGGGAGGTGGGGGTGGAGGGGCCATAGTATTATTGGGGGCGGTGGTGGTGGTGGTGGGAGGTGGCGCTGGGTGAGTAGAATTTTTGTTTTGCCGTTCAAGATGAATTATGTTTGGTGATTGTTGATATCGTCGTGAATTCAAGGTCGTCAAGAACGGTTTATGTACCGATGAGGCGCTCAGGCAGCAGAATTTCGTGCTTTGGCGATGCAACTTTTTCACTGGTCTATGGTCTGGTACTGGCTCTCTCCAGGTGTCGCCAGCTATCCGTTCTGCACTGTCTTGTTTCAGTGCGTCTCTGCTGGCTCCGTACGTCGTATTACAGTGGATGGCCAGGGCCATGATCGTTGTCTGCCTGGTGCATGAAAAGCCCGACTTTGAAAATGCAGGTGCCTCCGGCGAAAGGTCGTGACTCAGATATCTGAATATGGTCAAGGGCCGCTGCAAAACCGGCACAAACTGCCGGGGATGTGATGTTCCTAATAAATTTTGCTGCTGTTCAACAGTGAACAGACAGGGACAAGAAACAGTCACTGTTTAGGGCACTTAAAAAGGCGCAGCGCGATGATGAAATCGCACCAAAGAGATCGTAGCCGTTATGTTCACTGTAACGCTGCCATTCAAGCATTTGTCACCCGTCATGCCAAGGCACCATCTTTTCAATAGATCCCATCGAAAGTTGATGCCTGGTCGTCGCTATATGTGCCATGGACGAAAAGCCTGGGTGGACGGAATTCTGTTGTACAAAGCTGTTGACGATTGCCGTTTAAAACGGAAGCCACTGTCGCGTTTCAGTCACCAATTCAGACGACGAACACCAGGCTTCCTTTTGCCCAAAGAAAGCCTTTCAAAACAGAGGTGCCTGTAGGCACCTAGCATATAACAAAATCAGGCCGCCAACTTTAGAAACTCTCGCCTGCTGGCCTTGCCGTGATAGCCTCGTGCGTCATGAAGAGGCTCTTACGGTAACATCAGGGATGTAAACGAAAGCTTCACATTTGTTGAAAACAATTAACGACATACAAAAATTATCACAGAAAAAATCCATACTACAAAAAAAAAAAAAAAAAAACACAATAATAATAATAATAATAATCAGCGATGAGAGTGAGACTTCAACTCAAGCGATCCGAAGCCATATGATTGCTAATCGTACCCGTTAGACAGCCCTAGTATCCCACCATTCTGCTTAAACTTTGATATGGGACTGCGGTGCTGATTATCGTATGCCAAAATAAGTATGTGGAAACGAAAAGCTTGAACACAAAGCCCAAACGAAGCAAGAACGCCTGTCGTTTCATAAAAGAAGAAAACATAAGAACATGAAATAAAGTGTGGTGAGAAAATAATCCACGAAAAGGATTTCCAAACGTCCCTCCTTATCGTGGCAGACGACCCGTCACTGACGACTCTGTGATCAGTCCTAGTCCTCCACGGCCTCCCGGCTGGAGCCTCAGGTAGTCTCCCTGTAGAATCAATCTCTCCGTAGGCACAAGATATACGCTGCGGTAGGGACACGTAAACAGCAGCTTCAAGTTGGCCTCGGAATATGAGACTAGCCGGATCAGGTCGGTAACGACATCCTCCAGGTCGGCCCCGAACCGGTCGTCCTCAAAAGACGAGACGCCGTCGACAATGCAGTAGACGGGTCTGTCCTTCGGCACATACTTTAGCAACTCAATGAATACAATGTACAGTTCCCATAGGTAGCCGTCGCGCAGCCTACCGCGGAAGTCGGCGAGTTGTCCGTGGTTGTACCTGCCAAGGTTGTATTCCCGAATCGGGTCCTCTCCCTCCCCACCCCCTCGCGCCAGGTCCTCCTTGACGAGGGCCGCCACGAGCTGGACCAGGAGAGAACGGAGCATGCCCACCGGTCCACGGGCACGGTCGCGCTCGGCATCGTCTCTTTCCTGCGAGTTGTGCAAACTGCAAAAGTAGCGAAGGACAAAAGCCTCACCACTCTGGCCGGACTTCTCGAAGACGATGGACAGCGAGGAGCACATCACCGACATGGGCGAAATCAAACTGCGGGTGGCACTGGCGTCGTTGCCGTCGACAAACAGCATCCCTGAGTGCCGGCTCTGGTACCATCGTAAAAATTCGTCGGTGGCCAGCAAAGACTGGGCCTGTTCGTGGGCTCTGGGATTGAAAGAGGTGCCGTATAGATTAACAGTCATCATATCGGTATCGGCCATGTTGAGAGAAACGCCGAGGTCGTCCAACAACTGAGTCGGCCACATGATGATGTCATTCGGTTGGTCCATGGGCACGGGTGTCAGAGACCGGCGGACGTCACGAACGAGGGCGCTCTGCTGCTCGAGGAGGTATTGTTGGTTGCGGTTGAGGTCTGAGAGAGACGGGTGGGAGGACGACAGTGTTAGTGAGATTGCAGCAAATGACAATGGCAATGCTATATTCTAGAGCTGAGTAATTGGGAAACTCACTGATCACCGTCTCAGCCAAAAAGGCAATGGTCGCGTTCTGCGACTCCGTCGCCGAAATGACCTGCTTGTGATCTTGTCCCAAAAATTGGATGCGTTCGCGAAGGGTGCGGTTTTCATCAACCATGTACCGCACAACTTTGTTGGCAGCTTCGCCGAGGTACTTTATGTCGCGGCCGACAAGCTGAACGTTGTCGTTGGTCTGCTGGCTGATGTCTAACATGCGGTCCTGGCGGTCTTGGGCGTCGACAAGCATGGACCGGGTGACTGAGGCTTCGACCTGCAAGAGGCTAACACCGGTGCGTGTCTCGTTGGAGTTACGGGCAAGGATTCGTTCGGCACACTGATCGAGTTCCAAGGATTTCTTTTGGACCTTTTTTAGCATGCCCTCAATGTTGATACTTTTCTGTCTTTCCTGCCTGTTTTTGAGCTTCTCAAGAAGGTTTTTTCCTGTATGAGGACATGCGTCAGTATTTATTACGTTTCGTGGTTGTATGTGTTCACGGTGTATTTGCCGTGTGCTCCATGTGTGTTCACCGCCTGCCATTTATTGTCCATGTAAATGGAAGTGCTTTGTCTGTTGTCCTTTCATCTTCTTCTTTTGTTTTTGTTTTGATTTTGTTTGCCGTTGCGTTCAAATTTTAGAACAAAGAAACGTGTTCCCCTCCACTCTCAAGGCACGCCCAACTTGAACTTACCTTTTGGCTCTGGTTTCAATGACCAAATCAGGTCTGCAATGCCTTCGACCAGACAGTCGTACAGTGCCTGGCAACAGGCATGCATTTCGGGCTCGCGCTGGAAACTGACGCCCTTGTTCATGGCATTGTGGATGGTTTCGGTGATGGTCTCGAAGCCCCCCAGGATGGATTGCTCTTTTTCATGAGATTTCTCGGCCATGTGAAAGACGATGCCGATGGCGCCGCGCACAATAGACAGGCCGTACTCGTCCGGAATCAGATGCAGCCAGGGCTCGATGGCATCCGACTTGGATCCAGCCTTGCGCCATAAATACTTGAACCAACTGACACTGCCCTTGCGTCCGTTGCGGGCGTCGTGGTCACCTTGGGCACGGGCTATTTGGCAGAACAAGTCATCCCATGAACAATTGAAGACGTCAAACGGGACATCTGTGTACTGTTTTCGGTACCATGCTAGGGCGGCCTCAACATTGCTAAAGCGGGGAGAGGGAAGAGTGTTAGTAGTGGTAAAGGTGGAAGCTGAATGACTTCAGAGCTTGGTCGCCAAGTGGAGTTGGCTGTGTCAACGAACAACTGCGGGATACAGCAAAGGTGAGGGAGAAGGAGGGAGTAAGGTAGAGAAATGGTACCGATTTAAAACATAAAGGGGTGGATAGAAAATAAGACGGGGCACCAGAAAAGACAAAGAAGCAGTACAAAAGGAACCTACGGTAATTTCAGGACCTCCACTTGACCACGCTCCTCTGAGTACGTTGATGGGTTGACTCGCACATCAAGCGCCTGGTGAATTTCATCGCCGTGATGCCTCAGATACATAGCCGGCACACGGGAGTTGTCGAGGTTGCTGCTGCTGCTGCTGCCGGTGCCGGCGGCCAATTCAAGGCCCTCATCGTCGCTGAGCTCCGTGGCGGGTGCCTGTGCGGCAGGTATGAGAGGCATGGCGCGTTGTCAATATGTCCTCGCGAGTGTTCTCGCTCTGTGCTCTCGCGCTGTGTTCCTGAAATGTATTCTTTAGGGTACCCTCTCGGACGGAACAGTCGTGGTTGACACACGTCAGTCGCCAGGATACATCCCACTTTTCCATTCCTGGTTTGGCATGAAAGAAAAGAACTGCGAGAAAGTAAAGAAAAGAAGAAACAAAAGGTCAAAGTTTCAAGGGTGCAGGCTTACACTCTGGCTCACAGTCTGGACAACCTCATCCCGTTCCCACTAAAGTGGCTATCGCCCGAATTTTGAAAATGAGGCTCAAGTTGACTGGTAAGATATTGGGCAGGAGCGCCGACGGTGTTACGCGGCGGACCTGACAGTCTTTCTCCCTTGTTTACGAAGCACCGCTTTGGTGCGTTGCGCTTTCCGGCCTGGATCGTCCCCCAGTGGTGCCTTTCTCATTTCAGCTGCATGGGCACAGCCTCGCAGTAACCCACCCCGGACATGAGGAAAGAGCATTTCTCCCTTTTCTGCATCTGCCGCCTGCCAGCTGGCCTGCACCTTTTGTGCACATTTCTGCACTTTGCTGCACATTTCTGCACCGTCTTCCAGAATGGGCACAAATCCCCCCACCCGGCCGCAACCATATTCCGCTTCATCGACCATTGTAAGTGGTCGAATAACGCCCACGAGAATACATCCCTGCTTCTTTTCGGAGGATCGATGCACTGACAGCAATAGTCCTATGCGGCTGCCGCCAGCGTGCCAGTGATTGGCTCGAGCCGCCTTGCCGCCCACCCACAACCGCCCAGCTCCTCCCCCAGCTCGACATGTAGGAAACCCCTGACGCTGTTTCGCATCGCCAGATGCTGCTCTGCTTAGAGTAGACGATATGAGGATATGGAGCCTCCTCTAACAACGGGAGAGGATTGTTGATCAAGCTTATGCACGTTGCTGGGGTCAGCTTGATTCTAATCGAAGCACCAAGGCTGGCATAAATAGCTGCAGCAGCTACCCCTTTTATATTTTGTTTCTCCTCTTTCTGGTCCCCCAGCTTCTCGGCTCTGTTGGCAAACGTCTCGTCATTTTGTTGTTTTGCTGAGTTGTTGTCTGTTGTTTCGATTTGTCCACTTGGACAAGCTGCAAGACCAAATCAGCACCGTTTCCGTCGCTAGGGAACACCCGCTGGTACAATGGTTAGTGCTGTTTGACGCTTCCAAGCTTAATCCCACTCCGTCGTCGCGTCTTCACGGGGAGTACGCGGCATTACTGGTGAAGTACGGGGTAATTGGCTCTCCAGCCGTGCTAACGCTACTTTCTTTTCAACTCACAGACCACCCCTCCGGCGCTGATCACAACCGAAAGCCAGTCCGGCCTGGCTGAGTCCGTTGAGACGGCAGGCTTCAACGACGAAGTTGAGGCTGTTGAGATCGTCGAAGAAACATCCGATGGGCTACCCGGCGCCGAAGCCTGCGACGACGACGATGCTGACAAAGACGGCGAGGACGACAATGCCGACGGGGACAAGAGCGACCGCGGCAGCTTGACACGTCGCCGCAGCCGCCGCAAGAACCGCACAGAGAGCCCCGTCGAGCCCCCTCGGCCGCCAATCATCCCCAAAGTTCGCCGCACGAACTACGAGGGTTTTAAGAACTACTTCAGTGAGGAGGAGAGCGTCTACGCCATCGAGGTGCTCGAGGCTGGCTACGACATCAAGGACGAAGTGTCGCGCGAGTTGCTCAAGCGCGGCGGCCGGCAGTACCGCCATGTGGCCACCATCAGCAACCAGCCGCGCATCGGCACCGTTACGGACGAGATCTGGATCCAGCGCGTGCGCATCCAGTCGAGCTATATCCTGGCGCACCTGCGCCCCATCATGACCTCGTCCATGAAGGCGGACAAGCCGCGCACCTTCTTCCGTCCCTTCTACGCCTTCATCCACTACCAGCCCAAGGTCAAGGAAGCGCTGGAAGAGCTGCGTCAGACGGTGGCTGAGAGAAAGGCCAACCCAAAATCGCCGACCGACGGGGGAGCCAAGGAAACAGAAAAGGAAGACCAGGAGGCCGATGTGAAAAACACGGCGCCTACCTACCGCCGTCCCCGTGGGAAGGGTCGCCGCCGCCAAACTTCGGCCGAACGCAGGAGACGGAGCAGGTCAGCGAGTGTCACCAGCAGCAGCGGCTCCGAGTCTGGCAGCGGCTCCGAGGCTGATGACGCCGCAGATGCCACCATTCCAGAGGAGCTGTTCTACAGCGAAGAGGCCATCGACCACTTGCAGTGCTACGTCGACTTTGTCGACAAGAACATTATGCATCTTGCCGACTCATACAAGGGCACGACCAAGCAGCGCATCCGCTATTCCGACCTGGCCTACCTCTTCCACCCAGGCGACGTCGTGTACTCGCCGACGCAGGCCGAGTTTGGCAGCTCCACCAACTACACCGCTGCCAAGCCGTCACCCGCCGTTTACCAGCCCATCTGGAAGATCCAGTACACGAACCCGCCCAGCATCAGCGACTCCAAGTCGGAAGAATACGACAAGAACCACCGCTTCTACATTTCGTGCTTCTACATTGACTTTGACGGCAAGAACTACGGACCTGTCAAGTACCGCTTTGATGTGCAGCCCTACGAGGGTGAATGGGACATCAAGACGCTGCCGGTGTACCCAATCCGATACCACAACAGCTCAAGCAAAGGCACCAGCAACCAAGGCCCTGACCGTCTGCGGCCCGCCGGAAAAGACTTTCAGACCTACGTCGAGGCCCGTCACCTCTACTACCGCGGGTGGACATTGACTACGAGCCCCAACGGCGACACTTTGACAGACAACGCCGGCGAACTCATGAAGCACCCGGAACACATTGACAGCAGTGTCATTGTCGACTTTAAGGCTGCCCTGCAGGCCCTGCCCAGCTGGAAGCCCACCTTCAAAGACCCGTCGCGCATGGACCAGGAGTGGACGACGTCCTTGGACGATAAAATAGCCATCATCCAGTGGTCTGATTCAAAGCGCACCCGTGTTGTCCGCCGCACAACCGAGATCACCCAGATGCGTGACGGCGCCCACGCCATCGAGACCAACGACTACGCCGACAAAGACCTGTTCCTCGTGGCATACATGGCGGGCAATACTGACACGAGCTACGAGCTGTCAGAGGAGAACTTACAGCTGCTCCCCGGCCGTGTCATGGCTTATGTTCTGCGCGACCGCAAGTTTGTCCAGCTCGACGTGCATTACCTGTCCAAGATCGAGCAACAGTCCAACGTGTTTGAGAACCTCAAGATCGCCCCCCAGCACAAGGAAATGGTCATGGCGCTTGTGGATAGCCACTTCCGCAAGAAGGAGAGCAAAAGCCCGCGCCACTTTAGTCTTGGCCAAGACCTGATCCAAGGCAAGGGCGAGGGCTTGGTGATTCTGCTGCACGGCGTCCCCGGTGTCGGCAAGACCGCTACTGCAGAAGCCGTCGCCCAGTCCAACCAGCAACCCCTTTTCGTGATTACCTGCGGCGATCTGGGTTTCACGCCCAAGGAGGTCGAGCGGTCTCTCGAAGAGATTTTCCGGTTGGCCCACCTCTGGGACTGCATTTTGTTGCTGGACGAGGCCGACATCTTCTTGGCGGAGCGCACGCGCGACGATCTCAAGCGCAACGCCCTCGTGTCTGTCTTTTTGCGGGTGCTTGAGTACTACAGCGGCATTCTGTTTCTCACCACGAACCGTGTCGGCACCCTTGATGAGGCCTTCAAGTCGCGCATCCACATGAGCCTCTACTACCCGCCCCTCGACCGCCAGCAGACGCTCCAAATCTTTGAAATGAACATTGACCGCATCGAAGAGATTGACCGCAAGAGGCACGAGAGCCGCAAGCGGGACCAGTCGGCCCGCCGCAAGGAAATCCAAAGCCGTTCCAGGTCCGTTGAAAATGGTGGTGCTGGCAGTGACAACGACGACAATGGCCGGCACCGCGGACGTGAGGACAAAGACAAGGAAAAGGACACGCACAAAGACGAGCTTGCTCACCACCTCGTGGTCAACCGCGAGAAGGTTATGGAGTTTGCCCGCAACCATTTCGACCGAAACATCTTGGGCCGCTGGAATGGCCGCCAGATCCGCAATGCTTTCCAGATCGCGAGCTCCCTGGCGTTTTACGACAAGCGCCAGTCCTGGATCCAGCGCCAAGGCGACCGCAGTGACAACAGCAAAATCGTCCCGGACCTTGGCGCCGCTGTCCTGAGTGATGAGCAGTTCCTCAAGGTGGCGCGGGCCACGCTGCGGTTCGAAAAGTACATGATCGACGCCCGTGGCGGTGACGACAAGCAAGCGGCCCGCATCGACCGCATCCGTGCTGACGACCACGTCACTGCCGAAGATCCTGACTTTTCATCGTCTGCCTCACAGCGGGAGAGAGATCGTGAGCGTGAGCGTGAGCGTGAGCGTGACAAGCAGCTGCAGACCCGCCGCCTCGACGATGACTTCCGCGGTAGCTCCTCTACCCGATTTGGCGGCCCTTCCAGCCCGGCTCCACAGACGCCGCAGAGTGGTCGCCGCGGTGGGGGTGGCGACGACTATGACCGTCGTCGCCGAGGACCCGACGACCGCAGTTACGATGTCGGCAGTCGGTATGGCGGAGACCGGGATCGCGACTACGACCAAGGCTACGACGGGGATCGGGACTATGACAGAAACCGCCGGGACCGCGACTACAACCAGGGCGGCGGTGGTTTCGCTCGAGGTGGAGCGGGCCTGCAGGACTTCCGCCGTCGTAACGGCGGCGACTACGACGGAGGCTTCTCGCCGCGGTCGAACGCCGGATACGACCGCTACGACGAGCGTGATCGTGAGAGAGACCGGGACCGGTACGATGACCGCGACCGTGACCGAGAACGAGAACGCGCTCGTGATCGGGATCGAGACGACGCGTACTACCGAGACGGCCGTGCACCGCCTTCGTCTGCTCGCTCGCGCGGTGGTGGTGGCGGCGACTTAGATAAGCGTGTGCGCAGCCGCAACCGGACACCGACACGGTCAGAGCGGGATCGTCCAGGCTCCAGCTTCAACGACGGCACACCTACCCAGGCGGACGGCGGTTCAAGTGCCAACACCCGCGACTCGGCACGGGACATCAGTCCCGATCGTGGCCGCATTACGGACGACGATTACAACATGGCGACAAAATACCACAGCACTGGTACCTCTTCGTACCAAAGTCCGCCGCCGTCGACCGGAACACCGCGTGGTGGTAGCCGGGGTCAACAATGAGACGCCGGCCATTTGACGGCCAATGTCAGTTGCGTCCATGACGAGAAACGTTGAAGGTTAAGAAGGGAGGGGTTGTGCGTGGATGATTTATGGAGAATATAATTTGAATACTTGTAGCTTATTATTTCAGTAATAATTTTTGAATTATATACGCATATCTCGATTTTGAGTACGACCAAACGTTTACACGGCACCCTAGTTGATACGTTTTTGTTTTCCAAAAATAGCAGAGTGCGACACAGAAGGGAGGGCAAAGATCAAATGCAATACTCCTACCAGCCGATGGCAATAAAAGTTTCTCTTGCCGGGCCAAGATGGTAAATTATCAGCGGAAGGGCATGTCGAGCCCCTTTTGCCGTCATCACTTGAGCCGGTGTAGATTGCTCTCCTTTTGTGCCTGCTGCTTCTCCCGTATTTGCAATTCAAATATGGACGGTTGTCGAGAAGGACAAAACACGACAGAGGTAGAGCATTATCACCTCCAATAGCACTATCACCATCTACAAATTCAAAACGAATCCGAGATCCACGATGAAGGCATCTATCCTCGCTGTTTGTGCAGCCGCAGTAGGCCTCGTCTCAGCGCAGACGCCCGACGGCTTTACGCCAAGTGTGGCTACACATCTCGATGTGACCTTCGGAAGCAAGGCCGTGTCACCCTCGGGCACCAGTCTAGCCAAAGAAGGTGAGACTCTGTCTTCGTTGCAAGGATGATTCTTCTGATGCATTAACGCAATAAGAAACTGCAAAGTTGCCGACGATTGGCTTCGCTGGTGCCAACGCCACGGAGACGTATTTGTTTGTCATGATTGACCTCGACGTGTAAGTACTCTTACGTCCTCTCGCCTCTCGCATCTCTCCTCTTTCCTCTCTACTCGCTCCCGTCGCATTCCCGCTAACCCTATCCAGGCCCTCAGGAACCACTCGCAACACCCTTCTGCACGCCATGATCCAGGACTTCAAGGTCGGCAGTGGCGGCGCCACCACATTGACGTCCGCAGCCACCAGCCCGGCCTCGTACATGGGGCCCGCTCCGCCCAAAGAAAACCCAGCCCACCCGCACCACTATGTCGAGGTGCTGTTTGTGCAGCCGGCCGGGTTTGCCGTGCCGGCGTCGCAGGCGTCTGTCGTGAAGAGCCGGATAGGATTCAAGCTGGCCGACTTTGCGACCGCGGCTCATCTCGGGGAGCCGGTGGCGGCCAACTACTTTATGGTGACGGGGTAAACGGGGAACTTGGACGGCTTTTGTAGGTGCGCCGGCGGTCGCGGCGTGCGATAAACTTGAGCAGCCATTGTTGCAGACCAACGGTAGCTGGACCAGGAGGTGAAGGCTTAAAATAAATAAAATTTGAGCAAAGCCGTGTACCTAAGGATGCCGTTGCAAAGCGAGTAGCTTGGCGTTGGTCGAATTTTCGAAATACGATATTTCTTTTTCGAAGGCCTCTTCCATCCTTGTTTGCGTCATATTTGCAACAGGTTGTTCAGATATTCCCAGTCCATGGCAAAGTCGTCTGCTTGTAACAGCATCTCACCCAATCCGGTCACGGCCGCTGACGATGGATCGAGAAATTCTCTTTGTGTATTTTTCTGTGCCCGAAGTTCGGCGATAAATTCTGGCGTGATGAGAGCTCCCTTCCCCAGACCGAGCCAAGCCTTTTCATGAGCATCAAAAGCCTCCAGCGTCAAGTCCGTAAAAGCAGCAACGAACGTGGCTCCCGACGCCAGTTTTCGGTTCTCCTCTGCGGTTGCATCGTTGTTTCTGGGTTCTCTCGTGAGACTAGCATTGTGGTGCATATGCAATAAGTGCGGCTCGTAAGCACTTGTGGCCGCAGCAAGGTCCTCGGCGTACTCTTTGTAGAACAACTCAATCATGCGCCAGGCCGAGTCGATTTTGGCTCGCTCTTCTTCATCATCGTTCCCGCCGCATGTCCGCACCCGCAGCATGCATAGAACATACACTATCGCATCCATCACTACACGCATCACCAAATCGGCAAGCAGCTGAAACGCTGCGAAACCATTGCCCACACCGGCCACCTGTCGGCATTCAAAGCACATCTCTAGAATGCTCAGAGCATGCTGGAACGTGGCGTCGGCGTTGTATCGTGAGAATGCGGGTATCACAGATACCTGTTCCCCGTTTGCTAATGCAGATGGTGGTTGTGATGGTGGTTGTGCAGCCGACGTCCGCGGGTGGTATGCCTGAAACCGCAGCTGTGCAACAGCCATACGCGCCATGCTCGAGCTCACGGCGTGCAGCGGGATTCGTGGGTCGGCAAACTGATGGCATATGTTCGTGTACAGCTGCTCAAGCTCGTCAATGGCGCAGTTCTTCATGGCTGGCAAAGTCTGAGTGTGGAATAGGTGGCCTGCGGGCGTGGACACCTCTCCCAAATCGCCACTGGTGCTCGAAGCAAATTTCTTCTGCGCAAACGTTTGCATCCATGGAGCCGTATGGTACTTGACTCTGACATAGAGCATCTCGGTCGGCCCAGCATGCTCTACTGGCGCACACGTCATGTCCGGGTGCAAGTCTGCGTCGTTCACGTTGAGTGGCAGCCGAAGGTCATCCAAATCGGACAGTGGCATGCTGCTGCCAAAGTAGTTGCCTCCCGTCGCAATTCTCCTATGCTTGTAGCTTCCCATCGTGCTAATGCTGTTGGTGTGGCTGAGACTGACGGCCAGACGCATGCGGGCGTCGATGCCGAGAATCTGCCACCAGAGACGGACGCTCATCTCGCGATCAAATAATGACAGGGTCCCCGTACCTTCCGGTGAGCTCTTGCTCGTCTCTCGGTGCAGGCCCAGCTTAGGCCCAGGTGTACAGCTGTGGCAGCCAGGGTGCTGCACAGCTCCGAGTCCGGCTCGGCGAGGATAAACAGCGTAAAGGCGCGAAGGACGTCGAGGCGGCGCGTCGTCAATATACCGGCGGCCACAAGACACTGCATGGCACCCATACGGTATTTTGCCAGAAGTTCCCTTTTGGGCGGGACAGCTTCATCTGATGTTTGTCTCGTCTTTGTGGTTGTAAACATGTCGGCGTACTCGGAAATAGTCATCGATGTCAGGGCCAGCGCATATACAGCAAACATCAACGCACCAGTGGCCGGCGGTGAGTTGGCAGGATCCCAGCTCGCATCAACAATCTGCTGATGTGTCGTCGGCACGTGTACAATTCGCATGACAGGGTTGACACTGTCGATGAAGGTCTGCCACAGGTGAAGGACCATGCGTGGTTCTGGGTGTGGTACGGGAGCCAGGTTGGAAGTGCCGAAGAGGATGCTTGTCGTGTTCATTTCCAACGGCTGTGGGATTTTTTCGCTGAGTGAACGCTCATTTATGGTTTTCTGGCCAAAGAAGCGACTAGCAAAGATTTCCGAGACGGGTGGGTTGCGCAGTTCGGGCGGTAACGACCGCCACAGTTCCAGCTCCTCGTCGGCAGCGTCCTCGTGGACCACCGTTGGCCATGTTTTCATCCCCTCTCTGGTATTTGCTGAGTCAACGATCGTATCTACCCCAGAAGACGGTGTCTGCGCAATCGATGATGTTGTCGAGTCATCGCCTGCTGCCATTTTAGCCTCCCATGGGGAGGCAATCCACATCCGGTGGTCACTGACGATATCATTGCAGCTTCCACAAGATCCTGGCCGTGGCAATGGCTCGTGAAAGCTTGGAAACTCTTCTTGTGACAAAGATTGAGGAGCTGTTATTCCATTCTTTTGTAACAGGCCTTCGTACATCTGTAGTCGGTCCATGAGGTCGTTTGCGAGATTCGATGGGACCGTACGAGCATGTTTATGTCGGCGCAGCCGCCGTCCTGGGGGTGGTTCAACATATATGCATTCTATGTCCACTTCATGTCCAGATACATCCTTTTTGTTACGGTTGCGTCTCGCCGTCATACGAGCGTGAGCCACGCAGTTGGAGCATGGCTGTCGTCGGTCGCAACGGATCTTGCGCCGAGCACACTTTCCGCAAGCGTTCTTTTGAATGGGCGATTGAGGTGCGTCCATGGCGAACATTTGTAAGGGTGTGAGCCGTACAAAATATCAAGTATATGTAAAGAATGTAGATATGGAAAAGGAAGTGTGCCATGGCATCGCCTTGGTGTAATGGGAGGGCAGGTACGACGGGGTTTCTTATACGAGCGAGAATCTCCAGACTGGGAAACCTCGGGCCCGTACTTTCCAAAATGGGAACAGCGGGCCCCGTGATTTTTCGAAGATGACGAACAGCCCTAGAGGTCCCCTGTAGCGAAGGTCACCGTAGTGCTGTTTAGCGGGTTACCGTATTGCATTCGTTCGAAACAAACGCGTTCCGACGACATTCTTTTTCTTTGGTTTACCGTGTTCATTTCTTTATTTAAGACTCGCACCTCCATACACAAAGCTACAAAATAATGTCAAATTCGAAAGCCTCCTTTCTTCCCCCGCCCTCTCCCTTTATGCAGCCGCCTGCACCGAAGCAGTAACCGCCGGCGCCGCCGGTGCCGCCGTCGATGTCGACTCGCCCTTCTCGGCGGCCAGCTTAGCCTGCAACGCGGCAAAGTGGCGGTCCATGGCATTCTGCGTAAACTGCGCACCTGTCACGGCCGGGTACTTTTTGAGTGGGCCCTGGATCACGGCATCTGAGCACGGCTGGTTGAAGAAGGCGATGCTGAAGCGCTCGCCGTAGTAGTCGCCCGGCTCGCAGGGCGCCTTGACGCGGTGGAAGGTCGACTTGAAGCGGTCGTCAGACCAGCTCATCATCAGATCGCCAATGTTGCAGATGATGGTGCCGGGCTCTGGGTCGACGCGTGTCCAAGTATCGCCAAGGGCAAACTCGGTGACGGCCTCGCGGCCGGGACAGATCTCAAGGCCCGACTGGCCCTGGCGCTGGAACAACAAGGTCACCAAATCCCAGTCGGCGTGCGCACCGGCGCGGTGGTAGACCTCGTTCGGTGCGGAACCATCGGCGGGAGGCAAGGGGGTCTCAAAATAGTGCAGCATGCGCAGCACGGACTGGCAGTTGGGGCGGCGGGCATCGTGGAAACGGACAAAGTAGTCGTCGGGGAAGCCCAGGCCGCGCGCAAAGCAGAGCATTAGCTTCTCGGACACGGCCTGCAGGCGGTTCATAAACGCGCGGCAGCGCGCCTGGAAACCGGGCAGCTGGTCGTCACCCAGCCACACACTGCCATCGGCGGTGCCGCGGCCGCCCGTGTCCATATTCTCTCCAAACTGCATCTGGTAGGACTCCTTATTATCGGCGGCGCCCGTGCTGGGTCGGATCTGGTTCTTGTTCTCCCAGCCGACATTCTTGTTGTTCCAGGGCACGGTGGCCTTGACCTCGTTGGGCAACGCGAAGAAAGCCTCGGACGTGTTGAATATGGTGTCGACCTCCTGCTCAGTAATGCCGTGGTCGATGAGCGCAAAGAAACCGACGTTCTCGGCAGCGTCGCAAAGCTCGGCCGTGATCCCGTCAATACGGTTCTCGAAATCGTGAAGGGAGATCTGCAGCCCGGAGGCCAGGTCAGTGATCTTTCTCCCATAAGTCGACAAGTAAAGTCACCTAGACTGGTGGGCTCACCTTGGGCAGAGCCCGGTCGACGTAGGATGTTGCAGCAGTCATTTCGCCGATGGAGTTTGTGCTGTGGTGTAAAATTGACACTGCTTGTTCGTGTTGTTTGCTCAATGGCAAGACGCTCTTTCCGTCGTTGACCAGCAAGCAGCTGTGTTCTTAATAAATATGAGTTTACCTTCTCGCTGTTTCGATCATATTCTCACGTTTTGCTCCAACTATACCTTGGAAAAATTGTCGTATTTCACTGTATTTCGTTTGCCCAGCGGTGACATCCGGACCCGGTGCCAGTATCAACCGGTATCAGCCAGTGAATGATAAGATGGTTTCTTATCATATCAAAGACGCATCATTGTGCTGGGTTTAAGAGCACATGGGCGGGGAGTGCGGCAAAGTCCGATGAACCGAATTTTTAGTGGCTCACATCTCGTCTGTTGCGGATTTGGCGTGCATGACTGACTACTGGATCGAAGATCTTTTGCCCCATGTTCATACACGTTAAATCTGACATGTCTAACGATATCCCGTATCTCTAGTATCACTGTTATTTAACAAGAAAAAGATACTCGGTTGTAATGAGTATATCGGACACTGCCGAGTGCAATAACATTAATTATCTGATACTTTCGGTGAGTAGGTTGTGCTTAACGTTTCCCTTATTAATTATTGAAGGACTGGATCGTATGGACTTGAGTTTTCTATTTATTTAATTGAATACAAAAATTTCGAGTTCGTTTAATTATCTAGTACTGTTTAAAACGCATGCTTGGAAAAGGGGGAGCGTAAAATCAATACTGCGCATTTTTGGCGTAGACTCTGCTATGCTCAACCACGTACAATTCTAGCTTGATCAAACTCGAATACACCAACATATCCAGCCTTTTGCCATTAATCCTTATTCGTCGGCAACGAATACCAACGCAGTCCGAGAAAATTTGTCGATCTTGGATACGGCCGCCTTCTTGGACATGCGTACAAATAGCCTGTCGTACTCCGGGTAGGCCTGTGCCATGTCAATATTCTGCTCCAGGCCCCAAAAGTAGAACACGATGAGATTGAAGTCGATAATGGTCTCGTGGTTGCCGACAGGAAAGTCCCGTCCTTTCAGTCGCTTGTCAATAAGATTGTAGCACTCATTGACATACGATAGGCCCTTGGCCTTGATCTCGCTGTAATGTGACTCATTGTCGGTGAATCGTGCCGGCCGAAAGAGGGCACCGAAGCCACGGCCATGCAGCGATCCGGAAAGCCAGGCCGCCCACCCGAGGACCAAAGACTGTTCGATAAGATTGTCACCCAGGAGGCGCTTCTCGGGGACGAGGTTGGCAATGTACGTGAGAATAGCAGGCATTTCGGTGATAGATACTCCGTCGACGAGAAGACAGGGTACATAGCCAAGGTGGTGGATCTTGAGGTACTGCTCGTGGTTGACGGTACCGTCGGCTGACTCGAAGCCGTTGGCGCCCATTCGCATGTTCACCAGCTGATAGGGGAGACCCAGGTCCCCAAGAAGGCTGTTGACGACCATGGAGCACGCCTGTGGCTGAGTGGTAGAGAGTGAGGCTTGGTACCATGGTGATATTAGTGGTGCGTTGGATTCCGTGAATGGTTTTTGAAAGAGTCTTGGAGCATATTTCTGAGTAAATAAACCGATGTAGGGTAAAACGAACTACCGTGAGGTCTTTATACCTGCCATCTCTCAACTCCTAAGTGATGCTTGGAGTGATACGTCGCTCTTCGCGTTGCATCTTGCTGGGATTACGGAACTTACGAACGGCATCTTGATTCACAGGGGCACGCTCCACTTGAACACGAGCTTTTATTTCTTTGAGACGCTTGCCGACTTGGGCAACATAAGTCGACGAAAGTGTGTGCAAGATAATGCGAAGACCGTTGTGCAGCGAAAGGAACAGACTTTGCTAAGCCGTATAGATGACTTTATTGGTATGATGGCAAATTACACCTATTATCTTAGGAAATGGTAATTACACATTATCATTCGGGTCAATAGAGCAGCTGAAGCATAACGGTTATGACAAAACAACAGACGTTGGGTCAACGTAAACGATGAGAGCAAGTCGCGCAAACCTTCCTGATTAGGCAATCCAAGACTTGACCAAATAAAACCCAGAGAAGTGTTGCACCGCGCCGTTGCGTCTGTCAGAAGACGCGGTGGATATCGCGAGCTGATAAGACGCGAGAATAGACGCATTTGTTATATCAGACACCTTGTCTTTGTGGTTTGTCCAGCTGCCGGTGCCAGTGAATGTTCTCATGAACGGGCCGGGTGCAGCGTACCAAAGGAGCAATATAGTGTATATAGACGTTATGGTCTTTTTTTTTTTTTTTTTTTTGCTAAAATAGGTTACACATACTGTATTGTGATTACATGTAATTCGACCATATTCTAGTATTAAAAACCGCGGCACAAAAATTAAGAAATCTACACCGTAAATTTGCAATGGGAACCTTGGAATTCCCCCTCGTCGCCCGTCGGCCGCAGCCACTAGCCCGAGTTTGTTCTCCTTCGCGCCTACCTCTAATTTCCGCTGCTTGCCACTTTCCTTCGGTGACATTATTTCTGTCAGAAGAAGTAGAAAAGGCAGCAGCGACAGGCCGACAACCCGCACTCCAGAGTTTGTCGAAAGTGTAGTTGGCTCAGCCTTAGTTAGTTCTTCGCCTACTGCCGTTGTCTAGAGCCGCGACTGGGACTACAGATCTTAAATTTAAGTTGGCACAAAACGGGAGCTGCAGCTGGCAGAGTTTAGTTGTCTTTGAGGTGCGGGGAGAACAAGGGTTCCTCGGCATCGTCTCGCAGAACATGCGGAAAACCAACACCAACACACGAAGGCAGAACGGCGTACTGCATGTCAACGCTTTCATGTGTGTCGCAATTGACAATACATTTGGTGGTTCTTTTCTCAATTTCTACTTTGCATTGCCAAGACGAAACTGCAACCCCTTTAACATCATTTCCCACAACAACAAGAGAACAAGACTGTCACCATGGCCTTACCGGAACCAACTGCGAGACTCCTCACAGAGGCCGAGGACAAAGAGGCGCCATCACGGCCGCCGTTTACTTGGGCAGAGACACTTCTCTTCGGCTTCGGTGGCTACAGCCTCTACGTGGGCAACATCTTGGTGAACTACGGCCAAAAGGTCAAGGACCGGGTTTTTCTGCCAGAGAAGCGCCCCGACATCATCAAGACATACGAGTGCCGGCCGTCGCTTAATGTCCAGTAAGTGACCGCTAAAATACAATATTATGTTTTAATTATCGTACATATGCTGACATGATAGCATCTTCTACTCCCCGCACCATGACCGGACGGCCACCCACCCGCAGCCAAAGATTCCTCTCCTGTTCACCATCCATGGTGGCGGTTTCGTCATTGGCAACCCGCAGGACTCGGATGCCTGGGACTATGACTTTGTGCGGTCCGACCCCAAAGTACCCACGATGGCAGTTGAGCTCAATTATCGTAAAGGTCCCGTCTCACCCTTCCCCACCGCCGTCTACGATCTCGAAGCCCTGGCTCTGGCCGTGCTGGCGGATACGTCGCTGCCCATTGACACCGAGAAAGTTGCTGTGGCCGGATGGTCCGCCGGCGGCAACTTGGCTCTTACGCTCGCATCGCTGCCCAGCATGCAGGGCCGGCTGCGGGCCGCCGTGCCCTTCTACCCGACCGTCGACTTTTCCATCCCCAGCTCCCAAAAGGCACTCCACCGCCACTACAAGCCGTCTCTCAAGGGCTTCCGCGGCCGCAAGATAGACTTGCTGAGCTACGCCGCCCCCGTCTTCAACTGGTCCTATCTGCCAAAGGGCGCGCAAGCAAAGGACCTGGTGAACTCCCTGTTGAGCCCCACGTATGTGCCCAAGTCCAGCCTGCCCTCTTACATCTTCATCGTGGCCGCCGAGCTAGATATGCTGTCGCATGAGGCCTGGCAGATGGCTTGCAAGTTGGCCAACCGCCCGCCTCCTTCTGACCCCAAGACCGGCTCGAGCGAGGTGCACCCTCCCAATGAGCTGATCCTGGACGACGAACGATTTGCCTTTGAGGAGCGCACAGCCACAAGCAGCTACAAATGGCTGCTGGTGCCGGACTCTATCCACGGCTTCGACATGACCGTCGCCGAAATGTACAAAAGCGACGACATGTACCCGGACACGCAGGCCAAGCGCAAACTGTGCATGGACATGATACATGAATGGCTGTTTTCTGTGGCATTCAAGGCAAACCAGTGAGGCGCGGCGATATAGGAGGTACGACATTCGATACATTACTATTGTGATACCCACTTCACTTACCATGAAAAAACAAGCGATATCACGATCGTGTATTTTGGATACAGCTTCTGCAGTACACGCGTGCTTCAACGGCGACGATGCTTCTGGCAAGCGGCATCTGCTATCTGTTCTTAGACTTTATGTTATTCCCATTGCTTTCCTCGCTTGTAGATTTCATATGTCCTCTTTTTGATGGACCATCCGCATAAATACTAGAGCTTTTTATTTTGATGCTACGGTTTGGTGCCAGTCCAAAAGTAATCCAACTTGAGACACGCGCTTCCTGCCAATCAACTGGGTCTTGCAAAATCTAGCCAAGTATGAAACGACGAACAATAAAACACATCTCAATCTTGGGGCACTTTTCATACTTCATATTGAACAAAAATTGCCTGTCTAACAATAGTGAAGAACTCAACTACAACACTTGGTCAAGTGCATCATCACGTGCTTAGCATAATACACCGGCAAGACTTTTCTCCCTGTCCGAGCCTTTCGACCTCTCCTTTCAGAATTCTCCACCATGGCGCCAACTGCCTGGCTAGCCTGTAATGGCGCTGCCAGCGGACAATCGCAACGCAGCCGTGAAACCTCATCTGAAAGGCTCAATTTGGGGCACCTCATTCCATATTTTTTGACGACCAAACAAAAACAGGCGGTTTACCAGCGGCGCATAACCCGCGACGACTCCTACGACGCGTCATTATTTTCTCTGTTTCTTTCACAGCGTCACTCTCCACCCTCCACCCTTCATCATGACCGGCCGCGGAGGCGGCGGCGGACGCCGCGTCCTGCTTCCCCCAATGTGCGTTGCTGAGACGGAATGCAAGCCATGAGACGACGGCTGTGGGCTGTTGTGAGATGCAGACAGCTTTTCTGATATGATCTTAGGCTAACTGGTTCATAGTAACATGATCTTCAAGCTTCTGCAGTCGGTGAGTGGGCAACCGAGCACGAGAGCATCTTCCTTGGATTCCATACTAATCCGTCTCTCGACAGCATGCTACCGTCAGTGTGTGGCTGTATGAGCAGCTGTCATTCCGTATCGAGGGAAAGATCCGGGGCTTTGACGAGTTCCTGAACCTGGTGCTGGACGACGCCGTGGTCGTGGGCCAGGTTACCAAGACACAGCCCGAGGAGACGCGGAAACCATTGGGTACGTATAGGCTTACTTCCATGCTCGCTTTATCTCATGTGTACGAGTTCTAACAAATGGTTTACCAGGACGCATTCTTCTTAAGGGCGACAACATCTCGCTTCTGCAGAGCGTGTCGCCATGAGAAGGCACCGCAATGGGAGGACGACGAACAGAGGCTGCGCCGCGTACAGCGCCTTTAAAGTGCGACCAAAGCTGCCAGTGTAGAAGCAAAGAGGCAGCACGGAGGCAGCATGACCTCCTAGGGACTATCCCTATTCTTTGCGCGCTGTATAGCGTTCATGCTTGGGAAACACAACTTTAAAAAAGGAGTCTCCGGTGACGGCTACCGAGCAGGGGAGCCTGATTTTGCAATTTACTTTTGTCATTTAGAGTATCTTATTACCAAGGGTGGCATTTCTTTTACAGTGCATTAAAAGGGATTTTAAAATACGATTTCAAGGTGTAAAAAGTTAACACCAAAACGTTTCTGCATTGTTGAAATAGTTGTATTACCAGCCTTCCATCAATGTGGGATGGTGAGTTTTTCATGAAGTGCGCGCGCGCACGAGAGGATTTTCCGAACCATACATGATGCATACCATATGCTCCTAGGTCGACTCTTATTGCTAGTTGAGAGACAGGACAAATGGGAAAATAAGAGAGAAACAAGTATAAGAAGCGTAGAGCTAAAGAAGGGTGACAGAAATGGCAAAAATGAAACGAAAAAGCCCAGAAAGATGTCGTGGAGAGTCAAAAAAGGCAATGATACAAGAGCAGTGGGTGGAAAAAAGACCGAAGTACACCAAATTACCGCGTGATGCTATACAAGCGTTTATTATCAATCCCCATCACCAACCTATCTCCTCGAAGGGAGAGCGACGTCTAAGCAAGCCAGAACCTGTGAATGGTTAGTATTTTTGACACACGAAGCACGATCTGGCAAGTATGCAAGTGGGTGGGCAGGAACATACCTCCTCGCCAACGATGGCTTGGTTTCTCAGATACCGCCCAACGCCGCGCAAGAGCTCGATCTGCTCCTCGGGTGTCAGGCCAGTTATAGCCAGCTCCATAACGCTGCCAAGCGTGGCCTTGTGCGTAGCAATAAAAGTGTGGTAGTACATGTAGGCAAAGAAGCCCATGATGAACTGGCAATCCATGCGGTCAGTGATGCCGCCGTGTCCGGGGATGGAGTGGCCAAAGTCCTTGATCTTGAAGGTGCGCTTGAGACCGGAAGCGAAGAAGCCGCCAAAGGGTGCAATGAGCGAGGCGAACGTCGAGAAGATGACGGTATGGATCTGCAGAGGCGCCATAGAGATGCTAAAGGTGGGGCAGCTGGCGGGAAGGAAGAAGAAATGCGGCAGGGTATACGTGCGCTGGAGGAAAACGGGGTTCGGTTCGCACTCGAGGCCGGTGAGGACGTTTGCGCCGAGATCCTGAACGAGCGGTTAGTATAGGCATAGTGAACATCGGTGACAAAGACGAGGATCGCAGAACGTACGTTGACGGGGCAGATGAAGTATTTGCTCTTCATGAGAATGTTGGAGAAGAAGAAACCGAAGAGGACTGTCATGACCCAGGCACCGACGAAGCCCTCCACGGTCTTCTTCGGGGACAGCTTGATGAGCTGAGTGCGGCCAAAGGTGATACCGCAGATGTAGGCGAAGATGTCGTTGGTAATGACGAGCGACGCGGGGAGGAAGAACCAGATCATGCCCTCGAAGATGTTGTTCATAACGAAGTGCGCCTGCACAACGATCAAGTACAGGGCCATATGGGTCCATGCGAATTGGGTGAACTGGAACTTGTAATGGCCGGCGCTGAGGGACGTGACGAAGAAGACAAAGCCTGGTAGAAGGATGGGGGTCAGCAGCAGATCACGGAAGGCAAAGAAGCGTATCGGTAGTCAGGAAACAGGGCGGCAAGGCCTGTACATACCAAAGACGTAGAGAATGAAACTAATGAAGCGATGGTGCGTGGCCAGCGGGAGAAGCACCTTGTCGACCAGAACAATGTGCTTGAAGTAGTAGATGACACTCTCGCCGTACAAAAAGTACATGGTCGTGGCCAGCCAGTACCAGTTGAGACTCTTTGTGAAGCTGAGCTGGCGCGCGCGGCTAGGTACGCTGGCGATGGCAATGACCTCGGAAAAGGAGACGATCTGGATAGCGGTAACAATGAGAATCATGTAGATGTGGCCCATGAACAGCGCGGCAAAGAAGCCGCCAATCATGACAAAGGTCCAGAATGTGCGCGTGATGAAGTTTTGCTTCTTCTTTTCGTACTCGGCGGCTTGTTCTTGCTCAGGGGTTTGTTTCTAAGGACACAGGAGGACATATGTTAGCAGCAGGTAATGGGACCAAGCTTGACGGACGAGACATATCGCAACGTACTTCTGCAATGTTGCTCAGGACGACGGCCGGCCGGGACTTTGTGGGCGATTGACCGTCCTCGCTGGCATCGCTGAAGCTAGACCGACGGTCACCGTTCGCGCGGTTCGGGAACCGCACACCACGACGGGGCTTCGTCATGGTGGATGTGGGATGTGAGGGTTGAGGGGCGGTTAGGGGGTGAGGATGCGCAGCGGAGGCTCGCGGAAACCGTGATGGTTGTTGACGTTGAAGGGGGGTCGAGCGGCGGGCGAAGATCCAGATGCGGAGCTGTCAATGCGAAAAAGCGATGCAGAGCGCTACCAGACGGGTCGAGAAATGGACGTTGAGACAGGAAGCAGGAGGTGAAAGTGAGCGACGGTCAAAGACGTCAGTGGCACCCTGTGGACAAAATAAGAACAAAAATGTGGTCCCGGCGACGCGGGAGCAGCAGAATCATAGGCAATGGAAAGATGCTTCGGTTGGGGGATTGTGGGTTCGGCGAAGAAATGAAAGCCGCGTCGTCGGGAACTTTCCTCGCGGACTCCTGTTGCCTTCCTTTGTTTTAGGTTACTTTCTTTTTCTTTCTGTGCTGGTTAGTTAGTAAGATAACAGGCGACAGGCGTTGCTTGCAGTGAACTCGCACGCTGACTGCACCTTAGACTAGACCGGGAAAGCCGCATCAGAGGCGCCAGAAAACAGCTGTCAGAGCTGGTAAGCTAGGGGTGTCGGTGGCGGACGGAGCTGAGGTTTTAGCGTCGCTAGTGAGCAAGCAACCCAAAACCGTCTGAAAGTGACGACGACTGCTTCCTTCGACGTACAGAGATAGCGTGGCCATTTTCTGTTCCATACGACACAAATTTTAGCATCGTTCTTGGTCTGCTACGAAGATAGCAAGAACATGTACCTATGCTGCCACTCTGACGTCGCGGTCGTGCTGTTGCTATCGGTGCCGTTTCCAAAGTTGAGGCTGGCCCGGCCTCTGTTTGAGAGCTAATATGTTCAAATAACGGCGGGCCACATGTGTGAAAAGACATTTCTCGATTCCTATTTTATGCAGGAGGCCGGTAGGTAATTAGTATGGCCCCTATCTATGGTACAGCGGCCGGTATCAATTATCTGGCAAATATTGCGACTATTTAGACTTACTATTTTGCTTGGCTGGGCGGTCTGAGCCTGGTCAGTTGGCAGGGTTCCATCTCGGGCCCCAAGGAAGCACCCGGGTCCTTGAAAGACATCGGATGGTCCGGCACCAAGGGTCGCGGCAGTGCGAAGCTACTTTGCTGACGACGTCGTACTACGTTATCTGCCTTGTGCCCTGCCAAATCAGCGGTCTCATTTCTTATGTCAACGACATCAGTGTGGCTTGTGGTGATGCAGGACTTTAGGACTTTAGAGTTTCGTGGTGAGAGAAACGCTCAGGAGCCGGCTTTCACATGCAAACCCCAACGGGGTCTTTACCAAGATTTTCTATTTTCTGGGGCAGATTCCATTGGCTCGCACCATACCATAAGTCGTACTCAGTACTTCGTACTCAATCTTCACTTAATTTCTATGAGACAGCTGTTGATTTGAGGTTGGGGACAGTTCAGTTTGAAGGCGGAGCCTTTATCCACTCTCGACGCTGTGATTGGCCACTTCAGGGTACCTTGGTGCTCTTAGTAATGCCTACGGATCTCTTGGTACCTACCCAACGTCAAAATTAAGACCCCGCAGGTACAGTGCAAACACGCCCACCATTCGTACTTTGTATCTGTGATACGCGCCAGGCGCGTCGTAGTTCTAAAGTGCTCCCACCATAAAAAAGACACGGCCAAAAACACTGTATCCCCAGAGACAAGGCTGAACAAGTTCAAGCTCGCGCGCATTCGACGCCACGTAAGTATCACGAATAACGGACCACGAGTCGCCGTCGACGTAGCAGCAGTAAGCTTTGTCAACATTGCGGGCTCCAACCCTTGCAACCTCCCCCCCTTTCACCAATGCATCACGACCCATTGCGTCCCTATCGTCGCCCTCCCCGTCGCCGACCAGAATGGACGACTTCTCCGACGATGGCTTCGACGACCTAAACGTCGCCGTGTTACAGGAGCTCGAGACAAAAGCACTACAGGCAATCCAGTCGCAACGACAACAACATCCACTACATCAACCCTTTCGAGGGCGGCAGAGCAACCTTGGCCACCGTCATGGAGACGGAGAGATCATCGAGATCGACGTCGAGCCAGAGCTTGGGCAGGATGTCGACCGGGCTGATGCAGCTGTGCTCCGCGAACTGGCCCGCGTGCCGGCACAGCATGCTTATGGTGGCCGACTGACAGCCGCAGCCGCACCGCCACCGCTTCCTCTACCAGCGTACTCGCAGCGGAGCCTCATTGACGTTCCGCTACCCGTTGCCTCGAAACACAACGCCACCCACAACCTAAGCCGCAATCACAATGTCGGGGGCAACTACGGCAACAACCTGAACCCGAGGAATGGCACTTTTTACCCACCACCCTCACAGAAGCGGCCCGTCGCCCCGCCACCAGTGTCTCAAGTACCAGGGCCGCCAAGGCCCTTGATTCCTGTGCGAGCGGGAGCCGCCGGTGGAGGGGTGAGCATGCCTGCGGCCGGCGCCGCAAGCGGTAGCAAAAGCACGGACAATGCAACCATCGCGGACCTTCAGCAACGAATTCGCCTACTTGAGACTGATATCTACACTGCGCAAGGCAGGGCTTCGATGATGGCAAACAAGTACGACGAAGCACAACGGAAGCACGATGCCGAGGTGGCACGAATACAGAAGCAAAAAGACGAAGAACTGGCACGGTTACGCCAACGGACCGAGGCGGCCGTGGCGGCGCAAAAAAACGCCGCCACGGAGCTTGAGTTTGCTAAGCAGGACCTCAAAGAAGAGGTGGAGAAGAACAAAAAGGGCCGGCGCACCGACCGCGCAGACGGCCCGACCACACCGCGCAAAAACACAACGGCAAGATCCAATTGGAACGTCGCCGATGGATTTGAAGATATTGAGCTTCTGCCAAGCCCCAGTAAGAACTTTGGCCGACGCCTCAAGGAGGCGGGCGCCAGCAGCGCGATCTCTGCCATCGAACGGACGCCGACAAAAGGCAAGCGGCGGCGAAACATCACAGACAGTCCGACGAAACCCTTGGAGACGATCGCTGCGGAGGACGAAGATCTGTTCAATGGATCGCCAGACATGCCTGCAAACGCACAGCCTCCCACACAACCCGCCAACGAACCGCCAGATTGTCCTCCATTTGTAGTCAGTACCTGTTAATATTTCTCGGTTTTCTTCGTACCCCATTGAGTACTTGCTAACATCCCATTGCAGTTCATTCAGGAGGTCCTCAGTTACCAGAGTCGACCTGAAGAGCCGACAACAATCGAGCTGTTCTCCCGGTATAGCTTCCCATCAAATCGAAACCAAACACTTGCTTTCTTGATGCTGCAGAGGATACCGAGCCTCGAAGGGACACAAGGAACAACGCGACTGATGCTCGACTTTTGCCAACTCGTACTTGGTATCTGGTCCCAGTGCTTACGAGAGGAGTATTACGCACCAATCCGCGCGCTCGTGTCGCTCATGTCCTATATCCTTATGCGCAACCCAACGGGCTTGACACCGCACATCATGGCGCCTTTGGTTCCGATCGCCCAGGAAACCGTCTACCTCGTGGCGGCGCCGACATTTCACAACCACGGCGACAGCCTTTCGAACCACGCGAACTACACGGTCCGCCAGCTTGCCTGCGATATTGACACCGGGGCCATCATGTCCCTCCTCCAGCTCGTCGCATATGGCTGCCTCACCCAGACGCAGGACGACGAGGAGCCGTCCTCCACACAGCACCAAGCGAGCCAGACCCTGTCTCCGGAGATGCACCGGCCAACACAGACGTGGTTCTGGAGCGTGATCCAATTCGAGTTTGTCCTGCTGATGCTCTCGTCCAAGCAGGCACCCGACGCCTTTTTGGCCATGCTCGCGCTTTTGCGGACGTCGGCTCTGCCAGAGTCCATTGGCCCCATCACCAACGACCCTGCTCGCGATGCCGGTGTTGTTGCGGCCATTGTCATTGACCGCATCAGCCATCACATTGAGGAGCCGCCGAAATGGGCGGCCAATTCCAAGTATACGGAGTGGGATGTGCGACTGGCGGCGCTCGGCGTGCTGGACTGCTTTGCACAAAGCCCCTTTGGTCGCCTGAGCCTAGCTGCTGGCGAATGCACTTTGCCACGTATTGTTGGCGCCCTCGTCCCTGCATACGGCGAGCTGCGGGACAGAGACCTGCTCGACGAGCCGCTTCACCCATCCGATGACCTGCTTTCTCTGTCGGAATCGCAAATACGTGCCTACGGCATCGGCGGCTTTGACTTGGGACAGACGTTGGGTCTAAAGAAACACAGTACAGCCCTGGCCTCGACAAAGGTAGTTGGCAACGTTTCGAGCGAGACCCTTGGAGCTAAAAGCATGTTGTCACGAACGCCAGATGGCCGCGATCTGGGCCGCAGCGTCACACCGCTGATCCTTCTATACGTCTCATCGGCCGTCTATCTGCTACACAGTATCCTCACCGACCCGTACACTGCACACGTTGCCAACATGCCGGCCAAGCTCGCAGACACACGCGGCGGCTTGCAAGGGTCTTACCTTCTTACCATGGCCCGGCTGGGCTTTCGCATCGACCCGGCGTTTTCAACGGGCCTCCACGAGGAGACCTACAAGCTCGCAATGGAGCTCTTCAAACTGGCTGCCACGCCTCTGGAAGAGCGTGAGTATGGGGAATGGGCCAAGAAGAGCCAAAGTCTCAGCAGCGCTGCGGCGCGCTCACAAACGCAGCAACAGGAACACAATGACCCGTTCTGTGACGACATTGTCGGTGACCTGACGGTCATCAAGATTGAAAAGGGCGCGGTGCCTTAGGCGGGCACCTTTAGAAACCTGACAATTGCTGTTCGTAGCCGGTCGCAACAGGCGCTCACGGCCGTCGACGTTGGGTAACGCTGAGACTCGGTTCTTGGCTTGTCAAGCCATGGTTTTGATAAGCAACGATCCGTGCAGCCCCGATATCAGAACGGTAGCAAATGCATAGCACACAAAGCTTCGAGGCGAGAAAAGCCGTGCTCAGCGCCCGCCCAGTCTCTTCCCACTTGACCCGTAAAAGCCGTTCACACGAGAGCAAACTCGAGTTTGGCTTTTGCTCCTTTTCGTCCCCCGGCAGTACTACATGTACAATGTATGTAATCCAAACTTATGATAATGTAGGAATTATGTATGCAGCCTATTCATTTCGCCCGTCATTAATAACCCTTGTGCCCGTATTCCTAGAAAGAGAATATTGGCATCCTAACATCGTGTCTACCCTTCTCCCCTAACCATGACGCGCTAAACCCAAGCCGGCCGGTCTCCAAATCCATCTCGCCCATCCACTGATCCACTGAAAAGCTTCTCCGAAATGTTGTGCGACCATACCTATCCAGGCGGAGCGACTGGTTAACAATGCCGCTAAAGATCGGCGCGACAGACCCCGACAATGGCCAAAGTCCAGGCCACGAAAATTGGGGGGAGCCACATAATGCGGGGTTGCACCCCGGAAATCCGGCTTTTCGGGCTCCCGGGGGGGCGACACGGGCATTTTCAACCCTCAGCGGCGATCTTCACAACTTGCTTCAACTCACCTGTTTCGGCAAAAGAGTGAAAAATGAAAGAGGGAAACGAGTATCTCATCTCGGCGCAACAATGAGCATCGGCAAAATCCAAGTCTGGCAGACCAAATCGCAGCAGCGGCAGCCGGCGTACGACCCGGGCGCGACGGCTGCGCTTTCCAGCGTCGTCGCAGCCAAAAACGCACATCGCGATCTTCTTTTGTTTCTTCTGCATACTCTCAATTGCATAGAACCACTCGTGGCCGGGGCCACGTGTACATCAACCCCTCTTATCCCATATTTGCAAAATTCCGGCAGGAAACCCAGATGGCACCCAAACGGAAGCTCGCAGATACAGACTCGGACGCTGCTGGCAGCCCTGCGTCTCTAGTCCCGCAGCAGCAGCACGACCGGGCCAGCGAACACGTCCACGAAAGCCAGCAACAGCTCCAACAAGAGCAGGATGAACAGGAACAGCGTCAAGACGGGCCGTCTACTGAAGAGTAAAAGCAACCACCAACACCTCCACAGCAGCAATGGCAGGCAAGCGAGGCAGGCTCCGCGCCCGAGCCGGTACCGTTGGCCAGTGTGGAAAACTATCCACGAAAACGGATATCCATTGCTGTAACATCTACCCTTTCCCAGATTCTCCCATTCGGTCCTGGGCCACGCACATTGACATGCACATCCCGCACCTTTGGCGATCACCTACTGACGCGCTAGAAACGTTTCCGCCAGTTTGCCAGTGTAATCTATGTCGCTTCAGAAAAACAGTATGTGCCACACATCCCGAGCCGTTTATGTAACGCACCACGAAGGTGCTTCTTTCTGCGACTTCCTGCCTTCTCCTCTTTCCTCTTCTTCAGCAATCCTCTCTACTTATCTCGTCCGAGCATATAAGGCAGCGCTATCCTTCTACTGGTCACCTCGTCACCTTGTTCGCTTACTCTCCTTTGCATACTGACAGTCGTCGCAGAAATGTGACGCCGTTCGTCCTACCTGCGGTTTTTGCTCCGGACTCGGTGTCCAATGCCAGTACAGGGAATCAGCCAACTCATCAGCTACGCCAAAGGAAGGCCGATGTCGTGCCTCGGCCGCCAAGGGATCTCAGCCGACCAAATTGACATCAAAGGGCGCTTCGCCACTGATCGATGCCAATAATGCGTGCAGTCTGGAACGGCGCCTGATGGAGCTCGAGTCCAAGTGAGCTGCCCTCGAAAAACAGACGATGGGCGCCGTTACGGCTCCAGGTACGCCCGTTATGAGAGCAGGTCCCCATGGAGGGCACGTCGTGCGACCAGCCACGACAGTACGCATGCAGCCGCCACTTCCCGGGTGCGGCAACGGTGGCATAATACCCCTGCCGGCCATGCTCGGTGACCCAATACTTTCTGGATCGGCAACGGATATTGGCACCGCAGACTACGGCAAAGGAAACGGTGTCGCCAGGTCTAGGGGCTTCGACGGCAGTATGGCAGGTACGGTTACCGCAGGACAACCTCACCAACAGCAGGGCTCCATCACCAGCTCGATTACTCTCCAGCAGCAACGCGTCAGCAAAAAAACCACTCGTGGCCAATTCACAGCGCGGCCGAGCCTTCTCACGTTCGAGTGTCCTCCATATGTTCCCTCCGAGAGCTACGACGACTCGGGCGAGTTTTATGACTGTGAAATGGCCGCCGGCGACGACTTCAAACGCCAAATGGCCCAATGCCTAGCCATCTTCCCAGACGTCTCGAAACGCACGGTGCGGCTTGTCCTCAAGAAGTTCGTCGAGAATTTCCTGGGATGGATTCCACTCTTCGAGCCCACGGCCATCTACACAGTCGTCAACGCGGCATGTGCGAGCGGGTTTGCGCCCGCCGATCCCAACAGCTGCCTGGCCATGTTCATCCTGGCGACTGGCACGCTTCTCCAGAACCACGCCGAAATCCGGTCCAGCCCGCTGCCGGGGCTTGACTACTTTTCCCACGGCAGCCACATGCTGGAGCGGTTCACATTCATGAGCGCCGGCCTCACGACACTGCACTGCCGCATCCTGCAGTCGGCGTACTTTAAGCTGACGCTGCACCCGCTGCTGTCGTGGAACGTGATTATGCAAGGCACGCGGGACTGTATGAACGTGCTGAGCTCACGATGGTTCAAGAATCTAGACCCGTCCGAGACGGAGCCCTGGCACCGTGCCTTTTGGGCGTGCTCCATTATGTCTGAGTATGTTGTGTCATGTTCTTCCTGATTTCTGATTGCTGCTTTTTTTTATCTCTACCCAATTCTAAACTCACCGAAGCGAACTCGAAGCGTCGCTGCGCATGTACACGATCGGTCACCGTCTATACCATGAGATCGTGCCACTACCACAGTTTGAGAACGAGGATACAGGATTCTATTACTTTCTCACACAGATCAGCCTTCGCAAGCTCGTGTGCGACACTCTCGACGTTGTCGGCTATCATGGTGAGCCCCCGATCCCCTTACTTCGGTGTGCCACCTTCCTGACTTTGATTCACACTGACTTTTGTTTTACTTCACCTTCATTCAGACAGCCGTGTCATCTATGCCCCTGTGGTCACCATCGAGCTGCGCAAGCAGGCTGCCGAGTGGCACCGCCACCTGCCTGTCGCTATCCGCTTCCCACTCGATAACACGCCCTTGTTTGACGCCCGCAAGTCGTTTCTTCGCATGCAATATTTTTCTCTTGCCACAGTGCTCGGGTGGGCCTCGGTGCTCAAGGTCATGGATGTCTACGGCACCGACCGCGAAGACACGGACGACATTGCACTCGCCTGCCTCGAGGCCTCAGAGTGCTTTCGCTCTTGTGCGCTGTACCTCGAAGTGGCGGCGGAGCAAGCTGGGCTGGCAGCTTGGGACGAGCATCTCTCTGTGGACGTAGGTCTCCCGCGATCCTCCCCCATGTTGAGTAAAATTGGCCTGGTTCCTATCACTAATGGTGTAGAACCTTTGCTTTTGTGGCCAAGATGATTGTCACGCACAAGGCGCCTGCGCTAGCGTGTCGAGGATGACAATGTTGGCGGAACGCAGTGGGATCACGACATGAGGGGCAGGTGCCGGGTGTGACGATTTGAAGCCTACACGAACGAGTACAAATAATAAGATCAAAAAAAAAAAAATAAATAAATAAATAAATAAATAAATGTCAACACAATATGCAATCGAGGTACGAATCCAGCAGATAAGCCGTTACTCGCACATACTAGGAGAGACAGGTGTAGTACTCTTTCTATCATGCTGTTGACGAATCAAATTGCAGACCGCATAAAGCAATGCCAAAGACGGCGTATCTCAAACCACTGACTCATTGATTTTACCTTTTGTATTTAGCCCAAGTGTCGTAGCGGGATTCATACCCAAAATTCAGGGCTGCTCCTTATGCATCAATGGCTGATCTATTTAGTTTTATTATTATCTTTATTTTTATTGTTTGTTGCTTTCTATCTGGGCAAGAAGGTTGACGAGTACCTGCGTTCCAAGCACATCGACCTGCTCGACAAGTTCCTTAACTGCGGCCGGTTCTAGACGAGTGAGGTGTCAGCTTGTGTCGGTAGCTTTGAAATGTACCCGTAAAAATCGAAACAAATCAAATTGCATAAATAAAAAAGCCTCGGACTTCCTCGACGAGATGAAATCCGTAAACTATCCAGCTTGGGGCGGACTCTAGTGCTCAACTACCGACGTCAAAAGTGCCGCAGTAAAAGGATCCCGACCCCTGCTATGAGAAGCAGTCGATAGCAGTCTCACCCATATACCTTGCACCAATCTTCGTAAGCTGTCCACCAGCACTCAGCATGGCAGCACTGGGACCGCCATTCGATACGGACGACCGCAAAGCGCCGAAGAACGAGTGCCACTCGATGTAGGCGAATCTTTCCAGACACGACATTGAGGTGTTAAAGTAGTTCAAGGTTATCGAAAGGTCGTGGTCATTGTAGTTGAATTCGGTCACCCTGGATGAAGTACTGAAGAAAGAGCACAAGCCCATTGGTAAAGACGGACGGCTGCGATACTACATCGCGAGTCACTAAATAGAGGCATCGTCGAGAAATACAATCGCAAACAGAAAGCCATTGACTGTCGTCGAGCCGTCGACGAAACCTCTGCCCTTGGAGCTAGCAGCCCAAGTTACCACACGTTTCACCAAGGGCAACAGTAATAATAGACTTATCTTTGTACACTGTGCCGCAACTCTCAGTGCTTCTTCGTTTCTAATTATACTTTGTTGTAAGCATGTCGACCTGGAACTTCCCGACATTGACTGCCGGCGGCGGCACTAATAAGCGGGATGCCCGGCCCATAATTACCTTGGACCAGCTGTGCCCAAGACCGAAATCGGCCTAGTTACCGTATAATCCGGGTTGGTCTCTGAACGCAAAATGGCACCATGCCCGTGTTTTGCTCAGTTCATCACGAAACGTAGCTGTCCTGTCATCCGTTCCCTTTTGTGTCTGATTTGATGGTGGCTATGTGTAGAGGTGGATATGAAGGGGCAGCCACCATGACAAGGAAGACGAGAGGGTACTCAGAAACAAGTCGTGGCTCATGCCGAGGCACCACCTGTCCCGATGCATCCGAAATGGAAAGTCGTATTTTGTCGTTTATGTGTGCTTCGACAGGATTGTCTGCTTGGGTCGTCTGCAGTCCGCAGTCCGCAGCCCGCTACTGACAAACGGGGAGAGTCGTCGCGGGACTGGCAGTTTGGCGACAACTCGAAACCCGACATAAACCCCCCGGCGTTGGTGTGCAAATGGCGAGGCTATGCCGTTTTAGGAGATTAGACGGCTTCTGGCTTCTGGGCAGAACCATCGTGAACTCTGACATTGGCCAGTGAGATCCGAGTATTGTTTCGACGGTCCTTTTGGTCCTATTGGTCCTTTTGGAGAAGCTCTGTACGCCGTAATCCGGACAGAACCCGCTGTCGAACAAAAAATCGCGAGTGCAAACTTGGTTGGACTTATTGAGATGGGACATTGACAGCATCATCGTACGGTTGACAACAGCCAAGAAGGACAGAAAGGGAGAGGACAGCGGGACACGACGAGGTGAAACCAACCGCGGTATCTCAGTGCCCAATTCACCCGCCAACCGCCAATCGTTGCTTCCCGTTCTGGAATGTCCTCGCCTGTCCATTTATTGGGGTCGCTCCTGCCTGCGAACACAGCTTGAGGGATGCGGCCGTCAAACGTTTTGCCCACTTTTCGCTATGTTCCTGCCGTTTTCGCGTGGCAAATCTGGAGCCATTTCCAGTCAAAAGAGTGATTTCTCCGTACAAATAGCGCTGGCCCTGATTACTTAGCTTTGCTCCAGCGGGGATCAACAAGCGGGGGAGGAAAACTGCCGCTATGTTGCCGCAACCCACGACCCAAAGAGGAAAAGGCCAGCGGTTTGCGGGCCACGAGCCTCGGCAATACCATGAAGCGACGCCCCTTCCGTCACGCTGCCCAGTTTCCCAGGGACGGCATAACCAGGGACGGCATAACCAACGTAAATCCTCAGGCCCGTATTTCTCTTTTCAAATCTATTGCAGAGGCGCCGTCATCTCATTTCCTTGCTCCTCCTCCGTCGCTAACACCTCACTAACCATCTCATACCGTGACATATTCTTGACACCCACAACTCACAACTAACAAAGATCGAGCCGAACATTGAACCGAAGCCGCCGCTCCCTGTTCGTAGTACTATTCGCCTTCTTTCTTCTTCCTCTTCTGTTTCCTACACCTTCTCTTCCTCACATATTATTCACACATCCAATATGGCCGAACGTCTGGGCTCCATCCTCAAGCATATCGCTCCGGGCAAGGGTGCCGTCGACACCATGTAAGCAAATCCCTCCCATCCTTATTCCGACCTCGCACATTCAGTCGCCTCCTTCTGACACGTTACGTCCAGCACCTCCAAGAATCCCGACGACATTGTCATCACCCTCGCCATCCGCACGCCCCTCACCAAGGGCAAGAAGGGCGGTTTCAAGGACACCTCCCTCGAATATATTGTTTACGCCCTGCTCCAGCAGGTCCGCGAGCGCAGCAACCTCGACCCAGCCCTCGTTGAGGACATCTGCCTCGGCAACGTCAGCGATGCCAAGGCCGCCTACAAGCTGCGCGCCGCCGCCCTTGCTGCCGGCTTCCCCAACACAGCAGGTGCATCGTCGCTGAACCGCTTCTGCTCGTCCGGCCTCAAGGTCACAGCCGATATTGCTAACCAGATCTCGGCCGGCAACATCGAAATCGGCGTTGCCATTGGCGCCGAATCTATGACCGTCGGCGGCGACGCGCTTACGCAGCCGTTTGACGAGGAGGTCACCAAGCACAACCAGGAGTCGGTCGACTGCCAGATGCCCATGGGCTGGACGAGCGAAAACGTGGCCAGTGACTTCGGCATCTCGCGCACCGAGATGGACCGCTACGCCGTCGAGAGTTTCCGCCGCGCCGAGCAGGCCCAGGCCGATGGCCTCTTTGACGACGAGATCGTGCCCATCAAAACGCGCGTCAAGGACGCCGAGGGCAACTGGAAGGAGGTTACGTTGACGCGCGACGAGGGCATCCGACCCGGTACCACGTTCGAGGCGCTGAGCAAGATCCGCGCCGCCTTCCCCCAGTGGGGCACCGCCACCACCGGCGGCAACGCCAGTCAGGTCACCGACGGCGCCGCCGCGGTGCTGCTGATGAAGCGGTCGACCGCCCAGCGCCTGGGCCAGCCCATTGTGGCCAAGTACGTCGGCAGCACCGTTTCCGGCCTGGCACCGCGCATCATGGGCATCGGCCCGTCGGTGGCGATTCCCAAGCTGCTGGCGCAGTACAACCTGACACTGGCCGACATCGACGTCATCGAGGTGAACGAGGCCTTTGCCAGCATGGCCGTCTACTGCCGCGACAAGCTGGCACTGGACTGGTCCAAGATGAACCCGCGTGGCGGTGCCATTGCGCTGGGCCACCCGCTGGGCGCCACGGGTGCGCGCCAGATCGTCACGGGCCTGAGCGAGCTGCGGCGGACAAAGAAGAAGATATTGCTGACCAGCATGTGCATTGGCACGGGCATGGGCATGGCGGGCCTGTTTGTGAACGAACAGTAAGAGTGATCAGAGGAGAAAAGTAGGATGAAAAGGAGAGGGTGTGGAAGAGTTGCGCTTGTGGATGCGATCAGGCCTTGATACGACCTCACATGCTACAACATCTGTGGCCAACCCATAATGCATTGAACAAAAGGTTCTGGATAAGAGGGTTGAGACAACCGACATCAGTTCATATGTTGTATGTCTGAGGAATCCGTTGGTCTGCTGCCACCTTGTATATATGTGTATTTTTTTTAGTAATTGTTTTGCAAAATTGAACATGATCAGCCTCCCAGACCGGTCCAAAAGTGCTTCCCAGCCCATGTACGTGGCCAAATTTCAGTCATCCCTTCCATGCCATGTGCCTAGACGTAAGCAAGATGCTCATGAGGGCGGCATAGATCTGCAACGAGGGCGCCAAAGGGTGCCGTCAGCCATCCGTGACCAGTTCTTGGGCGAATCGCAAAGATCACGATTTGATATCTCCGGCTGTCGGTCGCGCACCATCTCAAGCCATCGCGCAAAGTGAAACCTCAAAAAGCTGGTCGTCGTCGTCCACGACCCCACTTCCAAAAGCAGCAGAGGTCGTTCTCACGCTCGTTTGATATTTTGACGTTCCATTAATTTACAAAACGCGGAGAAGAGGAGCAGATTTAAAAGAGTCGGACCGAGTCCGAGATCGACAAGGAGACGGACGACGAGCGCGATGCAGCACACCAGATAAAAGGTGAGAGAATAAAAAAACTCTAACTGTAGTGTACATACTCAGATACTGTACCTGGCTAAATCCTCCGGCCGATATCAAAATGGGATGTGCGTCCGATGGGAAGATCCACGATCTGCGTGGCCTTGTGAGGATCAGGGATGAGACGGCGACGTAGACGGTATTCTGTCCAGAGTCGTAGAGGAAATAAACATGTGGGAAAAGCCAAATAGAGAAAGACAAGAAACGTTTCAGGTATCGCTGCAGATCATATGTGCTCCTCCGGATCGACGGCCAGTTTGCTAAAAGCGAAATAGTGGCGCCTCGTTTAATGTGTCAGGCCCCCTTTTCTCTTTTCTTTTCTTCATTCGATGCAGCACGTTCGACCAAGGCCTCGCTCCACATTCAGCGGCCTGGCCATCGCGCTCTAATTTGTATTATTTACCGTTCTGGTCGACCATCTAGGGCAGACCATGACAAGCCCCATCCTGCCCTCTGTCCAAATCTGCAGATTTATGCGCCGTGTGCCGTTTGCCTTACCGTTTTGCTCTACACCCCGGGCTGGCTGGCCATGCTTTTTGCGACCTGCCTATTCTGTCCAGCGTCCGATTGTGGTGCCTTCATTACCGCCTTGTTCGTCCCGCCGTCAAACGCCGAAATTCACCGGTACTATTTTATATTGCTTCAGACAAAGAATGCTAGAGTCTAAATAATACCAAAAGTTATCAGACGACGCATGCGCTCAAATTCATAATATGGTCACACCTTTTTGGACAGTTCCTGCAGGCCGGCCCAAACTAATAAACTAATAGCCGACAAAGCTGAGTAAATGTGAATGACAAGTAGTGATGTGAGGCCGGCGTGAATGACATTCAAAAGAGAAGCAAAATAAAATGAAGTAAGAACAAAATAAAGGAAGAGATAGGACCGCCACGACAAGCAAAGCCGCATCGACCGGCAATTTGTGTTGTAATCGACGGAAGATGAGTTGGTTCTGTGGAAAGTTGCATTTTCGTTTGCATTGTTTCGCTCTTTTCCTTTTCTCTTCCTCCTCTTCTTCTTCTTTTCTGCCTGCCCCTGTCGAATTGTATGCGGGTGTCCGTAGGATCCAAAGGCCAAGCGATTCCCCTTTTTTATGAGATCTATGTCAGTTCGGCGTCGGGTCATCGAGGACATATTCAGACCCTAGACATGGATATGGGACAAACTAGACATGGCATCTGAGGCAACACGCAATCTACCCGTCGGAATGGGCAATGCAAAAATACGATGCAGGGAACAAAATACAACGTACAGCGTACTTTGATCTGCCAGTCATCCGAATATGTTGTCAGTGCCAGGTACTAGGGGTGTCGCGTCCGGCACCGTCGAGTTTGCCGCCCAGCGAGAAAAAAAGAGAGACTGCTGAAAAAAGCGTAAGTGTTGCTGGTCGGACCTCAAAATGGTCGCATCACGGCGCTGATTGGTCTGCTCCGGACATGCCAAGCCTCCGGTCGCGAGATTGGGCCCAGGGTCTGTGAGGATCGTGAGTGCTGGGGCGTCGGCAGCGGTCCCGAAAGCGTGTAGAAAGATGCGATGAGGCTGGACGAAGCCATGAAAGGCCAACGAGACGGCAGGAGAGAGGCTGTCGGAGTGGTAGCAGAAACCACGCTAAGGTCGCCGTCAGGGGTTGTCCGTGCATGAAGCCCAATGTCCATCTGGGCAAATAGAATGTGTCGTCGGGTCTTCTATTCTGGAGGTTTATGGCCTAGACACGTTTCTTTTCCAAATGTTTCAAGTCGCATGTTTCATATTTGTTCGTCTGGAGCAGGCGGCACGAGACGAGCGACCAAGGGACGTTCGCTGTCGTCGGCTTGTGTCTTCTTCTTCGGTTGAGTGAGTTCGTGATGCTGTGGTTCGGTCATTTTGTGTTTCATATGTTTCCTTTTGTTTCCTCAAATTTCGTCCGCGTGTTTCCGCTTTCATCCCATATGTTTCCCATTTTCTTTGCATCTGATCCTTTTTGTCAGGATATGTCCTTGGGCCTCGTTGCATCGAGGCACCACATTCTCACTTTGCTGGCCAGCTGCTGGCATGGCCGTGTGCGTGGGCCGTTACTATTGTGTTTCTGCTCATCGTATGCCTAGTCCATCGTGAGTTGGCGATGCACAGTTGCCGAGTGTCAACGACCAGAAGAGGTGAAGGCGAAGAACGGCCGCATTTGCAAATCTCACCCGAACATGGCTTGGCGCCGGCGCCTGTCCGACCCTCTTGCCCTTTGTGGGCGGAAAGTCGGAGTTGGGCGCCATTCTGAAGGAAAGAGCAATCCAGACTCCTAATTTGAGAAGTACATGCTCTTGCCCAAGTCTGCGAAAAGGGGGTTCTACACTTTTTGTGCTGCACTCGGCCGCTCTTTCCCTAATCCTCGGCCCTCCTCGTCGCTAACTGCCTGGGACTAAGTCCAACTGGGCCGATCAGTTCGTCAATGTCTGCGTGGTTCAGGTCTTCCGTCGGGGCCACTATGCGCCAAACCTTGACGATGTTTTCAGTCTCCATTCCGAACGCTTCCCAGTGGCTTGCATTTCGAACCCATCCATCTCATCTCTTCATCCTACGCGCCTCTACTTCGTAAGGCATGGCCGCTCGGCCTGATCACGGAGCATACACCCCATTGGACATGCTCAACCCTCGCCGCGAGTGGAGTCTTCCCCGAAGCGCTTTGAAACAGCACCGGCAAAGAACTGCTCCATCATCCAGCAATGTGGTGTGCATGCTTCTTTGTCCAGTGACCTTTGTTTTCTTCAGATGAACACCCAGCGCACAGCAATCTGCATAATCTTCCTTTGTACCATTCATCCTCTTTTGTCCCGCGTCTTTCATCCCGTCTGTTCCCCTTTCCTGTGAGCCCCTGTCACCACTTTTAGGGGGACCCTCTTCTCGATGTCTAGCCCCCAAATCAACACAATATCGCAGCCTCATGAGCGGCTTGGTCCAGATGAGTGACCAGGGGTATGTACGCGTTGCTGTCATTTCCGTTGCTTTGTTCTACTGGTCGCTGTTTTGTTCTATTTTCTTGTATACTGTCTTTTCCGGGCCTGTACAAAAGTACAGGATGGCCAAAAGTACAGGATGGCCCAGACTGTGTCTGGAACACAAGTCCACATGAGAGAACATCGTCGACCCCGGGACCCGGGTCTGGCGCCTAACTCCCTTCATGTGGCCCATTTGTATAAGAATCGATTGTCTCGCCCTCGATGTCAAGTGCTTTCTTTTTGGAATCTGCTGTCTCTTTGGCCGACGGCTTCCCTTTCCGTCACCAACTGTCCTGGACGACACACCTTCTTTTGCGACTTTTCATCGCACCTGCCTCTCCTTAAATTCCCCGGACGGGCTTGTTCCAAGTTGAATAGCCTCATTGCATTCCTTTTATCCTTTTTTTTTATCACAAAACTCTCTTCATTCACTCCTTTATCTTCGATATCCATTCACTATTTTCACCAGGCCGTGAAATTCACAGAACTCCCCCATCTTCCATCTACGCGTTTCCCATCCCATCCGTATGGTATCCGGGTAGATACTGGAACCATGCATTCAACTGGCTACACTACATCCCTCCTCGCCTGCCTGCCTCTTTTGGCCCAGGCCTGGAACGCCCCGAGCTACTCGGGCTTCAACCTGGTCTGGCAGGAGACGTTTTCTGGCAACAGTGGTACCTTGCCCAGCACCAGCACCTGGAACATCATCACTGGCAATCTTGGCGTCAACAACGAGCTCGAGACCTACACCGACTCCACTGCCAACCTGCAGCTCTCCGGTGGCAACACCTTGCAGATTGTCCCTTGGGAGAGCGGCGGTCAGTGGACGTCGGGCCGCATCGAGAGCACCTACACTTTTACGCCCGCTGCTGGTGCTAAGACGCTGGCCGAAGCCGACATTCGCTTTGGTGACGATGACCCCAGCACCAAGCAGGGCATGTGGCCGGCGTTCTGGATGCTCGGCGACAGCATCCGCCACGGTACACAATGGCCCGCGTGCGGCGAGATCGATGCCCTCGAGACCGTCGACGGCCAGCTGATCGGCCACGGCACTGCCCACTGCGACGTCTCGCAAGGTGGTGCCTGCAACGAGCCTACGGGTCTGACTTCGTCGGTGGGCATCCCGGACCAGAGCTGGCACACGTGGCGCGTGCAGTTTGACCGCACGTCCAACAACTGGCAGACTGAAACCATTACCTGGTACCTGGACGGCGCCTCCTTCCACTCTATCAGCGGCTCGGAGCTTGGTGACGAGAACAGCTGGAACGCACTCTGCCACAGCCCGCTGTACTTTATACTCAACGTCGCCGTCGGTGGTAACTGGCCTGGCAGCCCCAACTCAAGCACGGAGGACGGCTACGGCGCACTGATGGAGGTTGCCTATGTTGCCGTCTACTCGTCCCGCTAAACAGCGGAAAGGCATCTATTTCTCATTGCACCATCACACCAACGGTGCACTTCTACTCTCCGTCACCTTAACTTCTTACTCTTCACATATTTGATTCTGATGTGTTTTTTATTTCACCGACGCATCACTTCTCCTGTATATATTACATCTTCTCGACAACCGTTGTACATCCGTCTTTATGCCATGTCGTACAAATAACACCTATATATGCTGGTTATATTGCTTTACCGTGTGTGACACAAAGTGACAAACGTATCCCACGGATGGCAAGGACCAATCGTGGGAATGAAGATCAGCCCGTTGGCCTATATCTATCTGGACGATGAAGACGCATAGTCTGAATCGCTGGTGTTTTGCAAATCCGCGCTTTTGAGTCCAAAATGCTCGTCTACGGTCAGCAAGGCTCATATGAACATTGTTCCTGCAGTTCACATTTTATATTTCATCTTTTGGCTCCCGGGAATACCGTACACTTTGTGTCAAAGGTGTATTCATAATACTTTGCTAGCCAAATAAATACTGTAACAGACAAAATAGAAACGCGAATTGCAGATATCTGTCAGAAAATAACCCAAAAGCAACGATATTCCGTCATTCCACGTGCCCAGCGTCGTATAATCCCATGCCCAAGAATAATATCTCCTGAAAACTTTGACCTAAAGACTGTCCTTCCCAAAAAGCAATTCAACCCAGAGGTACCGATCCAAAATAAAAATCCCTAAGAAACAAACCAAAAGAAGAACAATTCGAACAAGCCCATTTATGATATAAACGGCCTCATAAAAATACAGCAGTAAACGCAAAAAAGACCTAAGCATTAAGGGTAATAATAGGCATCGGGCAAATAAAATCCAACATTAAGACAGAGACAGAAGTCAAGTAAAGAAATAAAAAGTTGATACATGGCTGCGGGCCTGCTGACAATGACATAATGAAAAAAAAAAAAAAAAAAAAAAAAACAAAGATCAAGGAAAAGAAAAACGAATCGCACGTGGAAAAAAATCAAGGGGAAGGTAAACAAACGATGCGCTGAGATAATCAACAGTCGAGTGTCGAGTGTGATGATGCTCGACAGGAGCGAGTAGTTGATTCACGCTTTCATACCCGGTGTGCTACTTACGAACGGACACACACACCAGGCTAGGATGTGAGGGCGTCGAAGTTGCAACAGGAAAAAGCAAGTAGAGTACGACCGTAGGCCGAAAGAAACTGAGCATGTGGGTGAAAACCCCCGACCTGTGACCGGCAGTTGATGTCTCAGCCATGCAACATGCAGCAAGAAAACGTTGGCCAAAGGACCTGGGTGGGCGGCTTTCGTGTTGCAATGCCTCTCTAGCCAGTGCAGCAATGATAGCCACGCGCGGTCCTTCCCGCCTTGCAGGTAGGCTTTCTCGTCCTCCTCTGTCCAGCTCTGCAGTATTGACCAAGCAGGGGCATGCATGTCCCGTGAGGATTCGGTGCCGCGGGGAGCGCGCAAACCAGGATTTGTGACCGGGGTTCTTGAAAGCACTGTCGATCAGCCGAACCGTCAACGGCAAACGTTTGTTGCTTTGCAGTGGGGGTGCTGCGCATTCGATGACGACACATCACATCCTGCTTCTACCCGGCTGCAACCGAGAAACAAAGGGTCTGGGCCGTTGCACTGCCCTAAACGAATCATTCTGCTAGCGCTCGTGATCGTGGGCATCGCAACGTACAGAAGAGGTGGTGTGTCTAGCAAGTCCAGAAAGCGAAAGAGACACTGAACAGAAAGGGAAAACAAGCAGCAGAGAACCGCAAGACGACTGATGCAACACGCTGAAAAGAGGGTGGTGTGGGTGAAGAAGAAATCAAAAGAAGGAGGGGTGAGGGTAGAAGGCTCGGCGCAAATGCATCGGGACAGAACAATCATGCAAGGCTTTGACGCTGTTCGTAGCACTATTGCCGGGCGGGTTGTGCCTAGACAGACCTGCATCGAATGGGGTGGTGTGCCATGTCGTGTGATTGGCCCAGACCAAGTACACCTGACCAACCAATGCCCACCCTGCCTCGCAGCGCACCCTCATCGAATTGACGACGACTTCGTAAATATCAACTTTGAGGGCAATGAATGGGCTGAGAGGAAATCCTGTAACCTTTGTTTAAAGCAGAAGCCCAGAGCGGACCGCATCAAAATAAACAAGTCTGTCGGAGATGAAAGTCGAATACAGTCCCACTTGACCACCAAAGGGCCCGGCTTTGTCGATGGCTGCTGGCCAGCATGGTCGATACCAGAACAAAGTAGGCCAAGTTCTTCTAATACCAAAGCGGGGACTGTTGCTCAATATCGACTTGGGACCTGTGCATACCTCTTTGACGTGTTGCCAATGGTGTATTCGTCCCGGAGCATCCGTCTCGTGTCTCAAATGACGTGCCTGCGCTCTGTCCGTTGATTTGTTGATTCCAAAGTCTGTTCGATCGACTCTTCGTTTGGTCGCTTTGGTTGCTTCGTATTGCCCTGCCGACTGCTGACAATTGTTGTGCACCATAACCCCGAAGGACCACCAGGGCCTGTCGTCACCACACCACAGCAGCAAGTACCACCTACTGCCTTCAATAGGCGTAACTCACATCCCTTGCATGGATCTCCCACCGCGTTTCGCCACAGAGTGCTCATCTGCAGTAGCAGTTGTCTAGGAACGCTGCACATTATCACCGTATCCGGTGCTGTACAGATGACCGTTGTGACCCTGCTGATGCTGCGGCTGGTGGTGGCTCGTGCCGTATGTTGGTGATGCGCTGTTTCCCGGCATTCCGTAGCCATCCCAGCGGTGGCCATGAGAGAGAGCACCCGCTGTAGCAACTGGAGCCCTTGGTGCAGTAGCACCTGGGGCTGCTGGAAGAGACAGTGGCGAGTTGAAGCTCTGCGCCTGGTGTTGCTGGCTGTTCCCATATGAGTGTGCAGACGAAGTATTGCCCCCAGCGCTGTGTCGAGCGTCATATGCAGTAGGCAGACCCAGGCGGATGTTGGCGGAAGTAGGCGATTGTTGCTTAGTTGCTGTGGAGCCAGGAGACAAAGCACGTACCGATGACGCATTTCCGGCATAGGATACCCAAGACGCACCAGACAGTGACCGTGGGCTGGCAAGTGAGTCCGCGCCGTTTGTTCCGTTCACTATGTTGACATAGCCAACAGCAGACGTGCCATCTGTTGCGGCAGATAGTGAGCCAGGTGTGGGGGGCAGCACCGGGTAAGACGGGCTCATCGTGACAGGAGTCAACATGTGATGGCCTTGTCCTGAAGTGCCTGACGAGGCGGGCGACAGGACAGACGACGGGCTGGCGCTGTACTTGGAGATGATCTTTTTCAGAGCCTGGCCAAGGATTTTCCAAGGGAATACCTTTACGTCTTTCTCGATGGTCCGGGGCTTCGGTGCACCAAAGGCCATAATCAGCTTAAAAAACTCCTCGCTCTCGGCCTTGGCCTTGCTGACAGTGAACGGCTTGAACCCCTCAAGGTTGCGGCGAATGCGGTTCTTCTCTTCGACTGAGAAGCGGGCAGGCGCGGCCACAAGCTGCTCCAGAAGGTTGATTGTGTCCACGGAGGTGACAAAGCACTCCTGCTTCTCTGCCCAATAGATGCAGCTGATGCAAATACTGCTAGGCGGCCGTTCATTAATGGGGACCGGGCGGAATGTTGCTTCCAGGTGGCAGCCGTTCTGCTTCTTGCGGAAAAGGACAATACGGCGCTGGTTGCTCCATTCTTCAGGTGTCCAGTCCTGCGCCATCGAATCCAGGTTACCCATAATGGAGAGAACAGCCTTAGCAGGGTAGCCACCCCAGTGGCCTCCGCCATACGTGCCACCCGTTCCCAGGCCGCCAACCGACCCGGAAGGAGTGGACTGAATGGTGCTTGTGCGGATCAGCTGCGGGGCACCTCCGTGGGCGGGTGCGGGGAGAGGGGCGGACAGTGGCTGCCGTGCACCGTGAACATGGGCCATCGAGTGGCTGCGGCCCATATTGTACCGATCATGGGAGCTGTGAGTGTGATGGCTAGGCTGATGATGATTCAAGCCCCCGTATGCAGGCGTCGTCCAGGTTGTGGCACCACCAGTAGCACGCACAGGCTGGGGTGCTGTGCCCCGGGGGAAGCCGTCCGAAAAGGACGCACTCCGGTATCCACCAAGCATGTTGCTGTTATCCTGGTTGTAAGAAGATGCGGCGGCGGCAGCAGCAGCGACAAAGTTGTTCTGGACTTGTTGTGCCTGTTGTGCGGCGGCGACTGCGGCTGCAGATGTGTCGACTCCACTGGCGGGGTATGAGAACGTATTTGTATTGGAGTCGACTGGCAGCTGGTTCTGTGCTTGGCTGGGGCTGTTCGTTGTCGCGGTGTCCATAGTCAGTTGCGGTGGGCTCTCAGAGTGTCCGTCGACATGGCCAGGTGACTGGGGTGATGACTTTCGTGTCATGCCGCCAGGGGCGGGTGGTACGCCAGAGTCAGCCGTTGTGCCTTCCATGGAATGTGCAGGTGCAGATGTTCCTACTTGGCTGGGAACGTCATGGTAAGTAAATGAGCGGGCAACAGGCACGCGTGCCAGTTCTTCGCCTGTGGTATTCTCGATGACAACTGTCAAGGGAACATCTGCAGGTGAGGCACAATTTGTCACAATAAACTGGGGAGCCTCAGCCGAGACAAGGTACGTGAGGCCGCCTTGAGAAACTGCCTCTTTGACAACATTGGCGTGGCATTTGTGAGAACCAAAAGAGAGCCAAACGTAAGGAGCTGGTGTGGACATGGCCATCAGATCGTACTGGCTGTCCACTTTGAGTTCAACTCGAGTGCCTGCTGTGCCTGCAGTAGGCCCGCAAGAAATGATGTTCACTGGGGATGTGGATGGCGAGCTAGTAGGACTCATATACTGGTTCGTCGGTGCTCCTCCATTGTACGCAATGTCCCCGAGTTGCGGCGTCCCATTTTCTGGCTGCTGCGTCTGGAATGGCTGAGTGTTGAACGATGGATACGAAGCATCAGGAAAGCCTAGATTTGGGTGCAATGTTCGTTAGTTATGGCATACAGTTGCCCTATACTTTTAGGGGGGAAACCATAAGTTCAAAAGTGTGCTTTAGGGTGTGCATGAGTATGCACTCACCATGCAACTGGGCAGGCTGGGTCTTGTAGGCCGCCATTGGCAAGAGACTGGTTGGGGAGTCGCTTCGACGATCTCCTCCGTTCAGTCGTAGTTGTTCTTCTTCGTATCTGAGGGCGACTGTGCTTGGTGATCCAATCCTGTCGTCGACGATGGTAGGTCTTTTGGAATCGGCGGGAGCCTATGAATATGTTAGTAAACAGAATCATATAGAGGAAGCTCCATAAGTCAAGAGGCGCATCCATCGGTGTCTTGTATCGAATAGAGTACAGCAGTATAATGATGGTTCGTAGCTGTAATACGTTTTCACTTCTTCACGTACTTCAAAGATTCGGTAGAGAGGCTGTTGATATTGGATGGTCGACATAAAGACAAAGATCGAAAGAGGAGGAAGGAGGGAGGTCAAGAAAGATAAAAGGGAAAGTATGGGAAGTAGGAGGTAGAAAAAGAAATCGAGAAGGGGAGGGGGGTTTTTTTTTCAAAAAGGAAAAAGAAAGTAAAGGGAAAAGCTAGCTCACGGATAGAGAGGAATGGTAAAAATAGAGTACAGTTTCAGGAGGTGTGGGTGGAAGAAAAGAAGGGAGCGAGTGGGAAGAACCGGCCACCAGCGCCTGGGGTTCGTCTCCTAAAAGATTTGTGTAAGTCTAAAAAGTGGCAACTCGGTGTTTGACGGTGTCGTGACTGACATGGTTCCCACGACACGAAAACAAACGCACGGGGAAGTAGTGGGAAGGAGGGGAGAGGTGAGAGACGGGAAGAGGCAAAGCAGTGCAAAATAAGTCCTAGGAAGGAATATACAAAGATAACGAGAATTCGTAGGCTGCTGCGGTCGTCACCGTTGCCTGGGACAGACACAGACGCGAAGAGCACATACCAGGAAAAGTAGACAAGAGCTGGAAGACAATGGTTGCAAAGCAAAAGCCACCGGTTGACAAAGTTGAAAGACGGTTGCCAAACGGTTCAGGGTGGTACTGGCCAGGATGAGAGGAATGGGCGACCAATACACCTGCTTTTCTGTGCTAGAAACACTGGAATGTAGACTAGGATGGCAGTGTCTCGCCGGAAGCAAAAGATGGAAAAGGCGAGAATGCAAATTTGCGGTGAATCCTACATGTATGTCGTTCTGGTGGCGAGGAGTGTAGGGACTGGTAGGCCACAGTAATGGCAGGACTGCGACAGTCGACGGAAACAGTACGTCGTGCGCCGTGGACAACAAACTCAATGTAGGAGTGCAAGCGAGCAAGAAATGGAATGTAAATCAAGAACTGGCAGGGGGTGGTCGACAAGAATTAGCCTGCCGCCCTGCGGTTGAACGGAGGGAAACGCTTGAGGTAGCAGTGCGCATTGCAGCAGTCCTACGAATACTCGCTCGCTTTGCGTAGCTTGCTTTCTTCTTGTTGATATTGTCGCCATGACTGTACCCCCTTTATTTGTGCTCCTTGTCACAACATGGCGGTTTCAAACAGAGGACGACGTCCCAAAATGGGTGGGGGAAGGGACGGAGATGCTTACTGTTGTTCAAGGCCGCATTTGAACACTTGGTAGTCTATACACCGACATAAAAAAGGGCATAAAATTAAAATAAAAATGAATAAAATGAGAGACGATCTCCTCGGGTCTGTGGTGTAATCCAAGGCTGCTCCCGGGTCCTATGTCGTAGAAATGATGGAAGGCCGTTGACAAGTGGAGGGGGACCGCGTGGTTAAAAAGATGCGCTAAATACCGTCATATTCGAACCGGAAACAAAGCATTAAATGTGAAGCTGTTTGATGGATGAGCGAGTGGACTGAGCGGCGGATGATGAGAGTCAAAACGGCGCGATGTTTAAAAGCTAGCGAGGGGGGTGTTTTTGTTAACTGAGTGATGACACGAGGTCGTGAACAAGAATGCATTGGCAAGGAAGGGGTGAAAGATGTCTGTGCTGTCTATCCATATATGGAATTTGACTGTAACAAAGAACGCGAGAGGAATAATAGAAAAAAGGAAGGGGGGGAGGAAAGAATAGAAGGGGGTAAGAGAACGATAGAGCGGAGGTCGTATTCGTAGATAGTAAGAGGCCCAAAAAGATGGGTAGATCAAAACAAACACGCATGCACCAAGTGCTAGGGCCGGCTACTTGTGGCATACAACCGTGGAGACGGACAAGGAAACCAGCCTAGGACATCGAGTGGGGAAAGCTAGACGATGCAGGGGAAAGGTAGTTGGGGGACAAATCGATCAACCGAGACTGGCGTATCTCTCTGGAATAAGGTAATACTACAGGGAGGATGGACTAGAAATATGAAAATAATGTGAGACAGGGTGTATGCATCGAAAAGAAACGAACATGTAAGGTATGTTGTGTAGAATCCTGTAGGGAATCAGTAGAAAGGGGGGTATGGCAATAAATGGAGACGCATGAACAAGAAGACAAGAAGAGCTTCACTGTACTAAGAAGGAAGTATCCCAGTCAGATAAAATGGGACGAAGAAAACTAAACCAGGTGCAGTGACTCGCGGAAGGCCGAGCAAAGGTGTTGGACGGTGCGAGACGAGAGTGGCGAATAAGGAATGGACAAGAGAAGTAAATGTATGCTTGTGTACAGCGTGGTACCACAGGAAGGAGAGGCCAAAATAAGTGTGTACAAACGAAACAAGTCAGCTCGGTGGGACGGGGTGGCAGATCCTCAACAGAGGTGGGAAATGGAAAAGAGAGGAGATTGGGAAAAATAAAAGGTCGAAGAAAATACGACACGAGCCATGCACAGAGAAGAACACGCATATCACTAGAGAATTTCGACTGGGAAGGATTGCCCCAAAAAAAAGAAAAGAAAAAAAGAAAAGAAAAGAGGACGAGGCCGATACATAGTATACGTCTTCGATCGTGGACGGGGAAGTTTTGTTTGAAAACTGACTTTATTTTCTGCTCGCCCAACTTTCCGAGATGACCGCTCCTGTGCCTGATGTTCTCTTTCTCGTTTGACGTCTTGAGGTTTTGTTTTTCGCCATTGTTTCTTGTTTCAAAGGGAGGGCAATACTCCACTCGGCTCCGATCCCTTTCCAAGAGCTCCTGCCGAAGCTTTTGAGGTAGCATAGAAAGAAAGCCCCCAACGGAAATGACAGGGGTGGGGTAGGGTTATTGAACAGTAGCGAGAAATGGCAAAAAGGCGGAAGGACAGGACTGTTATGGAGAGATAGATGTCAAAAGCCGCGGCATATTGGTATTCTAAACCTTAAAAAACGTCATTATATTGTGTAGGCTCACAGCTACCTACAACGTGTTGTTTTGTTTTGTTTACAAGGGTCAGCCGTTGAGGTCATGCAAGGTGTTTTTGACAAGTCTAGCTAATGAGAGACAATGCTTGTAGGAAGGCTCTGAGAGATGGTAGACGAAGTAGGCATAGCGAGAAGGGCGTAAAGGCGACAAATGACAGTGCAGACGGACATAGGAGTCGACGACACAGGACATACTCGCACAAAAAAGGCCTGGAGACAGGACGGCAGACGAAAGCGGAGCGTGGGGAGCTGTCCATCTAGCGTGTGACGGGAGAGCAATGGCCATGGATATGAAAGGAAGCCAGTCTCAGACTCTTGTGTTCGATCCACAAGCACTTCAGACTACACGGAAAGAAAGACACGGGAGTGTATGACTGCCAAGCAGACGGACAGGTTTCCGTAGCCCTTGCTGCAACTGCGTGCGTAGCGCGTGCGTAGCTTGTGTCGAATTCGTTGGCCGTCGCTTCTGTGTGAGCGCCGACCGTTTGGCAGGCCTGAGGTACTAGGGTCCAACGTGATTGACAAAGTAAACTTGCCTGCTCCTACGATCTGGACAATAAATGCGCAGAGTCCGTATACCCTAAAAGCCAGAAAAGAGAAAAAAGAAATCAGCAAGGCACCCGGTAAACTACTGCTACAGTCTGCGCCGCAATAATGCAAAGTAGAGAAGAGAAGAGGAAGAACAGCACTCACCATTCACCGTATAAGTACTCCGTCTTTAATGTGTGATGTCAGGAGGACGCCACTGCTATGTGAAAAGGGCAAACAATAAGAAGCCCCCTTTCCCATGCCATTTGTCCCATGCCCACAGACGAGCACGTATGACACCGTACACCAGACCAGTTTACCGTGCACAACCTGTCAGGGGGGGTGTAGTCAAAAGCCGGACTTTGGAGGGAGGTGTAAGTATATTAGCGTGGGCTGATTGGCCATTCGTGATGATTGAGTGGGGTGGCAGGGCTTCCTTGTACGAGTCGTTGCCCTTTAAGTTAGGTCGCCCACCCTGCCCCGTCGAGCTTTTTGTGTACGAAGTATCGTTCTTGGTCATCCTCCTCAACTTTCATGCGGTTGTTTGTGTGCGTTTGTTCTTGGGTTTTTTTTTTTTTTTCCTTTTCC